GCATGGCGGGGCGTTCGACGGGGATTTGAATGATGTCTGCTTGAGTCTGGCGGAAGAAGCAAAGTTAGTGATTGGAATGAAAGTTGAGAGAAAACGAGAATCGCATCATACCTGCATGCAAATGTCGGAATTACTCATGCCACCATCCACGGCCAATTCCGTCAACTTCTTGCCACTGTCCATCTCCATGGCATCCAGAATAGCTTTCGTCTGGAAGCAAGCTGCCTCCATTGTCGCGCGCGCAATGTGTCCCCGTTGCGTGTGATGGGTGATGCCCCCTTCAAGATACTGTTAGCGTGAAGATTTCGAGGGAGAGCAGCTATTGACTTACAAATAGTTCCCTGAGCATCATCAATCCAGTACGGCGCAAAGAGGCCACTGAACGCAGTCACGAAGATACAGCCTCCGCTATCAGGCACAGTCGCAGCCAGATCACTGACCTTCCGCGAGTCACGGAAGAAGCCCATGTTGTTCATGAGGAAGGACACACCACTACCGGCCACGGCCACGCTGCCCTCAAGGGCGTACACGGGTTTGCGATCTCGACCCAGTTGGAATCCGACCGTACCGAGCAACCCGTGCTTAGAAATGACGGGCTTTTCACCCACGTTATAGAGAAGGAAACATCCGGTGCCGTAAGTGTTCTTCGCGGAGCCGGGAGTAAACGCACAGTGGCCGACTAGTGCCGCGGCCTGGTCACCGAGACAGCTGGTGATGGGCGTGCCTTCTAGAGGACCCTCGGAGATCTCACCAAAGCCCTCGCGGTCGGCCGAAGGAAGAATCTCGGGGAGACGGATCTTGGTGCGGTCGATATCGAAGAATTTGAGGAGTCGGTCGTCATACTGCAGGGTTTCAAGGTTCATGAACATGGTGCGTGAGGCATTAGTGACGTCGGTGACCAGACGCTTGTTCTGGGGGCCACCGTTTAGGTTGTAGATGAGCCAGGAATCTACGGTACCAAAGGCGGCCCGACCATCGTCATATGCCGATCGGACGTCGGGGAGGTTGTCCAGCATCCAACGCAACGTGACCGAGGAGGGGTATGTGGAGAGGGGCAGGCCACAGATATTGACGAGATCCTCGGCGCCGGGCTTTTCCTTGAGTTCGCGGACCAGGTTCACCGTGCGCGTATCGGTCCAAGTGATGGCATTGTGTAGAGGCTCGCCAGTCTCCCAGTCCCAGACCAGGGCGGTTTCTCGTTGACTGGTGATTCCGACGGCTTCAATGTCGGATCGGGAGTGGCCCAATGCCAAGAATGATTTCATCGCCTCCTCAATGCAGATGTAGACCGACTCTACCAATTCATAGGGGTCTTGTTCGTGCCATCTGCATGTCAAAGAGAGCGGGAGATGGTTAATTTGGAAACTTGGTTTCTTGAGGACAAGGATGTGGTGGTGGAGGCCATGATCGTGGGTGTAAATGGTGTTGGTGATCGTGATCGTGGGAGGTACGAGGGGAGGAAGAGGGGGATTCGAGTCTAATTACTTACCCAGGATGTTCGTGAATCTGGCGGAATTCTGTCTGGTACTTGGCAATGGGAACGCCTGTGCAATCGAAGATAATAAAACGGGTGCTCGTGGTGCCCTGATCAATCGTGCCGATAAAGCGCTCTTTCAGGTCGGACGGATGGTGCTCCTCGTCCTGCAGGAGCGCGCGCTCGCCATCATCTGTCTGATGCGGTCGCACGTCGACCTCGAATTCCAAGTCGGTTGGGGGTTCAGAGTCACCATCCACGCTGTTTTCGTCGAGATCAAAAGGGTTGCGCATTGTGGTTATCTGTGTATGTATGAGAGGGCGGGAGGGGGAGAGAGGCGGAGGCGAATGGCCAAAAGTAGAGGAGAGGAGGGAAGGATGAGGAGTTGAAAGCGGAGGTAACTGAGCAGAGAGACGGAGAGGAGAGACCAGAGGGCCGAGGAGAGGGGAACAAGGGCAGTGGCGGACAAGTTTAAAAAAAAAAAAGTGTGGGGGAGAGGAAAACCCAAGGAAAGTATGACGATAGGCGGGAATTGGGACTGGGCAAAGGTTGGCAGTTGGCACAGCACCAAACTAATAATAATCAATAATATGGATGTACTCGTTTCTCTTCTGTGCCTCTGTCTTCTTGTCTACTGTACGTGGCGAGGGAGTAGGTGTAATTGGCGACTGGAGGTTACAGAAAAGAGAGCTCCAAGTCAACCAGGGCCAGAGAGACGAAGAAGAAAAGTGGAGAGTGACGTACGAGGGGCGACTCGAAGGGCAGACCAGAGAGAAAAAAGGACGAGCAGGCCGGTTCGCGTGTGCCAGGGAAGAGGAGCGGGTTCTTATCCAAACGGGTGGGCCAATTTGGGACGGGGGAGATCATTTTGAATCATTTTTTGAACCAGTGGAAACTCGGTCGCTATAGTTCCCTTCCCTTGGAGAAAACAAGATGTCCATCCTTACTGTAGTGTTCCCCTACGGAGTCGTGGAACTTGTGGCTGCATGTGGGCTTGCGGGAGAAGAGGGCGAGAGGGACGGAGATGGGACCTTTACAGTGGGGGTCACTCACAGTAACAAGATCATCTCCCCCCAAATCCGGTTCAGAGGGGACCGTTTCTTTTTTTTTCTGATCAGAAGACCTCGTCACCTCCCCCACTTGGGAGGAAATCATATGGAGATGATTATTCTTCCATTCTTCCATCGTGCTTCTCTATAAATCCCCTTTCCCTTCTGTTTATAGAACTAGACATGGCATCCTATCCGATTCATATCCGATATACTTGCCTCAATTGAACTCTTTGATTTTCATGACACAGTCAATGCTCTTCAATGCCCATTGTCAGGGTTCCATGCTTAATTACACGACCATCTCTCCCTCCCTACTTACTCTATCTTGATTGTAAGTAAGTATATCCCCTGTTGAAGATCTATAGATAGCCCACACCCCTTTGGTCCATCAAACCCACTTGCGAGCCCCGTCGATCGGGGCACATGACACCCTCCATTTTTTCCGGTCCCTTTACGCGTTCTAGACTCTGCCAGTCTTGCACTCTTCTTACCCCCGTGCTTTCAGCTTTGACTACACTTTACTGTTCACGCTGCGCCATCAACCCCCAAACCCCGCCTTCCTATTCATGGAAAAAAGCCACCGGAAGAATTATCGCTCTTTGCTTCGAGGAAAAATAACCACCACCGCCACACTAATTCTGACTACGATAGCCGCCCAGCTTACTCTATTTTCCGGATTCCGTCCGTGCTTGCACATTCCTGAAGAATGGAGAATACATTGATGGGGCATGGGCCAAGAACTTAGAACAAATATTCCCATGCTGTACTGGGTCCATCCCTCTCTGCGGATTACTTTCCCCTGGAGAGGAGAGACCTGGACTCGGGTCCAGATCCACTCGGCTACTGACAATGCCCGAGCTTTTTACTGCATACCACGGAGTATACTCCGTAGATACTACCACGGAGTCCTATCGTACTCGTAGTTATATACTCTGCATGTGCGGAGTCCATTATTTAAACATATATTTAACTCTTTCTCTCCTCTCATCTCCCACGCAATGATATACCAACCATTTACCCCACGCTCTGGGGATGCCCCAATCACATCCCTGTCGGACTCGGGTCGTGACGTCTTGGATCCAAGTACAGAGTATTTCTCTAGGACATCATAAAAGCTAGAAAAGAAGGAACCCCGGAGAACAAGTAGCCAAAGTACCAAGTCTTTGACCCCCTAACGAAACAACATACACAAGTACGATCTACATCTCCATCCTCAACTATCCCACCTCGCGGGGAAGATCTGGATCAATGCCCAGCCTGCCAGGAACGCAGACATGCGCGTCAGCAGATCACGCGAGATGAAGAAAAAAGGGCCGATCCTGCGGGAACACTAGCTGTACTCGCATGTTTTGTCGTTCCTTGCCTTTATGTAGAGCATCTACTTAACTATTGTGTCGCATGCGGCGCCGGGGGGAAAGGCGGGTACTGGAGGGCTTGGTCTAGCTCTGCCAATCGGGGAGGTGGATATGTGCCTCCTCGCTACACCTTCCATACCCGGCTTTTGAACCGCAACGTGCGTGAACGAGTCCGACAGCCTACAGGCCGATATTTACTCCGTAGTTGCCCAACTGGAGGAACACACATGACCAAATTCGCTTTTTTTTTCTTCCTTTTCTTTCCCCCTTTTTAATTCTCTGGTGAATATTTTAGGATGTGTGAACTGTTTATTTCTCTTTTCAATCCCTGCCAAGGAGGATGGTTTTCCAATAGTAATCCCGAAGAATTCATAGAGTAAACCTGGGCATAATCTTGAATATAGATTACTCAGGGCTGTCAATTGCCAAGAAAATAGAAAACCTCGAACACCATCTAAAATAAACAATCTCTAAAATAAAATAAAATAAACTCGGCCTCCATCTCCATCGCAGTCGGGATCGACAACGGGTCTTAACCGGTCTTGTCTTGCCTGCAACCAGGGAAAAGGTCGGCTGTTGGTCACTTGTCCAGGCCCGCTTCTCGTCATCGGAGCCGATCGGGAACCCGCATCAAGGGGAGAGAACCTTACCTACTACAGAGTGTGAGGGAGCTGTCGCTACGAAATTATAAGTCCTTGGTTATCAGGTTCTTTATTTCGTAAAACATCGTGCTTTGGTCCATTCTGTTCTGAGCTTAATGGGTTGAGCTGGTGATAAAACCTAATGTAAGTGGGTTGGCAACGGGGTTCTCGAGCATATACAAGTTCGCTACCTACTTATTACGTCCATTCGACTCGACATATAACTCAAACCCTCTATTCTTCACATTTCTCCTCTTTTGATACAACAAACTCAAACAAGACAAAGGAAATTCAATAAAAGCTTCGGCCCTAGTGCGTTCTGCGTATAATCTACAGGAAATCACGGGGAATGCAAAAACAAGAGAGAACACGGGGGTGATCAAAGATCCTCTGTCCCCCCATACAGTTGGTGAAGGTTTTTTTTACAGCTCAACGGAGCCATTGTCCCAAAAAAAGCCAGCAAAAAAAAAAGAGACATTTACTCCTCATCCTGACCAAGCTCGGCCTTCTTGCGAGCCTGGGCCTCCTCCTTCTCCTTCTTCTGGAGGAAGATCAGAGCGTTGATCTTGTCCTTGAAAGTGTGCTCAGAGACGAGGCTCTGCTGGATCTGCTCACGGCCGATCAGGGTAGCGACGATGCTGGCACCGACGACGAAGGTCAGGACGAAGCGGTACATGCCGTACCAGTGAGGAGCGCGGCCGGCAGCGGCAGCGCGAGCATCGTTGTAGTACAGGAAGGTGAAGGCCAGGAACTGGCTAATCAGAGCGTACTCCACGGGGAGCAGCAGGGTGGGCCAGGCGACGGCGGGGGCAATGATACCGGCAGCGTAGCGGCGGTAACCGAACTTGCCGCCGTAACCGGCCCACTCAAGACCCCAGTGGATGGCGCCGAGGAAGGAGAGGATCTAGAAGAGAACCAAGAATCGTAATTAGCGGGCTGATATCAAAGAAACGAAGCTGATATAAGCTTCTAATATTGAGATGATGAGCACTTACGACGGCACCCCAGCCAACCTGGATGGGCTCCAGCATGTGCAGCATCAGCTCGGCGCTCTGGCCAGAGAAGATCAGGCCATCACCGAGAGCAGCGGCGCGGTTGATCTCGTAGGAGAGGTAGACGGTCTCGAGGGAGGTAGCCAGGTAGGGAATGACACCGGCCATACCGAGAGCAAGAGCCTCCTTGGGGACGTCCTTCAAGCTGAAGGTGTCCTGGATGACTTTCTATATTGCGCATGCTTGATTAGACTTGGTTCTTGTGCCCCACTATCCAATTGAATGGAGATATATGGGATGTACGTACAGCCTCAGACTTCATACCAGCCATCATGTCGACCTCCTCGCCATCCTGCGCAAAGAATTAGCGATTGAATGTTCCCTTGTACCAGATTCAATATTGGAGCTCTCTCACCTTGGCGGAAGAAGACGCATAACGGACCAGAGCGGTGGTGACGGGCTTGTGAGCGGCGAGCGCGAAGCTAGGCTTGACGGCCGGGCGGATAGCGCGGGCGGACGAGGTCAGCTGGGCCTTGAAGATAGGGTTACCCAGAGCGGAGCGAGCCAGAGAGGCATTGGAGCTCGAGATGGCCCGGAGAACGGAGCGGGCGGCGGGGGCGCGGTACAGCATGGCGGAGGAGATACAGCTTTTTCATGGAGCAAGTCGGGTTAGCGATATCGCGGGCAACGAAAAGACCTCGGGTACGGCGACGGCGAGCTACCTACCCAATTGGTGTATAAAACAGCTGGAGGGAAGATTTGTGAGTGGAGATGAGGGTATTCACCCGTAGTAAGACTCGAGATCGAAGTCGGAGAGGCCGTGGGATTCCGGAAGAGAACAAATCAGAATATCCTGAAATGAAGTGACCGAGTGGTGAGGTGTGGTCATCGGGCGGACCGTAGCGACCTGAGCCGCAGGTTTGTAGCCTGAGGCCGGAAGAGCTAGAGAAAAACCCGGGGATCCCGTGATGAGCACGTGACTGGTTTGGTCACAACCCTAAAGAGACTAGCCACTTTGAGCCACTTTGATCCACCCGAGGCACTGACCAACTCAGCACGAGTCAGCACGGAACCGACGTCACTCTGCGTGGGAGTAAACCAAGTTAGCGTTGGGTTGTAAATAAGCGTACTCTCCAGTACAGTATCTATAGGGGGTATGATGTTATATGTTTGACTGAATAGAATAATGGTAATCAAACTGAAGATATATAGAGATACTCAAATTAGTAGAGTACTAGACCCTGATCAAAACAAGGGATCTATCTAGATTTGATTAAATATGGGGCATTTGACGGGGAATTTATTTGGGGATTGGTAAACCCCCTTAGCTCTTCGCTCCGTTGTATGTACTCCGTACATACCTCGACAATACCGCGTACCTTGGCCTGGCACCGCCTGCGTAACCGGTTGGCAACTGTCGCGGACAACGTCTCAATTCTCGATCCACGCAATCAGGGCCATTAGCTTGGCTTGGATACCCAACACTCATCCGGTCGCGATCTTGACCTATTATACTATTCTCCCTTCTCCAACGCCCCTCCCTGTATTCTATTCTCCCCACCGAAAACCACCCCTCCCCCTCCACCGTTCAAGAACCCCGGCTTCCGCTCATCTCGGTGGTGGTTCCTTCCGCCTCGGTATCGCGTGCAGCCCAACCTGACTTGAATGGCCGGGACAACTTAGATGAACTCTGAGCTGTGAGCGCTCCTGCTGTTGTGTGAGACTTGACCGGAACTGTTCCTCGTCATTGACCGCATTTCCCTCCGAATCGCTGCTGACATTGCCTGATCTTCAGAGCTAGAACGCCTGACTATTGATGACGATCCACGCCGTCTAGCAACATCCTCATTCACTCGGACATAAATCCCTTCTCACCTAGGCCCGGCTGACGGCCACCGACCGCAACCATGTTGGAGGGCCTGGTCGCCAACCTGCTCAATCGCTTTCTGGGCATCTACGTCAAGAACTTCGATGCGAAGCAGCTCAACATTGGAATCTGGTCGGGCGATGTCAAACTACACAACCTCGAGCTGCGTCGGGAAGCGCTTGACCAGCTGCGCTTGCCCTTGAACGTTGTCGAGGGCCACCTAGGTCAACTCACATTATCGATTCCCTGGTCCAATTTGAGAGGCAAACCCGTGAAAGTCGATATTGAAGATGTCTATCTGCTGGCGGCGCCCAAGGAGGATGCGGACTACGATCCCACGGAGGAAGACAAACGCGCGCATGCGCTGAAGATGGACAAGATCGAGAGCGCCGAGCTTCTTCGCGACCGCAATGCGGAAGGCATGAGCCAGGAGGAGCAGCGCCGGAATCAGAGCTTCACTCAGAGCATGATCACTGCAGTGGTGGATAACCTACAGATTTCGATCAAGAATGTTCATTTCCGCTATGAGGACTCAATCGCTTCACCTGGCCACCCGTTCGCTGTGGGATTGACATTGAAGGAGCTCAGCGCGGTCAGCACCGACTCTGAATGGAATCCGACCTTTATCCAGTCTACCTCCGACACAACACACAAACTAGCCGTTCTGGGTGCTCTTTCCGTTTATTGGAACACGGATGCGACTCTTCTCGGTACTGGTCGAGGCTCTGATATCGGTGCCGAAGCCCAAGGAATCACTCACGATGACCTCATGGCCAAGCTACGTGATGCAATTGAAAATGGCGACGGCAATCAGTACATGCTTCGGCCCGTCAGTGGTCGTGCAGGCTTAGAAATGGACAAGTCGGGCAAACATGATCGCCCGGCTATGAAAGCTCGACTGCTGTTCGATGAGCTCGGCTTTGTTTTGGACGATAAACAGTACCGCGATGCTCTGATGCTGGTTGATTTGTTCCACTATTTCATTCGTCATCAAGAATACAAGCGTTTCCAACCTAAATGCTCCGTGAAAGAGGATCCCCGCGCATGGATGAAATTCGCCGGAGACGCCGTCCTCAGCAAGATCCATGACCGAAATCGGCGATGGACTTGGGAGTATATCAAAGAGCGCAGAGATGATCGAATTGCGTACATCAACTTGTTCAAGAAAAAGAAGCGAGAAGAAGTACTCACACCGGAGGAAACAAAGGAGCTGGACCGAATCGAGTACAAACTCAGCTACGAGGATATTCGTTTCTGGCGATCCCTCGCGCGCAATCAGCTACGCAAGGAAAATGTTGGTGTCAAGAAACCTGCCCAACAACAATCATGGTCAGAGTGGATTTGGGGTAGCAAGCCCGCTGAGCACGAGGAGACCGCAATGACCGACGAGCAGCGCCAGGAACTTTACAATGCGATCGACTGGGACGAGAAGAAGGCCCTAGCCGAAAGTGTTGACGTTCCTCGAGAATGGGTCAAGCTTGAAGTCAACTGGAGTCTGCGGGCTGGTAGCTTTACACTGAAGCAAGACCCCCACGGCGCCGCAAATGAGGTTATGAAAGTCGTGTTCGATAACTTCCGCGCTAAGGCTTTGCAACGTTCTGATTCATATCTGCTGGACCTTGATCTGGGTGGATTGAAGATGTATGACGGCACTACACCCGGTACTCTCTATCCCAAGATTGTGAAGGTTAAGGACTCCCTCCCTGAGCCTCCCAAGGGTGAAACGACCAGTTCGGACGATGTCGAACTTGCTTCAGAAGCCAGTGCAGTTGATCTTGTGGACGAGGATAGTCTGTTCCATTTGCAGCTGGAGAAGAACCCGTTGGATAGCGATGCGGACACAGCTGTCAAGGTCAAGCTTAAGAGTATCGAGGTCATTTATAACCCCCGATTTATCGTGGGAATCGTCAAATTCTTCGAACCCCCCGAAAGACACATGGAGTCGATTGGCGCGCTTTTGGACACTGCAGGAGCCACCGTGGAAGGTCTGCGGCAGCAAACCCGAGCAGGCTTGGAGTTTGCCCTGCAGGAGCACAAGAAGGTTGATGCGCAATTTGACGTGCATGCTCCTTTGATTATCGTCCCCGAGAGCATCACACAGGAAAGCTCCCTCTGTCTGATTATCGATGCTGGTCATGCTAGCGTCAACAGTGAACTGGTCGATCGACAGGCTATGAAGGATCTGCAAACCAAGCAGAAGAGACAGTACGAGGAAGAGGATTACAAGCAGCTTGAACATCTGCTGTACGATCGTTTCCTCATCAAACTGGACTCTACTCAAGTTCTGATTGGACCTGGAGTGGATGCGACAAAGGCCCAACTCATATCTGGCGTGGAGTCGAAGAACTTCCATATCATCGACCGCATCAATGTGGACTTTGTGCTAGAGATGTGCATCGTTCCCAAGGTGACACAGCTCACTCGGACGCGCATTTCCGGAAACCTGCCAGAACTGCATGCATCCATGTCTGACACAAAGTACAAGGGTCTCATGAAACTGATAGACATTGCCATCCCGCACTTTGACGAAGGGAAGGAAGTGTCTAAAGAGGCAGCAAAGGCATCGGCTGCAGCTGAGAAGGCCGCGATTGCTACAAGAGCTAGATCAGCGTCCTTCCTACCCCCTGCTCTACTACGGGACCTTCCTGTTGTCGACGACGATGACGACGCAGATGCGGAATCTGGTAGCGATCACACCAAGAAAAGTGTGGAGTCGGCTATTGATATTCACCGTCGAGACTTTGAATTCAAGTTTCAGGTTGGCCGCCTTCGTGGTTCACTCTTCCGAGCTGACTCCCAAGATCCGCAAAAAGACAAATTGCTGGTGGAACTGGTGGCTGATGGCTTCGGGCTCGACTTCTATATGCGACCTTATGACATGGTGGCAGAGGTCATCTTGAAGTCCTTGAGTGTGGATGACTACATTGAGGAAAACCCTGTACCGGAATTCAAGCGGATCATCTCGTCTACGGGGTTCAATGCAGACGAAAATAACGATCTTTTCCACCTGAAGATGGTTCGGGTCAAGCCCGAGTCTCCTGAACTCGAGTCGACCTATGAGGGTATTGCGATGAATCTCGACATATCTGTATCTACGATTAACCTTGTCGTGACCAGAAAGACACTGCTTACCCTTCTTGATTTCGTTCTCCTCACATTCACGAACCCACAGCAGCCGGACGACCAGAGTCAGCACTTGGATAAGTCCTTGCCAGAGGCGGCTGATGTGGAGCAGCAACCTCAACAAGTCGGCAAGCTTCGTATCAAGTCCAACCTGAAAAGTATCGCTTTGATTCTTAACAACGATGGTGTCAGGTTGGCGACCCTTAGTCTCAACACCGCCGATGTTGGTATTTTCCTTGTGGGCCGCGCCATGACCATTCAATCCCGAATCGGTAGCTTGACATTAGTCGACGATGTCAACTTGGGTGCATCGGAAGAATCAGATGTCCGGCGTCTCTTGACGATTGAGGGTGACAATTTTGCGGACTTCAAATACGAGACCTTCGATCCCGACAGCAACACACACCCTGGCTATGACTCGGAGGTCTACCTGCGATCGGGCTCCATCAAGATCAACTTCATCGAGGAGCCTTACCGGAAGATCATCAACTTCCTGGTCAAGTTTGGCAAGATGCAAGCAATTTTCAACGCGGCTCGCCAGGCAGCCGCAAATCAGGCCAACCAGCTCCAGGAGAGCCAGTCTCGTATGCGCCTCGATATCGTGGTCAAGACTCCTATTGTGGTGTTCCCACGAGTGATGGCAGATGATAGATCCAGGGACAACATCACTGCTTACCTTGGAGAGATCTATATGAAGAATGAGTTTGTTCCTATGGATGACTCTAAGGATAGCCCTGCTGTCAATGTGATCTCCACTGGCGTACGCAACATTCGTCTCACGTCCAAATTCCACTTCGACGACGGTGTTGTGGAAGAGCTGGAAATGATCCAGAAAGTCAATCTTGACTTTAGCATTTGCCATCTGGAGCATCAAGCCAATAACCCCCGCCCGGATATGGAGATTGAGGGCTCTTTGTCTCCTATCAACCTTCGCATATCGCAAAGCCAGCTGAAGTTTTTGCTGGCCCTGTCCAAGTCTATCCCCGGAGCGTTTGCAACCGATGCCGAGCAGCAAGAGCTCGAAGCCATGGAGGCTTTACCATCTTCAGTTACTGAGCCTACTAGAGAGGCATCTTCGTTGACTGCGCAATCGCAAACGGATCAGGAAGGATCAGCTGCTGATGGCAACGCAGGCAAGGAAACATGGGTGCGACTTGACATGATTTTCAAGGTGGATAGTGTTGGTTTGGAGCTCATCCTCGCCAACGATAACCAGCCTGTTGGCAGTCTGGAGGAGTCCAGCCTCTCAAAGTTCTCGCTCAATGACACCAGAGTCAAGCTTCGCATGTTGACTGATGGCTCGCTGGAGTCGGAGCTTCTGATCCACTCGTTTTCGATCCGTGATAGCCGGCAGCAAGACAAGAACAAGTTCCGTAACATCATGTCCTTGATCAACAACGACGTCCAGCAGCAGTTCATGGCTAGCCTCTCTATGTCACCTGGACCTGACAAGCATCTCATTGCAATGTTGACGATCGATAGCCCACGTATCATGTTTGCTCTCGACTATTTGTCCGCTTTGCAGTCTTTCAGTAATTCCGCATTCGCCTCGGAAGCGCCTGTCGAAGTCGTGGAAGAGGAGACCGAATCTCCCGAGGGATCAGAATTGGACTCTGATGCTACATCCACGGACAAAGCCATTACCGAAGCCTCCGCGGGAGATGGACAATCTGGAACAACCACTGTTTCCTTCCGGGTCAACTTGGTGGATGCCCAGGTGATCATGGTTGCAAACCCTGCCATTCCTCATTCTGAAGCTATTGTCCTCGGCACGAAGGAGATCCTCATCTCCCACCAGAATGTCTCCACTTTGCAAATCCAGAAAGTAGGCATGTTCCTGTGCCGCATGGACAAGTTCGAGACTAGTCGTCTCCGCATTCTGGATGACTTCACAGTTGAAATGTCGGTTGACAGCCGAGTTCAAGACAAGGGCTCTGCTTTGACCTCCATTGAGGTCCATGTTGAGCCTTTGGTCCTTCGCTTGTCTCTGCGTGATATTTTGATGGCCATTCAGATTGTCAACAAGGCTTCTGAAATGAGAGCTCAAAATGCCCAACAGCTTGAAGGCGGAGAGGTAAAGAAAATTACCTATGGAAAGACAAGGGGTCGATCTGCAAGCAAGGCATCCTCAACAATTGCCAACCGAACCCGTCGCCGCATGAGCCAGACTATGAATGCGCTCGACAGGAACGTTGCCCCTCAGAGCTCGGCCGTTCTTAAGCGTGAGGAGTTGTCAGCGAAGATTGATGGCGTTCGAGTCATTCTCATTGGTGACCTGCATGACCTGCCATTGCTCGACTGGAGCGTCAAGAAATTCAACGTCGATGTGCGCGATTGGTCATCCACGCTGAACGTTGATACCAGCTTCGATACTTTCCTCAACGTCTACAACTTCTCCAAGTCAGCATGGGAGCCTTTGATCGAGCCCTGGCAGCTAGGATTCCACATGGCCAAGGAAGCGAACCCTGATGTCTTCTCGATTGATGCTTATTCCCACAAGACAATGGAGCTCACTCTGACGTCAGCTACGATCGCACTTGCGTCGAAATCATTCCAATTCCTCAATACCGACGAGGATGTCCTTTCCAAACCAAGAGGCGCTGATGCCCCATACAGAATTCGAAACTATACTGGTTTCGATCTGAGAGTGTGGGCTGATGTCAGTGCGGGAGAGGAGGGTCCTGCGGCTAAGCTCAGCGACGGAGAGGAGTACCCATGGCGCTTCGAGGACTCTACGGCAGTCCGTGAGACCCTGACCCCCGAGGGTCACGGCGGTATCGTGGGTGTCAAGTTGGAGGGAAGCGGGTTCGATAGTATCAACCGTATTCCTGTCGTGCGAGAGGGTGAGATTATTTACAGTCTCAAGCCGAAGCGCGATAATGTGCTTCATCGACTCCTCGTGGAGGTCAAGCTTGGCGAGGACAACGTCAAGTACATCACCTTCCGCTCGCCTATGCTCATCGAGAACAACACTCAGATTCCAGTCGAACTCGGCGTGTTCAGCCCGAACGATGGCCATCTCTTGAAAATCGAGAAGATCCTGCCTGGTGATGCTCGGCCTGCGCCTGTTGGTTCGGCGTACCTGCACTCGGTTGTCATCCGACCTGACCAAGGATTTGGCTACGACTGGTCGAACGAGCAGCTCTTCTGGAAAGATCTGATGAAGAGGCCCACACGAACAATCAAGTGTGTCAGTGAAGGTGGCCAACAATCTCCTCCGTTCTATTTCCAGGTCAATTCCACCTTTGACCGCAAGGACTCGCTGACCAACACGTACCCATATATGAGAGTCCGGATCTTTGCTCCAGTGGAGATCCAGAACCTCCTGCCTTTCGACTTCAAGTACCGCATTTACGACAAGAACACAAAGAAGGACTGGACGAACTTCCTGAGAAAGGGAGGCGTGAGCCCGGTCCATGTCGTGGAGCTTTCTCATCTACTCCTGCTCAGCATCGATCTGGAGGATACCGTTTTCCGCCAGAGTGAGTTTGCCATCATCAATGGCAACGCCCAGGATTATCGAAGAGAGCACACCCTGTCCCTCAAGGATGATCGAGGCCTTCAGTTGAAGCTGAAGCTTCATTACTTCAATATACCCGACAGTGGTGGTGCTTTCAAGGTCTCCGTGTACAGTCCATACCTCATTCTGAACAAGACTGGACTGCCCATGGATATCCAGAGCAAAGCCTTCCTCCAATCTGCCCGCACTGCCGCTGGTCAAGGACTTCGAGTTGATCCGAGAGACGCTGGCCGCGCTCTACCCTACATGTACTCCTACAACAACGAAGACACGAAGAATCGCTCGATTCTGAAGGTAGGAGACTCCGCGTGGAGCAAGCCGGAGAGTTTCGAGGCCATTGGTAGTACCTTTGAGGTCGTTTTCCCTGACAGACAGGGGCGATCTGAGTTCCACTCTGGCGTCTCTGTTGCCGAAGGCGAGGGCAAATACAAGATGACTAAGGTGGTCACGATTGCTCCAAGATTCATCTTGAAGAGCAAGCTCAACGAGGATTTGTTGGTCCGCGAGCCAGGCTCATCCAATGTCCTCCAGATCAGCAGTGGAGAACTAGTGCCACTACAGTTCCTTCGCCAAGTGGCAGATAAGCAGTTGTGTCTCTGCTTCCCTGGTGTGAACAATCAATGGTCTTCTCCGTTCAACATTGCAGATGTTGGCACTGTCCATGTCAAGCTGGCCAAGGCGAACCAGCGCCAGAAGCTGATCAAGATTGACATTATCCTTGAGAACGCTACCATCTTCCTGCACTTTAGCTTCGAAAGCCGCAATTGGCCATACTCGATGCGCAACGAGAGTGACATGGAGTTTATCTTCTACCAAGCCAATCCTAATGTGGATGACGATGAAGATGATCGCTCAAGTACTTGGCGACCCATTCGCTATCGTCTACCACCGCGGAGTATCATGCCTTATGCATGGGATCATCCAGCGACCAGGAACAAGTCACTCGTTCTGATTTGTCAAGGGAAAACGAGACATATCAAGATCGCCGAAATTGGCAACTTGATACCCATGCGCATTCCTGCTACGAGGCCTGGCGAGTACCAGAAAATCATCGACATCAACATTGTTGCCGATGGCCCTACTCAAACACTGGTCTTGTCGAACTTCAAGGCCTCGAAGAGTATGTACAAGCAGCAGAAGGGTCAATCCTCCCAGAGCAGCATGACTGCTGGCTTCGAAGTCAAGGAAATGAACTCGGACGTGAACTTCAAGGCCCAGCTTCGCCTTGGTGGTATTGGTATATCTCTGATCAACCAGAACTTCAAGGAGCTACTCTACATGACGTTCCGTGAAATTGAGATCAAATTCCGGGAATCGAGGATCTATCAGACCCTCAACACCTCTATCAAGTGGATCCAGATCGACAATCAGTTGTATGGTGGCATTTTCCCAATGCTGCTGTATCCCAGTGTCGTTCCCAAGACTGGAAAGGAGATGGAGGCGCATCCAATTTTCCATGCAATGGTTACCCGTGTCAAGGATGACTCCTACGGTGTCCTCTACATTAAATATGCAACCTTGCTCTTGCAGCAGATGACACTGGAACTGGATGAAGACTTTATCTTTGCTCTGCTGGATTTCGCCAAGGTGCCTGGTGCATCTTGGTCAGAACCCCAAGAGGGTCAATTGTGCGACGAGGACTTTAATATCCCGGAGCCTCAGCAGGGCGAAGCCGGCCAGGATGTCTACTTTGAGCTTCTTCATTTACAACCCATGCAGCTGGATATCTCCTTCATGCGCACTGAACGAATCAACGTGGAGGACACGATGCAATCGTCCAATCCTCTGATGTTCGTTGTCAACGTCATGACTATGTCAATGGGCAATGTCAATGATGCACCTATCCGGTTGAACGCCCTGATGCTAGAGAATGCTCGTGTCTCTTTCGGAAGACTCGTTAACAATGTCCGAGCCCACTACACCCAAGAGTTCCTTCGACAAGTTCATATCATTCTTGGCTCCGCTGACATCATTGGTAACCCTGTCGGTTTGTTCAACAATATCAGCTCTGGCGTTGCGGATATCTTTTACGAGCCGTACCAGGGTCTGGTCATGACCGACCGTCCTCAAGAATTGGGCTATGGCATTGCCAAGGGAGCTACGAGCTTCGTCAAGAAATCCGTGTTTGGTTTCTCAGACAGCATGGCAAAGTTTACCGGAAGTATGTCCAAGGGACTTGCTGCCGCCACTTTGGACAAAGAATTCCAGGACCAGCGCCGGATGTCGAAGTCGCGTAACCGCCCAAAGCATGCTCTATATGGTATCACAGCCGGTGGTAATGCATTTGCGACGAGTTTGGCTAGCGGAATCGGTGGCTTAGCTCGTCACCCCTTGCAAGGTGCGGAGAAGGACGGCGTGGCAGGGTTCTTCAAGGGCGTTGGAAAGGGTGTGCTGGGATTGGCAACCAAGCCCGCAATTGGCGCCTTTGATCTTGCCTCCAATCTTGCAGAAGGTGTGCGTAATACAACCACCGTCTTTGACGCAGATGGTCTGGAACGCGTCCGATTGACCCGTTTCATCGGCACTGACGGAATTGTCCGCCCATACTCCCAGCGTGAAGCGCTCGGTCAATTCTGGCTGAAGACTACCGACGACGGCAAGTACTTCAACGAAGACTACATTGCGCACCTGGAGCTGCCGGGTAGAGACATGCTTGTCTTGTTGACATATGCGCGAATCATGCTTGTGCGCACCAAGAAGCTTTACACTGAGTGGGATATCCGTCTCACGGACATCCAAACTATCTCCAAAGAACGCACTGGCATGAGCATCACACTCAAGGGCGGTGCAAACGGACCTTTCATCCCTGTTCAGGACGAGAGCTCCAGGAACTGGCTGTATAGACAGATCGCTGTTGGTAAGTGCTGACCCCATTGATATGGAATGTTGAAAGTACTAACATCATTCTCTTTAGCGGTCAATGCCTTCAACGAGAAGTATAATCGAGGATAGACGCCTTGCCAGAACTTTGTAATGATGTTATGAAAATGGAGTCGCGTTTGTGAGGGGATGAACAAAACGATGAGGGCGATTGAATGGATGGATGGCTCTCAGGCCCTGGGTCTTTTCTTTTCTTTCTTTTATTACTTTTTGGAAGCAATGCCTCGTGTGTGGGCTCATTCTGTTTCGAGTACATAGGGCGCTATACGTAACATTTTCCTATGCCAGGTAGGGCTTTCCTATTTTAGCTGCCGCCTCTTTTATGAGGGCATTCAGAGTCAGGCTCTTAAAGTAAATTTCAGTCCGGGAATCAGACTCACTAAGTTAAGCTATCCCTGATTACTTAGATATTTATCAGAGGTATCTATTAACTAAGCACCTAGTTGATGCTTAGTCTCTACCTAAAAGAGCGTTTTGCCCTATAGTTCTTTTTATCTTCTAACCTATCTTTTGATAGGCCTTAGTTTTTACTGCGCCCCTATTTTTGAGGAACTCGACCCTCTAATCTCTTTCCTCTGCCCCGAATAATAATAACTAAACAGACGCACGACAACTTAATAATAGAGGGCTTAGGCATTATACTAGTTATATGTCAACATATGTGTGTGCATATCTCTTCAGTAAGTGAGCGCGTGCATGCGTACACGTGCTAATGCAATCGGATGCATAGTTCTGTATCCCCGATACACCGCTTCCTCTATACGATGTTGATTATCAACTATTGCATCGGATGGAAAGAGCAACGAGTTTCCTAACACTCTCGTATGCCCCTATATTATTTCGGATTCTCATCAGTCTTTTCCTGTGACATTCTGCTATGTACCTAAAGCTATAAATACTGCCTATTTTCCTAGCTAAATGAAACAAGTTTGACACCCTTTTTATTCACGAATAGAGCTGAAGGAAATTTTGATTAAACTATATTATCCCTCCACTGTTCAACCTGTTCGCTGCCGACCTACCTCTATTGCACTTTCGTCTCTCTTCTATAATCGTGGTATTCGATCGACCGTGTGTGCGAACGCTTCGCACACTCCCTCGGATTTATGCCGACCGCGTAAATTCGACAATTCTTACCTATCCTGACCACAGTACGGAGTACTCCGTACAGTGGCGCTACTAAAGTCTGTGACCACCTGGCTGACCGTCCTTTTCTGCCACAGATTATGCCGCACCAAAACCTCCAATAGATATAATAAAATTGTATCAATGACTACATATTTGGTAATCAGGCCCTGTGCGAGTCATATTGGTTTGGCTGATGATCAAAATATTGTATACAACGCGATATGCGACTCCGCTAGGCGCGTTTCGGGGGTTTAACAGGCTATAATAGGAAGGCGGTGCTGCTAGCGGTCAAGACTTTAGTAGCGCCACTGTAGTATTACATATCAACAGCGTAGAATTAGGTGGTAGGATTTGATCCAACATCAAATTGTAGATTGTATTTCGGCTCGACTAGTCTCTTAGGTCAGTCAATCCTATGAATTTCAATTATTTTCTGAAGGGAAATCTCTTTTCTGCGAGGTATGTAGAAGTATTTATTGTATGGTGGTAGATCGCATGGTAGATTGTGTGACAAAAGAATAGCCCAAATGGAAATTCTGCCGGTTCAAAATGGCTGACTAAGAGATCTGGGGAAGTGAACCAAGTTAACATAACTATGGAGTAGTCCGCCGCAGTACATCAAAATCCTTGATTTTTGACACTTTCGTATTGGCCGCTATGGACTACCGTAGCCCACACTCGTCCGCATCCAATCCACTTTTCCCCACAGACCTAAAGCTCACTCCCTCCCACGTCCACAAGTTCTTTTGTGCTTTCATCACCAAGAAGCACATCGTTTACCAGCGGCAGCGCAGCTATGCGAGATGATGTCGAGGCGCTAACCAGGCCGCGCGCCCGGGTCCGAAGTGGCTGTATAACCTGCCGACGAAGAAAGGTCAAGTGTGACGAGCATCGACCATGCTGTTACAACTGCAGCCGGTTGAAGCGCACATGCATATATGAAGAGAGCTCGGTTTCAAGCCGTCACCAGCGCGCTACCTCACAAGAACCGATGAGGAGATCTACACCCACCATGTCTGGGGTTGGTGCTGGTGCTGGTGCTGGAGGTAGCGCTGTTGCTGCTGCGACGACTACCCCTACTGGCGCTTCTTCATCACCATCACAGGCACTATTCATTCTTTCAGAACTTGGATGGACTCCGCCCCCGAACTTAATGGAATTTGGTGCCAATGGAGGGTTTGCCGTCCAGGAACAGCCCAGCCACACGGCTTTGGCTTGCCTGGAAGCTTGGCCAGTCCTCATTTCTCGTGGTCACAGCTGCCGCCATTGAATGACGCCGCTTCGCTAGGCTTGACACCTGCTACGTCCCCTATGCTGAACTCTGCGACCTTCTCATATTTTTTCGAGCAGGTGGAACCACCATTCATCGCCAACATCGATACTCTTAATTGGAAACCGATGAAACAATATATGGTCGATCTGGCTTGCCGTCATCCAGTTGTATGGCAAGCAATCTCTGCTGTCGAGTCGCTGTACAAAGCCAAGGCGAACTACGACGACAACATGAATTCCATGGCAGCCTATTATGCTGCAAAGGGTGGGTATGCTAGTATGCTGGAACGAGGCGGGGATGACCCCGAGACGTTCATGGTCGTCACCTTCTTGCTCTGCTGCTTCGAAATCGTGGCGCAACACGAGACGGTATCCATTACGCTAAAGCCAGAAGGCGCGCTGGTAGCGAATCTGGAAGCCTGGGAGGCTATTGCCCCGTACGCATGGTCTCCAGTTCTACGTCGCCTCCAAGCGTGGTTCCAAATCCTTCACGCCAGGACCCTGCATCTGGGAGGTCGTGGCCTCCTGTCTCCCAAGGTGAGCAGGCTCCTGAAGGGCAACCATCAAGGACAGACACCTGCCCTTAACCCCCTGGAAGATCAAACTCCCGACCCAGATCAGGCAATCGTGCGCGACCTCTCCAGCACACTTTTCGAGTTTTACCTCGAAGTACAAGACATCAGTATCCAGATCACGGGATTGAACCGTCATCACCGCTCGCGAGGGTTTCAAACTGATGAGCGTGAAGTTGAAGAAGTGGCTGAGAAGATCCAAGAATCTCTCGATTACTTATGGCAACGGCGGCCGGCATTGTTGCGTGCAGAAAGACAACAGCTACAAGAGCACCTCTCCCCGACCCTAAGAGGTCCACTCAACCGGCTCGTCGATCTATGTACCACTGCTTACTATACCGAGATCATCTACCTGGGCCGTGCCCACGGTAAAACCCCTTCTGCGTCGCCGGAAGCGCTTCAGGCCATGCACCGCATTCACCACATAGTCGATTCTCGCTTCGAGAGATCCAAATTGGATCCCGGCTTCATATGGCCGTTATTCATGTACGCGGTCGAGCATCCAGACGCGGACCATTGTCATTGGGCAGTCGAAACACTACGCGAGGTAAGAAACCCGATTTGGCACAGCGACTTTGTGGCAAATCTCGCCCAGGGCATAAGTGAGGAGCAGGTTGCGCGGGCGAAAAGGGTTGATACCAGATACTTCTGCCTAGAACGGTTCAGCATGCCGCCTCCATTCATCTAGAGCCTTGCGGCCGGAAGCAACGACCATCGGATATGTTTGTATTGTTGCTCAGATGTGCACCGATCCGCCAAAGTGTAAGAGAAGTGGCATTCTACGCTGCACTTTTCATATATGTACAAAAAATCATCAATTTCGCCGTCTCCGTCTCGGGCGTTGAACATCATGGGCTGCCCGAAACATAGACTCTCCCTTCAAACGCGGCCAACTGCGATTGCTGAAGCTCCTGAGCATTACAAGTGGCCAGGACAAGATTCCACGGGTTTACTCTCGGTAACGACGGTGGAAGTGTCCACTCCCGTGGTTGGTCACTCAGATTTGCAACTGTCAACGATACTTTGCCATCGGCGGCCTCCTTTACGAAGACTAGGAGATCCTCGTGTTGGTCAATTACTTGAAATCGTCCATAAACGAGCAGATCTTTGTGCTGCTTTCGGAACCGGATCGCGTTCTTCCAGAACTCGAAAACACTGCCCTCTCTGCCCACCTGGTTGGCGACATTGATTTCCCTGTAGGTATCCAATACGCGCATCCATGGTGTGGTCTGGGCATCACAGAAGCCTGCATTCGGCGAGTCATCCCACTGCATCGGCACTCGGGCATGGTCGCGGGCCACCTTTTGCAGCGCATCTACTGCGTGGCTTAACGCGACGGGATCACCGCCGGTCTGCCGGTGGATTTTGTTGTAGTGGTTGACAGAGCGAATACACTTATAGTCCTCGACCGGGTAGGAGGGTGGAGCATTTACCATCCCGATCTCCTGGCCCTGGTATAGGTAGAGGGTGCCCGTCATCGTACCCAGCACTAAGGCCAGCATCTTCGCCGCCCTGACACGATAGGCTGGGGCATCCGATGCAAAGCGTGAAACGGATCGGCCTTGGTCGTGGTTCTCGAGAAACACTGTTGTCCAGGCGTCCGTGTCCTGGATCACCCTCTGCCACTTGGTCAGCTCGCGCTTAAAGTCAGCTATGCTGAAGGCCTGAAGAGTAAAGCGATCGCCCGGAGTTTGACCAAGGTACACCGTGTCAAAGTTGAACACCATGTCGAGCTGCTTCTCTCGCGCCGAGATGAACGGCATCACGTCGGCTTCGTCTGGAGTGTTGGGCAGCTCACCGACCGTGAAGACATCGTAATCCGCGAGCACCGAACGCACTTCTGAGATGTATTCGTGGATGCGCGGACCATTGGTGAAGTTCTGGAAGGCCAATTGGGTCTCATCGTTGGGGTCAGTGACGGGCGCGTCGACGAAGTCGATGCACTTGGAATAACGATTCACCGTGTCGACGCGGAAGCCGTCAATACCCTTCTTGAGCCAGAACCGAATTGTGTTATCATAAATAGCCCGCCGACACTCCGGATTCTCCCAGTTGAGATCAGGTTGGCCCGGCGCATAGATGTGGAAGTAATACTGTTGGGTCTGTTCGTCCCAGGTCCAGGTTGAGCCGCCGAAGTTGCTGCGCCAGTTGGTGGGAGGACAGCGCTTGTCCGCCGCGTCGTATCGTGCCGGACGCCACATGTACCAGTCTCGCTTGGGCGAGTCAAGTGATGCGCGCGACTCCTGGAACCACGGATGTAGATCGGAGGTATGGTTGATGACTAGGTCGAAGATGATTTTCATGCCCCGGGCGTGGGTTTGTTCGATGAGGGTGTCGACGTCTTGCATCGATCCGTACGGCTCGTGAATTTGCTGATAATCGGAAATATCGTACCCCATATCGACCTGCGGGCTCTGGTAATGCGGGCTGATCCAGAGGACGTCCACACCCAAGTCTTGGAGGTAATCGAGCTTTGAGATGATGCCGGGGATATCGCCGATACCATCATTGTTGGAATCCTTGAAACTGGACACATAGATCTCGTAGACCACCGCTTCTTTCCACCACTTGGGTTCGTGTTGTCGGACCGGGTGTGGCATGTTCGTATGGATATGAAATGAATCGGGTTGGAAGGAAAGAAAGAAAGTATACGGAGCAAGAATTTGAGAGAATAATTAATCCGTACTTAAAAGGTACGAAAATTATATTATTAAATCATTACCCTTCTGTTCCTATTGAGGGCGAGTCAGCGATCGCCGACCCCGTTTGTACACTTCTTTTTACTGCGTCGCCGATCGGCTCGCCGAGATGGCCGACCGGCGATCGGCTACATAACTTTAATCGGGATCCCCATAACCCCAGATCTTTCTTTTTTTGCCTTCCCCAGACCATGAACGGCGTCAACTAAAACCCCGTGGGCATAAATACGATGCCTGCGCCGCTCAAAATAAGTCCATAATTCGGTCACAACATACCCTACAATTCACAATGGCCTCTGCTCATGTCGAGGATAAATCGGCGACCCCCAGTAACTACCTAGAGGAGGTTCTGGAGGAAGCCAATCATGCCACGCAACGAGAACACGAACTCACCCTTCTGCCATCCCTCCGGCTGTACCCCAAGGCAATTGCATGGTCGATGTTTTTGTCTCTAGCGATCATCATGGAAGGGTACGACACGAAGCTCATGGGCACCTTTCTCGCCGCGCCCGCCTTCCAGAAAAGGTACGGGCATCAGTACAAACCGGGCAAATATCAAATCACAGCCGCCTGGCAGGCTGGTCTCAACAACGGTTCTTCGGTCGGGTCGATCATTGGCCTCCTCCTGAACGGTTACGTGTCCGAACGCTTCGGATTCCGTAAGACGATGCTGGCGTCGCTCGCCCTAATCACCGTCCTGATTTTCATTCCGTTCTTTGCTCCCAGTATCGAGGTGCTGCAGGTCGGCCAGGTTTTAATGGGTATCCCCTGGGGTGTCTTCCAGACACTGACCACCTCATACGCCGCCGAAGTGGCCCCTACCCATCTCCGCGCCTATCTGACCACCTACGTCAACCTGTGCTGGGTAAGGTTCACAGTCCGTGCATAAAAGTTGCTTGAGCTAACCATAGTATGGCCATTAGGTTCTAGGACAACTCCTTGCCTCCGGCGTTCTACGAGCCGTACTCAATCGGACGGACGAGTGGGCCTATCGGATTCCCTTCGCCCTGCAATGGGTGTGGCCCATTCCGTTGATGATCGGAATTGCCTTTGCCCCTGAATCACCTTGGTGGCTTGTCCGCAAGAACAGATTGGATGAAGCCAAGGCGGCACTTCTTCGTTTAACATCGCCAAATCGAATCGAGTTTGATGTGGACGAGGCAGTTGCACTGATGGTGGTTACAACAGAAAACGAGCGGGAAGCCGGGACCGGAGTCCGCTATCTGGATTGCTTCCGCGGGGTCGATCGCCGCCGCACTATCATTGCTTGTTGTGTCTGGTGTGTTCAGATTTTATCTGGAACGGGGCTACGCATCTATTCAACGTACTTCTACCAGCAAGCGGGACTCCCGACAGCCTCTGCCTTCAATATGACGATCGTACAGTATGCTCTCGGTATTGTCGGCGTGTTCATTGCCTGGGCGATGCTCCCACGGTTTGGCCGACGAACTCTTTACCTGTGGGGATTGGTTATTTTGGCTGTGACCTTGCTGGTAATCGGTGGACTAGGCGTCGCCGAGGACTTTTCCAACAGCAGCCAGAAGATTCAACTAGCCTGGGCCGTCGGCTCTTTGCTATTGGTCTACGCGTTCTTTTACGATGTCACCATCGGCCCCGTTTGCTACTCACTAGTAGCTGAGATCCCGTCTGTCCAGCTGCGCACTAAATCGGTTGTGCTGGCGCGTGCGTCATACAATATCCTCAATATCATCAGCAACATCATTACCCCCTATATGCTGAACCCGTCGGCATGGAACTGGGGCGCAAAAGCGGGGTTTTTCTACGGCGGAACATGCCTCTTGTCTGTTATATATACCTATTTCTGCATTCCTGAACCTATCGGCCGGACCTATGGGGAGCTCAACGTCCTGTTTCGGCAAAAGGTCTCAGCCAGAAAGTTCGCTACGACTCAGGTTACCCTTCCCGATGCCAGGGAGTTGCCCACTGAACCGAAGAACGAGTAAGAAGTCGACTATGGCCTGCTGGTGACCTTAGGCCAAGGTGTGGGCTTATTGCATGTAATGTACTTTAAGATGGGACGAACTCTAGCCAAGAACTTTGTTCACATTCCACTATTCGGATTCTTTCCCATAGCTATTCCTTATCATACCTTGGATACCACCAAATAGAAATATTTCAGACATGTTCACCATTTCACCAGAAGCTGCTTGAGTAGCCTACGAAGAAACTAGTAGCTTGACCTGACAAGATATTAAAATTTGAGGATCGATAGCCTGTTATCACACTAATAAGCACCTAGGTAAGCTACAGCCTAGGAAGAATCTGTTACGATACACCTGACATAAGGTTATCCGCAAATGTTGGTGCTATAGATAACTAATTAATTATATAGCAAGTTCCTAGGAGCAATCTCTTCTGAAATATTATAATCCGTGGAGATTAGGATTTAACTAAGTATGCGTTCCGGTACGTGTGCTTTATATAGAAAGAAGATGCCTAGAGTAAGACTTACGGTCTTCTAGTATATTCATGTGATATCTTATAGACTAGCTCTTCTATAGGCCGTAGAAATTAACAAGCAAGGATTCCTACGAGCACGTAGATAATTTAATAGGTTAATTAACTATTAAGCTTCACCGAGGCGTAATAACTACCAAAAATGAAACATTAGGTTGTTAATGCTAACGTATTTAGATAGGATAGTGGGGCTAATCTAAAGAAAAAGTCACGTGGATAGGGCTAGCGTATTGCGTTTTATTGAGATGCCCTATGCTTAGGGTGTGCTTAGTGAGCAAGTCAGAGTGCTCACTGATCGGATCAGGGCGCTCAGATGCGTGCTCAGGTCTACTCAGTGAGCAAAAGCGACGAGGGGCTGAGCACTAAAACGGAAAGGGAAAGCCAAGTCCTGGCATAGGAAGTCCGGGTACATAGGCTTTACTGCACAGCTTGCGCTTGGGTTGTTTTTGAGCTTTTTCGTATCACATACACAGCGAAGACTAATTGATGATTACTGCCTTTTCTCTAGTTGATGAATAGATTGTTCTGAAATCACGAGCCCTGCACTCGTTGGCCATCGTACCAAGATCAATGGTTGAGACTCTTCACAGATTATTGCTTATGGCTGCCACTCGACGAATGATAACCTCTTGTCGAGTCTACTGGGATTTAGGATACCAATATCTGGGCTCTCTAAGAAGCATTCATCATTATTAGTACACCATTAGATTTAAAACATCCGAGTGTCACATCCAATCACACAATTCACGGAACTGCTTTGACCGTTCCGAATCTGCTATCGGTGTTCTTGATGGTATGCAGAAACATAGAAGGGAAGCAATGGCGCCCAAACCGAACTTCCGTTGACTGTCATACAGAAGAAGTGTCAAATTAGTAGTGTATCCAAAAGATAACGAACTGATCAGCAGGGATACATCAACATACCTTCTTCCCGCCTTCATTTTCCGCAGTTCGGTATCCAAGCCATCTCCTGTACAAATCCTCCGCCGTATGTGTCGTGAACATGTAGGAAAGCCGGTACATAATGTGGTCATACAAATGGTCAAAGTTCCAAATACTGTCTGGCCCACCATTGATGTTCTCCGGTAACCCGCGATTGTAGATTCGCGCCAGCTCGTTCGATGTCCACTGGCCATCAGCGTATATCGGGTGCGGGACATGTACAGCTTTCAGTCCATGGTACAATGACCACGAAGCACCTGTCATTTCAGACGCGAGACCAAGTCCTTGTGTTGCCTGCGACTTGTGGATGAGATTGAGCAAACGCCGTGAGTACCGGCCCATTGTGATGACTCTGGCGCGACGTGGAGTGTGAAGGCCGTGTTTGAAATTCCAAACTTTGTCTGGGAAGGTCCAGGTTGTTTCCTTGGGGCTGAATATTGGGAGGAACGTGATGAGGTCTGCTTCTTCTCCGACGCCCCAATCAAAGTCGTCGTCCTCTGGGGAAGGATTTGGTGGTTCTGGGCCTATGGATCTGATTCCTGTGCCCAGGATTGGTCCCCAGATCGTGTTCGCGGACACATCTTGGAGGCTGTTGTTGGTCATCTCTAAGAACTCTGCCCAGGTACCGTGTGCGCCGGGGGTGTAGAAATAAGCATTTCGTTCCCATAAGTATTTCCGCGGCTGTTGTTTGGCGAAGGAGGTGGCTTTATCCAAGAAGTGATAGATATTGCCGGTGTGTCGTGCGTCCATCTCGAATTGCCAATAGTAATCGAAGTTCGGGTATAGCTGGGAAAAGATCTGTAGCGGCTGGTGATGTTGTAGAACGGCGCTTCAAAGAGTGTTAGTGGTACTGGCACGCGCCGGCTTGTCCTTTTTCTAGCAGATGTCTTTGGTCCTAGTGACTTACCTATGATCAGGAATCTTGGGATACCATGCCTCCAGCAACTTATTGTTGAAAAACAGGGCAATATTACGAAACTCAGGCGGAATCAACTTTCGCAGATTATTCATGGTTTTGGCATCCGAGATGATCGGTAGTTCGTCATCCTTCACATGAATTAGGAGGAAGACCTCGTACTCGGCCCCCGAATGCAAGGAAAGCTCCATGATCATTGCTCGAAGATACTCGCGGTGATTCTGTGTCCACAGCATACTATTCCATGCTCGGATGAGGACGGCTGATCGAGCATGATATCGCTTTACCCCGGTGGCAGTGGGTTCCTCGAAAGTCTCTCGAGGTGGCTCTCTAAGCTCAAAAGAGAGAGGACGCTGATGAGTCTGGTTTAGTGCACTGTTCGGCTTGTATCGATCCGCATTTCTCTCGAAGCAGTGGGATTGAAGGTCGCTCCAGTCAACTTCGTTCCAGTGTACCAGTGGTGGCCGAGTGAAACCGGGAACGTCATCTTCGCTGTCATCGTCGTAACCGTACGCTCCAAAGCGAGAGTATCGGTCTGTGCAGACATCTCCATCGAGATCAATTGCTTCGTGTGAGCCAAATCGAGACTCGGGGAACCCAAGTTGCTTTCCTTTGTAAACGAGAACCATGTCTTCCGAGCAAGTGCGATCTAGATCCCGTCCCCTTGGACCTAAGCATGGCTGAAAGCGACCACGATATGTCTTTCTCCACTGTTTGCTGTTGTAGTCAGGGTAAGGGTCGTAGATGACGGGGCCTGGGTGACGGCCATCGAGGGACTGCGAGCTGGTCAAGGTTAAGGTGCCGCCTAGGTAGAAGCTTTCATCTCTGTACGAAAAGATAGTCAGTGGGACTCATAGATAGGCTCGAAATCTGATTCCCGGTAATATAGACCTTTTATCATGCACGATGCCCATCTCATCAGCTTCCGCATTCCGTCCTAGATCCTCAACGGATTTGCCCGCCGTCTCCCGATATTGCCCTGGTCGAAGAACTGCCGGACGAGTGTAATGGCTCCATTGACGTAATAGGAAATTATCACCGGGCCCACAGAGACACGAGAAAGTCCCAAGAATGGTAAGCAGACCAAGGAAACAGGCAAGCAAACGTAGCCATACAGAGGGACGAGACCTAAGTGACAACACCCTAGGCCGAAATCCAACAAGACCCTTGCCTCGCACCGTCAGAATAGGATCCATCGTGAGCAAACGTACAGTATTTCACCACAGGGAATGTGCATATTCTGTATGTTCTGTATCCCAAGGGTTTAGGGCTGGGTGTGTGCTCGATGAGATCTCTGGAGAAGGCGTCGTGCAGGAGACCGTATCAAAGCACTGGCTAGGTATCGGTGATGAGAGACAAAATAGCACACAAAGGCATCAAGAAAGAGCCCTTACCTCAACTTTCACTTGTATCTCCCCAAGCCATGCATACAGTTGTCTGACGAGAAGTGACACGCAAAGCGGCAGTTCTGGACCGACGCCACGACGATGTCATCACTACACGTCCGCGACTCCATCTCCGACGGTGAATCGGGAAGGTCTGATATCACTCTACCATCTTGTGTGGAACAGGGCTTCGGGTACATCTCTTTACAAGGAGACTCTGGTATCTTTACTACTCTTTAGATCTAAACGTCAGTGGACGGGAGGGGAAGCCTCGATTGGCTTGGTGGCTTGTCATACAATCCTACAGAACTTCCCGCCGTGAAACCTTGAGTACTGAGTCTGTTGTGTCCTCTGGCATCGAAGCACAGAAAACTGAATACTTCCTAAGAAGAGAATGTGGGCTAACAAGAAAATCGGTTAATCGCAAAGATTGTATACCTGCTCTATGGGGTCTATGTGATGATGTATTCACGCACGTAAATGGTATGAACTCTTGCAGGGCTGAAACCTTAAGAGGGCCTGGCTCATACAAGCACTCGTCACCTTAACGTTATCGGCGCTACTCGTATCTATCGCATGACAAAACTACTTAGCAAACTTAATCGTTTGGCTAAGGTTCTTTCCATGATATGTTTGTCTTGGCACGTGCCGTGACAGTTTACAGCTTGCATCAACTTACAGAAAGAACATCTCAAGATCTTCTTACAAACGGACTACAAGTCTAGAAAACAAATGGTAAAGACGTAGTAAAGAAGCCGACACTTTCTTTTTAAAAAAAAGGGTATGTACAATGTGCAACACAAAATGGGGACACAAGACATAACAAAGCCCACGAGAGCGAAGCTGGAATGCTCTGGGCTCAAAGCGGAATTCGACTCAAGTGACAGTCATAGAGCTTCCAAGATTCTCCTCAATTAGGTCCCAATCCATACCCAAAACAAGAAAAATGCTATGCAATGTACCTCGGGAATCTGCCAAACTAGGGTTCCTAGAAGTTTAGGCAAAATAGCTCTTCCATAGCACACCGGATAGGTCTTCCAATTGATCCGGGGTGAAGGCCTAGAGTGCAGTAATCAGTATTGGATAGAGTAGGTATTTAAGAGTCGGATCACGAACCTTTGCATCGATGTGCCAGGTATCCTGTCTGGTCTTCTTGAACTCGCTGATGATCGACTTCACACTGGAGCCCACAACACCTGGGTCATTAGCGGCGCGGGTACTCAGCGTAGTCAAGGCCTCTGGCATCCAGCGAGGTGGGGGACTGTTGTACGGGAATGCCTGGATCAGAGCACCTAATCCCAGAACGGCGCCGTGGCGAACGATGATCAGTCGGTTGTGCTCGGGAGTAGGAGTGCCTGCGCCGGAGGAAACCGCGGAGGAGATTCCAGAGCGGATGTTTCTGGGCTTCTTTGGCAGCGGGTTATCTGCCAGAAGTCTTGTGAAGCGCTCCTGGAATCGGTGAACCATCTTGTCGCGCAGGAGGATGGGTGAGCAACGGACCATGCCGGACAGGGTGGCAGATGCACCGGCGCGGACTTCGTGCTGTGGGTCTTCCAGCATGGAGGCAATACACTCGAAGAGCTTGTCACGGTCCGCGGGATCCAGTAAGAAGAGTCGACGGAAATAGATGATCTGGATGTTGATCATCACACGCAGACGCTGATGCCATGAGGGGGAGGTCTGTCCAATTCGGATGAGAGTCTGGACAAAGTCGGAGTTCTTCTCCGCGGGGTAAGGGATGTTAGGAAGATGGCGGAAAACATGGTAGGCCAGAGACTGTAGCTCGGGGTCTTCCTTGACGTCCATCATGTGCAGGAGTTGAGCAGTGAAGACATCAGGGAAGAAGGGAACGAGCTGCGTACACTCGTGAGAAGAGAGGGTGGAGTCCAGCCAGAGCAGGACAGTCTTACTACCAGAAGTGTAGGACGAAGGGGTCTGTTGGCCAGGGGTTCTGGCTTGCCGCCATTGCTCAATTTGATCAAATACTCCACGAAGAATCTTGGAGAAATCATCAGAGGGCTGGTAGGGGTACGTGCCGACCGAAGAAGCAGCTTTCTGATCCTCCAACAAATGTTTGAGGTCAGGGTACGACTCATGATATCTTGTGCGGTAAATGGTTGCAAGGGTCTGGCCCATTGCTTCACGCACTCCCTTGTAAGGGTGATCCAAGTGGCCGAGGAAGTTCTCCACAATGGGCTTTTCGAGCTGGAAGTGCCATCCAGCGTCAATGATGCACTGGTGAAGCAGATTAATTTTCGAGCTTTCCTTGAAGGCTGCATTGGTAGACATGTCTAGGCGGAAGCTGGCAAGCCAGTCAACCAAGGGCCAGGCGCGACGAGGATCACGGCATTGCAAGATCATGTGGAGGAATGTAGTCCAATAACCAGAGTTCTCGGGCGTAAGACCGTCCGTAAAAATCTTACGCACAATAGGGAAGGAATATTCCCAAACGAGAGCGCGGTTCTCCACACTCGTATCGGTCACAGAGCTGATCAAGGCCCCTAGAATCTCGGCCGTGGCACGATGCTGATGCTTGTCACTGCCATCCTCGAATACAGCTTGAATCTCCTCCTGGATATCCTGGAACGAGGCAGCGGTAAGCCCATCCCGAAGCATGAGCTCAAAGGCGTAAAGCAGCATCATAGCACAAGACATGCGGAACTTATCGGCAGACGGGTCTCTTGGCTCTTGCTTCAAATACATGAAGAACTTGGAGAACCACTCGCGAGTGAACAACTTGCCCATCTGGGTCCGTACGTTCCACTCGACGTCGTCATATTCAATATCGCGGCCTATGTTTGACTTGTACGCAGGCATCGTCTTGCCCCACACCAGCCAACCAGGGAAGTCGTGATCAACGTAGTACTCAGCATCAGGCTTGGCAAAGCTAGCCAAGTACTCCTGAGTCCAATCCTTCTCATCAGGTCGGGTGGCCACCTTGATCTTCGAGGGGAATCGCTGATGACCGAGAATATAATTCTTGTACTCGTGGGTGCAGATAGCCCGGACATCGATCATAGTGAAGAGCGCAATGAGTGCCTGGGAGTACATGCCTCTCAGACCAGGGTGATCATCGATGGAGCCGAGGGTGACCAGCTCGATCAAGTTGTCACTTGCAATGTAGTCGAAACGAAGACCCATCGTGATGACGATGGTAGCAGCGCGACTGGCGATCTTCCAGTGAGAGACTCGGGCTAGGTTCACCAGCTCTTCGGCCAGATCAGCCTTTTTCTTCTCAATCAAAGCACGCTTGTTATTGATGACCTTGCGCTTTTGCTCAATCTCCCCATTGACATCATCGCTAGGCGCAATCGCCTCAATGATCTTCTGATCCAAAATGGCCATGCGTTCCATGGCGCGGCCATAGTCCATGATTTGGAAAACAGCACTAGAACAGATCTTCTGCACAGAGGGCTTGTCGACAGCGCTAGCGTCGATGAAAGTCCGGATCAACGCTGGCGTGTATTTCCAGTTTCGCCCGACCGTCTTCGCGACGCTGCTCAAAAGCAAAGAGAACAGGGCTCCCTTGATACGGGCATGATCGTTCTCCTTGACACCCTTTTGCAGAGCCTTGAGCAGAGGGGGAATGATGAGAGTTCGTGCGCCCCAAACAGATTTGAGGGCCGATTCACCCGCATTCTGAGCATTCCTACGAGTTTCGGTGTAAAGGGAGACACAAGACTCGGCAAGATCAAATAGTAGGATCTCGTCAAGTTTGGATCGAGGTCGCGGAGCAGCATTGTGCCGCAAGCGTTGCAGATGATAGACGTTTGCCCTGCGCACGAGCAGCGCCCTGGGATAGTCCTTACGAATACCACTCATCTTGTATGGGTGGATATCAGCAGCCAGCAGGCGGGTGACCCGATCTAGGACATGTGCGGATCGCTCGATGCCAACATCAACGAACCAAGAGCGGTAGGCCGAGTACAGTGCACCAAAGCAAGGCACGTCGTCCTCCTGCTTATCACTCAAAAACCTGTGCACGTCATGCAGGACGAATCCTGCACGCTCGCGGATTTCGTGAATGGTCGTGTACAAGACGTCCTCTTCCTCAAGAGGATATCCTGTGGGGTAGGAGAAGTTCTCTTTGATCGCTGATTCATCGGAGCTGTCGAGCGCTGCCTCGGGGTCCTCATCCCCGACACCATTCGATACAGTGGAGTCATCTTCCATTTCAACCTCGTTTGTATCGGAGGCTTCGGATGACTTCGAGGCAGCCTTGGGATTGAACAGAACCGAGATACCTGACAAGAGCAGACGAAGCAGAACGAGGTTCCTGGTCACTTCATCGGACCAATCCTTCCCACTTCCATCCCGCTTAATGCTGGATGTCTCATTTGTCAATCCCGAGAGATGCTTCAGTGCGGACTCGGCCTGATTCTTGAAGACCTCGACAGCGAACTCCAGTTCCTCGCGCTTGGGCACATGCCAGTTGATGTTCAGGTTCTGGACATCGGGCTTGTAACTCCAATGAGTGGGCTGAATGCCTTCCTTGGTATCTTCCTTCTCATAGAGAGAGTAGTCACTAGTGTAAGTCCCCGTCAGGTTGAGCAGGAGGTGGTGGATGAAGTTTGAGATGTGCACAGTCGGAATACCTCGGCACTTCTGCTGCATGTAGACCGCGATGTCAAACAGCTCTTGCCGATGAGCAAGGACGGCGTCGCCAACGTGGACCACGCACATACTCAGCATGCTGACATTCCAGACCAGGCCACGGTCACGAGGAAGGACATCTGTGCCTGTAGTTCTGGTAGAGCCAGCACCGTTCTCCTCAATTTCAGTGCGAATGGCTTGAATCAAGACCGGGATGAAGCGCTTCAGAGCCTTCTCAGGATTGACCTTGCACAAGGCGTTGCAAATGAAAGCCATTGCATCTCGCGCTTGGTGGATGACGTGGTTGGAGACGAAATCCACAATCTTGGAGAGTGCAATATCGTAATACTCGGGAGAGAGTGAAGCCAGCAAAGGCATGAATGTGGCGGGGAGTGTGTTCACAATGTTCTCCTCGGGGGACCCATTGCGCACTCTAGTGACATCTGGCAAGTTTTCGAGGAGAGTGAAAACACGACCCAGGAACGAGATCGTGAAGTCGCCAAAGCCGCAAGTTGATGACCGCAGAATCAGCTCCTCTGTTTCATCATCTAGTTCAGTGTCATAATTCAATTGCAAATCCGTTCCTTGCTCCTCCATACGTTCCATTTCTCCAGTAATCCATTGAAGTGCAAGCATGTTGCAATTGACATCTTCTCTTCCTTGAGTCATATCAACCATGGGGATATTGTAGCATGCCGACTGAATGAACGATAGAGCATGAAGAGACTTATCAAGATCGTTGGCATCAATACCAGGCAGAGCAAGACCAAGGAGAGTGGTCATATGGCAGCGATATCCTCTTGTGCGAGTAATGACCCGGGAAAGTACTTGCATGGCGCGAAGAGAAGAGGTCGTCCGATGCACTTCGACCAAGCCTTGGAGAGAAGGGTAAATTCTCTGCAGTGCGCCGGGGAGAATGAGATGCGGCTCGAGGTAGGCCAGACCTTGCAGGGTAGACAAGGAGAAAGTCATCGCAGTGCTGCTCTTGGCGTAGATACCCATGAAGATTACATCCCTCAGGCACAACACGAAGCGACGCTTCAAAGGCTCGGTGAGTCGTCGCTCGACTGGAATCTCCATCTCTCCACTTTGCTCGCGGTTCCAACGCATCACGAAGAAATCAGTCAAATAGTAAACTAACTGCGAAAGAGTCTTTGTCCAGCTACCAGAGTTTGAAGGGTGGAAGAAGGTCTCCACGGCCTGAATCAGACCCTCCAGCTGGCTAAGAATGGAGTCCTCGGATTCTAGACAGGCCGGAGAGAGCGACAGCACTATCCAGCGGGCAATATGATGAGCCACGGGGTGCTTGCGCGTATCGCGATCAAGCATGATGCCCAGACCGGAGGAAATATCTACCAAGGCACTGTAGGGCGATGTAGATTGTCCTACTGGAATCTCCAGCAACCGCAGAATCGCAGTGAAAATAAGAGCTGATTGATCCTTTGTGAAAATACCATGCTCGGAGAATGGAATATGTCCCGCGGGGAGCGAGTCCCGGGCCAGTCTAGACAGGTAGTCCAGGTATGTTGTGTCGAATGTCTTGGAGCGACCTACTAGCGACCATAGATGGAATTGTGTCGGCAGATGGGTTTGTGGTAGGAGGTCTTCCCTTTCAGCAGGCGGGGGTGATGTCGGGAGCAGCAGGTTGATCAATCCTGCTACCACGAAAGCGCCTTCGGAGAATGAGGTAGTATAGTGAGGGAGGAACTCTTCGAGCATCGCGGGTAGTTCGCAGGGGTCAAAGAAAAGCTGAGAAAAGGCGCACATTTTCGTGAGCGTCTTCACATTGCGCTTCAGATTCGTGGAGTGAACCAGGCCAGACTCGGTTGGTAGTACAAAGGCCTTCAGCTCCTTGTAGAGAGGTTTCCAGTCGAGGACGAGATCTTTCACTGGTCGGAGGTAGTGCTTGCGTCTGTACCCAAAAGTTAGCATTTCCCCTCCACGCCGCCGATCAAGACCACGGATTTGAGCTCACTTGGTGAGTAGCATGAACATGCTAGCAAAGCGCTCTGAAACACCAGGATCAATACCCGGAGCTAGCGAAAGCTCGAAATAAAGCTTCACTAGATTGATCCGTTCCTTTCGGGTGGGATCGAACTTCAGTGACAGCCATCCTCGCAGCTCGCGTGTCCAGTGTACAGCTCCAGGACTGAAATCGCCCGCCTCCACGGAAATGTACAGCTGATTCAAAATTTCGCGAAGAGTCCGATCCCGCTCGGTCTCATCTTCAAGCTGGTATGGTAGGTATTTGAAGTATGGATAGGTTCGTGGACGAACCCGAGCTTTCGGCTCGCCGTCGCCATTCATGACTACTGGTTCACCACCTGGCGAGGTGGCGCGTGAGATCTCTTGTGCATGGGAGAAATTGTCGGATGTGAGAATCGCCTTGGGGGCCGAGGTGTCCATACTCGCATGCGAGACGAGCGAGAGGGGAAGGTTGGGGGCGATACACGGTGGAGATGTGAGGAAGGAGGAGTTGCCCGTGGATGAGACGTCAGATCGGGGCTCTAGGTAAAGTAGTCGATACGTCAGCAATCAATAAGTTTCACAAACTTCAAAAATTCGAATCGCAGTTATGGACTCAACCCGAGAGAAAGCTATACCTAGACCGTAACGTATATAATTCCACTCCTGAGAAGACGGATCTTGAGACCGGAGGATGGGTTACAGCACGGCCGGATTCGCATGAGGTTCTTGGCTGTCGGGGCGGGCGGAGGAGCTTCGGGGTGGGCTGGACTGAAGCAAAATGGGGGCCAGCGGTTAGTAATCGATGCCTCGTTTCGCCTCAAATTATAATCAGCCTCAAAAGATGGATTGAAGGAATCAAGCCAAGAGCTCAAAGAACAGAGATGGTCAATGTCTCACGTTCAAAGTTCAGAGCTCGGATCTTTGGATTCGACGAAGTTTGATGACATAATGACACCGTAACAGGTCCGGTCCGTGAAGGTAACTACCGCTTTTGCGCGAGACCTGGAAAGTCCGCCGAAGAAATATAGATTCAAACTAACCTTGACCTATTTAGTTACCGATATGTTCCCTCTCAAAATGGTAAATAGTTGTATCTAGCAGTCTTTGATGATCATTCTATGCCCTTTCATTTATAATGGTGACCCTTGTAAGCCACCTGGACCGCAAGAACGCCTTACAAAGCACAAGTTAGGCAGACAGCCTCTTACGCGGCTGTGCGCGCGCGTATAACGGAGCAAGCAATCAACAACGAACCACTGTATTTTAGCTTTCATTTCAATTGGGTGAGACTTTCAACACTTTTTTCACATGTACCCTCACGCCGGAGGCAAAAAGGAACCGAAAAGAACCGCCTGGATTAATGCATAGGCCACCATGGCTTGCGCAGCAATCACTAGTCCTCGGTGGCTCTTTTGAGGATCTTGGAAGCTGCCCATAGCTGTAGATACGAGCCACCAATACCAAACTGGGTAGCCCGAAGAGATCCGGTTGATGATTTGGACATGATAGCTTGTCAAGGCCATCACTGCTAGGAGGCCCTGAGGCACCGCCAGGCGGAAGAGCATGGATCCGGGGCTCGCCTGCGAGGAGGATATACCACCGGACCCTGAGCGCAGAGTCGATGGGGCTTTGAGAGCCCAAAGTGCTGATTTGCAAAGGATTGCCAGCATGGGTGCGGCCAGCAAGAAAAGCGGAATATTCGAGACGGTCCAATACTGAAGGAAGCCCACATTCCTGCCAGTATGTTAGAGAAAGTCACAAACAAGAGAAGTGAAAGGGAAAGATCATTTACCAATAGAAGCTCTGGACCCAGTTATAGATACTAGGCACAGTCCAGCTGCACCAAGGACGCAAATCTCCTCCGCCCATGCAGTATTCACTATAGGCCAGGATCTGCGGCACAACCATACTTAATCCAACGATACAGCCACCAACGACGATAACGACCAGGCGACGGAATCTGTGAGCGCTGAGACCTTGTGTCAAGGTCGCCCACACCAGGATGGCAGCATCGTAGGCGAACAAGAACCCGCTCAGAATGCCGTTACTTCGGACTACCGTTGCAATAGCAAAGAGCACCGCAGATATCAGAACTTGCAGGTCTCGAAGCAATACAGCGCCATTATGCTCTGCAATGAGAGAAGACGTGTACAGGAAGTATCCAGAGATATTTAGAAGGGAGAAGATCGGTTCTCCGTACGGCGCCGACAGGAAGGCACCGGCGGGTGAGATGATGTGCAGAGCAGCCGACAAGAAACAAATGAGCTTCTGGGTGGATGTCTCGCTTCCGAAGATGTTGGCGGACAAGCTGTACAGCGCCAACACGGAGTAATAATGGCAGAAATGGGACAGGATCACGCCTACCAAGGCGATGTTAACTGGTCCCTCTATGCCTCCAGACCAGCGAATACCTATACGGAGTGAGAATTGAGCCAATAGATCAATACTTCAGTTGAGAAAAATCAATTAGAGCGTCGTACCGGAGGCAAATAAGCTCAGAATTCGGGGATAACTAAAAGCCCATTCTTGCTCGAAAACATACCCCTTCTCGGCGATATGTAAGAAGTAGATCGAGTCCCATCGGACAAACTTCATAGACTGAGGGAGAGACTCTGTGTGCCCACTCACCAGGCTTGCCCCCTCGCGCGAAATCAAGGTCGTGGATGTGTCATATCCAGGCCCCGGACAGACTGTGATTACTATGAAAAGCAGTGCTTTCCAAAGCAAAAAAGCGAGGGTCAAGCTGCCGACCGGATTGTCCAGTCGGAGCAGCTTCGCCGAGATGGGCTTGGGAGCCGTTGTGGCCATATCTCTGGCACGTCTCGGAGTGAACCGTGACGTCGGGAATAATCCAGTGGACACGGCCTGGGCTGGCGGGTCGTGTGCTGGTGAAGTGGAACAATCGGGATCACCAGATCAGCCGAGGTACGGGAACTGATAATGGTCGATAATACAGTCGGTACTATGGACTGCTCAATAATGTTGACGGTTTAGGGTGAACGTTGTGGACGGGATCCCGTCGGAGTGCACAACGACAGAAGAGCGGGCATAATTATCTACATAATTAGTCAGCGGAGGCGGCGTGATGGAAAACGAGCGACTAAATTACTGATCGCCGATGCGCGATTTAGAAATTACTCTGAATAGATTAATCGATAAAAGTATAATTGATGTGATTGGTAATTAATTCAGCAGCTCCCGAGGAATATCGATGGGCAAACCCAGAGTCCAGGTTTAGTTATCTGAATCATTATGGGAAATCATTAACGATCGACCCATCAATCAGGGCATGGCGCGCATCTAGATACACAAGGCGATTTGGTCAAATCTCGAAACGTTGAGTTGAAAGAACAAATCAACAGTTGGACTTGACGAAATATATACGGTAAGTTCAAACCCAATGAGACCTTAAAGGCTAGACTTGACCTCTATCTCGTGGTTCATGGTGCCTTGGGAAGATCGGTCCCCGGTATATGTTCTATTAAAAGAGTACGTGGTCCAGTGTCAAGTAATTCCTAAATATACAGTGGCAAAGTGTGGTGACGGAGACATATGACAAGCCCAGCCTTGGCGATTTCAAAACCACAGTCAGTTATTATTAAGTGGTCGTCCACCTGATGCGATAATTTTCAGGGTTTTCTGGAATGATGGAACCCACTCGGGTCTACGGGGGCAAACCTTGGCTCCATGATTCCCACTCAGCCCTATTGAGCTCTTGCTCCCGTGCTTCGCTCACTCTAGACTCTAGATCTTGGGATATCATGACAACTCTCCGCTAGTCCGCCGGGAGCTCAAGTGTTCATATTCGTGCCAAGTGTTCCCGTCAGCTGAGGGCAGACAGCTCATGCAGAAGTACCACCCACAGCTTCCTTAGGCTCGTATACATACTTCGTATTGGGAGACCCTGCTGACTATTTAGACGCCAGGGCGCTGTAATGGATCATTGGATGAGCGAAATCAAAACTCGACCAGAATAGAGTTCTTGTCAATGACTGTGGGGCACAAGAGCGGCGCATCAGTCCGTCCGATTCCCGCGGTAGACGGCGTTCGGTCTATTTGGCATTTGCACCGCGCCGAGCCTAAGAGCAACAAGAGTAAGCTTCCTTCCGTCCTTCTGCGCGCTTTTTTCACCATGGTAACGAGGTTTGGCATACGGCGAGGCCCCGAGGTGTATCAATAATGATTATTTGATCGTGTCCACTCCTGGTCGCCGGTGGACAGAATTGCCTAGGTATCCAAGTAGATGAAGGACAGAGAAAAAGAAAAGTCTGCTGGTCATGTTAACTACCCCCCACCTTTTTGTTCGGTGTCAAGCGGGCCCAGGACCCCCTCAATCTACCAGTCCGAGCAGCCCATTTCGTAATAATTAGAGAGAGATCATGATGTACACTGTAGGCAAGGTACATCTGGCAAGTGTAGAGCAGCTCAGGTACAGACAGAACCTGGTAACCCTCGTTTCGTGGCTGAAAGGCTGAAGAAGTTGGCACCCGTAAGAAGTGGCCTTTCACGCCACGACCAATTAGTGTCGATATAGGGTCGATGGTCAGCTTGAAAGGGGGAACTGGGAAGATGAGCGATCACCAATCGCAACTGTAGCTATGCTCGCCAAGCCGCACCAGAGAGCAATTACGGGCAATCTCTTTTTCACCATGACGTCCCAATGGGCCAATTTCTGTTCCTCGGCCTCGGAGCCTCAGAGGATCCATTTATGATTGGAGTCCTCGCGTGGTCTCTGTCCGATCGTCCGCTCGGATGCGCCGGAGGTCGCAATGGCCGATCCCGTCCGGATCAGAGGTGGTCTGCGCTGAGTGGAGACTGACACAGTTCACAACCGCCGACTGGATTGAAAAAGTGGAGAGTTTTTTCTGTTTCTGGGCGTCTTGGAGGTTTGAAGATTGAAGATTATGATCTGAAGTACGGAGTACAGTCACACATCTGGTATATAGCATAAGGCTGACCGCCCATTTCTAATGTGTATCTCTTTTTCGGAGCTGAAATCCTGATGGTCCCAGAGACAAAAATCGATCGAAGAAATCAGCTTATTCCACACATCTACAATCTACACCTCCCCCTTCCCACACTCCTTCCACTCCTTTCAACCCCTTGCAGTTTTCCCTTTCCCCGGGAAATCTGACCCTAACGCCCATCGACTGTATACATCAGCGCATAGTCCCTGTTGTCGGTCTGTCATTCCTTCATTCTCTCCATCTTCAACTGATCCTTGATCTCGATCTCGATCGCTTTTGCTCATCTCCGCCCTATCCCCCCACCCCACTACAGCCAAAGCTGTCTTCGCGGCTGGCTTCCCCGCAACGAACGCGTGGACAGTCTTGGATGCGTACGTGGGACTCCCCGGGCATAATATAAACCCCTCTCAGTCGTCACTGGTCGCGGGTTTGTTGATAGGAGACCAATGTGGCTCCGCTAGAGTCCAAGAATGCTGCTGAATCTTGGCCTCGCAGCGGATGCCGCAGCAGCTCATTCAAACGAACCTTCTGCCCAGCCAGAGTCTCCCCCAACATCAGCCTTGTCTTACGCGCCGTCATTCGCTTTCCCAACACTACCATTTCTGGAGTCGCTCCGTAACTGCTCATTGCAGTCCGGTCCTGCGGTGCCCGCTGGGTCGATCTCCGCCGTGGCTATGAGCCCAATCATGTCGACGCCCACGGAGGGCGAGTCTTCTACCACAGCTTCGTCTACCCCGTCTGCGCTCGCAAGACCTCGAGCCAATCGGTCATTCACGAACAAAAAGTCATCGCGGCCTAAGACCTCGTACCAGTTCGCACACCCCGCGTCGCATGCCCGGCACAAGCGGCTACGGCTCCGGCCGAAGCTCCTGCTACAGGTACAGCAAGTGTCGCAGACCCCCAGACCCCTGCCCGTTATAGACGTCCTTCCTTCGACCATGTATCTGCCGCGACTAGCTCGGAAGTTTCCGGCGATGTTTCGGCGAAAGAATGGTCTATGTCCCTACGATGTCATCATAGTGATGAGCGATTTGTATGAGCGCACAAGAGCAGCAATCCCTGAGAAGCACGCAAACTCCGAAGAGGACGACGAAGATCAGCGCGAAGTGGTAGCTACCGTCTGCCAGATGCTCCAAGAGGAGGCGCGGTCAAAAGGGAAGGCTGAGATTTGTTTGAACTTTGGGCCGGTATGGGAGGCGACCCCCTTCCAAGTGGATCGTATGAGTTTGTTGCCCATACGGATGACGGGATTCGGGTCATGCGATGGGCACTACGAGGAGGGAAGAATCGTCGAGGACCTACGCCCCCAGGAGCGCAAACAGGAGATGAGACGAAGCGGTTCACATTCAGCGTCATCGATCCCAATACTCGTCGTCACCCAGTAATCGCATCCATGACCAAGAACCAATTGGAGGTAAACAATGAGTATTCCGCCGCGGTTGCCCGATCAAACACTGGACCCACGACCCCGAGCTCAGGTATGTCCGTAGTCAGCGACATGTCAGATAACGAGATGCCCGTGGATACGAACGACGTGGTCATCCTCGACGACGAGCTCCGCACCTTGATCATCGTTACAGGGATCTGGGTGGCATTCCGGGAGGGTTGGTCGCACAACTTCAACTACGCAGACCCTGTTGCTGCACCCAACGGCAAGGGTCTCGTATCTCCAACCTCGTCGGCAAAGTATAGCTCGTCCACCACCACCAAGATTGAGAACGAGAGAGCGTTTGATCGCGACGAGCTCGGCCCGGTGAAGGATTTGCCAAATGGCAAGCGATGCATGTCAATCTCTAGCATGAAGCGCGCGAGTACGACGGGACTTGCTGAAGGAAGCAAAGCAGCTGGAAGTTTGTCCAAACGGTCCAACTCAACTGGAGCCGCATTTATGGATCGCGCCAAACGACGGAGCGCCTCAGCGGCCAGCAATCGACTCAACCGCCACAGCATGTTCACCGGCACTGGCGAGAATAGACGTGATATTGTGGTCTCTCGCCCTCCATCCTTGCGACAGAACTCTATCGAATCCGAGAGTTCACCCCAACGCCCTGATCGAGTCAATACCAAACCTAAAGCCAACCCAGGTTCCGATATTCCCAAGCTGACCCTCCAATCCGATGCTGGCCCAGAGTTCACCCTGGATGGTGCATCTGACGTGCCCTCCAAGGACTCCGAAGCTAGCAAGAGCAAACGTCGACACCGACTCAGCGCTCTCTTCACGATCTTTCACCGAAGACATTGACCCTCTACGCATGTATACGCCTTTGCATCCTCCAGCGACAGTCTCTCTGTTCATACCAGCATTTTCCCCTTGTTTTGACTTGCATTTGGTTTGGGCGTTTCTTCTTCTTCATCGGCATTGCATCTCGTCTGGTACGGAGCCTTGTCTTTTTTCCACTGTCAAAACTAGAGTTTTGATATTACTGACACATCACATCTCTTTTTCTTATCATATGAATAATTTCACTGGACTATAGTCCGGATTGCACTTTGATCTGAGTATCACCGTATAGAATTGACATACGGTCTTATCTCATGGGCATTGTAGTCCGCCGTTCTGTGGAATTAGGTACACAGCAAGAACTGTGTCCATGTACTTCATGGCTATCTGTGCCAGTACGCTATTAAATCCTGAACAAACACGTCCCGATTACCGGCTTTATACAAATCATATCCACGGCTTCTAGCCGAGGAACCATTTGTAACATTACATTAGGGAGTTATGCACCTTAAGATGAAATTTTTATAGATCATGTCGATCCTAAAATGATAGGATCCACCCACCCACCCATTCTAGTATCAATGATCAACACACTCTTTTTCCAAGTGCCATCAAACTAGCCTATTCCACCCCTCGAAGCTGAGCAGACTTATTAGCCGGAGCAGCAGTATACAACTGCTGCCCATTCTTCTTAAAACCCGTAATAACCTCCCGCCCCTCATCACTAATAGCCCACTGTGCAAACCTATCCGCCATCTCCTCATTCATCGCACCCACTCCAATCAAAATATGAGCCGGATTAAGCAAAGGATCCTCCGCATCATCACTAGCAGCCTTATAAATAACAGTTTTACTCTGCAATTCCGTCGGTATAGACAAATACGTCCCACGATCAGTGATAGTATACTCATCTAGCAAAATCGCAGCCGTCAATGCCTGAATCGGATACGCGATGTACTGGTGGTACCAGGTCGAGTACGCAGTAGCCCAGGGGACTTGACCAATCTCTATCCAAAGCTGAGACTCCTTGATATTCGTGGCTGATTTATCGTAGCGAGATAGGAAGCGCACGGGGGGATCGGTGTTTCCTGTTTCAGCAGTTGTGTAGAGATTTGAGAATTGGGTTTGAATGTCTTGTGTTTCGGAGAGGTTTGCTGGGTTTGACGGGGGACCGACGAGGAGGAAGTGGTCGCGAAAGGTGTACCAGGCAGGTGACTTGGCGATGCCGTTTTTGATGGCGATTTGTTCGGCGGCGGGGGCGTAGGTTATGCCGATGTCGACGGTGTCGTCTTTGAGGTAGTTTATTGACTGTGTGGTGTCGGATTTGTACCAGGCTATTTCGAAGGGGTCTGAGCCGTTTTTGACACTGCCTTTAATGAAGGCGTTGGCGAGGGCTGTTGATGGGAGAGTGTTAGAAGGGGGTATGAGTTTTGTTGGAGGGCCACTAGGATGGATGGTATTACCTTCAATCAGGCCGCTCTGGCCGGCACCGCCATTGCCAATTCGGAGGGCGATGTTGTTGGTCGTGTTGAAACCTCCGTTGTAGACAGCTGCAGGCTTGACGGCATGGACTGATGCGGAAAACATCAAACCATGGATCATGGTAGAGGGACGCATGATGAGCCGCATGAATGATTTGAGATATGAATCGCGCTCGAAGGGCAACTGTTTATAAACAGCGATGTACGGCATGGTAGGCTTTAAATTGCGACTCTGCACGAGAATGCCGTGTTTCCTTCCTTTCGGCGGGGTCTTCATCGATAAATACTGGATCAAGGCTAAGTAGCTGAATTTGATTCGTAAAGGTAGCCTATAAACATGACGCGAGAGACTCAGCTTCGCGGTTCTCTTCAGAAAGAGGTAAAGAACGAGAAACGGTTCTTTTGAACAACTAGCATAGGTCAGCTGAGCACCGATCCAGCCTGGGAGGTGCCGAGTAGAGTTTGTTGGCACTTCAGCTTAGGGTCCACTGTACCTGGGATTAGACCCATCAGGCCCATGAGCGTTGGGAGATCTCGCATTTTCCTGGAAGACCTGCGATACACACCTTTGATTGGTTAAAATTAGAGTCAAGGTTTGAAGTCCTCGTTCCTCGCGGGAGAAGGACGAACTGATCAACCTTACCTTTATGGTCGGGAAGTATACTCGTCTGGGGTTACCGAGAAGCTGAAAGTTAATATAAACATCGACTGGAAGGCAATACATTAGAAGAGAAGATCTTATCAAATTTGAGCTTATTCAAACAGATTATAGCCAGGGATGTGTTCCCCTGACATATTCAAAGTGACTGGGGATCTCAAATCGAGTGGAGACAGTACAAGGGTTTGCTGTATGTGGCTTCTCTAACTCGACCTTATTTGCCGAAGCTGCATGCATGTACCCATCCCCCTCACTCCTGTTTGTTCTTTTTTAAAGAGGCCCATTCGCCGGCCCAATGCATGATCTGACCGTTTGACGCGAGTTTGCCTTTGGTGTTCGCTGTTGCTGCACCTTCGTCACGTTCCCCTCACGGTAAATACACCAAAGCGAAATACGCAGTAAACCACCCATGTAATATCTTGTACGGCAAGCTGTATCTCCAATAGGCTAAAAAGATAATCGGGTATAAGCCCCTGCGAGATATTTTGGCGCCCAAAATGGGGAGAGAAAACGCCAAGTTGAGATGTGGTTGTCTGATCGGGCTGGGAAAGCCGATGTGAGGGTTGCTCAACTATGAGTCTGGACAGGTATTTCAAACCCTTCACTGTTCGTCTCCAGTATTTTTGCTCCATATGCTGACTTCTTTCAAGAAGAAAATGAATTTACTCTCTATATGCCGATCACCTCATACATGTATTTCAATCTAACGCAGCCGACTCTTGGAGCGCCGCGATGCTAAAGATTATTTACCGCTCCAGCGGAGCAATCGTCTTGGGAACGTACAGCTCCTCCAAATACTGAATCTCCTCAGGACTCAACTGAACCTTCAGACTGGCAACGGCCTCATCAACACGCGCAGCGCTGTGCAGACCCACGATAGGGCACTCATTCTGGTGAGTCAAGGACCAGGCCAAAGCAATCTGCGCCATGCTCACCCCTTTCTTACCGGCCAACTCCTCCACACGATCCACAATGGCCTTGTCCGCCTCCGTTTCACGGTTGCGGATCAGTACCTTGAGAGCTCCGTCGGTGTTCTCGCGCACGGTGGAGCGCGAGCCCCATGGCCGTGCCAGAACACCGCGGGCCATGGGAGACCAGGGGATGAGCCCGACACCGCTGTCAAGGCAATATGGGATCATCTCGCGCTCCTCTTCGCGGGCAATCAGGTTGTGGTAGTTCTGCATGCTGATGAACTGGTGCCAGCCGTTGCGGGCGGCGATGTTCTGCAGAGTTTGGAATTCCCAAGCTGCCATCTACATGCCCATGTCCATCAATATTTGTTCAGAGATGTATTGAACGGCATGTTATATGACTTACCGAGCTAGCACCGATATAGCGGACCTTACCACTCTCGACAACATCATTCAGAGCCTTCATGATTTCCTCGCGGGGAGTGTCGCGGTCCAAACGGTGAATCTGGAGCACATCGATGTATGTGCCGAGACGCTGGACGCTAGCATCAACGGAATCGAAGATGTGCTTGCGAGACAGACCGACACGGTTGATAAAGTCACCTTCGTTACGCGCGGACTGCCAGATGGGCGGGAACTTGCCCTCATCGTCGACGCCGTAGAAGCACTTGGTCATGATGACCACACGGTTGCGGGGAATGTTGAACTTCTTCAGGGCCTTGCCAACGACCTCCTCTGAGCGGCCGTGTGAGTAGACATCCGCCTATATTATACATGAGTCAAGTTTCGGGGGATGGTTGGTTTTGTGAAAGACCGAGTTGAATATCTACTTACCGTGTCCCAGGTGTTGATGCCCCGCTTGTAAGCGTGCTCAATGACATTCAACGACTCCTCTTCGTCCAAGACCCAATCCTGCCAATCCTTGCTACCAAAGCCCATGGTACCCAAGATAATCCTGGAGATCTTCAGGCCTGACTTGCCAAGGCTGTGACATATTGGTTGTCAGCATTCAATTCAGGATAGAACATTCGTCTGACAACGGGGCGGGGTAATACCGTGTGTATTCCATCTCTTTGCCAGACATGATGAATATAATAAATTGAGTGGGATTAACTTAGCAAAGAACTGTTTCAAAGAGGAAAATGTTAGTTCAATCTACTAGGGACTATAGCGCAATTTCTCGCGGTCGCTCTTGAGTCATCGTCGGCAATGACGTCAAATCAAGATCTTGGAGATGGGAATACCTTCACAGGGTAAACACGGGATGTTGAAATCGGATTTGTTGAGAGTGAGTCACGAAGAGATGTCTCACAAGTATTGATGCACGATAAGTTTCAAGTCAAAAATAATTTGGCCTAGCTGTTGTCGGGGTGGCATCAAATTATCCAATCGCCGCTGGGGTGAGGGCTTCGACATGCCGAGAACAACTAGCGAGCCTCACTTAGCCGACGGTTACCCGGCAAGCTTTCCTGTCGCCCACTCACAGCCCTCCGGGATCACCGATCGGCCTGGGGGATCGGATAGGGATATCTGGGGTAGAGATTGATGAAAATGTGAACAATTTGCATTGTGCTAACTGGCTTGTTTCTCAAATTCATACTCGATGATACGGCAATATGAATGGCAGCTGCTCACAGACTCCAATATACAGTCAAACACATACTCCGGCTCTGTTCTTAAGGGCTCCCCATCAAAACCATACCCGCCAAATTCAGACTCTGTACCATGACTAGTACAGCCAGCCCACTAACAACAATCTCATTCTTGAGCTCTTCAGATAGAGTCCCAATCATTTCAAAAGATCCGACCTCGGCAACCGAGAAGACCTTGTTGTGAAATCGGCAAAGTACCTCGCAATCGCGCGTATTGACAAGTTTGAAATCACCCGTTAGAGCTCCGTCAGCTTCCCACCGAAGAGTAGTACCAGGCAAAGAAACACTCTCCAAGCCGTAAGTACGGGAAAAGGTATCCGGTCGTCGAAGAATAACGCGAGAGCCGTGAATGGAGAGCGTGACTTCCATACTCAGCTTTTGGAAAGATGCTGTGCACAGGCTCGACTGGCTGTCTGTGCTGTCCTCGCTGTGCGGAACATGACTGTCCTGTCGCCTCATGAGTTGTATCTGAGGCGTTTCGCGACAGACTTTGACGGTGTATAATGGGGTGGAATTGTCCGAGTCTAATAGCGAGAGGAACTTGCCGCGATAGTGAATATGAATCATTTGAATAGGGATCGACATATTGAAGAAAGGTTGTTAAGCTCTAGATATAGAAAAGGGCAATCAAAGAGACCTGAGAAACATCAGAATCGATCTATCTTCGAGATACTCGAGGCGCCTTTTATACGCGGCCCTGCCTCTCTCAAACCATGATAGGGATTGAGTGTCAACACAGCTCGCTTGCAAACCAATCACACTTTGGAAGCACTAAGACAAACATGCATCATCATTCAAGATATGTGATATTTGATTGGTGCTGGTTCATCCCCAAGCGAACAGGCCAATGAGGATAGTAGGTGTAGTTGGCCCCCACGGCTCTATTGCAACCACGGCCTCACCCCAGGGAGATACGCTGAGCTGATCCCCTGGAAAGAATTTTTTGAGATAGAAAAATCAGAATCTCACCTCTGATTGCCACTCACTCACTCACGCACTCACTCACTCACGCACTCAAACTGAAGCAAAGTCACTTCCTATGAGTCCAGCCACGTCGAAGATGTCACGAGGAAGAAGCGGCTGTCTTACATGCAGGTAAGCTATTCCACATGAAGAGAGTTATGATAGAAGGCCAACAATGAACAGAGTACGGAGAATTAAATGCGACGAGATTCGACCATCGTGTCATCGCTGCACGTCGACCGGCCGAATTTGTGATGGCTATGAGCAAGAGAGCTCGGCCGTTCGCGACGCTGCAATGAGGAGAAAAGGCAAGAGGCTTTTGATGCCTCAGCAGCGAGTCACAGAGCGCACTGCCATCATCATGCCCCGTTATCAAATGATTTCCTCTCAAAGTCTGCCAGTGGTCGAGAGCCAGGCATTCGCCTTTTTTCGTGAACACACGCTGCGTGGAATTCTCGGGTGCTTCGAGTCTTCACACTTGGAATCGCTAGTACTTCAACTGAGCCTCAATGAGACATCCGTTCGCCACGCTGCAGTGGCGGTCGGTGCTATACATCGTTCTATGAGAGGACGGTGTCCTTCCTTACAGATCGATAGCTTTATTGAGCTGACCAATTCATTCGCCGTTAATCAATATGTCCAGTCGCTTAATGATCTCCGAAAGCGTCTGAATGGCCCAAAGGATTTTGAACGCGAACATATCGCGTTAGTGAGTTGTTTACTATTCATCTGCTTCGAGATGTTACAGGGCAACAGACCGGGAGCTGTGGCACATCTTCGGATGGGACTTCGCATCCTGTTGACATCGAGTTCTCCTTCAATTTACTCGAAATCTAATGAAGGGAGCTTGTTGTCTTGCAATGACTCTCGGTCTCGTATATCAAACTTTGACAAGCTGGCCGAAAAGTATGCTAGTTTGGATTACGAGTCCACGATGTTCGGAGAACAGAGTCCAATACTCACACTGGCTTCATCTCGTGATAATATGGGCCCAAGTCCTGAAGTATCAAACTATTTCATGGAAATTGAGGATGCCAGAAAATCCCTGGGAATCCTGTCAAATGCTGTTTACCGCTTGCGCGGCGCGCTACTTCATCTTGCTGCCAGAGAGATGGGTAACGAGTCCTATGGAGACTGGGTCGTTCGCTATTGCGTAGCCTATTCGAGTATACGGACAGTGAACTTATCCGAGCGCACATCTTTGTTGCAGCAACAATCTTGCCTCAAGTTTAGCCTGGAACGTTGGGCTTCCGCTTTTGGAGTGTTTTCTAACAGCCTCGGTCATCATAATGCCCGGCCATTGATTGTACTTGAGATGCAACATTTTTATATCTACTTCTTGATCTGCACTCTTCGTGACACGCATGAAGACGCTTGTGATCTTTTCAACTCTACTTTTCAGCGCATGGTCGACCTTGGACATCAATTTGTCGATGCTACCAGCAGTAAGCACGCCTCTTCTGGGCCTCAGCTTACTTTCAGACTAGAGTCGGGAATTATTCCTTCTCTTTATCTAGTGGCAATGAAATGCCGCAATAAAAGGATCCGACATGATGCTATCACTTTGCTTGATCGAACGCAATGTCAAGAGGGAATGTGGGAGGGCAGCTTAGTTGCCCGGTTTGTTGCAGAGGTGGCCAAAATAGAAGAAAACAAGGCTGGCATCAGGAACGGAAGAAATGATAACCACGCTATCTACATTCCCGAGTCTGCACGATTCAGCGATGTCGTTGTTGCAATGTCTGAGACTGCTGGATATGGTCGTTTGATCTGTGCGCGCTATGCCCATGAATCAACGGGTGAGCTGGAGATCTCAGAGAGAACATTTCAACTTTGAATGAATACCGAGAGGTAGTGTATTCTAACAAATTGGGCTCGAGTCAACATGACAGTCTAGTTATGAAAATCCGATAACTTCTCAAAATCCTTAGACCACCAATTTCTATCATACATCATTATAGCATCCATGAAGTTGATCTTGCCATGGGAAAACAACTCATCCTGTCTTTCAAATCCTGCCCTGAAACTCAAAAGGCCTTGAAGGCGAGTCCCACTGGTGAAATTCAGAGGGTTGTTGCTGAATGGGTGGAATAAGCCAGGGAAATTGATTGGGCACGAATCCATCTGCTGTCACCCCGTTCCCAAAGCTCGCATATCTCTCAGCGGGATTTTCGTACTCCAAATCGAAGTCTTCCCAGCGAATAATCTCTGTTGCTGCGTAGTAATGAAGTACTGTACCAGGCCATGGAACGATGATCTTCCCATTGTCATTCTTGTCTAAGACCCATTGTGAGTGCACTGTCTTGGACAGACGTGAGGAAGAGATATTGGAAACTTACACCATGAATTGCAGGGCCCTGACCATACCATATGGGACATTCTAGACTGAACCCACTGATTAAACTCCTGCTGAGCCTGATCTTTGATACAGACTGAACGCAATCTGTCTTTCTGAAGTCGTGACAGAATTCGAGTCATGTAGCTCCCCGCTCGCTCAATGCCAGGTATTGCTGACCCGTTTACCGGGCAAATCGGAGGATTGAAGACTAACGAGATCAAAATCGATGTACTGTGAAAGCTGCTAGTCAATCTTCACTTACCGAAGAAATTCGGAAAGCCTGCAACCATCGCGGCCATATAACTTTCGCATGGTCCCTCTCGGTCCCAAGCTTTCGATAGAGATTTTCCTGCACGGCCAGTAACAGGGAACCGAGGTAGATACGGTTCAAAACCTGTTGCATAGACGATAATATCACACTCAATCCTCCTTCCAGATGACGTGGTAAGGCCCTCATCTGTCAGTTCAGCGATTGAATCCCTCAAATACTCTGCATTCGGCTGTTGCAGTGCGTCCAGATAATGACCACCCGGAGTAAAGCGACGACAGCCTGCGTCAAAATTTGGTAAAAGAGCGTCCAGCAGTTTTTTGTCTGTAATTTTTGATCTCATGAACGACTCTGACAATGAACTGAATTGAGCTTGAGACCTAGTGCCTTTCCACAGCCCTGCAAAGCCAGCGGCCAGCTTTTTCTCTAAACCGACTCGGAATTCATAATATTTAGAGCGACTAGTCTGGAGAGACATCTTTTGCTCGGATGAATCTTCATTCATAGAGTTTAGCCAGCTGGTCTGAAAGCATCATTTTGGACATACTTACAAAGCCTCTGAACAGCACCGTCGTCGGAGAAAACATGTGGCACGATCCAAGTCGGTCCTCGGGCAATATTGATGATCTTCGAAACCACTATGAGCATGGCTCGTCAGCGCTTTCAAACCTCTTCAGGCAAAGTACGTGTTATCCTACCTGGCTGCAATGCTGCTGTACATTGAACGCTACTAGCGCCATTGCCAATAACTACTACACGCTTCCCTTTAACGTTCATTTGGGTGGGCCAGTTCGCTGTGTGAACTTGCTTTCCATGGAATTTTTCTTGCCCGGGAATTTGAGGAATTTTGTAGTTATTGAGCCGACCGACGGCATAGACAAATACATCAGCCCATATTGTCTTTTCGTAGTCTGCGTGAACATCTCGAGTGGTAATCTCCCACTTTGAAGAATTCTCGTCCCACGTGGCAGACACGCACTCAGTGTTGAATGTCATGAACCGTCGAAGATCATATTTGTCTGCTACACCTTCCAGGTATTGGTGAATTTCACGCGCTGGAGGATATAGAGAGGACCACATGGGGTTTGGTGCCCAACTGAACTGATATGTGTGGGATGGCACATCGCACGTACAGCTAATCCATGATGAGTGATGTAGATCTAGAAACCCAGGAGGGAAGAATGAACAAGAGTCACCTTACCCTGGATAGTTATTGAGATACCAAGTTCCCCCGAGACAGGGATTTCGGTCAAAAATTTGAAGATCAACATCATCCAATGACGTCGTCACATTATGAGCAAACTGAATGCCCGAAACACTGTGAGAGCTGTTAGAAAAATTTCTGACTTCGACCCTTGCTTCACATACCCTGCACCAACCACAACTACTGTCAGAGGCTTAGGAACGAAAGCACTCGGCACGATATCTGTCAAAGTCATGATCTAAATCATACAGGTGACAGGCGAGAACGTAGAAATGGGAGAAGCTTCGGGTGCCCAAACTTTTCGTCGCGCTGGGGGGAGATTATCTCACTCGTTTTAAAAGCTCAAATTGTGCTCCCTTGATCGCATGTGAGTTCTACTGCAGGCAAGAGTTGATATCATAAGTTGGACCTGAGTATGCTCTTGCATGTACTATTGTTCTAGGCTGCAGATCAGTGGTCCATCAGATCTACGGTGGCGCAATCCTATCTTCACTTGCCAAGATTGGGTTACACAAGCCATTTCCAGGACAGGGGAACTATCGCCGCTATTGAATCTAAATCGGCCCCTTGATTCGCCATTATCAAATTTAGCACCTCTACACCCAGATAAAGCTAGGGCTGAGTGGCAGATGCTCGGCTGTTCATGCAACTTAGAGTTTGCACCAATCTACAAATCTTTAGATCATGAAGCATCACGCTCACATCGCGTGGGGCAGATACAGTTTCTAGACCTAATTGCTTTTTCTCATCTATGGTGGCGAATAACACCTCGGTTGGCGTCTCCAGGATCGCAGATCCTCCATAGCCAATAGACACCTTCAAATCACAAGGGGATGAATCAATAGTACCAGAAATCGCCAAGCGTCGTCTACACGACCATTTGAGGAGGTTTGAACCAAAGATTCCCTTCCTATTGTTGACTGGGATGTTGCATCACGCGCTGATTTACATGCAGTGCCACCCTTGGAGGATCTCTTTGCGTCCTTTCTTTGGTCTTCAGTTGGCTCCAATGTCCCCAGTACCATGGCTGGCTACACCATTTGAGACGCATCCTGCAGACCTAAAAAAATACCTGACGTCGACCCGATACATCCGGTGCTAGTGTGCCAGCTACCAGGAAGCTGAGATCTCAGATCGACCGATCGCTCACATGAACGTTGTCGCCCACGAGAATCCGTCGCATAATCAGGTGCATCGGCCCGGCAATTCCCCCCACAAGTGCAATCCAACTTGACTATGTTCCAAGGTTGGACTCCAAGCACAGTCGCGTGAGGGGGCAGCAAAGCCAATCTGGTTATTTTGGGGCAATGATATCTGGTACTCATTGAAACGCAAGTTTATTCAAGTCTTCCTTTAGCCCCGAGTCTTTCAGTCACACACATCTATGAACTAATAACGGCACAGGGTCGTCACCGCTACGAGTTCAATCCGGACTGGGTTGGCTGCAGATGCTGGGCAACGGCCCAACTTGATCTCAATGCATGTACTTGCCGCCGTGATGCATGATTCTTGGTTAGTTACCAACGGCTAGCGGGTTGCAGCAGCAATGACTGAAATATTGACGCTGTGGCCGAATCAATCACTAAAACCGCTTGACCACGGTGCTCGTTACATGGAGAGTTGAAGGATAAATCGTATCAGTCATCCATTAATGCTCGTTCTTTCGGTTCCAGGCCAGTATAATCATTTATTGCAGAACCAAGGCGTAGATCCCGCTTGCTGGCTTTGAGGGTTGAAGGTTTGAGGGGAGACATGCCAATTATAAATATGTCCAACGATCTTTTTACGAATTCTGCTCTCATGTAAGGTTCCAATGAATGTCAACCACCGTGAAAAGATTAACTTCTCTGTACATTGAATTGAAATATAGAAAGTTGGTGCTGGATCTGGAGAGCAATAAATACTAAGGATACTGACGTAGATGGGCCTTGGACGAGATCACACTTTGACTCAGAGCCCACTGGACAAGGAGAATGATGCTATTCCTAATTAGGTATAGCGCACTCGCGTTGATCAAACGAGATCTGACTGATGAATCAATCCTCTCAAAGCAAACGAAGTACATCATGAAAACATGCACATTCGTCACAGGTAACCCGAATAAGGTCATCGAAGTCAATGCCATTTTAGGCGACTCGATCCCTATTCGGGCCCTCGCATTGGACATTCCAGAGATCCAGGGGTCGCTGGAAGACATTGCGCGAGATAAGTGCCGACGCGCCGCTAAGATTGTGACAAGCCTGCTACCAGATTGAGTCTATTTCGAGCTTAACTGACATCTATGTAACATGCATCAGGTTGATGGGCCAGTGATCGTGGAGGACTCGGCATTGGAATTTCATGCGATGAATAGGCTTCCAGGGCCATATATGTATGGCGTATCGCATTCTATGTCAATTTTGAAAAACTATACTAATTTTCCAATTCTGTCCATCAGTAAATACTTCCTCGAAGAACTCGGAAACGATGGTTTGAATAAGCTCTTGGTTCCGTACGATGATAAAGGTGCAGACGCGGTCTGCACTTTTGCTTTTTCCTTGGGGCCTACTAGTGAGCCCTTGATCTTTCAAGGAAGGCTTCAAGTACGAATTGAAAGTGTTGGTGGCTTCAACTCGAACACTGCGTTAACTGTAGTTCTAGGGCAAAATTGTTCCCGCGAGAGGACCGCCCGTGTTCGGTAAGTGTCATTAGACAAAATTAGAGAAAGGAGCTTACACATAGACAGGATGGGAACCAATTTTCGAGCATGAAGGAGAAACTCTTGCGGAGATGGCCCATGATAAGAAGGTAAATGTCTTTTCGATGTGAGGGTTGCCGGTTGCTAGTTACCCCGATGGCTGATATCAAGCAGAACAAACTATCACATCGTTATCAAGCCTTGTGCAAGTTCCAGGAATGGCTGGCCAAGGGCGAAAATTGATCCCTTTACCTTCGTGCGACACATAGGTGCCGTTGTCGAGTGGAATGAAGTCAAGGGACCCATGTATAGAAACAAGTACTATTTGATGACATTCAAGGGTCTTCGAGTCCTCTCCAAACTTCGAGTATAGTTAGTGCTTTGGCTCATATTTTGGTTGCCGGAAGACTTTCGCCAAGGGAAATTTTCCCCGCCCGGAATACCATGCTGTGTTCAACATTCAGAGAGCTAAATTGTTCTAGCAGGACATATACCGCTTCCATGGACCGATATGAATATTTTCGCATCAGGATGTTGAATCCCATTATTTGTTTATGTTTTTTAACCTGCTAGAACAGATTCTTATAAAAAGAGCCTTGATATATCTTCATGGAATGCTATAAGAGTCAACTTCAACACCGAAACGGGCGATAATTCCCGCTCGGTCGGGGCAGTTGCCCCGCGCCACTTCTCGCTCGTATCTCCACACGTTCACCTCACGACCAACCACCTGGCACCAACTGCCTCAAACTTATCCGATTGATCACGTCTCGGCGAATCTGCGCCTATTGAGAATTACGCGATCTGGCAATGCAGCCCTTCTAATTATGCCCCACAGTTGGTTGTGCTCTGGGGTGGCGATCAGCTGAACCGTGCGTCCGATGTCCTTGCGATCATAAATAATATGAAGATTCCAGGATCAGTGCGGGGAAACACGGCGTCATTGCTCCAAAAGGCTTGTTGGTCTTCCACGCTGAGAGGGGAGATTCTTCCCTCCAAACCATTTCCCACGGGGCCCAACCCCAGAGATAAGATTCAATCTGGCTGGCTGGACCAGACCTTATTAACCGAGCCTCAATAACGTTTCCAGTACTTCTGAGAAAACAATTCCAGGATGGGCAATTTGCCCCGCGGACCACTGTACTGGTGGTTTCCTCCCAGTCTCAGTGTCTCATAACTGTGAACCTGATCGGGGAATCTTTCCAAACTCTCAACAAGACATGACAGAGGCATGGGCATGTATTTTTATATGTGCGGGGTCCCTGGCCTATATGAGTTCAATTTGAACCTCTATCATAAGTGCAAATTTGTTCTTTCAAGCATCTTCTTATACTATTCCCCTGGGACTATCTATGAACTGATATCCGTATTACCAGAGAACTGGACCTTCTCTTTTACCCACTTCAAACACACAGAATGGCCCTCTCTCAACTATCTCAGTGGAATATTCCACCAGAGCTCATCCAGGAAGTATCAAGATATGCCACACCAACCAGCATTGCCGATTATACAGCCTTGGCCATTCTTGCCGGCATAGGGGCAACCTTCCTGTCGCGAGGAATCCTATGGGACAAGCCTGATCCATATCACCACCTGGCATTTGAGAGACCTCAGCTGAAGAACGGCGGCCAAGCTGGAGCAAATGCCAACAGAGAAACAAGGAACATCGCACAGAAGCTGGAGGAGACCGGGAAGAACATCGTCGTTTTCTGGGGGTCACAGTCTGGTACAGCCGAAGGTTTTGCCCATCGACTAGCAAGGGAAATCTCTGTGCGCTGGGATCAGGAGACTATGACGGCAGACCTTTCAGACTATGACCCTGCTACCATTGCTGAGATCCCCGACTCTAAGTTGGCCATCTTCATCGTCTCGACCTATGGCGAAGGTGACCCGAGTGACAACACGGCCGATTTCTGGAGTTGGATCAACAAGGCCGATGGTGTCTCGCTTGCCAATCTGCGCTATGCAGCCTTCGGCTTGGGCAACTCCAACTACAAATTCTACAATCGCGTTGTTGATGTCATCGTGGAGGGTCTGGAGAAGTCTGGAGCCAAGGCTTTCATGCCAATCGGTAGAGCGAATGACGCCGAGGGCGCCACTGAAGAAGATTTTATGGCGTGGAAAGATAATTTATTCGCTTGCTTCCGGGAGCAGTTCCGCTTCCAAGAAGTTGAAGCCAAATACATTCCAAGCCTGACGGTCGACGAAGATGAGTCCTTGGAACCCATTGACTTGCACAGTGGAGAACCCAAAAACCACATCGATGGACTCAAGTCAGCTACTCAGTCGTCGCCGGTACGCACATTGCCTATCACAAAATCCAGGGAACTCTTTACTGCATCAGATCGAAACTGCTTGCACATGGATTTGGACTTGACTAGCCAGCCCGAGTTGACCTACAAGACTGGTGATCACCTTGCCATTTGGCCTGGAAACCCCGATGTCGAGGTTGAACGCCTGCTTCAGGTACTTGGCATCTCATCACGCCGTGATATTCCTCTCATCATCAGATCCATTGACTCTGCCACCAAAATTACGATCCCTACGCCAACGAGTGTCATTGCTCTCTTCCGTTACTACCTAGAGATTTGTGCCCCGGTCAACCGTGATAATGTCCGCGACCTCGCACAATTTGCACCAACCCCAGAGGCAAAGGCCTACCTGATCAAGCTTGGCCAGGATAAGGAGTTTTACGCTGGCTTCATCAACCGCACACACCTCAATCTCGGCCGCCTGTTGCAACTTGCATGCCCCGAGAAGGCTTGGTCTAATCTCCCACTCGCATATCTCGTCGAGACAATGCCCCACATTCGTCCCCGATACTATTCCATTTCCTCAAGCAGTGTTGTCTCTCCTCGCAAACCCTCCATTACCGCCATCGTCTCCACAACTCCTCTTCAAGGCAACGCCAACGAACTCGTGCACGGTGTCACATCCAACTACCTTCTTGCCATTTCCCAACACTTCAGCTCCCAGCCTCACCCACATGGACTGACATACCACCTCAATGGCCCCAGCGACGCTTTGGAGGGTGGTAAAGTCTTCGCTCACATCCGTCGCAGCAAGTTCAAATTGCCGATCACGAGCAAGACACCTCTGATCATGGTGGGCGCGGGTACAGGTCTAGCACCATTCCGCGCATTCCTGGCCGAGCGATGCCAAGTCCAGAAGATTGGCAAGGAGATTGGACCCATGATTCTTTTCTTTGGATGCCGCAACCCCAATGAAGATTTTATCTACCGGGATGAGCTGGAGGAGATGCAAAAGGCTCTTGGCGACAAGTTGCAGCTGGTAACGGCATTCTCGAGAGAGGAGAGCTCACCACGCAAATATGTACAGGATCGTGTCTCGGAGCTTGGCGATGAAGTTGTCAAGCTTATTGATGAGGGTGGCAGCTTCTATGTTTGTGGCAGGGCTGGGATGGCGCGGGAGGTTGAGAAGGCTGTTGGTGGTGCAATGAAGATTGCGAAGGGATGGTCGAATGATGAGGTGAATGACTGGAGCAAGGCTGTGAAGAAGAAGAATAAGTGGCAGGAAGATGTATGGGGATAAAGCATCGTGGATTTATCTAATGCGAGATGGCATTTGGTTAGCGTGGACAGAGGCTGGAGCAAATTGGTAATCAATAGACAATGCTTTGTATTTACAAATAAGGAAACGTGTTTATGAGTTCTGATGTTATATTTCCCATGTACTATTTGACCTTTTGGATCTAATTAGTTGAGTTCAGTCTCTTGGACTCGTTACGCGTGAAATCAGTAAAATCCGAGGTGTGATTGGGATTAGACCCTAGTACTCCCCTAGATGAAGAAAATTGGGCTACAAAAGACCGGAATTTAGGTACATTGATCATGGTCAAGCCAAAATACTGATGATATAGCAATAAGCATCGATCATACTTCTGTTTTCTCCGTCATGGAACAGACAAATTCAACGCAGGCATATCTTGTATGCCATCTTTTGGATCAAGCAGATTTGACATTATTCATTTCATAGGTCAAGAAATGGTATTTATTGAAGCACATCTATCTATCATCAGGTCATGTCTGAGTCTATCATATCATTCTTTATCCGCAGTGGGATAATCAGTGTAGTGGAAGGCGTTATCCTCAAAGGGCCCATAGAAACGAGTACGATCGTACGGGGCAAGGGGGAGACCCTTCTTCAGTCTGTCGACCAGGTCAGGGTTGCTGATAAAGTACCGACCATAGAGGAGGGCATCGTATTTTCCAGACTCGACCACGCCCCAAGAGTTCTTATCATCCCAGCCGCCAGCAGAGAAGAAGGGAGTTGAGCCGAAGATTTGCCGGAACTTATCTAGGGAGACATCGAGCAGGCCCCAGCTCTTGAGGAAAGCATCTTTCTCCTCATAGCTGAAGATTTGCTCATAACGCTAGTTCTGTTAGCGCGAGCCAATAATTGCCACAAAGGATCAAAATCATACCGGCTCAATGAAGCTGACATATGAAAGGCTCGGGTGGGCCTTCTTCAAGCCTTCGCAAAGATAAGTCCAAGTCTCAACACGCTGCTCACCGCGAGCCTGATTGAACAGACCAAACGGTGAGAGACGAATAGCAAGATTCTCCTCGCCAATAGTCTTCGCAACTTCATCCATCAGCTCGAAGACAAACTGGCAGCGCTTCTCAGGAGTACCGCCGTATTCGTCAGTGCGCTTGTTAACATTGGAGCTAAGGAATTGCTCAGGAAGATAGCCATTGCCCCCGTGAATCTCCACACCATCGAAGCCAATTTCCATAGCGGTCTTTGCAGCGGCACAATAGTCCTGGATCGTTCGCTTGATATGCGCCACGGATAGTTCAATTGGCGGGTGATTCGCGTACGGGACCTGCTCGGTGGAGCCCACGGGCGGGTGCGAATAGCACTCCGTGGGTGAGTCCCACACACTGGCTGATGGGCACACAGCAAGGGAGCCAGTCATCTGGGGGATCGTAGCACGGCCGGCGTGCCAGAGTTGACAATAGATGAAACCTCCCTTGGCGTGGACAGCCTCAACAACCTTCTTCCAGCCACTGGCTTGCTCCTGAGTGAAAATACCGGGCACGCCCGGCATTCCATTGCTCTGTAATAATCACATCAAACGTTTAGAATACTGGAACCGAAATAGACGAGGCTTAACCCCTTTAACTGACAAAATCAGGGGGGTATATGTGGTGGGGACTCGTGTATGATATACACAACTTTTGCACTATTTACCTCGAGAGAAGGAGGAATACCCTCCGAGATGATCAAGCCGCCCTCACTGGCACGTTGAGAATAGTAGTTGATCACAAGATCACCAGGAATCCAAATACGATTAGGATTCTCTGCAGTACTGATAGGGTTTTTCGGCACTCCCCGGTTACGGGTCAAAGGCGCATGGATGATTCGGTGGCGGAGGGTAATGTTTCCACCGGCAATGGTCAGGGGCCGGAAAAGAGCCGAATCCTCGGGGCTGAGATAGTGGATAGTCATCGCTATGGCTTTGTCTGGGCTATGCTTATGTGGAGGAGTAGTAATAACAATAGGGATGAAAAAAGGGGAATATCGTCAATATACGGAGAACAAAAACAATGGAAGGCCGCAGGGCCCCCTTTTTGCATTTTTTTCCCATGTTAACCAAGGCTTAGGACGGGCTGTCAAACCCGTCAGTTCGGTTAGGAGGAGTTAGGGTTTCTAGTGATAGTCCACTTGTGCCGCTTCATAAAACGACGGTGCTATCTCGGCGTGGGAATTATCTGTGCCCTCCATGATATTGCGGCCCACCCACCGCTTCCGCTTATGGGTGCGCCCTAAATCCCCGTCACCCCTAAATCCCCGTCACATTTTTACCATGCGTCTAAAAAAACCATCAAATTAGATAACTAGCCTAAATAAAAAAGATCTCCTCGCTCCAGGGCTACTCTAGCCGATTCGGTAGACCTATCAATATCCTCCTGGGGCCTCTTTGGCATATCCAAACCAGTAGCCTGCTTATACTGCTTCGCAAGCTTCCTCTCCTCCGCAGCAGCCTCTTTCTCCTTTCTAGTCTTGATTGACCGATTCGCATCGCGAACGCTTAGTATACCAGTTTGGCTAAGCGGTTTAACCTGGCGCTTGGTAATTGGGCGCCTCAAGGGCTCCTGAGCGGCCCTAATTCGCGAAACAGTCGCTTCCGCCATCATAAGCCGCTCGTAGATTATCCTGTGGTGATTGTGAAGCATTGCAATATCTCGCTGAACCTTCGGGTCAAAGGTAGCCACCTTCTTTGATATCTTCTTCTGATTCTTCTCTAGCGCTTCAATTGACTTCGGAGGGGTATTCTCCACGCTTGATGATAGTAAATTTGTAGGCTCCGGTGATGGAGTTCGGGGTTCTCCATGAGCGCGAAGATCAGGTGCGTGAAGAGGAGTAAATTCTAGCTGGCTAGCTAGTTTATCCACTATATTTTGGCCGTTGACTGGCCAAATACCACGATCTTTGAAGGATTGCCGAATAATTCGTTGGTTAAATGCCTTCGCTCGTACAGGCCCAATTACCCGTAGAAAATCCGGTTTACCACATGGCTGACCACCCCAGAAAGATAGCTCATTATTCATAAGCCGAAATTGCTGCTTATAGCTCAAAAATGGCTTACCATCAAGTGGCTGACAGAGATGTGTTGAATGAGGTATAAAGCCGAATGGTATAATATCAGCTAACTCGCATATCTCAAGGAATTCGAGGGTAAGATGTGCTCCGTGGCCATCAAAGAGTAGGAAGCGCTTTTCACCCTTTTTTAGACGGTCGGGTGTAGCAGTAGCTGAAATAAAATGATATAGCCATTCAGAAGCAATTTCATCAGAAATCCAGCCATTCGGTGAGGTAGCAGTAAGTGTGTTTAGAGGTAAATCCTCACTATTATGGAACCAGCTCTCCATAAAGACCCCGCCGCTTTTAAAGATAAATAGCGGATCCATTTGCCAGCCGTCAGCAGCAATACATTCGAGTGCAGTGATAGTTTCGCCTCGCTCAGCTTCAGCAAGGTCAGGGCAGTGCAATCTACCATTAATAACCTTACGAGACTGGCCCTGGCCAGGTTGGAAACCACACTCATCGAAGTTATAGACTAGCCTTGCAGGGATATCCTTTAGCAGGGTTGCAAGCTGATCATACCAGAAAGAGAGAGCCCCTGCATCTTCGGCTTGAATGCGCTTTGATTCCTTTAGATTCTGCTTCACTGGAGCGAGGGATAGGCGCTTTGGAAGGCGTGATATAAAGTAGTATGCCCAATTCTTGCCAACCGGCTGCCGACCCGCATCAGCGCGCGTAAGGGCCTGATTTGCCCACGCTTCTATAAGCTTTGCAGTAGGCGGTAGGTTCCAATCGCACATTTTGACTATCCAAGCAGTCAAAGCCTTCTCCTGATGTGATGTAAGCGCATTCTTGCGCGATTCAGTGGTAGAAAAGGGCGATCGGGCCTTCTTGACGCGATCGGCAAGGGTAGTTCGAGACACGCTAAATTCACGCGCAGTTTTAGCGATATTCGGCTTTTTTTGGTGTAGAACGGCTTTACAGGCCTTCTGCAGGCGATCCTCGTCAAAATTGGAGTATTTAGGCATATTGGGTGGTTGGGAAAGGGAGTTGAAATCGAATGGTAAAAATGTGACGGGGATTTAGGGGTGACGGGGATTTAGGGCGCACCCATAAGCGGAAGCGGTGGGTGGGCCGCAATATCATGGAGGGCACAGATATAGTTTCTTCCATCTTCCGCGGCTACGCTGTGAGGTTCGATACGAGATAGTAATCCACTTCACTTGTCCGTATAGAGTGGGTGGAGTGTAGCTAATGGAGTAGTTTGTGGTACAGTGGGGTTCCACAGGCTGGGAAGTCCGACAGATTTTCAAAATCCGCTTTTTCAGTCATCAGTTGAGCGATAGACCAAGCAAAAATTGAGAACTCAGTCATCAATTAAGATGAGTTGAAATGCGCTGAGAAAGAGATGTCAAGATAGAGGAACTCGAAGAATATCTAATGGCCCCGTTTCTCCCGTCTCCAGATCCAGACTTTCGAGCCGCCACGGAAACTCAAACTTACCATGTTCCCGGCCATGGTGTCGGGAGCCGCCGCGTAATTGACTCCGACTTCCGAGCATGGCCAAAGTCCATCGGTAGATCCAGCAATCATTGATGGCGAAAAATGAAGACTGGAGCCCCGTCTGCAGTTCTGGACTATTGAGTGGATGGTCAATAGTGTTCCTTCTCCACCACTAAACACCTTTGGTCGCAGATTTGCATTTCTCTTAGTCGCGAACTCCCCAAGGAACCGTGGGATCGTGTGGGATCGCCGAGGCTCGACCGCCGTCATATTCTTTTTATGTCCAACGGCTCCCCGATAATGATGTTTTCTTTTGTTTTGCAAGCATTGTGTGTGACTTTGGCATTGTCTTCAAGATGAGTACGAGTCAACCGCACGATGTCTACCACACGGTTAATCTGGTGACGCAAATTCTATGCATCCCGATCGTCTCGATCTTCGTGGCTTTGCGCTTCTATACCCGATGGCGATTCAGGCAGAGCCTCGGTGTTGAGGATTGTGAGTTATGCGTTCTAGAATGTCTTGCAGGGTACTTTTGCTAACGTTATACGATATTAGATGCTTGCGCTGTGGCTTGGGTACGGCTTGCATTGACTAATTGACTTTGATAAGGTAGCTTGCTAATATCATCTGACAGGGGTTGTTCATGGGATACTGCGCTATTGGTATCGTCGGTGAGTACATCCTAAACGTCAGGATCACTCGAGGCATGTTGCTAACCCATCCAAGTCGGCAATCATGGCGGAGGTTACCACTTCGACCAGTTGAGCCACGAGACCCAGATTCAATACAGGAAGTTCTGCTATATCGCCACCATCCTCTACTGCCCGATGGCCCTCTTCGTCAAGATCGCCCTCCTAGCCATCCTCACTCGCATCTTCGCGCCATACCGCGGCAAGGTGTGGTTCATCTACATCCTACTCGGCTGCCTCTGCACCTACTACATCATCGCCCTCATTATCAAGATCCGCATGTGTTATCCCATTCCTCTATACTGGCTGGGAGAGCTTCCGAACGGAGAGGGCTCATGTCTTGACCAAGCTGCTGCCCTGATCGCCGACTCGGTCATCAGTGTTGTTAGCGATCTCATCATCCTCATCCTACCACTGCCATTGACCTGGTCACTTCAAATGTCGCGCAGTCGGAAGCTTCGCGTCATTGGACTTCTCAGTGCTGGAGGTCTTGCGACTGGGTTTAGTGTCTATCGGTTGATTCTAGTCCTCAAGGACGGATCGTCCCCGGATGCTAGCATCCTGTTTATATGTGTCATTATGTCTGGGTAAGTACTTCCACCTTCCTGTCTGTACTTTTTCACGACCCCTAACCGATCACTAGCAATGCCGAGGGTGGCGTTGGATTGATCTGCGCCTGTCTTCCCGTTCTCAACGTCCTCATCTCACACTACAGGAAAGAGTACTCGTCACAAAAATACTATAACCAGGGCTCGGATATTCAACTGGGCGAACGCAAGTCCGGCAACATCTCTCAGTCCGCCAGCCGCTTCGGCAAGACGCCCAACTTCGGCGATCAGAACGATCAAAGTCATCTCATCTCCTTTGCTGGAACTCCAGATGCGTCCGACTCCATTTATAATGATGATGGAATCAGAAAGACGGTTGCAGTGTCACAGACTGTGGAAAGTGCCGATGGCGATAGTCGATGACAAAAGTGATGCTTGTAATATAGAATGTACCCTAAGATACCAAACCTTGCTTAATTAATGTTGAACGATTTTTCTTGTGATTGGACTTTCATTGCGTGAATGGCTACCTCATAGCAGAGTTGGGATCAAACAACCCAGAGTGATGCCACAGTCCATCTAGTCCAGCATCAAACCCGACAGACCAAGACGCGTCGATGAATGGCCACTGAAACATGTCTGTTTCAAGATCAGGATGACTTCCGGTGGCACTTTGTTCTTTGGAAAAGAAAGCGACATCGCCTTCGTGGCCAGGGGATGAACTTGTGCGCCCTTGTTCCTGATGCGTGTTTTGTAATTCTCGAGCTTCGGCAGTCATTGCTCTCGTTGTATCTAGCTCGCGATTTGGACGCGATCGGATGTCACCATATTCATCCAAAGTTCCTGCCAATGCAAACCGTCTTGGACTGTGCATAACCGATTCTGGGTGTGTTTGGGTGCTCTTCACTGTTTCGTAGAATCGGTTCGCATCTTGTACAGTTCGCCACTGTCGGAGTATTAGACAATCTGGGTGGTTACAGGGGGATTGTAAGGTCAGTTCTTACCCAGCTTCTGCCAACCGGCCACAATGTACTCAATCGTTCGAGATACATCATGTTTTGTGTTTTCTCGTCCTCTGCTCTATCGAGCCCTCCTGGATATCGCTGTGGTACGAGGGTTCCGTACATGTTGATGTGCGCAGCAACGAAGACGCTGAATCCTGAGTATGGGGTCATCACAGAGGCCTCGGAGGCTTCCAGTGCCGATAAAATACTGCTAATATGTTGCGCAGCCTCAAAGAGCTGTTGAATTGTGTCAGGCTGATATTGATCATCGTCGGTCATGTCGTGAAAAACGTCAGAGTGGGGCTTGAGATTCGATAAGAAGCGATCACGGTGAAGAAAAACAATGCTATGCTTGGGTTCAGCCCCCCTCCCTAGGTATAGATAATTGTCTCTACTACATACCTCATAAAATAGAGCAGATTAATGTATGCAAAAAGCTCTCCATACCCTAGAGCAACATGAGCCTGCGCACTAGTATCAGGATATTTGACAGTCCTGTCCTGAAGTGACCGCCACTCGTCTAATTCTGCCTTGAGCCGATGCCACGTTTTATGAAGGGCAGAAGTGGGCGATTCGTCCGAACTAAAAGAAGCAAGTGAGCGCCGGTGTTCGTTGGCAAATCTAAGAATCCGGACAAAGATATCGAATCCCCGGATGACTATCGTCAGGCCGTTTTCAATTGTCAGATTATTTGCCTGAGGGCACTTCTTATTCATGTCGACTGGCATCAACCTCCTGTCAGGCAATTGGTTGAACGTGAAATCTCGGTCACTGATAGGAAGTGGGACTGATATTTGAGAGAACGACAGTGCGAAATGTTGCCGAGCACCTGAGCTCAGCTCACAGTCTTGCGCAAAGCAGCACCAATAAGTACGAACGAGCTGCTCGTACTGTGTTTGGGATGCATGGAATTCGTGTGGACTGTGTTCCATACTGTCGTCTGCCATTTTGAGAAGTGACTGGATCATATATGTGGCCATTCCTAGAGAAGTTAGAATCATCCCCAACAGGAACCGAAAATGCCTCATGCTCGCACATACCGCTATACATCCAAGCCTGATAAGGTCGGCCAGTACCCCATTCATAGAAGGAGATCATGACCAAAGACTGCGCGAGATAAAGTGAAGGGGCTTCCATCACCCGGTGTGGAAGATGTTTCTGCGCGTACCCCGCATAGGTCTCCTCGTCTTCCAATCCATCGCTGCTCATGAAGCGAACGCAAAGCGATAGAAGAGATGCAATGAAGACAGAATCAACTGACTCGAAGCTTGACGAAACATCTGAGATCAGTGAAGGGTAATGCAAAAAGTTCGCAATGGGGAATTTCTTCCGATAAGTCTCGATCGCGCTGATGACGGTCGACGCAGACAAAGATGATATTGGATCCTCGGGAATATCTTTGACATTTTGAGACCTTCTTCGGATATTGCTATGCTCACTTTCAGGTGCAGGTGATGAATTGGCAGTGGCTTTTCGCTTTCGCGAGGGCGCCGATTTGACTACGCCGCTGCCTTTCGTGGTCCTTGATTCCCGAGGATCTGTTAAAGCACAGTCCTTGGTATTGGCCTTCAGGCATCGCCGACAAGGAGGTGTTCCCTCATGAACACACTTGACTTTTGCTCGCCTGTCAAGGTCAGAACAAGCCGTTGAATGAATGAATTCCAGCCAACATACCGGCAGGCATCACATGATATGGATAGCCTCATTGGGCGGTTAAGAGTCGATTGTGGGCGATATATGATCTGGCTGTCACACAGGGTCCATCAGAGAGTTTTCCAGATTCTTAAGAAGATTATTTGGGACGAAGGCCTGTTTTGAATGCGTTTTCACCGTGAGGGGCGTGTACCAGGAAGGAGAGAAGCATCGGGATGATCCCCAAGAATTCAGGTGTCGATATTGCCGACTCCCGCCAGTGCAATCAAATCATGTGACATGGCTACCATTCCATGGACTATAGTATACTTTGAAGAAAGGTAGTTTTGTGGGGGATTACATGAGTATTGAATGTGAATTAGTTTCTATTAGGTATGCTTAGGTATCTATATGCAACGCTCTTGATCAATGCTAACGTCCTTGTTCGCAACCGTCCACTGCAACACAGCTGCATTAAACTTATCGACCTGCAACTCGTCCGTAGCCCAAGAAGTGACAATCCTCACAACAACCCGGCCATCATCCAAATGCTCCCAAGTATAAAACCGGAATCTTTCCTGCAATGTCCGAATCAACCGTTGTGGAAGAATGACAAACACTTGATTGGTCTCCGTCTCCGCGGCCAATTCATACCCCAAAGTCTCAAAGTTGGCAGAGATCTTCTCAGACATGGCATTGGCATGGGTAGCCAGCGCGAAAAAGAGATCATCCCGGAACAACTCCATAAACTGAACACCCAAGATACGGCCCTTCGCCAGCAAAGCGCCGTGTTGTTTGAGGTGGAAGACAAATCCTTCGGCGAGAGCCTTCTTCACGACGATGGCTTCACCCATGAGCGCACCGGCCTTGGTTCCACCAATCCAGAAGATATCGGCGAATTCAAAAATATCTCGCAGAGCCATATCGTTCTTCTTCGAGCACAAAGCAGTCCCGATTCGGGCTCCGTCTACCAGAAGCAAAAGATTCATTTCTTTGCACAGCGCGGAAAGAGTGCTCATCTCGCGCTTTGTGTAGACAGTCCCAGTCTCCGAGGCATTAGAAATATACAGCAGCCTGGGCTTAGCCATGTGCGGGAAGAATTGATTTTGCTGAATAGCTTTTCGGAGATTTGTCGGCGTCATCTTTCCATCGACTGCAGGGACAAGAACGAGTTTGTGTCCCGTTGCTTCAATCGCACCAGCTTCTTTGCAGGCAATGTGGCCCGAATCCAGAGTAATTACGGCCTCATATGGACGCAGACAGCTAGCGATTGAAATGAGGTTGGCAGATGTTCCACTAGGGACGAAGAAAATATCTGCCTCATCTTCAGTGCAATTAATCCTTTGGCGGATCAATTGTCTAGCCTGGTTGGAGTAATCATCATTCCCGTAGGAGACTTGTTGTGTTGAATTTGTGCGAAGCAGAGCTTCCAGAATTTGTGGGTGAGCTCCCTCGCTATAATCGTCCATAAGGCTGTATGGAGGACATGCCTCGTCTTGGCATAGACTGGTAGAAGGCATGATGTGCTGTCACTGTCCCCCAGATTTGGATGGAATTGGGTTTAAAGAGTAGGGCTTGGCTGTGGAAAAGAGATGCGACCAGTTTTTTGCTGGAAATCCAAAAAAAAGTCCCCTGTGGCGATTTGAGTCACCCAAAGACCTAAATAGAATCGGCGGGAATAAAAAAAGAGGAAGGTGCTTCGGGAATAAAATGCTCGGGAATAATGGTCGGTTTATTCCCGAGGACCACGATCCGGGAATCCCTTGCGACCCTTATCAAGTTATTCTCATGTAATCGGTGGGCCAGAACCCGGAAGTGCATTTTTCGACCCAACAAAGACGGATCAGATGATCAAACCCGCATGGTAGACAGGTGCAAGTTGCAATGAAGGCTAATCATATCATCAAACCGGGTGGATTACCGGAAATCCGGCGGCTGCGTTGACACCTTCCTGTGTAGTCCTGCAGCTGTATCCTCACGGAAGACCTGGAATGAAGAATCAGTATTTAGTGCAACATCGAGGGGCATGGATCCCTTGATCAAAGGGATGCCCCGCAGCTGGCAGCTTGACAAGGTCCACTGGGGTTAGTCTCGGAGAAGTGTGGGCACGTCTATCAACCTCAATGGGCAGGAAACAACTATTTGGAAATCAGGAGCAAATCGGTGACATGCAAACAGGTCCAATTGAAATGCTGTATTGATCAGCTGAGACAGTAAACATGAACAGATTGGAGGCTATATACCAATGAAAAGAAAGTAATACGCCATACCAGTGTAAAACACTAATGTACAATAAAACTCCCGCAACCCATGCATAATCGATAGTAAGTCGAGAAAGTGTTTTACCGGAAGGGAATCAATCTATCCTGTCCGATCGGAGATGAGCCTCTTCTTCGGGCAGTCCTTCCTCCATGGGAACACGCTGGTACAGCCGGACCCGCCAGCCACGAATCAGCAAATAGCTCGCCATGATACCGCACATCACGGCCAGGAGCAGGATGAGGGCGAAGAGACCTCCAATACTGCGAATGGTCTCGTAGGTGTTCATCAAGGTCAACGTGGCCTTGCGAAGTTGAGCATCCGCAGTATCATCCGCGGTAGGGAGAAGATCCTCGTCACTGGTCCAATCGTCCGGCGTGATACTACTATCTTGCCGATAGATGGTCGCCGGGTTGTTAGGCCGAGGACTGGAAGAGTACCCGTTCCATCCAGAGGTCTGCCAGTTAGGGAAGCTGGTTCGCTGCACCTTCGATATGCCGAAAGCATTCCCATCGCGGTCGACAGCCTCGACACTAACCCAGTCGAGGTATCCCTTCGCGATGAACATGGTCTCGAAATCGCTTTTGAAAGCATTGCCGACGAAGACAGGCTTGTCGAACTGTGAGGCCTGGGCATAGAAGTTCCAGTAGGCGATATCGGTTGCACCATTCCAGCTGACCCAGAAGGTGGTGACCAAATTCGACTCGTCGGTACCGATCACGGACGAGACAACGTCGGGAGGAGTGTGAGGGCGACCAGTGAACTCGAACTTATAGGCACGGTAGTTCGAGTAGCGAGGGGACGTGAATCGAGCACTCATGAGAGGCTCACCCTCGGGCGTGAACTCTGAGATATAACCACCCTGGCTCCAGCACACAAACATGTTCTGGTTCGGAAGCACCTGTGAGTTACCACGAAGTCGGGTGAGATCGCCATCTGGGCGATTGTAACGGCGAAGCACTCGAGCAGTCATGGGAACTGTACCCGATTCTACCTCGATGATTAAAGCGGAGGAAACCTGCTCTTCGGCGAATTCCTCGTCGGACGCATTGTTCAGGAACGAGATGACATGGCGGGTACCCGAGGATTCCAGAAACTTGGCGTCGTGTTGTTTGGAGAAGATGAAATCCTGGTCGAAATCGCCACTATGCTGCCCATTGAGTCGCCAGACGATATGACCATCCACGCCGGAAATCAGGTACAGCGTATTGGTGAAGCGCATCGAGATCAGGTAATCTCCGTTGTCGTTCTTATCGACCGAGTTGATATGCACGTAATCCCAACCGGGGGACCCTCCACATCCGAGTATTGACTATAATGAACGGTCTCCGCGAGGGGGATTTGGTTGTATGACCTCCATTCATAGTTCACCTCGGCAGTGTTCAGGTCGATCTCCGCAAAGCCACCTGTCTCCAGCCAGGTCTGTTCCTCGGGACGACCGAACTCCGCCAGAGAAATTTCCTCATTGAGGTAGACCGTCACCAGGGCGGTCTTTCCATCCTTGAGGACGTTGAACTCATGGATATCGAAAGCGCCGAGATCTTGTCGCAAAGGAACCTTTTTGAAGACCTCGTAATTCTTATCCAAAATCATACCAAATCCTCTTTCGCTTCCGTCGTTGTTGTATTGCAGAATTAGGGAGATGTGTGGTTCATTTCCGATGCTGTGAATGACCTTGAAATCGAAGACATTGCGGTTGTCGAACATGGGCGATCCAGTCCAGATGAGTTGCTATGAATAGAGAATTGAATTAGTCGGGTCTTAATGAGTGATGGTGACACTATTCACAGAGAACATACCCCATCCTGATCATAAATATGCGGGCCGACCTGATACTGCTCGTACAGACTGGTCGGCTCATCCGGTGAGATGTGTAAATACGGCGAGACAAACCAGTAGCCCGGCGCAACACGACTGCGATCCTGGTAGGTGATGTTGAATTTGACGGCTCTCACATCCGGAAGCTGGACAAGAATACGAAAGTTAGACGATCCACCATCCAATTTTGGGTACAAACACGAAGCACCAGCCACTCACGGTCACAAAGGACATCAAATCATCGTCGGAGTGCCAGGCAACGACATTTTGCAGGCACAACAACAATAGACCGAGCCAAAGCATGGTATTTCAAACGAGGAACGCAGTTAAACCGAATTGGCCATGAAGGAAAGGAGGAATGGCCAGATAGATTACGAAAGATCGTGTCGGGTGTGCCGGTCGCACAGCGAGAAGAACCGGGGTGTCTGCGGCAGGCGGGAGACGGAGAGTTGACGGCCGGCAGGATGGGGACTTGGGGTTGGTGGTTGGTGGACATTTTAGGGACATCTGGACCCCAGTGGGGCCAATTAGGGGGTCGCGACAAGCATTGGCATTGCCCTGATGACGCAGCCTTGTACCTGAAAAGACAGACTGGGACCATGATGGATTATTATTGATCATTGATACTCTGCGAAGGGGCTAGACTATCAAGAGAAACTAACAGCAACTCAAGCTCTTCATAGACATACTCTACGCGAAGATCAAGGGCTTGTCGGTCCACATACATGGCGTTCTGTACGGAGTACGCGTATACATATCCCACTGGGGTCAAAGAAGGCCTGCCTAGTTAACTAACTAGCGTCCGAACCCTGCCCCCTGTTTAGATTCATGGCCTAACTACCGAGCACCACGGGTCTTATCCAATCGCACATTATGAGCGCGTTTCATATGATAATCAGAAGTTGAAAATTATATGCAACACAAGTAATCTCATCCATCACAGGAGGTTCTCTACGCAAAGTTCTCTTCTCTCCTTCTCTCTTTCAATCCATCGATCTGTACTCTCCGTTTCTCAGGAGGTGGCGAACAGAGATAAACAATAGCCGAGTCATGTGACTCTCAGGGCGGGCAGACGCAGACCCTGGGCTTAGTCAGGTTTCTTGGCCTCAGGCCGAGAAGGGCATTAACAAACAATCAATTGGCATGCCTTTATATTGACAAGTTCGACAGTTGTACAGTATATATGGCATGGGGGATTGATAGATGTCAGATTGTGGGTCTTAAGCTAGCCGATTTAAACTACCAAGAAAGAGGCGCGTTGAGAGTATCTGTCTGCTTCACTACTCAACTGAGACACAACCCTCTTTCGAGAAAAACAACACGGTTCGGGAAACTCTCCAGGTCAAAGTGCATGTATTCTTTCTACGTGTCATACAGCAAGATAACTACATACGACATAACAACACAACTTCCGACATAACAACGCAACTTCCGTCAAGACCAACCAGATAGGTCCAAGCTCACACCAGCCCAATTTAGTCAATCTTCAGCGCATTGCTGTTTCGCAGATTGAGCACCACCTGAACATGCTGAAACTCCAACTCCTTCTCCTGAGACCAAGCCAGCAGACTGGCAGTCTTGAGAGTATTCTTAATTTGTCGCCCGTTCATCTGCGGCACGGCAAGCTGGTCCAGCTGCTCATCCGAGAAAGCAGCCACATTAGCAGAGCGGCCCAAGAATTGACTCCAAATGTGTCGCCGGGAGCTAGTTAGCGTCAAGTTCCTTGTAAGTCAGCGACAGGTGGATCCGAATTCAAACGCCGGATCAATGTGCTCGGCACGGTTGGTTGTCAGGAATAGAATACCCTCGTAGTATTCCAGCACCCTGAGGAAAATCGACACCAGTTCGTTGCGCTCTAGGTCGGCCGAAGAAAGGGCTTCCATGAAGACGTCGGCCTCATCAAGGAGAACGGCGCCCCATTTGGGAACAATGCGAAGGATCTCTTGCAGCTTTTGCTCAACTACCTCGGCATGAGTGCCGAGGTCGCCTGCACTCATGGCGTACAATGGAACCTGCATCACTTCGGCCACGCTATCTGCTGTCAAGGTCTTGCCCACACCCGGGGGCCGCTGAGCTGTAGGATAATGCCACGACCCTTGCCACGAACAACATCGTCGAAGTTGTCCAGTTGCTTGGACTGGGCGTTGGCAACAGCCAGAAGCAGATCCTTCAGGCCTTCCTGCTCCTGGGGAAGGACAAGAGACTCAAAGGCGTGAGTGTTCCATTCGATCTCCGACACGCCACGAAGAGAGAATTCTAACCACTCCTTATCAATCAGGGAGTAGCCATAGACCGTGTCCGAAGTGATCATGCGCTGGTCATCGGTCAGCTCCTGGGGCATATCCGTATGCCCATACACGTGAACAGGCCCACGCGAACAGAAGATACCGAAGGCTTCGGCGTCGATGATAATACGACTCTTGACATGGTATTGTTTCTTGCGGCCTTCCTCTGAGGTTCCAGAGCTGTGCCTTCATATTGCCGATAATGGTACCCTTTGTGCTCCTCCCAGCGTTTTCCCTGGGCGATAAGGGTCTTCTGCAAATCGTCCTTCTCAGTATGATACTTCAAGGGGTAAACCGGCAGAGAAGTGATAGGCATGGTTCCAACGAAAGCATCCACAAAGAAATCTTGGTCCTTGTAGCCAAATCTCTTGCCATTAAAGTTAATGTGTTTGCAAGTGAGGACCCAATCGTTGCTCCGATTTCGAAGCTGAGCACTCGAGAAGAGGTATCCCCGTGGGGCGTTACTGCTGCTGATGACCATGTCACCGGGCTCAAAGAGGATCCAGACCAGTGGGTGTGTGATGACTCGATTGCGAATAAGGTCCTTCTTGTGCTCAAGTGTGTCCTTCAGTTCCTCTTCGAAAATCTTGTAAAAGAGGTCAGCGTGTTCTTTGGCTGTTGAATCCAGCTCTTCCTCTTCCCAAACCTTGACGAACTTCTCCCATCGATAGACAAGAGGCCTGAGCGGCCGTTTGAATTCCAGGCGCTTAAGTGGAGTGGTCACTCCAGCGTATCCATCGTAAGGAATTTCCCCAAGAAGTTCTTCAGAGGCTCGCTTTGGACCAGGACCGAGAAGATAGTCAGGCTCTTCCCGTCCATCGTAGCATTTGGTGTACCGTAGAATCAATGCGAATTGTGCAGATTCGTCCGTTTTCACGGACTCGATCATTTTCACTGGAAGCTTCGTGGTCCGTGATGTCTCCCCGTCTTCATCGGGCTCGGTTTGATAAAGGTTTCGAACGCCACAGGTGGATCCGCGAATGGCATACTCGATATCGATTTCCTCTGCGCTCTCTTTGATAAACGTCAGTCAAAGCGGCTACTGGTATCGAGATACGCGCATGATGATTCACTTACCTGATTCAGGTGTGGTGATATTGCAGATGGTTTCTTCCACCATGGTGGCGTTGGTGTTTCCCACCATGTTGAAGAAGCAAGCTAACTTGAACCTGGAATGAGAAGAGCGTCCAGTAGGATTTTGTGGGCGGAGGAACAAGAGAAGATGAAGTAAGTAGTCAAGGGCCTGGACAGAGATGATTTGTCAAAGTGGAAAAATAACCTTACAACAGAAGGTGCTCCTTCCCCAGGAAATCTCCAGTAGTATTACACAGGGAAGGAACGATGGAAAAGAAGAAAGAAGGCCAGAAGAATTCCAGCAACTTATCTACTTGCCAAAAATCAAATAGCGCATTTGGCTACTAGCATTCATGGGTGTCATAGCTACATCAACCATCTGTCCAAACAGCTGGCGATGCGATGTTATCGCCCCAAAATGTGTCCAGGTATATGCAGCTTCCCCGCCCTTTCAGCCTCAAGGCATTGCTGCCTGATGCATGACCCTGTTAGCTTGTTAGATCATATCAAAATAGAATGTGCTGTCTGCTTAGTCCAGCACTCGGTCGTAAGTTTGCTGGTGCTGAGTTCAGGGAGTTTATCCCATTGGTACTTGTTGGAGGGGGCTATTTCCGCCAGCGGGCCTAGATGCACTGATTCATCTTCAAGTTCCAAGATCTAGGTGGTTTTTCATCATCAGAAAGTTATTAGACTTGTGTTTCCACGTAGAAGATAGAAGCAAAGCATTACAAGCAGTGCCTGTCTCCTGTCTTTTCTCTTGGCGGGTCGGCTAAATTGGAAGAATTACAGTACATATCACATTGGCCTGTGGAGCATAATTAATATACGAAAAGAGCCTCCATACTCCACTTTATCACAAGCGATCCTAACTACTTTATGTGACAATGCATCATACCTGTAGCATAGGCTTGGGATCCAAACAAATAACCCGACCTTGGAACGGGGCTTAAAGAGTTCAGGTTGCACAATGCAGGAAGAGAGTGTTTCGATCAAGTCGACAAAGACTTATTGATCTGGTCATCATTCATCACCTTCAAACTCTCTACCCTCAAGAGAAAACATCTGTATACACCACTACACCCCGCTTTATGCTAGATACATGCGCCCCCTTCGACCCCAAAAGATCTTCAATCTGTTCAAATAGTATTTCCTCCAAAGGTCTAAGCTTCGGTCTTGAAGGCCACCAGACGAGCCTTAATAGCCTCATCGGAGTCGGTGGTATCCAACTCACGGAGAACGCCGGAGCCAACTTCATAGATCAGACCGTGTACTTGAAGACCACGCTCTTGGATGGCTTCCAGAACGACGCTCTTCTGAGTGACGACGTTCAGGCTCTCCCGGACGTTGAGCTCCACCAGCTTCTCGGCCGCCTCGTCAGGCGGCAGCTTCTGCAGAGTGGCGAGGTTGCGCTCGCGCACCTGGCGCAGGGGGAGCAACCAGGGGTCCAGGATGCCCAACTGCTTGCTGCCCATGGCCGCAGCGACACCACCGCAGGATGTGTGACCGCAGACCACGACGTGCTTGACACGCAGGTGCTTGACGGCGTATTCGATGACAGCGCCCGAGCTCAGATCACCGGGGTGCAGGATGTTGGCGATGTTGCGGTGGACGAAGACGTCGCCGGGCAGCAGGCCGAGCATCGAGGTCTCCGCACATCGTGAGTCAGAGCAGCCGAGCCACAGAATCTGGGGCTGCTGGCCGTTGGCGAGGGTAGGGAAGAGGTCGGGGTGCTCGCGCGCGGTCTGGGCGGCCCAGTCCTTGTTCTTGCGCAGACCAGCGACGTACTTGTCTGTAGGTTCCGAGTTGGTGGAATTAGTCTGTGTGGTCGTTGCGGAGGGTTTGTGGTTCGCGCAGTAGGAAGGGGCGGAGGTCGAGAAGGGAGAGACACGAGGGATAGCATTGATCAAAGGAGAGAAACAGAGAGTCACAGGCTGGCGACCCGCGATCTGCTTGGCGGCCTCGCTGGCGCGAGCAAAAAAACGAGATCGCATCGCCGGTCCTGCAGCGCTCATGACGAACGGTGGGGGGAAGGAACAGGTGTTCGGGGGTTAAGACCAATGAGAAGGAGAGAAATTGGAACACCGGACACCAGACAGAAGTACAGAGAAGAGATGGAAGGGAATCACAACCCCAGCCGCCAACTTGCCCTGGACTTGACTGAAGAGGGTGCGCCGCGAGTATCCGACGACCGCGGAGAGGATGAGATGTTGGGGAAAGAATTGGGGAAGAAGGAAAATCCCGCCAAGGATGAACAGAAACGTTGACCGGTCACGCACGTACCTTCAGACATAGTGAATCGTTTTGGATGTGAACTTGAGATGAGGAAATTGAAGGGGTGAGAAGAGCAGGTGACTTGGCTTTTATCAATAAAAAGGTGTCGTAGAGGAAGAAGAATAAAGAACAAGAAGGGGAAGCTGGGCGGGTTGGCGGTTTGGAGGGGCTGCGAGTCTTTCCGAGGAAATGTCGGGATGGCGGTATCGGCGGCTTGCGGTTTTGGTTGACCGGGACGATCTCTCGATCTATACAGGGAAACTGGGCAACATGACACACCACTGTGTTATGACTCTATACGAGGATGATGGCTGATGAGTTTGGAATTCATTCGCTCGCATATAAAATTGCTAGGACTTTTCTATACAGCCAAAATCACGCCACCACTGGCCAGCAGAGAAACAGGAATATATAGATCATATCACACCACTCCGTTTTAAGGGGCACCACCACGGCCACCCACGTTGAGAATCATCTTCTTCTGCTCCTCGGTGATGGGCACGGGCGGCAGAGGCCGGGCACCAGCGACAGTGGGCGCAGGCAGGAATCCAATCGCGACCAGGTATGAGGCATACAATCCGATCAACTCGACCGTAATACCGGCACCGGCAGAGGCGTCGACACCAGACCACGCCGCATCAGCCTTCAAGCCGGCAGAGGCGTAAGTGTTATCCAACTCTGGGGCCTTGCTGTTGGAAGGCAGGTCGGAAACAACGAAATGGTAGAGTGGCATCCTAAATAACCAGTTAGTAATTCGTTCGGAACAAAGGGCCCGGGAATCGAGAAGTTACTTACAGGGCATGCTGAGACTCCTTGTCGTTGTGCTGGCCATCATTGACATACTGCTCCAGAGAAGAGGCCCAGGGAATGTAATCGATCTGCTTAATGGGGTATCCATAGGTCTCCAGAGCTCCAAGGAACTCATTGAAGCGGAGACGCGGCTGTCCAGTAACGTGGACAACACCGGTGGAGTTGTTAGGAGGGTGGAAAGCAGCGGAAATGACAACCCGCACGACATAGTCTGACGGGCAGGCATTGACGGAGTTGCCGATGTTAGGGCGCGAACCCAATTGAACGCAACCCTTCCAGAAGCGAGTCAGGAAGTCATCGGTCACGCAAACACCAGAGGTGGAGTCACCCTATTTGAAACAATGAGTATCCTGATATTGACGGGTCAATCGGCATTCAAAAGCTTACCAAGATGTATCCAGATCGGATGATGCCAGCCTTCAGACCGCGGGCCCGTGCTGCGCGAACTAAATGCTCACCAGCCCACTTACTCTGGCCATAACCTGTACCAAGGCCAACAGCACTGCCTTCCATATCGTCGTCCTCGCTCACACCACTGCCACCAGCAGCCAAGCTACGCTCAGATTCTTGCACGTAGTGGTCGTTGTCCAAGGCACTAGTAGAGCTGACAAAGGCGAAATGCTTAGCCTTGCCGGTAGCGCACAGCTTTAAGGCATCGATAGTACCCAGGACGTTAGGTCCCCGCAGGGTAGAGTAAGGGTAGACCCAATGGACGAGAGCACCATTGTGGATAACCACATCGATACGGGTGGTAAGATCATCCCAGGTAGACTGAGACAGGCCAAATAGAGGCTTACCAAGGTCACCACAAGGGGTTTCCAGGCGGTTAACCCACTCCTCGTCCCAGAAGCCATAGGCGCGGCAGGTGGAGCGAAGACGCTCAAGAGCCTGTTCCTCGCTTTTGGCGCGGACAAGGGCGACAACCTTGGCAGAAGGAGACTTGCGAGTGAGAAGGTCACGAAGAATATGAGCACCCAAGAAGCCAGTAGCACCGGTAAGGAAGATAGTTGGCTGAGTAGCAAGCAGGTCTTCCGTTCTGGTGGGGAACTTCTCAGGAAGCTCATTGACCAGCTGTCGCGCATCCTTCGAGTAGCCATCGTCGGGCTCGTTGGTAACTTGGTCAGCCTTGTCGCTAGTCGCAAAGGCCTCCACGTCAAGAAGACGGTCAATCTCGCCTGCGAAACTCTTGAGAGTCGGGCTGCGGAAGATAGCACTCATGCTGATATCAACAGTACGCCACTTGCGGCGGAGCTCGAAGAACATTTGCTGGGCAAGAATACTGTGTCCACCAAGATCGAAGAAAGAATCATCGGGTCCGATCATACGGGCAGTCACGTTAGGAATCAGCTTAGCCCAAATCTGAGCAAGAGCTTGTTCAGTCTCAGACAACGCCTGAATCGCAGAGGAGCGACGACGAGGAGCAGCAGCGCTGAGTTCGGCGGTATCGGGGAAGGGCAGAGCAGGCTTGTCAATCTTTCCATTGGGGTTTAGAGGCATACGCTTTAGCGGGATGATCACTGTGGGCACCGCATAGGCAGGGAGCTTGCTGCGGAGGTGGTCACGGGCGTCGTTGCGCAGAGGAAGGAATCGACGCAGCATGCCGACCATTCCCTCACCCGAATCATCATCAGTGAGGCCCTTGGACTCGAGCCACTCGGACCATTTGCTCATATCAGGGACGAAATAGCTGACAAGGGTAGGCTCCTCGAACTTGTCACGACGCACAAGAGTCACGTTCTCGCGAACCAGAGGATGACGGGACAGGTGAGTGTCAATCTCACCCACTAGCAAACAGTCAGCTTAAACGTTCCTCGGCAGAATTCCACATCGTTCCAAAGGATTTCACATACGTTCAATGCGGAAGCCGCGGATCTTGACTTGAGAGTCAATTCGGCCAGAGACCTCAACATCTCCAGAAGGAGTGTAACGGCCAAGATCACCACTACGATACAGGCGATCTCTAGGTCCGACGTAGTACTCACGCCAAGGCTCATCGCCACCCTTATCCTTTGCAGTCCAAACCTCGGGCTTCACAAACCAATTGGTCAGGAACTTCTTGGCGTTCAAGTCGGGGGAGCCAAGATAGCCCTCAGCTAAACCAGCGGCGCGAACGTAGACCTCACCAACCTCGCCAATAGCACACATACGGGTAGGGTCGAACGGGTTCACAACCAGCATCTGGACGTCCAGCATACCACGACCAGCAGGAATGATATCCTTCATGGTGTCCAAGAAGCCTTCCTGGCTCGAGTAGCTTGGGATTTCATAGTAACTGACGGCACGTTGAGTCTATTCCTTATTAGCCTAGAAAAACATGACACAAGATACCATGTTGGTGTCCTTACCTCAGTTGTGCCGTACATGTTGACAATCGAGACGTTGGGGGCAAGGCCTTGAAGCGACCGGCAATCGCGCTTGATCAAAATATCTCCGACGAAGAAAGCGTGGTGCAGATCAGGGAATTGCGCCGAAGCACCACCCACAAGAATCTGACCCATGGCCGGAGTAAGATGGGTGACGGTAGCAGAGTAGTTTCGCATCCACTCAGCCAGCTTCTCATTTTGGATATCCTCCTTGGCTGGGACCAGCAGCTGAGCGCCCAAGAACAATGGGGTAAAAATATCACGCTGAATAGGATCGTGGGCGATTCCAGACAGCATAGCTTTGGAGAGAAAACACATTAGTGTTGGGTGCAAATTAAGATTGAGAACAACACTCACTGAACTTGTCATTCTCGGACAGCTTGAAGGTCTCGGACATCCATGGGAAGTAATATGCCAGGCTGAAGTGACGACCGCGGACGCCCTTGGGTCGGCCTTCTGAACCAGAGGTGAAGGACAGGGTAGGGATTGAGTCAGGACCCACGACGACACCAACAGACTGAGACTGCAGGTTGACCTGCTTGGTGAACACATCCTGGCCATCAATAGAACCACCGGTCAGACTGCCATCATCATGAAGGGCGAGAGCAGGAATCTCAGTGCGAAGCTCCAAGTTCTCATTGATAAACGAACGGACGATGTCCGAGAGTTCACCAGCATCTGTAGTAGCCTTGGCAATGTTGATCAAAGCACGAGGGCGGGCAACATCGAGATAAATGTTCTGGCGCTCGGGTGGGTAGGCGGGATCAATAACGGAGAATGTAGCACCGGCCTTCAGAATGCCCATGACTGCCACCACCAGATCCACACCACGGTAGGCATAGACCATAACAACCTCTCCCCTTTGAATGCCGGACTGAACCAAATGGTGTCCGAGGATGTTTGATGCCTCGTTAATCTGCTTATATGTGAACTCTCGGTGGGCGGAGCTGCTCGACTTGGTCTCCACGACGCAAAGCTTCTCGGGGTGCTTCTGCGCATTCGCGGCGAAAATATCGTGGATAGCACCACGGAACTTGGACCAGTTAAGGTCAGCAGTGGGATCGGGCAGAAGCGCGAGTTGGTCCTCGGTAGTCATATCAATTCGGCCCACGGCCTCCTCTGGATTCGCAGCAGCATTGGTAGCAATGCGAACCAACTGCTTCAGAATGGTCGCAATTCGTGCACTGGAGAAAAGACGCTGGTTATAGTAGGCACCAAGCTCGGATGAAACATTGATAACTAGATCAGTGCTATCGAAAGTGTTTGCGGGGTATTCTTGCGAGGCGGCAGGGGCATCGTAGGCAGCGAATCGGAAAAGGATGGGAGTACGTTCAGACTTGGACTTGTCTTGAATGTACGAGCGGAGGCTACCCAAAGGCACGATGTCGGAGGCACACTCATTGAAGGTCTATAATGTCAAGAAAGTCGGTCAGAACCGAGTTGCCGGGACGAGAGCTATGAGGCGAGTACTCATATGTAGAATTGGAGGTATATAGATAGCGCACCTTGTCAACCTTGGCATAGAGCTGGGTGAAGGTTTCGGAAGGATCATAGAACACGCGGAGCACAAATGGGCGGGAATCTTCGGCCAAGTTGGTGGCAATTGCAATACTGTAGTCATTATCAGCCGTTAGTTCCCACAAAAAGCTATCAGGAAGTAATGACGCACTCCTCGTCTCCGGTCAGACGAGCAACTAGAAGCACAAAAGCTGTCAAGAAAACAGTGAACTCCGAAGATGAAGATCCAGAGAGCTTCTTCAGGGTCAATTGGGTCTCCTGAGGGAGCTCGAGGGTCTCAAAGGCCTCAATGGCCCGCTTGTTATCGGCTTGGGTATCATAGTCTCTTGCAAGAGGAGAGACAGTGAGGTTATTCAGGCGTTGTGCCCACCTCTCAAGGCGGTCCTGTAGCGAAGCGGATCCCACAGCCATGGTTGCTGTGCAATTGCTTCGCGATATAATTTGGAGAAGGATGGAGAAGGCGAGATGAGTCAAGGCCGCTCTTCTGCGGAGGGGCACAAAAAAAAGCTCCGATTTCGCCATGGGCGGCCCCGCGGTCATTGGCCCCGAGTCGCCCCCCACACATCATGAGAGGCTTCACCGCCTTCGGTTGATGCTATCTACGGTAGTTTGAGATACTAGTACATAGTTTAAACTCTTGGAGCTTTAAATTTCCGAGTTGATATATCGATACTAACAGAACCTGGCAGCATGAGTTATAAATACGTAGATTATGATTCGGTTGTTTTGAACTAGATCCAGCAAGAGAAGTCTACCAAGCTGTATACTTGGTGGTCGTGTGGGCCAGCAACGCTCGGGCCAGCTCCAGACGGTGATGTAATAGCTGAGTCAGCTCGTGTTTTTGATGCCCCAGGCACTCGAGTAAGCTCCTGGGAGAGTCTTGGCTCATTCAGGAGAAGTGCAATTGTACTACTTATTGTCTGTTGTCTATCTGACATCATTGGAGGCAAGGGTGAGCTAGCATTGCCATCGCATATTGGCTTCATCCGATGGAATAATTTCTTGATTCTTCGAGATCCCGCGTACCTCCCGCCAAGACTGGACCTGGCCCTCCCTGCCGAATCCGGTGTGTTCGAGGTCAGATCTCCAGGAGAAGAACAGCATCGCGACCGCGGTTGCATCGTCTCTGTCCTGTGTTCACATCTCAATCGGCTCCCACTCTCTGAGCAGAGATCGTTAAAGATGATCCCTCATAGGAGCACGGGGCTGTTGGCTATCATTGTCTTTGTCGCGCTTCTTCTTTTCATCTTCTCATCCTCTCCTATCCCTGAGCCGACAGTTGAAGGCGAGGAAGGCGAGCAGCCTTCAAAGTATCATGTCCCGCTACCAAAACTCCCGTCGCTGAGCAATTTCCACCTGCCATCGTTCCGTCCTCCATCGCACGAAGCCCCCGCGGAACAAACAAATAGTACGAGTGGCGAGTCGAAATGGTTCAGCACATGGGAATGGAAGAACCCCTTCTCGTCAGCCATTACCCTGGATGAGAACCGCTCCGTCCTTCCTCCGCTGCAGGAACGCCGTCGAATCTACACCTATTACAACCCTAAATATAATCCGAAGAAGCACAGTGGCAAGGACTTGAAGGACGACCACGATGCGGATGATCAACTTTTACTCGCCTGGCGACGAGCCTGGTTTGCGAAGGGATTCCGGCCCGTGATCCTCACCCCGGGCGACGCGATGAAGAACCCATACTATGAGGTGGTGCAGAAATTGAAACTCAACGAGGATTTGGAGAACGAGGTCTTCCGTTGGTTGGCTTGGGGCCACATGGGAGCTGGAATACTCGCCGATTTCGAATGCTTCCCTATGGCACGATATGACGACAATCTCCTGACAGCTTTGCGACGCGGAATGACGCCCGAGTTCATCACTCGTTTTGATAACTTCCAAGGTGGGCTCTATTCCGCAGAGAAGCAGCGCATCAATCAGGCCATTGAAGGCGCGGTCAAGAAGCTGGACGACAAGTCCACCTCATTCTCGGACCTGATCGATCCTGCGTTGTTCAAGGTGGAGCAGCCAACTGCTCTTGCATACTACAGATCTTCTAGTATCACCTCGCACTATCCAACTGTCCATGAAAAGATCAGCCAAAGCCCGGCAGCTGGCCGACTACAGCTAGTGGAACTTATCAATGCGCACCTCCATAACACTTTCCAGAACGCGTTCCCAGCCGGCTTGGCCGTGCTGAAGCCCTTTCCTCAGCATACTACGGCCCTGGTGGAGCCTGCACTACGTTTGGCCAAGACTCTGATCCAATGCCCGGAGTCCCCAATGCCAAACTCTTGCCCTCCCAACATTCCTGAATGCCGTCCCTGCGGCTCCGCCAAGGGGGCCATGCGGATCAGTCAGCCAGCAAGCTTCAAGAACACCTCCTTCCTATTCACAATCGGTACTCTGCCCCACCCGTACACCCTCGTCAGTCTGCAGAAGAGCTCCGACGAGGTGACTACGCGTCAGATCCGTCGTGAGACTGAGCGAGACCCGTGGTTGGCCGACGTCACCAAGGAGCACCTCGGAGGGGAACTGGGCGGCTCGTCCCGGGGAGCTGTATTCAAACAGGTTGTCGCTGGTGAGCAAGCTGTTGCTAACTCTCTATGGATGACCGTCGAGTCCCTCCCTGCGGCGGCTGGACAGAGTCTTCCAGCCGAGCTTCTGGATGAGTTCGAGTGGCAATTTGGATTCAAGATTCCCCGCAGTGGCGCTATCGACCCGAATACGGCAGGTGACAAGGAGAGCATACAGAACAAGAATCCTAGCCAGCAGGGCGTAGGCAAAGAGTATGAGTTGATCAGGAAGGCCCGCGAGGTGATCAAAAGCGTGGATACCAACCGGATCAACATCAAGAACGTCGCCGAAGCCTGGAACCTGGCGGACACCGAAGTGTGGCGATTCGTGAAAGCTTATCGGTGAGTGTCGACTGAGTCATTTCTGTGCTTCGCAGGAGGCAAGTCGGTGGGAATCGAACGTATTGCTAACCATGTGTATTACTATAGGGCCCGAAGTGTCGTTGAGCGCCAGCAGTGGGAAGAAGAGGAGAAAGCCTTTTCTGGCCCCTCGCCCTAGGCGCGACAACTGATTTTTTGATCATTTACATGTTTTATCTTCTTCTGGTATATGTCTTCTTGTACTCCAGCATTTTCGGCGCATTGTGGGATTTGGATAGAATTTACCGGTCAATGAGTGTATAACTACTCCACATACTACCGTATATTTCGTATGCAGTGTAGTGTAATCATGGCTATGCTGTTTGTCCACCCCCTGATACCGCCGTTAGTAATGAAGCGGACTCTGATAGGCGTCCGACCGCCTCGGCGTGTGGCGATCCCCGCAAGAAGCACTGGTGCGGTTCCACGGTGGAGCACAGGTGGGGTGCGGGCGAGTTGCTCTATCTCGTCCCTGATCGCTTGCCATCTGATCTCGTCTCTGCTGGACTTCCCCTCTTAACCTTCGGCCTGAATCGCTCTCTGGTCGCCTCCGTGAGAGTGTACATCTCGTGACAGCTTTAGGAAGGTCTTTGCGATCTCCCCGACATATACTAAAGAGCCCCCTGTCCAGCATGAACATTGAAGGTCGCTCGTGAACGCCGTCCATACCTATCGCGTCTTGCCACTGCTCCCCCTCTACCCTTATCACAATGGCGCCCGCAAGCAGTACGGACTCAGACTCGGTTGGTGAAGTTGAGCAGGAGATGGCGAAGGTGACTTCGCTGGCTCAACTCACGGAGAAGTGGGACGATACTATTCGGTTCTATCTTAATGGCACGAAAGTTGCCGTCGACACGGTCAACCCGGAACTGACCCTGTTGGAATACTTGAGAGGCGTTGGTTTAACGGGAACCAAGCTTGGATGTGCTGAAGGAGGTTGCGGTGCTTGTACAGTGGTAGGTGCTCTCGTTGAATGGGCGTGGCTAGGACATTCTGCTAACGTGCGGGGAAATATATAGGTCGTTTCGCACCTCAACCAAACAACGAAGAAAATATACCATGCCTCTGTCAACGCTTGCATTGCCCCCCTCGTCTCTGTCGACGGCAAACATGTTATCACAGTCGAAGGACTGGGCGATGTGAAGAAGCCCCACGCGGTCCAGCAACGGATTGCGGTCGGGAACGGCAGTCAATGTGGCTTCTGTACGCCTGGAATTGTTATGGTACGTCCCCGGAGCATTCCTGATAGCAGGGAGTCTGAATGAATGAGGTCACTAATTGTATTCCAGAGTCTATATGCATTGCTACGAAATGACCCAACTCCCTCGGAACACGCAGTCGAGGAGGCGTTTGATGGTAACTTGTGTCGTTGCACCGGATACCGTCCTATTCTGGATGCCGCCCAAAGCTTCAACTCCCGCAACAACTGCGGCATGTCCAAAGCTAACGGAGGATCTGGCTGCTGCATGGAGAAGAAGGACGGTGGTTGCTGCAAGGGTTCTTCACCAGCCACCGAGGAGACCGAGGTGGTGGAGCCCATCTTCCCGGCGCCCGAGTTCAAGAAGTACAGCCCTGATACAGAACTGATCTTCCCCGCCGCGCTACGAAAGCATGTATTCCAGCCAATGGTATTTGGCAACAAGAGGAAGAAGTGGTATCGCCCTGTGACCGTGGAACAATTGCTGCAAATCAAGAATATCCACCCCGAGGCGAAATTGATCGGCGGAAGCACGGAGACTCAGATTGAGATCAAGTTCAAGGCTATGCGCTATGCCGCCTCAGTCTACGTGGGTGACATTCCAGAGCTGCGACAATTCACCTTCCACGACGACTGCCTGGAAATCGGTGCCAACGTATCCTTGACCGATTTGGAGCACATCTGTGAGCAGGCCGTGGAACGCTACGGACAGAATCGAAGCCAGCCATTCAAGGCGATCAAGAAACAACTTCAGTACTTTGCTGGACGTCAAATCCGAAATGTCGCGTCGCCAGCCGGTAACTTGGCTACTGCCTCTCCCATCTCCGATTTGAACCCTGTGTTCGTGGCGACCAACACCACCCTGATTGCCAAGTCGCTTGAAGGAGATAAGGAAATTCCCATGACCGAGTTCTTCCAAGGCTACCGTAAGACTGCTTTGGCCCCAGATGCTATCATCGCCAGCCTGCGAATCCCAGTTGCCCAGGAGACTGGAGAACACATTCGCGCCTATAAGCAGGCTAAGCGAAAGGACGATGATATTGCCATCGTCAACTCCGCGCTCCGCGTATCGCTGTCCGATACTAATGAGGTTACAAGCTGTAATCTCGTCTTCGGTGGCATGGCTGCCATGACAGTCTCGGCGAAGAACGCTGAGGATGCCTTGATCGGCAAGAAGTTCACCAACCCCGAAACGTTAGAGGGCGTTATGTCTGCTTTGGAGAAGGACTTCAGCCTGCCGTACGGCGTTCCCGGTGGCATGGCCACCTATCGGAAGTCATTGGCAATGGGCTTTTTCTACCGATTCTATCACGATGTTCTCATGGGACTCGAGGTCAAGGCAACCGACCTAGATCCCGACGTTGTCGCTGAGATTGAAAGAGCTATTTCCACTGGTGCAAAGGACCACGAAGCTTCCGCTGCTTATCAGCAGAAGATTCTGGGCAAGGCTACCCCTCACGTTGCTGCGCTCAAGCAATCCACCGGTCAAGCTCAGTATACCGACGATATCCCCGTTCAACAGAATGAGCTGTTTGCCTGCATGGTCCTTTCAACCAAGGCACATGCAAAGATTCTAAGTGTCGACCCCTCGGCAGCCCTAGAAATTCCTGGTGTTGTTGATTATGTTGACCACACGGATCTACCAAACCCACAGGCTAACTGGTGGGGAGCACCCGTCTCCGATGAGCTTTTCTTTGCCGTGGACGAGGTCACCACTGCTGGTCAGCCCATTGGTGTGATCGTGGCACAAACCGCCAAGATTGCAGAGGAAGGTATGCGAGCTGTCAAGGTTGAATACGAGGATCTCCCGGTCATCCTGAGCATGGAAGAGGCCATTGAGGCGGAATCCTTCTTCGGTCACTATCGCTTCATCAAGAATGGTGACACAGAGGAGGGCTTCAAGCAGGCCGACCACATTTTTGAGGGTGTCTCTCGCATGGGCGGTCAAGAACATTTCTACTTGGAGACCCAAGCCTGTGTTGCCATTCCCAAGCCTGAAGATGGGGAGATCGAGGTTTGGAGTGGAACACAGAATCCCACTGAGACGTTAGTTGCAGCACATCCTATCTGAGCCGCCCAGTTCATGCTAACGTATCATTTAGCCAAGCATACATCGCTCAGGTTTGCGGAGTCGCCGCGAACAAGGTTGTCTCTCGAGTCAAGCGACTCGGAGGTGGATTTGGTGGCAAGGAAACGCGCTCTATCCAGCTGGCTGGGATCTGTGCCACTGCCGCGAAGAAGCTCAACCGACCCGTTCGATGCATGCTGAACCGTGACGAGGATATCTTGACTTCCGGTCAACGCCACCCGTTCCTCTGCAAGTGGAAGGTTGGTGTCACCAAGGAGGGAAAGATCCTTGCTCTCGACGCCGACGTGTTCGCCAACGGTGGCCATACCCAAGATTTGTCGGGTGCGGTCGTTGAGCGAAGCTTATCTCACATCGACGGTGTCTATAAGATCCCTAACATCTATGTGCGTGGCCGAATTTGCAAGACCAACACCGTGTCCAACACGGCCTTCCGTGGCTTCGGCGGACCACAGGGTCTGTTCTTCGCTGAATGCTACATCTCCGAGATTGCCGATCATCTCAACATTTCACCGGAGCATATGCGTGCCATTAACATGTACAAGCCTGGTGAGACCACACACTTTAATCAGGAGCTGAAGGATTGGTATGTGCCCCTGATGTACAACCAAGTCTTGGAGGAGAGCAACTACATGGAGCGCCGCAAGGCTGTTGAGGAGTACAACAAGGAACACAAGTGGTCCAAACGTGGTATGGCTATTGTCCCGACCAAGTTTGGTATTTCCTTCACAGCCCTCTTCCTGAACCAGGCCGGTGCTTTGGTCCACATCTATCATGACGGTAGTGTTCTCGTGGCCCACGGAGGTGTCGAGATGGGTCAAGGTCTTCACACCAAGATGGTCATGATCGCCGCCGAGGCTCTGGGCGTGCCACAAGATAACGTCTTCATTGCTGAGACGGCGACCAACACCGTCGCCAACACTTCTTCGACAGCAGCATCCGCCAGTTCCGATCTGAATGGTTACGCCATTTTCAATGCCTGCGAGCAGCTGAATGAGCGACTCCGCCCATTCCGCGAGAAGATGCCCGACGCGACCATGAAAGAGCTCGCGCACGCAGCATACTTCTCCCGTGTCAACCTCTCCGCACAGGGTTACTACCGTACACCAGATATCGGTTACGTATGGGGCGAGAACTCTGGCCAGATGTTCTTCTATTTCACGCAGGGTATCACCGCAGCTGAAGTACAGATCGACACTTTGACTGGAGACTGGACCCCTCTGCGCGCAGATATCAAGATGGACGTTGGCCGTACCATCAACCCGTCCATCGACTACGGCCAAATCGAAGGTGCTTACGTCCAAGGACAGGGCCTCTTCACCACCGAAGAGAGTCTTTGGCACCGCGCCTCAGGCCAAATCTTCACCCGCGGTCCCGGTAACTACAAGATCCCCGGCTTCCGCGACATTCCTCAGGTCTTCAACGTGAGTCTGCTCAAGGATGTCGAGTGGGAGAATCTGCGCACCATCCAGCGTTCCCGCGGTGTTGGTGAGCCGCCTCTTTTCATGGGCAGCGCTGTGTTCTTCGCTATTCGTGATGCGCTGAAGGCTGCCCGGAAGCAGTGGGGTGTTGAGGAGGTGCTGAGCTTGATTAGCCCGGCTACGCCGGAGCGTATCCGTATCAGTTGTGCGGACCCGATTGTTGAAAGGGCAAGGGTGACTCCGAAGGAAGGCGAGAAGAGTTTCTTTGTCGCTATTTAGTTATCTGCATTTGCATTATATACGAGTTACGGCATGTACGACAGCAATGTCATTTGGAATTTTACTATCAATAGATTGTTGAAGAATTACTCTAAAAAGGCCTTTCTACAATTTAAGAAAAAAAAATTAATAGCTCATTTATTAGTTATAAGAGTCATTTTAGGCTGAGGCTACTGGTGCGACAGACGATTCTCTTTTCGGATATGGTAGATGGTAGGTACATTTAGTACCTAGATGTCCTTGGCCTACCTGCTAAGCCTTTTACTCTAGCTGTTAAAAAAGGCGGTTCACAAGACGGTTCACAAGATAGGGCAAAAGACATTCAGAGAAAACACACAATCTGACTCGAATGAGCGACAAAAAAAGAGATAACAGAGCATAAAAGGAAACTCGAGGAAACACCAAGAAAACAGTAGGTCGCGAGGCATGGGCGATAAGGTCTCAACAGTTGAGCAAAAAGTAAGCATTGTTGCAGTTCGCCCGCCTGCAACAGGATTTTTCGCCCAAAAGACAGCATTCAATGCCAGATCGCGTAACAATTGTTCTGATTCTCGGAGAATGGAAGGCTTCATGCAGCTAGCGCTCCAATGCCGCGGAATAACTGTCCGCCAAGATCGAGGTACCCGAATATACCGCCTGGTATGTAAAGTATGATCGTAGCCAGGGAATTGTAAGGCCTTAGTGAAGTAGATAAAGATCATAAGAAAGGGGTAATGCTGCTGCCACCCCCTAGGTCCGAATAGCATTATCACGTGGACAGTGTGGTGGGCCAGGAAGAAAGTAATAAAGAGGGCTGATACAGTGAGGTTTCAAAAGTTTGAAGCTATGACCAATGTTCAGAATTATCTTATCAGTCACAAGGTGAATGGTAGACTAAAAAATGATACCTAAGCTATCGCGAAAGACGATTGAAAAGACCTTTAGAAAGACCTCTCAAAAACCAAGAAGTAGAAGCATATCTATCAGATTCAGGTGGTCTCTCTGGCCTCTAGATTCAGACTTTTGAACTACCACTGTAGATAAAATTCAGGATAGTAATAGGCTTGATCGGAATTGTGCGTATGTCTATGTACTCCATGTACCGAGATGAAAGCCCCATCCGAAATGGGTATAGTTTGGCGTGCGAGTAGCCTCAGCCTATCTCTATTCAAGACTGTCGCTGTAGTTTGTCTCTACGAGGAGTACTGGATTTTAGATCAAGTGATGTAAGAATTTCAATTCAAAGATGCAAATGGTTTATTAAATCACTGAAAACTCCAAGGCAGTAAAAGCCTGTCCACCAGCACCTTTACATGCAAAGATGATACAAAAAAAAAGATCTAACGCTCAAATATTCCAAAAAATGAATGGATCAACCCCTTTTCCCATCATATTCCACATAATTGCTTTTCCGCGACGCCGGTTCAGCATCAACCTTGAGCGCAGAATCATAATTCCGCTGTCCCGCGAAGCCAACCTTCTCATCGTTGAACGACGGCTCAGCCCTATCCTGCGAAGTGCCCGCAGCGGGTGTCTCATACCGAGGCACGGCCTGAATAAAACCAAGCTCATTCCTCGGGATAGCTGTCAAAGGAATATCCGTAAAGTCTCTCGAGTCTGGTGCGGGTCCCGGGTTTCTAGGCCCCGAGTTATCACGCACAGGGTCCATGGCATGGCCACCTCCATCGCCGCGATTCCGGTCCCGGCCCCAGAAGAGAGTCATTGCGCGGAGGATACCGATCAAGGCGATGACAACCCATAGGAGAAGGATGGCCGTGGCGATGAGGGTTTCCGTGCGGAGACCGTCTTTGAGTTTGTCGATGACATTTTGTACTACCTCCGTAATTTTGTTGGATGTGGTATCCCCCGCGTCGGCGAGGAAGCTAGCGGAGGGGTTCGTGTCGTTGGAGATACTATCTTTCGCGCCACGAGAGAATGTGTCGTTTGGAAGATTGGGGAAGTCGATATGGGCGTGGTCGTGGACCCATGTGAGACCCTTCTGGACGCTTTCGATCTTGAGACCGAGGAGACACTCGAAGAGTTCTTGAACGGGTTCTTCGAGGAGGGTGCCGCCGAAGGTGTCATTCAGGACGTTCTGAGTCTTTACCACGAAGGTTTCAAGTGTGTCGTTGACAGCCGTTGTACTGGTGTTCACCCAGCCGAAGATCTTCTTGTTCAGATCGGCGTCCATAGAGTCGATCGCCTTGTTTGCATCGGTGGCCCATGCTACTGAGGCATTCGAGAGCGCACCAACGACTTTGTCAGCGTAAGCGCCTACTTCGTTGCTTAGTCCTGGAACGGCTTTTTCAACACTCCTGAGGAGGATGTATTGGCAGAGGCAGGAGAGTAGTGCTGCGATGGCGAGGGCGAGAACGAACAGTGCCGGCATGGAGGTGGCGTACGCAATGGCCCAGCGCACGAGGATCTGTCGACGACTGTTGCTGAAGTGGCTTGCAGCCTGGATTCCTGCGGCAGCTGTGTAAGGGCGAGAGACGATATAGACGACGTCCATTGGGTCGTGAGCTTCTTTGCGGACCAACTGAGCGCGCTCCTTCATCTGACGCCATCGGCGGATTTCCTGCCAAGCGACGGGGATGCAGGCAAGAACAGCTGCGAGGAGGATGACGACGATGAAGATTGTTCGTGCGGTGACAGCAATGTCGGTAACGCCTTTGAAGAAGCTGTTGATGCCGTCGTTGTCGTTGCAGAATGCCAGTTGCTGCTTTGCCGGGGTGGGTAGCGCGTTGCGATCAAAAGTGTACGTCCCCAGCGAGGCGTTCACGAGTTTCTTGACCTCTTCAAAGGGAAGTCGGATAATGCTCTCAGTAAAGTTCTGTACCTCGTCGAATGAAGGGATGTCGTTGTTCAGTTTATCGAGAGTGGTGTTAATCGAGGACGGGAGGGAGATATCGTCCAACACGCTAAGGGAACTATTCAGATTGAGCGATGGCAGAGAAGCACCCAAGGCGCTTGCCGCAGTGTTGACTAGACCGGCGAATTCATCGAGCGCGTGTTCGAACGTGGTCACCGTCTTTTGAATATCCTTTGCAGCCGCTTTGATGGTGGTATTTAAGAAGCCCGCCACGTCCTCAATCAGCGCGGTAGCAACGTGAACGCTACTTCGTACCGCCATCGTGGCGAGACAGAGATAGGTCTGGTACATGATCTTGATAATGAACAGGATGATCTCCTCCACGCCCGTGATTGTAAGCAGAAGCATGGAGTTCAGGCCATTCACGGCATGTTCGACTCCCGAAGCAGTGAGCTCGTTGACCCCGGAAGCCAGATAATGTGGCATGGAGGCCATCACACTGCCCATGGACTCCACGGAGGTACATGCAGACAGTGCCTCACGCTTAGCTGAGGCCATGTCACTGCGAACATCTCCAATGGCGATTAGAACTCGAACCAGCACCAGGATCAACAATATCGTCCAGCGATTGATCCATACTTGTGATAGTCGGGCGCGCAGGCCAAGGTATGGCGTGAGGCCATCTGGGTGCAAAGGAATGATTCGCCCGTTAGAAGGATCGTGTGCTCCGTATGGAGGAAGTAAAGGAAAGACTGATCGCCCGGATCGTGAGAATATCATGGTGTCTTTGTGGATGAGAGTGTGTTTCGACGTCCAGCGGGAAACAAGAATGGGGTATTAAGTCGTCGCAATCGGAGCTGTACAGGAGGAGGAAAGTAGGATATCGCAACAGAGAAAGTATAATCAAAAGTTGAGAGCGGAAGGCTCTAAGGGAACATAGTGTATAGAGAGGGTGGTAGGCAGTGAAGAAGGCAGATGTCAATCGGGTGAGGATGCAGCCTAAAAAGAGACGAACAATCAAAACAATAAGTGACAAGGCAGCCGTCACGGAAAATGAAGGAAATGGGGACCAAAATAGAAGGCGATCAACGAGAGATCAAATAGAGTCCCAGGCTAGTGGCCAAACATTATTTCTGGTAGCCAGCGCCAATCTATGACATCTACCAGAAGGCTGATTGTTTATAAAAAGACTCCATCTGAAGCAGTTAGCGACCCCACGACGTTGAAAGGACCAGTCAGAGGGTGTCATGCCTCAGTCGAAACAAAGGGAAGCATAAAAATAAAGCCCGTTGACAGGCGATCGGAGCTAGGATCTGTTTCATCCTGCATCAAAGCGCGTATACGGCTCGCTTGGTCCTGAAGAGTCCCAGGGCCAGTCAAATATAGACCCTGTGAGCCCCTAGAGTCCCGTGAGCGCTTAGCGCCCGCTCACTAGGAGCCAATTGTCTGTCAATAACGTTGTGCGACTCGAACGCGACGGTCTTTCATGGCCCACTCCGGTGTTTCTGGTGTCATGGGTCGATGACAAAGAGGCTTTGTTTGGATGTCGCTGGCTGGTGACCTTCTTTGTTGCTGGGGAATAGGGTGTATCGAATAGCCCGAGAGCCCAAAGAAGAACGACAGGATCCACAGGATTCTGGGCTAAATCGGCAGCTGGTTGGATGATCGTGCCACCAGATCGGGCCCACCTCTCTCGTGACTAAACCCCTTCAGGGCAATAACATTGTCAGCACTCAGCACTCCACACTTTAGCAACGGAGAATTCAACCACCCTCGCTCGAATAAAATCCGGTTGAGGGTGATTCCGGAGCTGAGCCAGGGCCGAGAAGCAGACAGGGGAAGCTCCCACAGCCTGCAGTTTGTAACCTGCAACCCACCTGCATAAGGCCACAGCACCGAGTTGGTTTCAAGGGCGCTGGCTGGCACCGTTAAGCGCCCGGCAGAAACTTGGCACATCGCCAGTCCCAAAATGGTAGGCGGTGTAATCCACCTTGTATATGTCACGTGTGACTCTGTACCCTAGTCGTGACGACCTCCGAACACTGTAGAAGTAGACAAGTTTACAGTAGTCGTTCATTTAAGCTTAAATTTGTACACAAAATATAGTTCTGGCTGTTGGAGGTTTACACACCATCCTTAATATAGAAAAATTCCAGACCTGGCGTTTAAACATTAGATATATATTTTCTCCGGTCCACGAATACGATACTGTCAAATTGTATGCCCTTGTGCTGTTTCCACTGTCATGTTGATCGTGCTTCCAGTAACAGATATGTAGTAGCATATTCCACACTCCCATATTAGGCAATCCAAGGCAAACGAGGTGTTTCCGGTCTCCAGTGGTCCCGAAGGGCTTGGATGAAATTGGCAGCCCCGGGCATCGAAATGGTGGTCTCAATTCTCGCAGCAATGGGGGAAGGAAGCTTCCAGTAGGCCAATGAACCATGCTTAGTCGTCGGTGATTAGTCGTCGTGGGATGCTGCGTTTGTATCCCAGAGCATCAAGGCAGCGCCCAGTGATGACCCGCTGAGTCGTCGATTACCCATGGCGGTCGATGAGTCGGCAAGTTGGGACGATGCGATTGCCTGTTCGCCCCGGCCACGCCATAAATTACTTCTTCCCTTCCTCTCCATCCTCTCTCTCTCTTCCTCTCTTCCTCTCTCCACGTCTCCAGCGCAATTTTTCTCTTCCTCATACATTTGTGAAGACGAGATCCCCGGCCCTGGAAGTAAAGCTTGCCTCCACGAGGCCACAGACAGTGAGTACCCCTTCTCGTCGCCCTGTTGCAGCATCGGAGAGTTGAGATTTGGTGTCTTGGTGTCGAAGGCACCAGCTCGAATCTTGATGAGCTTCGACCTCGACTGCGGGGTACTGCTCCTTCGTTCCCTTCATCTCCCTTCCCGTCCTGCACCATCTCCCATCCCAACATCTCTGCCTGTCGTCGTCTCGTCGATATTATCGGCAAGCATCATCGACCCTTGAAGGCACCCTCCCGTCACTTCACGTCACTTCACACCACCCTTTGACTTCAGAACGTGCTCGCGTTCTGTCATCAACATCCTCTCTGAAGCCTCACACCTCATCATCCATCTGACCACATCCCTGAGAGAAATCACAGTGAGACAGATGTCCTATCAGAACCTGATAGTCGAGGCTAACAGAGCGCCTTTGTAGATTCCAACAGCAGTCTGTGTGTCGGTTCCTCACCACCGACACCCATCTCTCACTTAAGTTGTCGAGTGCGTGACGCGTCTGAAATGTCGGGAATCATGCTGACATGTCTTCATCATAGCCTATCTTCGGACCTTTCGACCTCGACCCCGTGTCCAGATCTCCTCCCATCTTCTTGTCGCGCGGAAACTTCTTTGTTCTCGTAGGTGTTGTAGCTCACTGAACACATCTTCTGTTGCTGACCAGTATCTCGCAAGCTAATTCCGAAAGCCCGTCCTTCCCGAGCTTCAGAAGGCCCTGATCAAAATGGGTATCCCAGGAAGCCGTTTCGCGGACCAGGCCAGCGCCCTGGATGACGAATATGCCCTTGTTCTGGACTCAGAACAGCACGTCCACCATTATCCAGGACCTGAAGGAGAAGTAGACTTCGAGTCTGCCGACAACTGGCTGGACCTCCAAATTGTCCAGTGGCGGGAACAACGCCCAACTCTGGTTCTTAAGATGGGCCCTGCATCTTCGGATGCTCAATTCACAGACCATCTGGACCAGTCGACCGATACCCTACAGTTTGTTTTCAAACTGCCGGCCGAGTACCCAGGAGGCCGTGTGGGGTTGCTCCACAACATTCGGGACCTGCTCGACAGTCAAAACCCTTTTGGCATTGTGGAACACATGTCGGGCAGAGGGAGACAAGCAGTGTCCTCGGAGTTCTGGGGACTAAGAGTTGGATCCGTCAGAACGAGAAAGACCAACGGTGGACTAACGCCCCGAAGGCCTTCGGCTGCAAAGCTGGCTGTGCACAGCTCTCGTCCCAGTACTTCTTCAAGTTCCGGGTAAGCACAGGAGAGGCGGCACTCCTGGTGGTCAACAAAAATGCCGACGGGCTCAAGTCTGCCGTGGGTCAGCAACGAGTAAGCAAGATGTCCTGCCTGTATCATATAGGGGTTGAAGCTAACGATTTCACAATTTCACAGCCGCTGCAGCAACAGCTGGCTTTCATGCAGCTGATCACGCTGCCTGTTCGGATTTGGATGTGCATTCAGTACCGCCAGCGCCCGCAATCCCCGGATGTCAGTCAACGGCGCGCACCTCAGGTCAACCAACCTGGTGCCGCAACCATCCGCGACGCATCTTCTCTTAGTACCTATGATGGATCGTCATCAGGTATCTCGGGTGAGCTCAAGAAACTCACCGATGACACGACCCAGCAGGCTGCGCGTGAGACTGCTGGCGTCAAGTTCGATGAGTCGGTCATTGAAAAGCAACCAGGCCCCGACAGTCAGAGCCCGGAGCAGAGTGTGGTCTTGCCCAGTGAAGGGAAGACAGAGGAGAAGAAGGGAATGTCAAAGAAGCCGCTTGACAAGTCCGAGTCGACGGCTGAGAACTTGCCTGTGGGAAAAGCGAGAAAGAAGAAGAAGAAGAACAAACGGCAAAGGCTGAATCTGAAAAAGAGGAAAGCTCTCGCCAAGGCAGCAGAAGGAGTGCACGCAGATGCACAGCCGCAACAACAGCAACCAAACGACGAACAGTCAGCGTTCACAGCGAGCGCCGCAGCTGGTCAATACCTCGTCGTTGGGAATCTCACCCTCCTTGAGGTCGAATTGCGGTCCCCAACATCTGCCACTGCCTCCTTCGGGACTGCGCGTTCACCATCTCTCTCTCGGATTTCCATAAGTTCTCGAAATTTCCATACACCCCCTCTGTCCTTCGCTGGGGAGTCTGTTGAAGAAGATCTTCCAGGTAAGAAGCCTCCGATTGCCTAGTTTTATAGATCCCCATATAGAACGGAAACATGGAATATCAAGCTAACACGTTTGATACTAGCACCATTCGGATCAGACTTGGAGACCACATCTCTGCCCGGGGACTCTCGCGAGCCCAGTCAAGAAGGCAAGTACACTTCCTTTTCTTCCTTTTCTTTTCTCCACAACTCATTTACCATCATTTGTTCTCCCACCCTGACCTGAGTTTTTCGCTAACACTCATCAAGAAATGATCTCCCCGGAGACCATAACTGGCGCTCGCCGAGAGTCTGATGAGCGGCGGTCGGCTGCAGCAGGTAAGAAATAATAACCCATAATCTCCTATCCTCCCTAGTTGATAGATTCTGACATGAGTTTTTAGCGAACCCCGCAAATGCCACCACCCATCCTCCAGAAATTTCCCCGCGTTCAGAGCGCGAATCTCCTATTCCAACTTCCAAGGTCGGGCCGGTAGTTGGGTCACTTTCTGAGCCGCAAGCTGTCAGGGGCAAGTGGAAGAAACGTCAGAAGTGGATTCCGATGAAGCTAAACAGCGGCCAAGACCCGGTGAAGACGGAGGAGGATGGACTGGACGACACAAGTGCAGCAACAGCTCATGTCAAAGCTCGTCAGCAAGTGGTTGCGCCGCAGGACGTGTCTGGTATCACTTACCAGCCCCTGCACCCTCGCGCTGAACCCTCGTCCCGCCCTGCGACTCGTTATCAGTCGCCCATGAAGGGCCAGGAACAACAACGAGCTGGCGACATCACGACCATGGCTGAAGCCCTCCAATCGCTTGATCTTGACAATTCATCCACTGCATCTGCAGGGGTTCCATCAAGCATCTCGGGATCAGTGCCTCCGCGATCTACCAGTCGTCAATCGCTGGTTACCAGTCCGGAGTCAGCTGAATTCCGGCCATCGTCATTTGCTGTCGTGTCCGCAAGCCACCCAAGGAGAAACAAATTCTCGCCGGCTGCCAAATCAACCCTGACGCCCGGGTTACCTCCCAGACCCGTGGTAACAGTTGATCGCCCGACCCGGCGAGGTGCACGCAGAGGTGCACCACCGACCCATGCTCACCCGGCCAAGATGCCCGGTTCCAATGCCACGGTACCAGCTGGGCGCAAACCAGGCGGTGGATTCGTTTCTGGTGCTAACCCAGCCATGACGCCCGGTCCTATGATGTCTGCGGCACCAGCGGGACCCCATGGGGGCTTTGCTCCATCTCCCATTGTAGCACCTAGCTACGGTGCCCACCAACAAAAACCTTCTCAAAGGCACCAGGCGTCCACACCAGCCGGATCGCTCCATGAAGGGAATCCTGCAACAAGCACCGACCTTTATGGGAGCAGTGACCCTCAGACGTCCGGTGGAGGTGCTTACCCAACGCCTCCGACAATGATGGCTCCGGGCCCTGCCAGCGCGCCTGGAAATGATGTGGTATGGAAAAAAAAGAAAAAGAACCGGGAAAATTTTTCTATGACTTGACCTACCACACTTTCCAGTGCGCAATGGAGGGGTGTGAAAAGCAATGCTGCCTATGGGACTCTCAATCCGTCATCTGCCCGTTCTGTGGACCTTACTCGCGCGTCATATACTGCGGGAAGGAACACTTACGGGAAGATGCTCTGGCCCACTGGCTGTACTGCAGACAGGCACCGATGGAACACTACTGTGTTGAGAATTCGGTACCCCCGGACGTCCTAGTCGGTGCCCCCGCAATCCCGTGCAAGAATGGCTGGGATAGCCCCGAGCGTCATCGACAAGCAGTGTGGTTCAGTACGGCCCGTCGCGAAGGTGAATACTTCATCTTTGCCGACTGGGAAGACAGCAGTTCCGCCGGTACGACGCCGGTTTTTGGGGATGGACGGTGCTCAACTCGTGTGAATGTGATCGTGCGCTTTGACGATCCAATTGAGAAGGACCGTTTCCGACGGATCCTTGCAGTGTGTTTGCTGGAATCAGTTGAGGTCCAGCCACTGGTTGCGTACATGTTCCGTTTACTGCGGGACAAGCTCCAATCCACCAACCAGTGGTCGTCTCGACTGGACCTGCAAGTTCGGTACCAGCTCAATTTGGAGCTTGGTGTTTCCCTTGACCCGAACCTGCTGGGCAACCGACACGCTTGCGAGACCGAATGGAACGGTCAGTCACCCCGCAATTGCCGGGACCCAATCTGCGTCGCTGAGCGGCCGCACACTTTTTTGTCAGTGTGACAGGGGTTCAATGGTTCGAAGGCTTGGTCTTCAACGAAGAATGCAATCATTGGATTCTTCGAGCGTCTCGAACCACCCATCCAGACGTCAAGAAGGTGCACGCCCGGACACGTGGAGAGGGATTCGACGTCGTCGAGGAGGAACAACGCCTCTTCCGGCGTGGCGAGGGTTGGGATGGGGCTGGGACAGGTCCCATGGAGATGGAAGGTCCAGAGATGTGCTAAGCTGTCCCTTAGCACAGGTGGTGGCTGCGGTTGGCAGACAAGGGGCCAAAGGAGAAGTGGTGGTGTGGACGGCGTGTGCTGGTGGGATTCGAGGCCAAGGGAAAAAACTAAAAGGTGCGCCTCCCCGACTTGGGCTCCTTTGCCAGAGGAGTTCGAGTCGATGGGAGTGCCCCGGTCTTCCCTCGGATTCCCCAGTATACGGCCGATCCAGTTGATTATCTTTTTCGTGGTGGTAATTGGAGGGTCGGGACTTCCTATCACTAAGTTTGGTGTATCCATACGGGATCCTGGGTCTAGGGGCCAAAATCCTTCTGTGAGCGGCTGTTTCATTTGTTGCAAGCAGGAAGCCCTAGGCCCTGGATCTCGTTGGTTGTTCGAGTACGTGGGGTCGTCTCACCATTGAGCCCAGTGACAATCCCCCGCTGCGCTGTGGCCATTGATGATGACCAGACAAAATTCTTTTTTTAAGAATGCCAATTCTCTTGTTGCAGTCAAAACTAAGCTCAATTCCCTGTAGATGGTAAACTGCAAGTATGATCATTCGGATAGCAAGCTGCCAAGTAGGTAATGAGTATGGCATTAAATAGACCGATTGGATATCAGCCCTAGTCGACATAGTGTTTACTAGATGTGTGAGCTTGCATTAGTTTAGTAAGGAGCTCTTAGAAAGTCGCAAGGCCTCTAGTATGAGCGGCTGCCCGATTCTTTGTATTTAGGGGATCTAATAATGAGTGCAATAGACAGGGGCCTTTTTACTGCGTAATGTACTTCTTCAGGCCGCGCAGTCTCTCCTTGGCAGTCTCCAGAACATCATCGTTCTTGCAGACAGCGAAGCGGAGATAATCCTCGGCAATGTGAGCATTGGCCTCGGTGTAGAACTCCGTCGGCGGGATAGCGGCAACGCCAACCTCGTGGATCAGGAACCAGCAGAGCTTGAAATCACGAGGGCGACTGGCCACATGGGGCGGGAAAGGATAGTCGGCGGGCAGCTTGACAGATGCCATGTTGGCCAGGACAAAGTACCCACCCTCAGGCTCGGAGTACTGAAAGACATGTCAGAAGAGATGGGATAAACAATATACACGGATGAAATGTTCTACATACCGGGATACCGAGCTCATCAAAGACCTCACAGAACAGCTTCATCTTCTGCTGCATCTCATTGCGGCTCTCGTCCCAGAAGCCAACCTTGTCTGCCTGCTCAAAGGCCACAGCAGCGGCTTCTTGGAGGGGAGACACACTGCTGTAGCAAATGCGGGTGTGTGCACCAGCAACGTACTTGATCAGATGCTCCGGTCCGATCAGATAGCCCACACGCCAGCCAGTGGCGTAGAAGGCCTTACCAGCCGAGCCCACAGTGAGGGTGCGTTCATACAGCTCGGGGGACAAGGTGGCAATCCTCGTAAACGGAACATAGAACAGGCGGTCATAAACTTCATCAGAAAGGATAATCAGGTTGTGCTTGACACAGAGGTCACCGATACGCTGGAGCTCTTCCTTGGAGAAGACCTTGCCAAGGGGGTTGTGGCTATTCAGATAGTCAGTATCATCAAATATATGGGATGAATTGGGTGCTTTGACTCACGGAGAGTTCAAGACCTACAATCGAGTGTTAGCTTCAGGTGTCTAATAATCCAACTACGCCAGGGGTACTTACAATCATTTTAGTCTTGGAGTTGATCGCATTCTCGAGCTCCTCGAAATCGACAGTCCACTCTGATGCAGGGGAGGTTCTGGTTGCGCCATCCTTGGGCGGGTGCAGGGGCACATAGCGGATGGTGCCACCAGGCATCTCGATATTGCTGATATACCTGTTTGAATGGGTCAGCAACTAGACTAGAATTGAGCTGGTCCTTGGTACAGGGTGAATCTTACTGGTCGAAGAAGGGCTCGAAAATAATGACCTCATCACCGGGCTCAATGAAGCCCATGAAGGCACTGAGCATACCTTCAAACCCACGCAGTCAGTCCTGTTTTTCCCACACACTCATTCTGAACCACTCACCCTCATTTGCGCCAGTGGTGACTGTGACCTCGGTCTCGGGATCCAAGGTTCGGCCGAAGGACTTTGAGTATGCGTCGGCAAGCGCCTTCTTCAGACGAGGACGACCCTGAGATAGGATGAGCTAAAGGCCTAACACAACCCTTGTATATTCAACACCTGCGTACCTTTGTCGGGGAGTATTGGTTGCATTCCACGCGGTCAAGGGCCTCCTTTGCAGCGTCAATTGCGAACTTGGGAGGGTTGTAGCCACTGCGCAAAGAGTGAGATGGGTGAGCAGTTGTCTAATACACGCAATATCACTCATCATAGAGCTCAATGATGACTCACAAGAATCCTTGGCCCATGTTCACAATCGGCTGCACGGGCGAAGCCGCAGCAGCTTCGTTGACAATTGACCTAATCCCCTCTATCAGAAACCCTTCCTAGCAAATTCATCGGGATGGCTAGATTATGCGCCATACCAGACATCCTGTCGTTGACCGGCGACTCTTTTTGCCGGCCGAAAAGGGTCGGGCCGCGCAGCTGTTGCGGACATTGCTCTTGCGCCGAGACCGTGGAGGCGGGGTAGGACCGAGGGAACAAGGGGCGCGGGTAGTCTGGGAGCAAAGGGCTTGGATCGTATGAGCGTGGCGAGACTAAACGGGCGACCGACAACCATGAGGGAAGAAGTGTGGAGGGACAATGAGGAAGAATTGCGGAGTCAAAGTGTCATCCAGGACTCGCGAATGGCGTGCTTACGAGGGGCAGATCATTAGAGTAACATTCTCCATCGATACAACAGTAATTGTTGCATAGTTGTATAGCCCCGGATAAGGTTGGTACTACCAATTAGAAGCTTCTCAAAATTCACAGCTGTCAATACCAGACGAGTCTCCTCTTTTTCATTCCATTTACACACTCTAGCTCTGCTTGTAAAATCGAATTCAACCATGCTTGACAAGGCACCAAGGCCACAAAGTCGGCGCTTTCTCCGAGATCAGATGACTAAGCAGCCATCGCGGTCGACGCGTCTCCGCAATCAAGCAGCTGCGTCTACGTGATGGTTGATTTGGCAGTCGACAACTCTTTATCACCGCATCAAATCACAATGGTGCTCTGCCCAATCTGTGAGAAGTCTGTTCCACAGCTCAAAATCAACGATCATATCGATTCGGGCTGTCAAAGCTTCGTGGAAGAGCCGTCTTCTTCCCCGAGCGATCAACCGTCATCTCAGAAAGGACCAGTTCCCAGCATCTTCCAGCCACCGTCCGCACGAAAAGCCCAGAGCCAGTTCAGCCAAACCAAAGAATCCCCATCACGCCCGAATATTACAACACCACGACCTCTCAATGGCAAAAGATCCTTCACCCAAGACTCCCCGCTGTCCCAAGAACACAATGGCGTGAAACAACCGAACGAGGAAGCAGTGGAACCGCAGGCTAAGCGGACAAAGGTCAATGCATTCCAAAGGGCCGCCCCATTGGCAGAGCGGATGCGCCCGAAGACTCTAGATGAAGTGTGTGGTCAGGAGCTCGTCGGCGAGAATGGTGTTCTCCGAGGTCTCATCGAACAAGACCGGGTACCAAGTATGATTCTATGGGGAAGTGCTGGAACAGGCAAGACGACAATTGCCCGCGTGGTAGCATCGATGGTTGGAAGCCGATTCGTGGAAATCAACAGTACAAGCTCCGGTGTTGCTGAGTGCAAGAAAATATTCGCTGAGGCCCGCAGTGAACTCGGTCTCACTGGAAGAAAGACGATTATCTTCTGCGATGAAATCCATCGGTTCTCCAAATCGCAACAGGATGTGTTTCTGGGGCCCGTGGAAAGTGGCCAGGTCACGTTGATTGGTGCAACCACGGAGAATCCATCATTCAAGGTCCAGAATGCGCTGCTTTCACGGTGCAGGACATTTACGTTGTCCAAACTGACAGACGAGGACATTGTCTCAATCCTCCAGCGAGCACTTAGAGTCGAGGGTCCGAACTATTCTCCTTCAGAATTAGTTGATGATGAGTTGATACAGTATCTGGCTCGATTCGCCGATGGCGATGCTCGAACCTCGCTCAACTTGCTCGAACTTGCCATGGACCTGTCCAAACGACCGAACATTACCACAGAAGATATAAAGCAAGCCTTGACTAAAACCCTTGTTTATGACCGTGCTGGTGATCAACACTATGACACAATATCAGCATTCCACAAGTCGATTCGAGGTAGTGACCCGGATGCAGCACTATACTACCTTTCTCGCATGATCCAGTCAGGCGAAGATCCTCTGTACATTGCTCGAAGACTGATAGTTGTGGCTTCTGAGGACATTGGTCTGGCCGATAACACCATGTTAACTCTTGCAATTTCCACTCACTCCGCCGTGGAGAAGATTGGCCTGCCCGAGGCCCGCATTAACTTGGCCCATGCAACGGTGGCAATGGCCCTGTCGAAGAAGAGCACAAGGGCATACCGTGGACTGAACAACGCCTTTGCTGCATTGAATGAACCAGGGGTTGCAGGACTCCCTATTCCCATTCATTTGCGAAACGCTCCCACGAAGCTGATGAAAGAGCTCGGCTATGGCAAGGAGTACAAGTACAACCCGAACTATGTCGATGGTGAAGTGCAGCAAGACTACCTCCCGGAGAAGATAATGGGACGCACATTTCTGGAAGAACTGGACCTTGGGACGAAACGAGACCCCGAGTTGGGCCACACAAGTCACTCAAAAATCTTTTTTTAACCAGTTTGACTATCTTCCAACTTTTCAAAATACACTCGAAAACGCTGCCTTTGGAGACAGGAAAATGAAAATGCACAACACTGCCAGACGAGCTACCATTGCTGTAGTTCGCTACCAGGCTTGTATGCGCAGGCGTGGGAAACAGTACTTGCCCTTTTCGAGCAGCGGTTTTCTCGGGGCGACATCATCCCCAGTTACCTAAGCGGGAAAGTAGGGCTGCTCCAACGCCTTCCTTTCTACACCTCCAGACCAGTTTCATTTACACCCAACTTCAGTTCGTCACCACTGTTCTTTATTCTACTACACATTTATCCATCAACTTATCCATACACGAGCAACGCATCTGCGGACTCAGAACACGATGTATCCTGGCCAGTTGCCCGGTCTCAAGCGTGAGGAGTCTGTGAGACTCCATGTCAACGAAAGACGACTACCGACTCCTGTCAATCACTTGAACACTCTTCGACCTCAACCTCCGGGCCCTCCCAGTGCTCGGGCTTTGCCCTTCACGATGTATCGCTCAGAAGTTTCGTCGGGGAGATTATCACTATCAGCCACTCACGGTTATTTGGACTATATCCAGTCTCCGGTCTCTGAGCCCTCCACTTCATGGGCTCTTCCCACGGGAGTTCAACGCCTGCTGGGCTCTACTGGGTCGATGTCGATGTCTGTATCTGTATCTGCACCTCATCACAGCTTGAACTCCAGTCAGCCTTTTGTTTCGGGGTCATCTGCTTTGTGGGCTACCGTGGTACCCTTCACCCATGGTTCTGCCGCCCCGGTTCCTCAACCAACGCAGGGTAATCACTCGCACTCTGCTCAGCCTTTGGGCTGGGGGGTTTCTGCATCGCGGGCCTCAGACGTTTCCCACTCGCAGGGCTCTTCAGTGCCTATACCTCAACGCGTATTTGACTATTACCATCACACTTTTCCACAACGCAGCCTCATGTCCCAGGCCCGGCGAGCTGTCAAACGAAAAGCGCAGAAGCTCTCTTCCCCGGCAAACATCTCTCATTTTCAAAACACGTTTCGAAGCTCTTCTATCGCAAGTGGTTATGCCTCGAGCCTTCACGACGGTGGTTCGGATGAACACTCCTCATCACTCGTTGGCCGAACAACTTCCGACACAGCAACCTTCACCACGGGCTCACCATCTCCGGAGGGAGAGCTGAAAATCATCATGGAAGACCCTCAGAACGGACACCTACACCGTGAAAAGAGAATCCGGACTCAAGAGGAGCTTGACGACCAGAAAGAAGGCATGCGAGTCTTGAAGGACAACGGCGGAGCCTGTCAGGCATGCTACAAGAGTAAGAAACGATGTGGACCCGGTGATCCTTGTCCCCCTTGTGCTGCACGCAATCGCGAGTGCATTAGATCCGATCGAAACGATGGTGAGACTGTGTCTGCTGGTGGCCAGCCTACATCCGCGTCCGCTCCCGCGCAACCTCTATCTACATCTTCACAATTTGTCTCGACGTCTTCTCAATCTTCCTCTTCACATACTGAACCTGTCTCTGCCCCCACCCCCCTCCCTCTCCTCACATTGGTTTCGAGAATCTAACCTCCGTACAGAGCTCTCTGATCGATCGTCCCAGTCGTCCCGAGGACATACCGACGGAGATGACCTCGAATGAAGACCCACCGGCCTTGGGCTGCGACCTGCTTGAGGATTACTTGGACCCATTCTTAATTGATCCCTGGCAGGATGGTATGAATTGTATCGACAGCGCCTACGACAATGTCAGCTATCATTGGGTTGGCACAGGTGCCAATGGCCATCTCACAATTTAGATGGGTGGTTTCTACGTTCTTTCCTGTGTACAGGTCCCTTGTGAGCAACACCACGTCTGCCTCCTTGTCGGTGCCGGATTCAATGCCTATATTATGTTTGTCGACCAAGCCTGTTGAATATTTTCTTGCCTGGGAACAGGCGCACGAGATGTTTATTATTATCACAAACCGCGCCTTTTGTTTACTTTCGCTTGAGGTTGGGTAGATACTCATTGCTCTGTTTTTTCCTGTCCTTTCCTGTCCATGTTATTAGCTAAATACCCCCCGGCGCACATTGCTCTCTGAAATGGAATGACTTCGATATGAACTTTGAGTAATCATGCCAAGTTTAAGAGAATTGCTAAAACGACACCCCAAAATTGCTAATTCGACACTCCCATTACCGAAACAGGCTAAGTGCTGTAAAGCCCTTACCATCTTCTACAGTAATTCCCTGTGACGATTGTAAGATTCTGCCATGTCGATTTATGTACATTTATGTACCCTTTACAGAACCCTGGAGTACTCTACTAGCCACGTTTTACTCTCTATTCTAAACGGCCTTCCCACGCTGATCCAGAAGAGGAAATATATGCTAATTGTTTTTTATTTGAGAAACCGATAAATAACTTGTTGCCTTCGCCTATAGACTGAATGATGATTTAAATGATAGTTTCAATGATAGGTTTAATATGATTTTAGTTGACGATTAAATCAGCGATTAACTTAACGATTACGTAGAAGGGATATCCTCGAGGTCTAAGTTATACCAATCAAAAGTATGAATGAATCCAAGGGCTATAGCGATGGTAAGGAAGGAGGAATCACATACGGAGTATCACAATATAAGCAGGGTAGTAAGTAGGAATCTAGAAGTTTGAAACCCCGACAAATTTTCAAAATCATCCTTGGAGTCAGGATTTGAACGATAAACCAAAAAAGGATATCTGTGCTAGCTATTAAGAAAGATGATTCGAAAGATGATTCGAAAGATGATTCGAAAGATGATTCGAAAGATGATTCGAAAGACATTAAGATTTCTAAATAACGTTGTTACTCCACAGCCCGCAACATCCCAAACGTGTGGCTGATTTCCTCCCGCGTCGGCGCGTCTCAAGAATCCTCTTCTCTTTCTCCACCGCCAACCACCACAGCCTCAGTCCAACCTCCATACCACAACGGGCCACGAGCCCCAATCCCCTCCAGCCAACATCAATTGACATTTTCAACCAAAACACCCAATCTAATCTTCCTCGACTCCCACATTTGTATACTCGCACGAGTCGACCGCCATGGCCTCCGGCCAACCGTTCGCGTCGCGCTCCTACGCGGGCACCAAGATGCCAGACCGCTCTGTCAACACAAACGCTATGCCCTTCAGCGCCTCATCTTTCTCGAGGCATCGCGGTATGGGCAACCCGGGTCCTGGAGACTTCGGTGGCCCCGAGGGCCCTAAGCAAACGCAGCAGCCTCCATCCGCACCTGCAGCGACGCAGTCCCATGGGCCGGGACAGGATGCGAACCCGCTGAGTCGGTTGACTGAAGAGCAAAGAGAGGAGATTAATGAAGCTGTAAGGATCGCATCCCACGAATGCTGCCTTGTCTCTGCGTCTGCACTCGCTCCTCCGAGAGCAACGTGCAGTGCCCAGCGAACCTCCCCAACCACCGAAACAAAAAGAAAAACAAAATCACTAACCATATACACACCTCCTCCAGTTCACCCTCTTCGACCTCGACCGCGACCGCCACCTAGACTACCACGAACTCCGCGTCGCCTTCCGCGCCCTAGGCTTCACCCTAACAAAACAAGAGCTCATCTCCCTCCTCACAACCTACGGCGTACCCCGCCCCCAAGTCCAACAACAACAGCAACAATCCTCCTCCTCCGCCCTCCAACAAAACTCCAAACAAACAGGCTCAAACCCCCAACACCCCTCCAACCTCCTCATGCCTCTATCCTCCTTCCAAGCCGTCACGGCCCTGAAGATTCTGGAGCGAGACCCGCGTGATGAGATCCTCCGCGCGTTCGAGTTGTTCGATGAGGGCGGGAAGGGTTTCATCGATTTGGAGGATTTAAGGCGCGTGGCGAGGGAGTTGGGCGAGACGGGGCTTGAGGAGGAGGAGTTGAGGGCTATGATTGAGGAGTTTGATCTGGAGGGTGTTGGGGGTGTTACGAGGGAGGCTTTTGTGGGAATTTGTTGGCAGTGAGAGAGAGTATGGACCGTGGTGCTATCTACTGTGGGAAGAAAGGGGGAAGGGTTGTGCCTTGCATGAGGGGGTTTTTGGTGTTGGGTTTATATCTATTTTTGTTTTGGGTCTTTCCCTGCTTTGTCTGTTGTTTTAGTTTGGGTGTTTCTCTCAATTTCATTGAATTTAATGTTCTCAAGACTTTCATGCGGTTTGAATTCCCTTGGACTACAGTATTAGACTACGGACGTACTACAGCAGGTATAATCTTCCAGCTTTGTCAGAGGTAAATTCATAGCCGAAGCGGTGTCCACTCCTCTAAATGCAGATATACCACGAAGAGAACAAAAAGAGAGAGAAGAAAACAAAGTAGACATTCACAAGAAGGTTAGAAGAGTTCTGATACCCAATATCCCGAGTGTGACCGAATCTTATACACAAATAAAGTCCAATATTGACGCCAAAAAGGGAGAAGACCAAAATATCCCAGCCAATTTAGAACCCAAAGAAAATGACCTGTAACCCGGCCAGCACGCAATGCATAAAAGGAGAGAAACCTACCCTCGTATAAACCAATCGAGGGAGGATATGTGAAGGAGAGAAAGGTTCATTATTAAGCGTACCGAGGCGGAGGCGCTTGTGGATATCCACCGTTAGGATATCCAGAATCAGGGTGGCCATACCACTGATTCATGGGCGGACCAGGCGGAGGACCAGGCGGAGGACCATAGGGAGCACCAGGTGGAGGCGGCGCTCCACGAGGAGGTCCCCGACTAAGCCTGCGGCCCTGATAACGGCCCATCACAGGTGCAGAACGGGCATTCTTCGCCATGTTCCTTCTAACTCGGGCCGCACGGCATCGCTGGACGAGAGAAAAGAGCACGGTGAGGACGATGAGACTGCCCACGCCAACAGCAATGCCAATGACGAGGTTTTTGTGATCCTTGATCCAGCCTCCTACGGAGGAACCCTTGCACTGGCCGCCATAGCAGCGACCGCCAGAGTCACAGGGTGTACCGTCCATGAAGTTCTGGTACGTGTCAAAGCAGGTGTTGGGGGGATACCCCTGGAGTCGCTCGGCCGTGCCGCAAACCAGGCGGCAAGATGGATTCATCGTCATCTCACTCGAACAGGCCCAGGTATCGTTGGTACTGAGGAGGGAGCCCATGACACTACGGCATTGATAGTCGCGACTCGTGCATTGCCCGCTGGCACAGGTGAGACCACTACCGCAAGAGGAGCCATCATCTTTGTATGTGTCGCTGGGGCAGGAACTCGAGTTTCCGGAGCAGGTCTCGGCAATGTCGCAGGCGTTTGTGCTCGCGCGGCAGACCGTGTTGGCGGGTGTAAATTGGCAGCTGGTGCAGCAGCTGTCGTTGGAGTCATCGCAGACGGCGTTGTTCTTGAACTTGCATGTCTTTGCGTCGCAGCAGGCATTGCTAGCACAGTTTTCCTCGCCGCCGCAGTCACAGTCTTCGCCAGTTTCGACGATGCCGTTGCCGCACTTGCTGCCGATGATAGTCGTGACTCCGCGGTTGTCGGAGAGACAGGTTGACTTGATACTATTGCGACCAATGGCGGAGCAGATGTTGCCGATTGTGCATTGAGAGAAGGTTGTCATGCTCGGGTCTGCGTACGGATTCATGATGTACTTGGCATTCGCATTACAAGTAGTCGATGTTAGTGGGCAACACTGGGAAGAGACTTCTAGATGGTCAGAGCATGCCGACGTATCACAATCATGGACTGCTCCGAATGTGTGTCCGGTCTCGTGAGCGAAGATCTGCCATGCAGAGCCTTGGTTGCCGACCACGACATTCGCGCCCGACACCGAGTTACCATCACTCGAGGTGACAACGTCGGAGTTGCACAGAGCACCCATCCAGGAAACGCCGACCTCCTGGCCAGTAGGGCAGCCGGTCATCAGGGTCCAGTAGGCGTTGCTGTCCGCGTTACTTGCACGCCACTTGGAGAACTCGTTCAGTCGCCAGGTCATATTTCCGCCATCGCAGCCAATATTCCACGGTGCCGCTGCAGTGGCTGTCGTTGGACAAGGTTGGTCGTTCACAGTGAGATTGCGCAACCCGATAGACACATTGAATGAGTCCTCGTACAAGTTCGATGCTGTGTTGACCATGTTGATGACAAAATCCTTTGCCGCATCCTTGGGGGTTGAGTTGGATTTGAAAAAGTCACTCATTTTACAGTCCGTTGCCACACCAATCAGAGCCACCTTTCTGGTCTTGGGGCATCCAGATGTATCGCCAACAGTGCTCCTCAGATTCACGCCGGCCGTATTACCAGATCCCGGCACATCATTGGATTGGCGCTTGCTGAGCCCAAACAACGAATTCAGTGGCATGACTCCCCATTGGCTATCCGGCTGGTCGACACCAAAGGGAAAAATCGAGTTGGTCAAATCAGCGTTATAGTCGAGTTTATTCGCTGAGCAACCCGTGGGATCCTCCAGCGACCGCTTGAGCTCGCTATGGTGTTGAATCATATCGGTGTCTCGGTAGACTACCATGTAGTCGCCCCTTCGGTGCTCGATATCGGTGTCGATGGGGCGCTTTTTGGCCAGGTATGTTGACTGCAGCTCGATGTGGTGCTTATTATGGTCGATACTGAACGCACCCTCAAACAGGGGCTCGGGGCCGTCCTTTCTTACGCTGATCCGAGCCCAACCTGCAGGAGTCCATCGTCCCTGACCCGAGCCGACCAGGGCCCGGCCGCGAAAGACTTTGTGCTCGTGTCTTTGGATGGGTTCGCCTTCCCAGAGTCCATCAGGGCCAATATATTGGACGTAGGCATCGTCGGCGAGGATATCGTGATTCGGCTCGAGCTCCAGCTTGATCCGCTGTCCGTCGCGGTGCAATTCGAAGGTGAGATCAAAGTGTGAGAGGTGGTCTATTTGGTGTGCTTCGGTGCGAATAACAGCATTATCGATCGGGGTGGTCCGGCGAATAGCTTCTGACGCTTGAGATCGCGCTGGGAAGGGGCAGGCAGTCAGTAATCAGTCAAGCGTTGTAGCCGCCGAGAAAGCGGCGGGAGACGAGACACACCTTGAACGAGTGTGAACAGAGCCGACACTGCCCCAATTACGGGCAGTACGCTCTGTGGGAACCTCATTGTCGGGCAATGATGGTTGTAAAAGAGAGAAACTCTCGGAGTGTAAGGAGATAATTATGGTGCGCTTCAGTATCGGTGGGGAGAGATTCCAGGGTTTCCAGGGTCCAGCCAGGCAACGATTCAGGGATCACAAAGGGTCCACCCGGAGATCAACGGAGATTAGGAATCACCAATCAACATAACAGGTCGGGGGATAAGTACTGTAAATAGTCGAATGTAAGTTGTATAATAATAGTTGGTTAGAAAGATGAGGACGATAGAAGGCGATAAAAGAGATCCAGTGAATACCTGACAGCCCCGGCGCCTCCAGTGACGAAGCGGAGTTCTTCCAAGACGCCAAGCACGAAGGATTCCAATGGGACCGACGAGGCTTGGCCTTGGCACTGAAATACTGTGATTAACTGGGATTAACTAACTAGGATAATTAGAATAACTAGGATGAATTCGGTCGTATGAAGAATTAAGTAATGGTAATGTACAGAACTTAACTCCGTTACTTTTCCTGTCTTCATCTTGTACAACTGTCTATGTGATACTGTCTACATAGTAGGTTACCCAGCCTCGTTCTCCGACGCATGGAATGTCTGATGGGCCAACTGAGCAAAATGGGGAATCACCACTCCACACAGCGAACATTCGACATTCGCCCGACTACTCACTCGCCACAACCCATCGGACTCGTCTTCTTCCTCCCATTCCCCGTCCTCCCAATCTGAAACCACTACACTACCGCTAGGCTGCTGCATTTTTCCTTCGCCCGAAGACTCTTGGCCTTGACCTTGATTGGTATCCCGATCCTTGTCATCCTGCTCTCCCCCCTCATGTTCTGGTTCGCGCACCGTCCAGTCCCGCAGCACAGCCTCTTGCTGACGGAACATCTTCCCTATATCTCGCCCACTGCTCTGCTTCTGGTCCCCAGCACTCTCCACCAGATTAGTGACCGCGATATTCATCAGCTGCAGGTCCCACCCGGCCTTTTCGGGATGCAGTTTGCGGAACATAGTCATCGCATATTCGTGGACGAGTCGCTCGGCGATCGCATCGATATTCTCGTCGACATGGAAGACAAAGCTCGGCAGTGGCGCCGACCGGGAAATGCGATTCCAATTATATGACCGCGCCCCATCTGTCTCTGGCGGGTTCCGTGGCCGAGTTGATAAGCGTAGGGTGCGTGGGTGGGCCAGCCACCGGGGCTGAGGCGCAGTGCTGTCAGTTTTGTCGAGCAGATCGGTCCTCATTCGTCTGATTAAACTCCTTGCCAGTATCTCCAATTCGCGTCGTACGTTTTCGATAGTGTCGAGGCGTCCGCGCCCGTAGGTATCCTCGATACTGATTTGAGTAGGTAGGTCGCGTGCTTCGAGCACGTCTGTATTGTCGACCCCGTGCAAAATGCTCCAGACTTTCATCCCGATTCCCTTGGGTGCACCTGGTCCGCCGAGGGTCTTTTCCAAAGCTGGTGGGCCCATGCCAGGGAATAGGCGGACGTCGCGAACGGTCAGTTTTTCCTCTCCAGTAGTTTGGCCTGTCACCTTGAGCCTTAGCTTCTGGGCCAGCCGTGATCCAATTCCAGGAATTTTTCGAATCTCGTGGGCATCCATAAACTGGGTGACATTGCTGTCTGGGGAGTCGGGGTCGTCTGGTGCCTCGTAAGGGGGCAGCAGTGTCGTTTGATTGTTGGGTTTGCGTACGCTGCCAACCAACTTGGCCAGCAGCTTCGATGTTGACACACCACCCGTAGCCGTGAAGCCCTTCTCATGTTCCATCCGACTCCGTAGATACCCAATAAGATGAGATCCCAAGAGCAACCTCATATCCAGTGATGATATCTCTGGCGATGCCACCGAACCATCTTCCGTGGGCGGATAGGTAGCACCAAGATAACGAGTGGCATCATAAGTAAACCCAACGGTCGGATCCTTCTGATCCAGATGAAAAAATGAAGCCGTCAAGTCATTCGAGTTCAAGAATTGAATATTGTACTCAATCATTTCCGTGACATCCAGCGAGAGTTCATCAAAGCCCAGTCTTTCCACGCGCCCGCCCCAAATGAAGTCGCGCACAAATGAATAAAGATCCTTAGATGCATCGCGAAACTTGGTCAGGTCTTCCCCAAGGACAATCACCACGTCAGGACAGATGCGTTTCGCATCCTTGATAAGCATCAATTTGTGTAGGCCACGCCGTCGTGCTTCGTAATTGCATGTCACCACAATTTGCTTCTGCTGGACGGCCAGGGGCACCGACTTGAGTGCTGGCTGCTCTACCTCAAACACCGAGGCATAGAAACAGTCATAATCCTGTATCGCATGTATTAGCGGCGAAGAGGGTTGAGAAAGGGCGTGCTGGGGTTTGAGAGGTCTACCAGGTGGAGGATGACTCGACGGTCGTGACGCGCCGGTACTGCAGCCATCGACTCTGTGATGACACAGGCTTCTCCATGGATATGAGGGATTTGAGCCTAGGTGCGGTCGGTAGTTGGATATGTATGAAGAAATCCTGACAATTTACAACTACAACCGCAGAGTGGATTTTGCGTTGAGTGATCGCTCTTTGATGGTACGCGTGGCTCACGTGGCTGGAACTGTGGCTGATTGGTCGGTGGCTGTCTATGCATCGCTGGACTTTATCTTGACTTAGAAGGCTCATATTGATAAATTTCACTCAATCAGAGAGGTCCCATCGTATGAAACGAATAACTTTACAATTATCTTCAAAATTAGAACTACAAACCCCAAAATCGGAATCGATCCGGAATACATTGGACAACTCAGTCATCAAAGCGCCAGATACTTCACATCGTCCCACAGCCCAGAGAGGCCAGACTACCGCAAGGGGTTGAGAGCGACCCTCGATCGATCGTTCTCTACGGCCTCAGTGCCGGTGGTATGTTAACGTACCACACGGCCGCACTGAACGAGAAAGTCAAGGGCATTGTGGGCATGACATTCTTGGACCAACGCATCCAACAAGTTCGCGATGAGACAGCGAGGAATCCTTTCATGAGCAGGGTTGGAGTCCTTATGGCCGGACTTAGTGATATCCCGCTGTTGAGATCATTTTCCCTTCCGATGTCGCTCGCGAGCAAGATGTCCACCTTGGTCAACCACCCGGCTGCGTTGAAGGTCTTCATGGCAGATCGGTCTTCTGCGGCTTCTTGGGCTCCGATGCACTTCTTGTCATCGTACTCGTCAAATAGCCAGCCCCTGAGCCTGAGAACTTTGATGTCTGTCCTATTCTCCTGACGCAGCCTGATCGGGATAAATGGACCCCTCTGCATCTCAGTGAACTGGTTTTGTCGCTTGTCAAAAAGGTGTCAGTCAAAACCGTGATTCTTGAAAATGCAGGTAATTATTCTATTGAGGACCCTGGGCTTCAAATAGCCGATGCGATCATTAAATTTCTTCGTGGAATTGAGATCTGAAGTTGTTTTCATCAAACTTGTTTTCATCATTTCTACTTCACTGGTTGACCTCTTATCTTAATAACGGTTAGTCGAAGCTTGGCTACATTTTTATCTTGTATTTTAATGCTAGTTGAATGATATTTATCATTCTCTTCATCACTCCACTCCATAGAGGAAAGAAGCGTAGGAAATAGGAGAACTAAAACGACATTAACCTCGTGAGGTGAAAGCCTCACAAAGTTCAGAGCAGCAGGAACGCCGTTTGAACCAATGTGCCAATCAAGAAGGCCTTAGATATCCCAAATTCAGAGGCTAGAGATGTTTGCGCAAAGCCCAAGAGATCCTGGTAATCCACAGGTTTCATAACAGTATAATGTACGTCCGAGTCAACATGTATACCGTTTGAAGGCATTTGACTGGGATATATGATAGTGATGATCGGGGTAGAGTATAAGAGCATAGTAACAAGTCCAAACAAATCCTGGCAATCGATTAGGAGTTATCATCGATCAAGGTAAGGTTATAATTTGGTGTTGTGCCCGGATTGCAAATGAGGTCGTCTGTGTTGTTAGAAAGTCCACTCAATACTGCATCAGAAGTTAGAAGACTTGGACAAGATTTCAGTGTGCAGGATTTAAGAGAAGCCTTACGCCGTGGGTGAACATCTTAACATCATAACCAAGACATGACTCCAGGTGGATGACGACTATCTCTCCGGCTATCTGGTTGCAAGTCCCGTAAGATCAGTTTCGAATTGTGCAATGCCATTCCGTGCTGCAGTCTGAACAAGCTATGTCATGTCTGCTATGCATTTCGCTGGAAGGATCCCATCTGTTGGGTCTTGGTGAATTGTCGACGTATTGTAGTGCAAAGACGCCGAAGGAAAGAACAAGGCACAGCCTTGTATACTGGTAGGACTGTTCAAAGTGTCGTTCGCTCGTGGCCCAAAGTAGAAACTTCGGGACATTTCAACCGTATCTCGATCATTTGGGTGTGCTACTACCCCCATAACCCAACTCAGTGGCACCGTTTGGTTTTGGACAAATTGTGATGTAAAGACAGCGCTATCCGTGGCAGATGTGCCATTGCCGTTACAAGCTGCGCCAATGCTTGAAGAATTTCGAGTTGGTTCCGGGGGGATTGGCTTCTCAAGAGCGGCACATTGCAGCGCCGATAGCAATATGATCGACATCGTCCCAAAGGATTGAATGGACAGGGGATGTGACATTTTTGGAACAGAAAAAATTAATGAAAGCTGAATATGGACAGGAGAAAGCAATGCTAAATAAGAGTACTTTCAATGGACTTGACAGAACGTGGTGGTTTCAATCTTGGACGTTGCAGTGTCAGACAAGAACGTAGAGAGAAGGAAAATAAACGAAAAAGAATATAGAAGTGACATGATGATAACGAGGGGAGATTATAAGGAATGGCTCATCATGCTATATTTACTCCAATTTAGAATTGGGAGCCGATACATCAATAACAAACACTGGTTCATATTTCACACGTGCGCCCACAGCATCGCCAATTAATATTTTGTTTGACCATTTCAGATGATAATGTGAGATTGAGGAGAATTAGGACTCCATTTTTTCACTCCCATTCAAATCCTTCGTCGCGCGCACCACGAACAATAGCCCTCGCATCCTTAAACCAGACAAACTCAAGCTCCAGGCCATTCCTCTCCAACAACCTCCCCGACGGCTTTTAGCAACAAGACCACAGCTCCTATTATTCAACGAACTACCTCAACGGCAAATATACCATGGCAACCTCAGTCTCCTACAGTGCGGCCAGCCTCTTGCTTGAACCTCTCCCTGATCTCGACATTTCCTCTTCCCGTACGACCAGGCACGCGTTGCACCAGATACACTTCGTTGGAGCCCTCCAACCATGGGCCAACTTTAAGACAGATGTTGCAATTACATACAACAGCCAGGCCTAAAGCCCGCGGGCTTTAGCTTCCAGCTTGACCGGCAATGACCTCACCGGCTCAGTCCGTCTCAGAATCAGAATCTCAAACTAGGATCCTTCAAGGGTGCCCTGCCGCCGTATCAAGGATACCTTAAGGCCCCTGATTTTGTGCTTATGACCTTAGCCAAGGTTGCTAAGGTCCTAGGAGAAGCTAAGTTCCCTGGATAGAAAAGCACTGCCTCGAACACCTCGTCAATGAATTTGAGACAGGTGCCGAAGAAGAAACGTTGAGGCACGCACTAGGTTAGTATAACAAGCTATTAATAGGATAGGATTCTTACTAATATATCCCTATAGGCCAAATTGCGAAGTATATGCTTGAGTCAGATCTGAAATATGCATTCTTAACCACGTACGAGCAAACAATCTTCCTACGGAAGGTAGATATTGGTCGAGTATGGGGACTGGAGTATTCTCCAGTAATTTACCATCATGAAAGAGGAAGCACGTCTTCGGGGGGGAACAGTATCATTTTGTCAGAGTCTTTATCATGTTGGATTGCTAGCCCTCTCAAACGCGGCTTTTGACACAAGCACAGGCATGCGGAACCAGCCTTGGACGCACAGATTATGTGGCTACTTCGAAAGTACATAGTTAATTGTGGAGAAACGTGACTTGGTCGTAAATTCTGCCAGTAAATCTTGCTTAATAATTATGCATTGGAGAATGGCCGCTACGCACCGCCGTAGACGCACAATGCCTATGATAGAGTGATCTCGTTCGCCGTAGCTGTCAAGTACATGATTGTAATGTTTCCTAGCATAGTAGAGCAAAGATCAACGTGAGACTAAACGCAAAATTCTGTTTCCTCCTTAGCTACCATTTCCAGCGTGAAGTATCCTTATCCCAGTCTTTCCATCTGACTGGAGTGTCCGGTAAAGCAAGCTCAAAGGTCGCGATCAGCTCGGCAGGCTCAGCCGAACGTATAGGTTTGCCCTTCATGGTCTTGCTGAAGTGACCGATAAAGTAGCTATATCAATCAGTAAGTGAGTAAGCTAGGATATCATGGTTCACATACAGTTTTTGAGTCTCTCGGTGCCAAACTAGATTTCTTGCTCTGCCCAAGCTCGGGTACCATCCATACTCCTTGATCCTGCTGGAGAATTCATAATAATTAGATTCAGTGATAGAGAGAAAGAGAGAGGGAGAGATTATCGAACTTACTCAAGAGCCTTCAGAAAGGATATACGGATTTGCTCTCTTTCATTGCTTTCAAGACCCCAAAATGGACCGGCGCCGTCTCTATCACCAAGGCGTAGTCCCGGAACAATTTCCCAAACAAGCCATATGATGAAGCCACCTGGAACTAGCCCTGAGGGATCCTGAGTACCAGTCTTGTGTCCGAGGAGCTTTGGTGTGATATTTGAGCGCTTTTCAGTTAGATCGAGCAGAGCGGCTAATTCTTGCGGGGTCCATGCGGTGGCCTGTTGGCCTCTGGTATCCTTGTCATCCATTTCAGTTGTTCGATGGGGAATTTGAATGTAGACTCGCATAAGAGCTTGTGCGGAACGTCGTTGAGGATCACAACATAAAAATTTAGCCGATGCGAAAGAACGGAAGCCATATGCCTTATTTTGCTCCACAGTGGCCTGAGAGTTACGCTCGTCCAGATTCTTGAGGATCCTGTAATGGACGAGAGTGGTCATACCTGATGGTCATACTCATTCAGCTTCTCAAGGATTTTCCATGCGCAAGGGAAGGGTTTATCAAGGATGATGATAGTTCCAGGATCGGCGCCCTTGCGGAACCAGGGCATGGAGGATGTCATCGGAGCTGCGTTGGATTGGTGCTGTGGGTGTGGGAGTGGGAGAAAGTCGATTGGAAGGTAGATCAAAGCCTGAAGTAAAGGGTGAGGCTCGTATGTGGGTCATATGTGGGTCATAGTTATGTAGACCAAGACGGTCAGGATCCAGAGGCGGTCAGTTATGTCATGTGACTAGCACTAGATAAAGGTCAGGCAGAACTTCCAGCTAACTACATACTGTAGTTGTGACTCTAATTACCCCACAATTCAAATGAATACAACAAAATTAGCACATATCCACAAGATGAGCATATCCTTTTTCGATCAGGACGGAATCGACATTCTGGCGACGATCCACGCGAATTACGAAGGCGATCACTTCGTATTGCACGGAGAAAGGTTTACAGTGTGGGTGGCATCAAGTGGGGGCGCAGATCGATCAACTCCCTGGAGTGGATTTTGCGTTATCGCTCAAGATAGAAGATTGATTTTACGAGGTCAAGAGTGTAGGAACAACAATATCCCTCTCTCATCATCGTGTCGTATGAAACTTGAGGATTATCGTAAGCGAGCAACACGATGCTCGGGCTTGGGGGCTTCTGAAATACGGGGTGGATCCCGACCAGAGTTGAGGGACCGTTTGAATCTCCCATGGACGGTCATAATAGTTGGGGAGGTGGAGATTATCCTCTTGATCGAATACGGGGCAGCTGTGTGTTATCCGATGGGAGTATCAAATGTATCAAAACTGAAAGTTGAATTAAATGGGTTATATATTCTCAAAGCATGGGCTGAATTTATTGGTGGGACTCCTGTTTTGTTAGATGGTGTGTGGAGTGTTGCGGAAGTTCAAGGAGATGGACGAGAGAAGTATTGCGCACGGACTGCCGTTTGGGCACGTGTGGAGTGTTGGAGTTGGACTGTGTAGTTGAGGTGAGGAGATGCGAGGGCGAAAACTGAACCAAGTTTATTGTGGAAGATGAGGAAATACGATGAAAGGAGACGGAAATAGTTTGCTGGCGAGAGACTTGGTTGAAGGAGTCCATACTTAGTTGTAGGCTGGGCAAACCATGGTTGGTCCCGTCGGCCAACGTTCTAGAATTCTAGAACAAAACCAAATATTATCAACTTCCACAGACAAGAACTATATGACAGGAAGACCACACTTGAAAGTAGAGAGCATCTACTACTAACCTCATGATTGAGTCCATCGGCTATATGAACAGAGACAAAAAAACTCTTCAAGTAACAACATCCCCGACGTGTTCAGAAAAATCACGTCGGCCTCGGCCATTCGATGAACGGGGCCCACTTGGTGTCGGGATCTCTTGGGATCTTTTTATAGAACTGCCTATGAGAGATCAGGAATGGCCACCAGGATGACTAACTACAGTAGGAATCGTCTTTCTTCGTATACGATGGTCGGTGTCAATGATAATGTTAGCGTGGTACTTCCACCCCTACTTCATGACTAATATTCTGCCACCCTTTTATTACGACTTCACGTAATTAAACCACTATAATACAATATATTACCGCCTAGTAAGGTGTATGGCCCCCCTGCGCGTCGATAACAGCCTGGCAGCGCTTCTGCATCAGATCAATCTGCTGGTCTAAAAAGCTTGTAGGAATCGCATCCCAAGCAGCTCGCACAGCCTCGCGTAGCTGATCATAAGATAGCTTACGATCATAGTCTTTCAAATATCGATCACCGATCCAATCTTTTATCCAATCCCAAACCTTCTCAATTGGATTAAGATCTGGCGAATACGGTGGCCAGTCGATAGGGTATATCCCACGATCGTGAAGCTCCTCAATAGTTAAGAGATTTCGATGAGATGGTGCGCCGTCTTGCATTACAATTAGATGTTGATCTAAATGATTGCGAGCCAGCGAAACCATACCGTCGATAAGAGGCACAATTCGCTCTGTATATCGAGCAGCAGTAATAGTGCCCCATTCCTTCTCCCAAAATAGACAAGGGCCTTTCTTATTATTATAGAATGAGCCCCAAAACATCCAGCCAGGTGCACGAGAAATTCGCTCTCGTACACAAGTATCATCAAATTCCTCACCAGCCCGACGCGTAACATAGATCCGTCGATGATAGACCGATGTAACCCAGGTCTCATCAGTCCATAATATCTTTTCCCACTGCTCACGCGTCCAATTAACGTGCTCTAGCGCCCAGATTAGACGCAGTGCTCGTGTACGGTCGGACAACGGAGGCTTTCGAAGGGCCTTACATCGATGATATCCACGTCTAGCTAAGGCCCTTCGTAAGGTGACAGAACTAATAGGGAGTTGTAGTTCTTCTATAACCCTAGAGTACGGCATCCGTCGTGTCTCTTTCGAAGATGAGATAAACTCGATTATCTCATCAAGCTGTTCTTCTGATAGCTTTCGACCTCGGCCAGGGGCCTTACGTGGTGTAGGCCTCTCATCAGTGCAAGCCTTTTGGACCTGACGCTGGGTAATGCCCAGTTTTGATGCAATTTGGCTATAGGTAAGCCCCTGAGCGCGCAGTGTACGCGCTGCGATGCGCTGATCACGACTAGCTTTATGGCTAGGGGTATGAGGGGCCTGGGGGGCCTGGGGGGTATGATCGGATCTTTCGTGATTAGTCTCCATGGTAGGTAGGTAGGTAGGTAGGTAGGAAGGTAGGTGGCTAGGTGGCTAGGTGGAAGGGTTTGAAACATATGGTATTGCCCTAATCCCTATTCGGAAGGCGGTTGGAGAGGGTATTAGTCATGAAGAAGGGGTGAAAGTACCACGCTAACATTATCATTGACACCGACCATCGTACAATCCTTCAAAGCTGTAGAATAGAATGATAGCAGATGGTGGAGATCAGTTATTGGTTTGCCTAGTTCCTATTCCCGTATTCTGGAGGAAATAGGATTGCCTACAGACCCCATGGCTGGCCCCACGATCGTCAAATCTCCAATTTATCTCTCATCGATCACTTGTTGTTACACCTGGCCTGTTTAAGTTTATTTTAGAACGGGCAAAACAGGCCAGGGTCGAGGCCGATCCCCATCTCCGACCGGGCTGGTGGTGGCGTCAATAGTTTGCCTGTCCACCCATCCACATGCCCAGAACAGAAGGAAAAACAAAAAATTCTGTTTTCTCCAGATCTCGAGATTGTTAAATAAGAGTAGATCGAGAATCCCAGATTTAATTTGAGATTGATGGATGATTTTGCTATCTCCTGCAGTATACTACCTCAGTAGTATACTTCCATAATAATAATCTGCGGCAGTGACGTTCCGATCACCTCGTCACATTTGCAAGCGCCAACTATTCTTAGCGCAAACTCCCCACCACTTGACACACTCCAACACTCAAGAGGGGCCCTCGCAGAGAAGATCTCTATCTCTCTTTTTTGAAGCCTTTTCCCCCACGTCATGCTCTATGACACACCTCTACACTTCTTCATCTGACAACTATCCTCACCCACCACCACCTTCATGTTCGACAACAATGTCCTGTCTTTCGTCGCCTCCAGGTGACCACCGATCCATCACCTCCAGACCCAAACTCACCCTACAAACCACCTCCCTTCCACGAACTTTCGGCAGTTCCACCACCGGCCTCTCTCTCTCCTTCGCAGCCGGAACCGCATCGCCGACCGTTCGAAACACATTTAAGAACGCTTACGATGTCGCCTCCCCCGCCTCCGCGACAAGTTCGCCTTCCTCGAAGGCCCCTCCCAGCCTTCGATTCAACAGCAACAAGCCCATCTCTCCTTACGTCCACCATGCGAACAACAACCCCAACTCTTTCAGCTACCGAAGCCCATACCAACTCCCACTAGGCGTACGCAGCATCCTACGCAACTCCCCGCTTGAATCAACCTCGCGGCGTCGCTCTGGATCCATCTCCGCAGGCACCAGCGGGCCCGGCGGCGCAGGCGCACGCCGGGTTTTCTTCCCCGCCAAGAAGCAAGTCAGCTACCGGAATCCACTCGAGGAGGAGATCCGCACCGAGCGCTACACGGCGCAGCACCTAGACCTGTTCCAAGAAGAGGAGACCATCGAGGCTGTGCACGGCAAGGCAGACCCCATCGCAGAAGAACCAAACCCCGAATCTGCCGAGGACGACGACTCTGATTCAGCCAGTTTGCTGTCTCTTTCCGAGACGAGCAGTGCCTCGAGCGACGAGGTGAGCCCGAATGATGGCGTCGCCAATACTCCGCTGTCCAAGACAGAGCGCAAAAAGCGACGCACCATGCGCGCTGAGCGACAAGTCCGAGCCGTCGCACTCCTCGACGGCTTCGACACAGATCCCTACGCCTCGTCTACACCACAGACTCCCCGCCAGGGTCGACTCAAACGGCGGCGCGAGTGGAGGTGGACGCTAGGCCCTATCAGCGCCAGCTCTGACGATGTTCATCCCGAGGTACCGATGCAAATACTTGCGCCTCAGCCGGTTGATCCCCCGCCTGACAAGCCACCTGGCAAATGACTATATGGCTGGCACTGGCAAATCCTACCATGTTGCATATTTCTTGCTCTTGTTTGCATAATGGCGACGCATATATACTATTCTGTTTGACGAATCATGTTTTCCATCACATATAGAGGCGCTGGTGGCTTTTTGCTTGTGGATTAGTCCTGTTTTTGGGAGACATCGCATACTACTACATACTACTTCTTTTATTGAGACCAAGGTACACCTTGGTACATTCTCTTCTTGAATATAATATATTTTCTCTTATTCACCTGCCGGTCTGTTTCTAACTTACCATTGCCTATCTGTAGCTAGACCATATGAAAGTAAAGCCGATCGTCCGGCGAGTATTAGAGTAAAAGCCAAGCGCCGTGGCTGTTAGAACCCCAGAAATATCGCGACATGGCAATCAAGGCCAAACAGCCATCATCGCGGGAAGATGTGCGACAGGGTGCATAAGTGGTCTTGGCAGGTGATGGAGGATGCAGATAATTATGCAGCTTGCAGTTCGGCTAGTTAACTAACTTGGGTAGTTAACATTTCCTAGTTGTTTGCTACTAAGAGGATCAATGGACGCCATTTGTAAAGGGTGGTTTGTCTCGCTGGAAGAGTATACCAACAAACAACTCGCAGAGTATCGATATGAGAATATCATGACACGTAGGACACGATAGATCAATTGGTTGCCTATTATGTTCCCAACCACCTTCTATTGTCCTCCTCTTAGAGTCATCATCTCTATCGCTGACTAACTCCATCATGGCAGGACTTAATTAACAGCATGCTCCAGGGTGGAATACTATATGCCCTCATGATACTGAACCCTTCACGGAAACCGAGATGACACTGTTTCTCTATGATGTGATGTATCTCGTCCGATAAGGCAGAAGCCCTAATCTTCAGGCCCTAATTTCCTATTCTGGACGTTGATTGATGATCGACGGACCAACCTTCACGCGTCGGGACGCGCCAGCGTTGGCCTTTCAACACATAGTTGAGCCCCTGACTTTTTGCTCAGCATTGGATCCATCACACCGGCTTCAAGTCAATCCGGTCATTATTCCTCATCATGGTCAACATTCAGGATCTCCCAGTGGAGCTTCTGAGCCGCATCATCTTCTTTGTTGCCCCTCTAAGGGGTCCTCTCCCGCCGGACTTTTTCAAAATACCCGCTCAGAAGCATGATAATGATGCCAATGCCAATGCCAATGGAGATGATGTCAGTAAACTCAACAAAGACACGGACGGTATCAATAACAAGAATGAGAAGGGTCCGCTCGGCGTAGGGTTTAGTACCCACTACAGGGATCTGCGGAACCTCTGTCTAGTCTCTCGCCGGTTTCGAGATGTGGCCCAACCTTCCCTGTTCTATAATTTTGAGGAACAGGGACTACGTGGCTACCTTAACGAGACCATATGTTTCGCTCGAGCTCTATATCTCCGCCCGGAGCTTGGAGAGCACGTCCGCGAGCTTGACGTCATGTATCCCCTGGACGAGGAGCGACCCATACCCCCTTCTGAGAAGGACTCTGCGCTCCTCATAAACGCAATCAAGGAGCTTCAATTGGGTGATAAGGAGGAAGCCTGGCTCTCCGGGTTCAAGGAGCTCGATCTCAGCGTCCTTACAGCGCTTCTGGTCAACAGGTGTCCCTATGTCCGTGGAATGTTCATTCCGGCAGCCTACGTTAACATGGGACCGCTTGATGATCTCTTCGACCGCAATCCATCATTGCTATCCGAGCTTCAATCGGTCACGTTTGAAGGCGAAGACACTTTCCTCGGTGTTAGCATTGCACCTTACCAGAGACTCTTCACACTCCCCAATCTCAAAGAGGTCATCCTTGAATACTCCGCTCTTGATGACGCCGCCTTCCCAAACGCCTGGACACCTGGTACAGTCACGGCGGAGAAAATAAGCTTCCGCCGGAGCCATTTAGATGCCGGTAGCTTGAAAAAATTCATGCAAGCCTGTAAAAAACTCATATCCTTCTCATACAAGAACTTCCATGTCGATGACGAAGAAGATGACGCATACGCGTTTATTAAGCCCGAGTTCAACGCTCCGCAGCTCTACGACGCCATCCTTCCGCACAAGGATACCCTTCAGAATCTTTCGCTGACATTCGCCTATGATCCCTGGGACCTGGAGAATCTCGAAGAACATCTTTCTCGCCGCGGCAAGCTTGGCTCATTCCGTGACTTTTCCGCGCTAGAAACCGTCTACATTGCGCATGCTCTATTGCCAGCGCATCCCGAATTCCCACCTTCTCTCAAAAAGCTGCACGTCGCAGATTGCGAGTCGTCCATCCGCGACATGGTTGGCCGTATTGCACAGGACTGTAAAAAGGGCCTGTATCCGAATTTGACCGAGTTCAAGGTCCTCGCCCCAGACATTACCCAGCCTGTCAAACTTCCCGGCCAAATTGTTCCGGAAGGCAAGACACCCGAGGAATGCTTCATCAGCCTAAGGGATCTATTCAAGGAGACCAAAGTAGACTTCCTGATCGTGCCGTTCCAAATGTGGGACTTGAGAAATCTCATGGACTACGATGACTATGAGGACGAGGACATAGACTTTGAGGACGATTTAGACTTGCACGAATTCGGGCATCAATTTGCGGCAGGGTATGGGCCGCCACCGGCACATATTCTTGATACTTTGGCACGGGCTTTGGGGCATCCTGCGCCTGGGTATGAGAGTGATCGGTCTTGGGTGACGGAGGAGGAGGAGGAGGAGGAGGATGATAACTAGTGGGCAAAACAGGGCATGGATTTCATTCCTGTTCTTCTTTTGTTTTTCTTCAAGCCTATCTATGTTCCTAATATTATCATGACTTTACGAGATTACGCTGTTTTATTTTCGAACTTGAGCAGGTCATGCGAGGACGGTCCACGCTAGGATGGACTGTCGAGTCAGAGAGCCGAATCAAGAGCCTGCTGCGATACAACTACGCTGGAGGGACCTTGACATCTCGGCATCCACTTGACTGCTGTTGGAATGGATTGTTGGATACCGTTGCTCAGTTGGAGTGAAAGACTCAGGCTAAGTATTACCTTTAATTTTCCTTCAATTTTGTTAAGGACAATGGCCTCCGCAGAACCAATTTCGTGTTCGATAGGATTGAAAAAAAAACAGGAAGCCACCTTTCATGAAAAGGATGCTTAACGCGAGAGAGGCTCAACCGGATGCCGATGAATATACATGTAGACCGGACAGGAATCTGGAAACCGTGGCTCAATCACGGCAGAATTACAGGTTGATTCTATAACCTAGTCATCAAATTCCTTTTTTGAATGAAATTTCAATACTTCGAAATTGGCTAATCTCGACATTATAAAATGCCTAGACCTCAGGCCTTTCCTGGGGCGGCGGTCAAAGCCCTCAATTATAGGCCAAATTAGGAAACACCTACCGACCGGATTTCCTATGCCACGTCTTGGCTTTCCCCATCCGGATTGGTGGTCAGATTCTCGCCGCTTTTGCTCACTGACTAGATCTGAGCACGTCTCTGAGCGCCCTGATCTGATCAGCTCACTGAGCAGGTCTGATGAGTTTACAAAAGGGGCTGGTTCAGTTTTTGCAGCCGGTTTGAGTTCTTGCTTTCCGCCTGTCATCCCCTTCTTACCTTTTCCTACAATATCCAAACGGCACATATAGGATGAGTTGACAACTTCCTCTTTCCTCAAGCTCATCACAGAAGAACATGGTGCTACCCCCAAACTTCCAAGTAATTGGGATTGCTTCTTAAGTGCGTAGAGGCGTTGCTAACTGGTCATGCTTCCAGCTTTTTCTGAAAATCTTTGCCAATTTATGCTATCGGTGAAAAGAGAATCGGGCATTTAATATTTTGAGCATTAAATTGTTGGATACTTACTTCCTTTGAGCTTGGGGGTTGAGCAGGGTGAATGATTTTGCTACAAAGAACTTAACTTGTTGTCATCATATTGGCACCTCTAAGTAAAATCCTACGCAACTGGCAAAAGTGGAACTCTAATCCCCTTCAAAGGCTCGTCTTTCTCTATCACGAATGTTCTGCTTTATAAGCGCCGGCCAATTCTATATCCAGAAGATCCTTTTGACCGTTTCTTGGTCAACCCCGGTTTCAAATTCGCTATATGCAAATTCGCGAAACCCTGAGCAGTACAGCGCCGCCTTGGTCATAAACAAAGCGAGACTGATTAACTAAGCCTGGTATCTATGTTTTGTGACCCTAAGAAAATCGTCGAGACCACGAGTCCGATCAAAGGGAGAAATCGCTGCGCATCGTTGGTCCAATCGGCTCATCTCTTCCATGTCAAGACGGCGTGAACAAAGTGCCTTGGATGAAGAATATGGATTTGATTGTGCGCGCCGAGTGTACTTTCTGTCAATGTTCGGACCCAGGTATACACCTGATGAAGTCGAATTCTTTGTGAGATATGAGGCTTGACCAAGTCTCGTAATCTGATAAGGTATTCCATATTGATTATGTGGCATAAGACATCCTTTTGATCATCCGAAAGTATCTACAAAGCGGCGGGTTGAAGCATGTTGCAGTAAGTGGAGGGGGCGTGAAAACTTGCAGCAAAGTTTGTAAGGCTTAAATTGGCCAGCAATTGCTCCTTGTACACAATCACCACGCTCAGCTACGTAGTACCTCAACATCCTGTATGGCGTTGTTAAAATCTGGGGGGTAAAAAATCCATATCACCTGGAGACGACTATGTTGCATACCTTCGACCAGCTTGCGTTAGCGCACTAGTTCGTACTCGGTCGTGTGCCCTTGGTTGATCATAGCAAATAGGCAAGCACATACCAAGAGGAGTCGTGAGATGCACCAGCACCTGCTCAATAACTGCTGTAGTGATAGATTATCAATACCACGTGATTCTTCAACCTCCATCCCTCTCTTAGCATAACCAAACAAGCCTTGAACGGGCAAGGCAAGGGCTGGGGGCCAATCCTCGATACCCACTCATAAAATGGTCGTTCCTGACAACTACTTCTTGCCGCTTGTGAAGGCTGAGATTTTACAACAATACTTCCTGCCGGAACGAGTTATGCTATTTGCGCATCACCCGACAAAAACTAGCGGGTCGATCTCGTGTATGAGCCTTGGATGACAGCAGATTCTTTCCGAACTGAAGACGTGCCTTGCTGTTTGGTTCGAATCTTGTCAGAACTCTTTATGTTTTTTTTGTCCTACTTATGACGACGCGCGTTGGTACTCAAAGATGAAGGGTATTCTACTGCTCAGCCTAGCTGCCTCGGTGCAAGCTGGTGACTCTTTGCTATGCGCATTCGGGCTCTATCACCAATGGTTCTCGCAGCTCCACTCTTAGTGACAATGCTATTCATGCGGCTATTACTGCAAGTTGCAAGGAATACGCTTTCCAGTCTGGAGATACCTATTCGAGTATTGGCAAGTTGACAGGGACCACATGGGCGCAGCTGATCTCGTGGAACTCGGACATCAACAGGAATGCTCGTACGTGATCGCAGTACCTGTGACGATCTGGACGAGAATGAGAGGACCTTTGTATGGGGGTTTGACGATGGGAACAAATATGGCCAAATCGGGATGATAAGAGAAGGTGTTTCTTATCGAGAGACATGACAAACACCTCCCACTGGATAGACTTCTCTTCCTTTCCTCTCCCAGTCTTGACTCTCTCGTCAAATGGTACAAGTTGATCCACGATCTCTTCCTGGCTGTAACAGTACCGCTAATAGCGGGGGGACTTGCTTACGGCCCACTGGACCATCAGATAGGAATATGGCACACGGGGGCCGAGAAGAGGAACGGGTTGGAATAGTGAATCATGACTACAGTAACTGGAGCATTCCAGGCGTAAATCCGCACGACGGCATGCTCGCAAGAACAGCCCTGTCGAACTTGGAGGGAAACATGAGAAACACGAGACACGCTCTTCATTATTGATCACAGAGATTCGTAAAGCAGAAATTTCATACGATTCACTAAAGTGAACGTGTAATTACATCAGGAAGAATAAATGAATCGTTTTTCTGTGTCTAGCTACGCGGTCAGGTCTACTACTCTCTAACTGAAGTAGTTATATGCGCTATTTATACTGGCCCTAGGCATGAGTGAATATGAAGGTCTATAATTTTTGGTCGTTTTGGTTGCTTGATTAGCGCGCATCGGCGTGTGCCCTTTTCAGGTTCTGTTAGTTCATGTTGTCACTGATTTTCGAATTAAAGGTACATTGACCTCGCACTCAACCCATGCCATACGAAAGACACCCAGCCCTAGTAGATAGATAGTTAGGAAGGCCAGGTAGTCGACGCTTCATACTAATTATTCGGCGCCTCGTACTGTAGGGGCCAATTATTCCGAAATCAGTTTCGTGTAAAGTGCTCTATGACGGTAAATGCCCAGAATGAAATCTGCGGTTATAGGTTTAGTTCTGATATATGATATAGTTTACGCTTAAACAACTCGTTCGAGCTAGCTATAAGTCGCGATATTCAGTGAAAATTGCGATACAGAGACCTCTGAAGAAGACCTGGGAGTGATTCCCCTGCATTAGAAGCCATAAATCAGTAGAGCTAGAATAGTTAGGCAGAACCTAGAATAGAGAGGCTGGCAAATAGGAGTACAGAAATTGTGCCACCTAGAGTTTCAGATGTCAGATCTGGTAATCACTTCAAAATTACGCGGCGGTGCAGATACTGTTTTTGGTTTAGCCTCGGGGACTGGAGATACCGAAAAATCCTTGCAATGCCAGCTTGGGTGGAACGGGGCCCCAAAGTTCACGTTCAAAGCCGACCCCGATTAGACGGTCAAACCCTACTAAACTCAGACCCCAGATCTGTCTGCCGGGGAAGCGATTCATGACTCAGAGGGAGCCACTGAGATGAGCTGTCCCGCCTTATTGCTATGAACTAGATTCCGCAACTCCGCGATGCAGAAGCAACCTTATTTGGCTTACCAGCTGCCGATCAACAATTTACAGAGAATATCCTGCAGAGAAAACGCTCAGACCGCAGACATCTGAAGATTCAGGTTTCACATATCCCGGCTGTCCACAACCGTTTCCATACACACTTCGAGTAGACCGGGTAATTACACGTTCTGGTTTTCACGCCTGTGCCGCTCAACAAAGTAATACACGTATTAAAACGCCAGAAGTTGGGCTATACCATCGTTGGTAACCGTTGGTACACCATAGGTATATCTTGGATTTGACTTCTGAGTTCTTTCGGGCCAAGACAACCATCGGTGTCCAGGCAGACTTGGGATGGAACCTTACACATCTGTTATTTCACTGCGATATTGGAACTATTTACATCGGAACTGATACGATGACTGGCAACCTGGACCATACAATATGTGGCAGGTCGTAACATTCGGTTCGATAAAGCGTGCTTTGATTCCAGCGAAATACTTGGTTTCGACGCTGCTCTTCTGGGAAGTGCGCGATTCTCGGATTTGAATTCATTATTGCTAGTCCAAGCACAATATGGGCTTCCTCGCGAGACATTCAAAAGTTAGGGGTCTTTCGATGAAATTAACCAAACCCATATCTATCAACTGTCATTACCAAAACTATAGCGTATAATGGACTTACTGCTGGTACGCCGTTGAAGAACCGAAGCATCAAACAAGGATGTTGTTCACGATCTCTAATGTTTAATGGGCATTATATCACACAGAGCTAAATTTCTGAGCTTCTTGCGGTAGAATGGTAGTGAGTACGATGCAGATAGTTATATTGCGTCATGTGGTTGAACGTAATGGGGGATGAACGCACTTCGCTGGTGTGTATCATCAGCAAGTACAATATGGACTATAGGTTTAATGCCATTAGTAATGTCTCATACCTTTGTATAGGGACAATGAAAGGGGGGATACAGAACTATCAGCGGCTTCAATATTTCCGCCACTCCGCCACTCCGGCAGCCGCGTAGCGTAGGATGCCAGCACTGATTCTTCGCAGTTTGATTCTGCAGGCGATAGAGTAAAAGTAAATTAACAATGGATTATTGCGAATTCTCGTAAGAGAACCTCCAGCTCATTTGTAGAAATATACTTCCATGGATTCTAAGCTATACTAATCTCCGATTAGGGTTACACCCAAATCCCGAAACTCCGCGTTGAGTGGATCTGATTCTGTTATGGTCTATATTGGGATATTTTGCCCATTGTTTTAAAGGTGCAGTTACTCCCACTTTTGTAGATGATGTTCTGATGCTCAAGCTTTCATTTATCGGATACATATGATTGTTCTCATTTTATCTGGAAAGATGCTATCACTTCTCCCATTTTTTATTTATCTTACCACTGCTGCAAGCAGGGGCAGCTTACCTACCTTGAATACGCGCGATTCCTTAGGTCCCATCGGCACTGATAGTCCTAGTGGCATCACTGGCGGCCAGATTGCTTGTGCGGCTCCTCCAGTGAGCTCGTTCTTTATGGGATTTGATCCTCCAGTAAGACAACTTACCAGGATCTCTCACACAGATATAGCTCTTTACTCTGACATATATGTTTAGTTTCCCACAAACGGGTGGTGGGCGCCATATGCTGCTCCTCCTGGCAACGCAACTGCCGCAGGACCCTTCCCTTACCAATCATCCCTGGTGGGAGAAGGGTTTGTGTTCGGCTTCGGAGCAGACCGCCAATTTGACGGGACATCAATTAAACAACCATCGCAGAAGGATTGGCGTGTTGGTTTCACCGAACACTCGGGGAAGTTCAGTAACCATAAAGCGACTGCATGGGATACTCAAACTGTTACCTTGCAGTATTTCGAGAACGATGCGTCGATGACGGTTTATGGAGTTCCGGGGTCACCGTATATTACATTCCAATTTAACCAGTCGACTCCAATATTAACAGCAATGAACGGGGGGATTCAATCCTTCAACGGCAAGTCGCTCTTGAATGGCGGAAACGGTATGCTCCTTTTTATGATTTCTGTAACCCATATGAGCTGACTGATATTTCTTAGTAACCGCAAATAACACGGAGTTTACTGTGACTGATACCAAGAATGCGACCTACATTATCTACAGTCTCACCCCAATCACGCTCACAGCGAGCTCTACGGCCGGGTCTTCTGGGACAATTGCAGCATCAGAAGCCTTCACGGGCGTTCTTCGAGTCGTAAAACTAGAGGATCCCATCCACAAGACGATTCTTGACGAGCATTACCAGATTTACCCAGTCTCTGTGGGGCAAACTTACAGCCTGTCAAACACAATTGGAACAGTTAGCTTTCGCTGGAATACGGTCGGTAATGGAGAAAATCTTCTAATGCTTACCTGGCCACACCACCGGCTTGCGATGCAGAACGAGAATTTTCCAGATATGACAACGCTATCATATATGACTACTAAGGTAGATATCTCCCACTATTTATATCCCTCAAGCAAGTGCTGATAGTGGTACGGACAGGGGCATATGTACCCAGCCCTTGGAAATGAATGGCAACTGGCCTACAACCTCACAACAATCGTATGGGATCCTCCACGAAAGCTTGATTCTTCGTGTTCGTCGGCTGTTATTCAGGGACTGGAATACGAGGTTGGACAGCTTGATCCTGCTAAAGCGCCTATACCTGGTGACTTTTATTTCTGGGGAGGTTCAATGAACGCCGTTGCACGGTTAGCAGTAATTGCGTACGTACAATAATCTTCACAGGATCTAGGATGATGCTAATCTTCCCTCAGTGACAATCTTGGCCGCGATGATCTGATTCCGCCAGTCATCAAGTACCTTGAAGCTTCCTTTGATCAATGGTTCAACTCCACAGCAACAACTATGGCCGCATACGAAACTGCTTGGGGTGGCGTCATCAATAAGGCCGGAGCAAATAACTCATGGGTCGACTTTGGGAACGGATACTACAATGACCATCATTTTCATTATGGATATTTCTTGGCCGTTGCAGCGGTTATTGCAAAGTACGATCAGAGTTGGTTGAACCAACACAAGAGCTTTATTAGCTGGTTTGCACGGTACGTCTTCATTTTCACAGACCCATTGGATTTTCTGAGGTTGACGTTTGGTTACGGGTAGGGACATCATAAACCCATCTACAGAAGATCCTTACTTCCCCATTACCCGGTGCCGAGACTGGTTCGCCGGACACTCTTGGGCGTCGGGGATAGCTAATGGTGCCGGGAGCCGTGACCAAGAATCAACTGGTGAGGCTGTAAATGGATATTATGGTGCGCTTCTTTGGGCTTCTGTCGCACTTTCAGAGGACATAGTAAATTTTGCAAAGCTCCTGTTGGCTACGGAGATGCAAGGTGCACAGGTTTATTGGCATCTTTATCCGAATCAGGCATCGACCGACCCGAACAATCCATATCCCGAGCAAGGCCTGCGAGACCTTGTCACAATTGGTAACGTGGAGGATTGGCAAGCCGGCGCGTGGTTGTTCTGGGGGAGCCAGAAGAGCGAGATTGCGGCAATCCAAATCCTGCCAGTTCAACCTGTGAATGAGGTGAGCAGCCACTAGGGTTCATTTTCGGCGATTAGGGACGGCTAATGATGACCCTTACAGATTCTTTACGACGCCAAATGGGTTAAGAATGTTTGGGACTACACAATGGTCGAACTAGTTGACCCAAGTATTGGTGATGGATGGTATGTTCTGCTTAAGCATCTCATGCATTGTTTCTGATAATTGACAGGAAATCGGTCATCATTGATGCATACTCGAACATTGACCCACAAGTTGCGGCCCAGTGGAGTGCGAATATCACTTCTTGGGGTATGAACCCATTCTCCCTACATTAAAATTTTCAGATCATATCCTGATTGAATCAAAATTCAGGCAGCGGTCAAACGTACACTAATGAGCTCTTCTTCATTGGGACACGACCTAACCCAAGCGGAGTGCCAATTTGTGGCAAAGACACGCTCCCATCTAACCCCTACGGGAAATTTCTCATCCAGGACGCGTCATCAGGAAAATATGTTGCCACTTCCAGTGCAAACTCAAATCTGATCGCTTCAGCTGCCGAAGTCAGTGGTGCTGCCACTTTCAATAGCTCCTTCGTACCCAACTCCGGCACGCTCCAGCTCATGAGTACAGGAGAGTTTGTGACAGCTGATCAGTCGGGGAACTTCACCCTCTCTGCGACTCGGAGCATAGCCTCAAGTTGGGAGATGTTTGTGATCCGCCAGAAGATTGGAGCGGCGGCTGGTGTGTACTCCATCAAGGCGGCTAGCAATGGATTGTACGTCACCATTAGTGGAGATGGATCACTTATCAACAATGGCAAGAATGAAGCGGCGAGTTCGGGATTTAAATTTACAAACTCCTGATAAATTGGGATTGTCTTACCGTGATGTCTATTGTAATCCATCAATATGTCAGGGTGAAGGACCGTCTGACGATCTCGATAGATTCTGCGATTTGGGATGGGATTGGGAGAGGTCTGGGATGGAAAGCAAACATGGTAAATCATGGGAGGCTCCTACGTACCTATCAGGGACCCCACTGTCCTAGGGCTTTTTCTATTTCTCTCTCTCTAGTTTCGCTACAGTAGTTAGCAATACTGAAATAGATCATTTTCTCCTTCTTCCTTTTAGCAAATAGCAGGACATATAAAATTTATAATAGGAGGTTGTTGATAAGAAAACGAGAACAAGCAGACTGTTTGACCAAGGGGCTTCCCTTCATCTTGAACGATTCCCCAGCGGCACAAAATATTCCCAGACGCACATTATGATATCACAGTTGCCGGGAACGAGAGATGCGTTCTTCTACGTCCGTCCACCAATAATAGTATATCGACGTGCTCTTCAACGTCCTCTTACTCATATTTCCCTAAATATGACACCGCTTTCAAACTTCAGTCACCAATTTTAGAACTTCAAATTACTGCAAGTGTTCAATAGCTCCATATTCAAGCTTACGGTGATTACGTATATACACGTCCTTACTTAACTCCCCCACACCTCAATTTTGCATAGTGTAGTGGGGGGACTGCTGACGGGTTTGGTGATTTACTCGGTTGGGCAATAGGCTATTCTCTATTTTGGCCTTGCTGATTCTTGAGTTTGATCTGATTTAAATTTCTGTTGGATAGAGCTCTTTTCACTATTTGTAGGTTTGATTTATTGATTTGGAGTGTCGTGGCGATAAGGCCTCATGGAGGGGGGGCACACATCTTTTTTCGGATATATACTATTTGACACACACGTTTTACTAGTTATTTATTGCAATCAATCTAGTAAATTTCTCGCATCTTTTATCGGCCGTCTTTATCATACCTAATTGATCTATTCAGCATTGATTGCTGTGCTCGCACTACTCGCCCTTTGGTGGTGTTGTATGGCGTTTACCCAGCCTTGTTGGCAGTATTTTGCATGGCTTTGAGTCCTCCTCTAATTGCCTATTCCTTTCGAGTCCCGACCTGTCTGCTTCGACTAGACTGCCCTAGCGCATCCTCCTTGGTTAATAGTTAGTATTCTGCCACTAATGTCATCCACGGCCGAGCGGATCACCAACACCTATTGATTCAGCTAAATATAGCGATTTTTACATGAATTGATACTGTGGCTAATCTCCCTACACCCAATACAGCTGGTTGGTCTGCGTGGATAGGTAATTCGCCCTGCGCACGGGAATCACCCACAGGTGCGTCTGCTGGCAAACCTAGCTGCGCAACTGACTGTAGGCCCTCTGGCAGGGAATCTGTTTAGTCGACTGAGTACGCTTCCTCACCACTTTCCCATTCGCTGCACGTAGATCTGCGTTTTCCTGCGCTAGTAGCGCGGGGTTGTGTAGCGCTATATAGTGGCCCTTGATAATCTAATCTACTATAGTTTTTGAGAGTTAGGAATCAAGTATTTCAAGGTCGATCAAGCAGCGGAGTTGGGCTGAGGGGAGAGGAAGGGCGTTAAAAGATACCCGAAAGAGAGGAAGGACGAAGCTTCCTATAGGCGCTCGACAAGGCTATGCGATAAGGGCGGGACCTAAGCTTAGATACAGAAGGGAGCCAAGTTCGGCGTCGTTTTGGTCGCCAGTGGAAACGGGGAGAATAATCATTAAAGTCAAGCGCCAACAACAGGACAAGAGGAGGATGATTACAGCCCTGGTTGGGTGCAGATAAACGGGGGTGAACAGCAAACGGAGCGCCGTCAAAGTTACAGGTGGAAGGACGACCGTTTCTAGTACCAGAGGCTGTCATTCTCGGCGTCGATTTCACAGGTCCCTATATTCTATGTGTAAAAAAGAGATCTCTCTCTATACCTTAGAAAGGCTAGCATATATCTCAAGATTAGATAAAAGATTAGATAAAAGAAAAGATAGTAATCAAAGTAATAAGCGAAGGATAACCATATAAAAAGTCTGGAGTAAAGAGGTAAAACCTCTTCTATCAGTTCATATGATTGTGAAAGTGTGAAAGAAGATCTGCAAAACGAGGCTATACCAGCGGGGAACAATATGGATTGTCAATTGATGCTCCAGGCGACTGCCATCATAGCTGCCTCACTGTCAGCTCATGACTGGGAGGAAGTTTCTATTCACCGTAGACCGATTCTTCGAGCGAGTAAATTGGAGTGCATCAAAGAGCGGAAATGCATGAATAACCCGGATCTCATAAAGAGGTACAGCGGTATATCGGAGGGCTATCAAATAACTTTTGCTTCATTTCTTTCCATATACAGCAACGAGGAAACACTGGCCAAGGATTTGCTTCTCCAGTCCCTCGGCCTGCAGTCTACCTGGCATGGAGAATCAGCATCTCTGACCTGTACAACAATGACATGGTTGGCACTACTTTATCTGGAAAGTATGTCTCTCGATGAAGCAGAGGCCATGATTGACAGGCTATATGTAGCCGAATCCCAAGCGCCCCAAGTCCAGAATATTTTCTTGGTGGATGCGCAATTGATGCAAGGCCACTTGCAGATGCGAAGGCAGAAAATTGATGATGCTGTATCTATCTTCAAGCATTGCACCAAACTTTACGCCAACATCGCATCGATTGCATCCGTCGGCACTGCATCTGCTCTCATAAGTGGTGTTGAAGCAATGTTGATGCAGGGAAATGTCGAAGAAGCCACTCAAAGCCTTTACGAAGCAGAACAAATCCAGAAAGATATAGGCAGCGCTCGCGCCGTTGGAATCCGCGTCAAGTGGGATATGGCACGCCATAGCTTGCGTTTGGGAGATCACATTCGCGCTATTAGCCGCTACCAGGACCTGTGCGAGGAGCATGAAACTAACCACGATTTAGTTGGTCCCCCTCTCCACCGATGGGAGTCTCTTCACTGCGAGCTGGGCGATGTATATCTAAACTTGAGTGATGTACAAAAAGCCAAAGCAGAGTACGATATTGGACGGGCCAGTGCAAGCCGGAGATCCAGGTCTTTGAAGATCGATCCGAGAGATATTTATGGCTTGTACACGGGTCATTGGAGAGAACAAAGTTCGTTCCTTATTTGGAAGGATGAGGAATTACCGCCCTAATTGATTTACCCCTTATTTGAATCCGCCATTATTATCTTCGAATTGAAAATCGCAATTCGTGTTCATGTAGGCATAAGCATAGTCATCGTAATATGTCACAAAATCCTCAACCAACGCCTTTTACATCAATCCCGAAATAAAATACACACTCAACCAATCTCCAAATGAACTACTGAACTACCCAATACCCCATCTCCTCTGCTCAAGTCTCCGTCTCAATATCCGGCTCTCGACCAGTCAAATCACCCATCCCAATCTTCTTCTTCATCTTCCTCAACGCAAACTTAGCCTCATCTTTCGCAAAGACCGCGTTCCTCGCAGGTTTCCATTGCATCATACCACGCTGCTGACGTTGCTCGCTTCGACGATTCGCCTTGTTGATTTGCCTCTGGCTCATGTGGCTACTGCTGGCCTGAGATGGTCCCGCATCCGCAGTGGTAGTGGGACTGACCGTCGACGGGGTCCATGAGGAGGACGATTCGGTTTCAGAATCGTCTGAATCGTCAGTAAGATGATCAGCCTGGTCGTTGGTTGCCTGGACACCATTTTGCTCGCTGGAATGAGATGGCTGACCCTTCAGTGGCGGCGGGGTGACGGGGTCATGTCGTGGCTCGTCACATCCAGGCTCAGCTACCTTGTGGCCATTAGAATCCGTGTATGCGCGAGGGTCATGTCCAAATGCACCGCTCCAGTCATGTCCGTCGCGATCAATCCATCTACGTCGCTCATTAGGGTCAGCTTGCTTGAGGACGTCGCGTCCGTCAATAAGCGACTGCTCATGTTTCTCTTGAGTTTCAGCGGGAACCTCTACAGAGACAGTGCGCGAACGGACACCCTGTGACATGCAGGCTTCCCAAGTCTCGAACGTCTCACGCGAGTCATTATCAGTGACGAATTGCTCGTGCGACTCGTCGATGCCGGGAGAGAACTTGCACTTGAATTGCAACCGGCCGACTTCGGTCAGATCTTCCAGGCCAGGAACTTCCTTGGCTTTCCAATTTTGTTCGGTGATATAATTTTGTGTGAGACGTGCGCCGGCCTTGGTTGTCCAGATTGGGAGGTCGATGTCGGTTTCTTCATTGTCGACTAGATGCTGGAGCCAGAGGACGGCGTAGGCGGCTGCACCTCGCTTGCCTTGGTTGTGGAACTCGAAGACAACGGGGGACCGGTATCTATGCTTGACGGGCATGCGGAGACTATCTCGGAAGGTTTCTTCGGAGATATCGTAGCTTAGATCCTTGCCATCGAGGTTTCCGGCTTTGCGGGTTATCTTGCCCGTGCTGCCACCAGTGCGTAGCTTGATCTTGCACTGTCGCCCATAGTCCTTTGCAAGGATCTTGTTGCTGACGAACTCAAAGGTGCCAACGTCCCAGCCAAGCATGTTAGGGGGCAGCTTCGTCTCGACGTGGCGAAGCAAAATAGAGATACGAATGCGCCCAAAGCCGACGCCGCCGTCGAGGGGGTACCAGCGAGTGACCTGGGAGCTGGTCTGCAAAAGATCGGAGAGCTTGAGGGGGACGACTCCCAGAATCGGGTCGTGCTCACGATAGCGCTGGTCTCGCACAGTCACTGTGACTACGGCAGATCGCCAGTCACGGACAAAGCGCTCCGTTCCAGCATTGAAGATAGGCTTGGAGCTAACAGCCTTCGGGCGAGTTCGGTAGATCTACGAAGGCCTTGTTAGCTTGATCCTGACGAGAAAGGGGCAGGAAGATAGAACATACCAATTCATCATTGAGCATGATCTTGCAATAACTGGTAGGCAAATGCTCACCCTCTTCCTCGGTATTTTCTCCGAACGGCTTGGCAGGCTCATACTCTCTACCTTTACGATTCCCCTCGCTGCCCTTGATGTTATTAAGTTGGAGGTTGACGATCTGATGCACAACGATATGCACAATACCACTAGGCCAGATGGGATCCGGTGGTGTATGCACAACGGCATCTTCTTCCTCGTTAGTGATAGTACCCTTCTCATCTTCAAAGGTCGGATCTCCCTTCAGGTTTTCAGGAAGATCCTTCTTCTTGCCATCTGTACGCAGCTCAGGCCGCAACTTGGGTTTACCAAAGTATCCAACCTCCCAGTGCAACTGGCCTGGCATCTCGCTGCCGTCGTCGAGACCTTGCAGTTTGGAGACTTGCGGGTACATGCGACCTGGGTGCTGGAGCATTTCCCGAATGGGTAGCTCAACTTTACCGCAGATGTCATCCGCCGTGTTACGGTCTGAGTCCCAAAGCTCGATGCTCAGGTTTTCGTCCGCTTTGATCAGTTCAGGCGTGACGAGAAGCGCGGCCGTTTCTTCCCAGATGGGGTTGAGGTCGTCCGTAATAACACGGGTGCAGTACATGGGCTTCCCATACTTGGAGAACGACAGGTTGATGTACGGGTCGCTGCCTCCACCTTCACTACCGCGACGGTCTTGCTTGCTCAATCCGACGGCACGGTGAATACGGATCCACATAACTCCGAGTGCCAGAGTGTCCTTGTGAATATCATCACCCTTTAACAGCATGCTAAGATCCATGGTCATCGACTTGGGGGCTGCAAACATGGCACAGGCAGCACTGATGGCATAGTTGACGAATTTCGAAATCAAGGGTAAGTTGAGGATATTGACACCACGACGGATCATGGGCACACAGCCTGCACGCACGTGTGGAATACCCACCAGGCTGAAGGTCACTTCCTTCATGAATGGTGGCTCTGGCATCATCTGGAAGCGCATTCGGACTGTACCGACCAGCTCGGTCAATTCGACGAACACTGGGAACGGAACTCCAAATAGGCCACGGATACCAAGGTAGAACACTAAATGCATGTGCATGTTGCGAGCCTTGGAAGAAGCGGATCCACTACTTGGCTTAGCGTGGTATGCAAAAGAAGCCTCCATGTTGTAGTAGCTTCCACCTTCCTCGGCGGCAGCAGCCTCTTGTGGATCTTTGTTCTTGATATTTTCCTCATGGATATTATCTTTGAGGTTCTGAACATGTTCATCTGGTAGAGCACGCATGCTGAGAATGCGGAAAGGATTATTCCCTTGGTCGATCTCGGCGATTCGAACGTTCTCGACGACCTTGGGAGCGGACGCTTGCATGATATCTTCGATCGTGTCGGCCATTGGTGTCAACATTTCGGGGTTCATGAGTCCCCATGCTACAGACAGGAAAGAGTTCACCCATTCGACAGATTCTGGAAGTAGATTCACGTTGGCCTTTAGAATTTTCTCTTATTAGCACGTCACAAGATCAAAGCAGTAAGTGAAGAGGGTGTACCATTTGACCGCGCATCTGTTCACTACTCCATTCCATCTCTTTGCCGCTCTTAATGACCTCTTGTACCCATAGCCAAACACCACTAGTGACGCAGAAAGCCAGGGGAATAAGTCCGAGGAGGGAGCCGCCAAAGGTCCTCCCGAGAACAATGATGGCAAACGGAATGGCGATACATAGTGCTGTCCCGCGCTTCTCCAATTGATCAAACATGGGCTTGTACGAGACTGTCGGAGTAGGATGGAAGAGAACGTTGGTCTTTTCGCCGCGAATGGGAACGTCGGAGGTTGTTCCTTCGGCCATGGGATCGGGAGGAGCAGTGATGTCTTGCTTCTCTTTGTACTCGGAGAGTTCCTGGTCATGGCTAGTTTGGTGCTCCTGTGAGATTTATCAGCATGTGCGTCTATAAAGCAGGTCCAATGGCAATGTGCTCACAGTCGGTCGACCGAGGTTGGCATTAGGCACAGTCAACTGTTGTCAGGTAAGTCAATCGCGCTGGTAAGGCTATTTCAGATATTGTAGCAAACCTTTGGGTTCTTGACAGCCTCCATTGAGGAAGGATCTTGGTCCTCGACTCCGATCTCCTTCCCAGTTGTCGGATCTGTCACCATGCGAACATTGGCTTGAGCAACCTCACGGGCCTCATGGGCCATGACTTCCGCCTGCGATCCATCATTTGGTCGTCCAGACTTATATTGCTCATGTTGCTTCAAGGCTGCCCTTTGCTTCCTAGCCTTGTCCTCCTCGTCGATTCTGCGGTCTCGCTCCTTCTTCTCGACGTCGAGGCGCTCGACGAATTTCTGAACTGTTGGAATGGGATTGGTACCGCTCCAGTGCTCGCCAACACGATGTTGGTTGGGCTCCCCAGTTCCTTGGCCAGTAGGCGCCATCGTGGTCGTAAATTGGTGATTCAAGTAGCGCGTATGTGCGAGGTATCACTGTATGTACTGGGGACGGGTGTAAGTAGATGGAAGTGGTCAAGCAGGATTCCTTCGCAGCAACCCCCACTTCTTCCAGGAAGCAGCTGAGGAATTGAGCAGTTCAGGCAAACTAGACTTTGGATTGATATAGACCCTGGGGGAAAATGTCAGCTCATTTGGCCTGGCAGCCAGCGCGGTCAGAGCTCTACACAGAACTACGTCATCGGCGGTCGACAACCCGGAAATAACATATGACGATGCCAACCCCCTCTGGCAATTTACCATTGGCGGGTCCATCAATTATCTGCAACTTCGAAGCCATAAATAATTGGAGATCCGCTTTGTTCCCCACATCCACTGCTCCATACTTGCTAGGAAGCTTGCTCTCTCCGTCCAGCCCGGCGGGATACTGGTCTTGGCGTTGTGAGCTCATACAAATGGGCGGGAGTCTTCAGCAACGAGCTGCTACTCGGAAACACCCCTAATCAAGTCATTTTTGAGCAATCAATTTAGGGCATAGCTAGTAATGGATAGTAAAGATTATTGGAAGGAATACTGGCAGATTTAATGTTCGCATTGATCATGCTCTGTCTTCAACACTGGGATTCTATACATGATGTCACTAGAAGCGCTCACGATGATATCAACGATGTCTACCACGCATAATGCACGATCTAGCCTTGCCATGAAACAGATTCTAGTCACACATATCCGCCGGGCCTCAGACTCAAATACCTACTTGCAGGCCGGTAGCTAATGATCGCGTTGTACAGGCATAATTCGGTTCATCAAATGAGTGTCCATATTCCTGAAATGACGATCTGTGAGCTGGGTGATCAGCACCTATTAAATTAGATCGCATTCTTCATTGAGTCTACCTACAAGTTTCGATTGCTATTGTATGTAGGGACTCTAGAGCTACTTCTCGAGTTGCACAGTGCCACAGAGCTATGTCGCCCAAGATATGCACTACCGGCGTTTTAGACCATTCAGACGGCTCAGGTGGTTAAGGGCTATAATGATTTGGTGAGTATATGGATGCTAACCAAGTATTTTCAAGTTAGCCTGATTCATTAAACACTACGAGAATATCATGCGTATATTGAAATGTCTATACAATGCGCCGCGTTATAAGCAAGTGTTATGTAGCGATATACCGGGCGCCTAGCGACTCAAGTTGTAAACTTGTACCTAATAGGGATGAAAATATCCCAACATCAGTGAAAAGTATCTATTGTATATCCATCAAGCCAAAGATCAGGTTAAGCATGAAATTTCTAATGATTGGTTACATTTGAAAAATAACGCGTGGTTAGAGTCACTATACTTCACCTACAGAGTCAGTCAAGCGATAAACGTTGTTATCGCCACGGGACCCTCTCACCTCCGCCCACTTTTGAACCTCACCTGGCCACTCGCGGTCGCATAACAACCTTGACACCTCCTTTCTATTGCCCAACACCGGATTTTTGACATCTGTTCACCCTTAAATTGCCCTAAAGCTTTCTCTTACAGTCACATCCATCAACGATGTCTACCCCCGAGGAGTCGCCTGCCCAGCGCGCCGCCCGCCTGCGACGTGAACGTCGCGAGGCCAAAATCAAAGAAGGAGGCTCAGCTCGCCTGGACAAGATCACTAGCCTCAGTGGCCGTAACCCGCAGTCAGGTAAGCCTCAAAGCTCAAATTCCTTGGACGAGTAGGTTTCATTCAGTCTCTCGATATGCTAACACCTTCATCAGTACGTGAAGAAGAAGCTTCGCCATCTCCTCAGCTCGCAGTATCGCCATCCCCGTCTCCCGTACCACAGACCCGGCCAGCGCCAGCTCCTCAGCCGGAAATGCCCTCCGCCGAATCCCTCCAAGCCCAGCAGGAAGCTTTCCGTGCCATGTTGCGACAGGTGGCCCCAGAACAAGGACAACAGTCGAACGATGTAGAGGATCCGACACTGAAGTTGCTGGAGAACCTCCTGGGTGCCATGCCCGGTGATGGAAATGCACCCCCACCTGCTGCTCCGGGTACCCCGGGTGCTATGCCTGGGCAGTCTGGGCCAGGCCTCTCGCCAGCCGCCATCGCATCCGCACTTGGTGTTCCGCCATTCCTCGCAAACATGCTGGGCGGAGCATCTCAACCACCGACCGAGAAGGAGCAGAAGACTGTGCGGATGTGGGAGGCTTTCCATGGCCTGTTCGCGGTTGGGGTGGCCATCTATTTGTTGTTTATTATTGGCACCTCAGTTGCGACATTCGGTAGCCCACCACCGAAGCCCGCTACGGCGCAAAACCCATTTTTGATCTTCGTTACTGGAGAGATGGTCCTTACTGGAGGGCGGGTTTTATTCGGTGGAAAACAAGCGGGACTTGGGATGGTGGTGCAGCTATTGAGGGACATCGTTCGTGACGGAAGTCTTGTGATATTTGCGCTCGGCCTGGGTGCTTGGTACAACCGCGAGTGGCAGGCTGTTGGTTATTGAGATTTTGATTTGATTAAGGTTGTGCAAAATTAGCGTGGCATGAATAATTGATTTCTCACGATGTCAATTGTAAATCTATGGCGTGGGCAGTATGCTACCCGTCCAGTATCATTATCCTGGGCTAGTGTTGCCTTTGGTTTCACATTGGGGGACTGATTATCGCCCGCTGCGACGGTAGAACAGCATTCCGTAAGACGCTCATAGTCGCCGAGTCCAAGCCCCAGTCACCCACCCATTGATCCATGCGTGCCCCATTCTTGAAGTGCTCAGCCAAGTGCTGAGCTCGAACAGCCCATGTAGGCATGGTAATCTCGCAGAATCCGCACCGGCTTTGAACATTCGTACCTGTGCCACGCCAAGCGTCAAGATCTGGAATCGGGAGTTTGGTGCAGGCATGGAACTTCCGCAAGTGTTGCCAAAGATAATCTTTCCGGCTGAAGGAGCGCTCAGCCACAGGCTTCTCGGCACAGATGTGAAATTCATGCTCCTCCCAGTGAGCAGCTGCTGGGAATGGGGCATCACAAAATGAGCAACCGATGAGCTGAGCACCCCACCGTTGCTCTAATTCGATGAGATTGGGTGTGCATACCCACGAGTCCAGTTGTAGATGCACACTCTTTTCATGCCGGGTCCAATCATGGCGTTTTTTGAATGATTGCGTGCAGAAGGTGCACTGATATTGATTTTCTTCGCTGTTGGATCGTTGGAGCGAATGCCCTCGACGACGAGGTTTCCCTGGCCGTGGGAGTCGTGAGAATGAACCTCTTCTACCCTCCCCACCTGAATGATAGCTCCATGCAGATGAAACGCTGTCCGAAGTTTCTGAAGCCCTGCTTCCCAAACTTGAGATAGATGATGCAAGGTGGGATGATGTCTGGTCAAAGTTGAGCAGATCCATATGAGAGCCATCAAATTGGAATGGGTCCATCAGAACATCAGTTTCACCGGCGCCCGAGGCAATAGCTTCTTGAATCACAGATTCAGGGACCGATTCATCCTCTGGTGGCGATGCTTGCCATCGCTCCATAGGAGTCATTGAGCTCAGCGTGCTGGTAACGAGAGGCGAGCCGGCCCGGGCATAGGCGGCAGATGAGAGATTGGCCGACTGAATTTTCTGCTTTTGCCGTCGGCGAGCATTCGCAAACCATGTTGACAATCGCTTTTGAGAAAATCCCGTTTCACGAGAGAGTTGGGCCTTTTCATTATCGTCGGGATAGGGAAATTCCTGATGCTGATAGAACCAGTCTCGTAAGACCCGGGCTCCCTTTCGGACGAATTGCTTAGATTCTTTCCGTTCCTCCTCATGATAGAAAGTCGATGTCACATCTCCATCCTTCAATCTCTCAGTCAGCGTGGTTCCTAGATTGATTCTATTTAAGGAACTTACCTTGTCCTCGGTGTGTTCAGGCAGCCCATGTAGATGGCCTAAAACTGGGGTGTATGTCTCAAAGCCAGCCGCGACCCGTTTCTCTCCTTTAGCAAGACTGCATTCTCGAAAGAGAGCCACACAGCTCGAACACGATGTGATTGGATTTGGATTGGCGGATGTAGTGCGTAAAATCAGACACTGAAGTCGATGTTTGCGACAATGGCTGCAAGGGACTGGGGGCCGATAGGCTCCATCAAGCCACTGTGAAACATTCCCGATGCTTCGGAACTGGAGTTCAGATGTAGAGCTCTCAACTTGTGAAACCATAAGTGGTTCGTTTGAGATATGTGAAGTATGAGGCTCTGCATTGTCCTCCCCGGTAAGCGACGTGAGGCCCTGAGTGGCTTCAAGACCCGCCCATTGGGGCCAATCTAGATCTGTTGGCTCAGATGAGCAAAAATAGAAATCGTTCAAGGCATTCCAATCGGCGGTGGGGTCGTCCATCGCCCAGCCCCCAGGCATTTCGGCATCGAATATGCTCTGTAGACCTGAGTCTGGGAGTGACTGTGGCAATTGTCGGGACGAGGAAGCGTTGCCAGGCAGTTGCGAGTCCATAGCGGGTGGATTCTCAGCACCTCGCGGGTCAAATCTAGACATACATTTCTTCTTTCAAACCACGAAATATCGGCTTGTCATCCGAATCGAATGCATTTCGCTCTGCAACGTCGTGATGGTCAGGCATGTCACTGACTCATCCCCGCTAACCCAACGCGGTTAAGGACACAGTGTTCCCCGCCTTTCTAGAACATGCTTAGTCAGAATATACAGGTTTGCTGATGTCCAACAGCATAAAGCGAATTAAATGATTGAAATTGCAGTAATCTAGAAATTTGAATGACAGAATGAGCTATTTTATGTATGTGACTGATAGGGAAGGATGCCCAAAATGACACTTGAACGGGCACATGCAGAATAGAGAAGAGACTGAACAGGACAAGATTTCTGTAACAAAGTTTAACATTTATAGAAATAACGAGTAAGAAAGGGACAGGAAAAAAATCCAAAATGAAAAGGAAAACCCCGTATTCTAACTGCAAGAGACACCTTAACAAATCCTCAAAACAGTAATTGCATCTCAACATGGTTTTCTGAAAAGGAACCTACATTAGCACTACCCCTTGGAGAAACAGAAGAGAAAGTCGTTGCAAAACACTTACAAAGCTCCCTTGTAATCACACTTAAATCGCACTTTAACAATGCAATTCCATAAATAACTTATCACGCAAATTGCATATATCAACTTCAATCATAGTATCTGCTCCAAAAAGACTTGGGACCCCCATGTGCTTCCTAGATGATATCTTGTGGACAAAAGAAATCTCGAGGCCTCGTCGCTATTTCCCCCAGTTTTCACCGGGGATGTGCCTTTGGTTGACCCGGATTTGACTGTGGTGTTTGAACTAGCCTGCGGCTTAGATCCGGATGTTGGCTTTGCCGTTGAATCACCGGTTGATTTTCCAGAGGAATCGTCGTTCGTGCCAAAGATGGCTATATGAGAGGCACCAATCAGCATCTTGTTAATAATATAGAAGCTCTCTGTTCAGACTAGTTCTTTCGTTTGTGGCTGAACGTCCTGTTGATCAATGATGGAGAGAGATGCGAGGGTCGTGTTTGACGTCGAACCCAGCATGACGATGGGCATTATATAGTCAACTCCTCTCAGACATTTTGGAAACATAGATTGAAATAAGGTGCTTCGTCGCGTTATACTGGAAATGTCTCAATTGGAGTCTTATTCAATTGACCTGATGGCCACCATGATTGGCCAAGGGCAAAGATTGGGGGCCTGTTCGATCCATCAGGAACCTGTACGAACGGTACTACTTGGGGTGGCTGAAGACTGTGTATCTAAATAAAAGCTAGCATAAAGATAGTCACAGGATATCGCCCCATCGGCTCTACAATCCACCACGAATCAGAGATTGCTACACTTAACCTTTGATCCTACTGGATAACACAACAGGGTTGGCGGCCAATTAGGCAATCCACACACCTCGTGGCCTTTTCTGTTAGCCAATGGGCCTTAAATTATCTTTTAGCCAACTGAAAGCCAACAGTCGCCGTGTTCCAAACGAACATGGCCCCTGTCGGGCCTTGTTCCGCTTTTTGTAATGTGTCAATTGGTAAAATTAGTATAGACTTCATTCAGCTGCGGCCCTTTGGCTAACTAGGCCAGCTAACACCTAGTATAGAGTCGATCTGGTAGCAGGGATCGGACAAGATAATGAACCGTTTCAATAGCGGGCCATGTGGCCTATACAATGACTGTCATTCTATTGGATCAGCTCTCCTCAATATCTGCCTTCGCATCTTAAGGCCGATTAGAAAGATGAGACTAGTCAGATCTAGGAAGGAGAATCGTCGATCATGTACTAAAAACAGAAAATCGCAGCGACCGAGAAATTCGCCCTCGAGATGTCAGCATGGGAAAAGAATAACTCACTTACATGGACGAACAATAGGCCAAAACGACGGGCAGACTTTTTTATCGGATAATTTTATTTCAATGTTTGTAGCGTCAATGTCCACTTGTATTTTCTTATGGCTTCTTCGTCGACTACTCTTTGGGCAAGACAACTGTTTCATTTAATAGTAATCACCAACGAGCTAGGCTAGAACTTGAATATATGACTACTTCCTCATACATGGCCTGGGTATTTGCGCCCTAGTGTCAGTTTTTCTTTGGCGCGAGCTAGAAGCTACACGAATGTTACCCTTTTGTGCTGGTGGAATCTCAAGTTTGGGAACTATACTAGTCGAATTTAGATGGAAGAAGAACCACTAATGACCAAAAGAATCGATATACATAAAAAAACAGCATTCCCATCGACGAACAATAAGAGTTGCAAGGCTTAGCTATTTCAGAGTCACTTAACCGCTTTAGGACCCCGACTAGCCCGGGTTATACCCCACATGTCAAGTATGAAAAGGTTACTGACCCCCAGCTTCACAATTGCGATACAAGCTTTTCTTTTTAAGCCACTATAAATAAGCCACTATAAATCATAAGGTTGCTCTTAATGGCAGGATTATCTGGGCAAGTCCAAACCCTTCTTGAGAAGGTGCCATCTCTCTATCGTGGACCTGGCGGGGCCGTTGCTGTACTGAAGGACGGCGAACTCGTTGGTCAACATGTCTGGGGCTACGCCAACCTCGAAAAGAGAATAGCCATGGAGATTTCCACACTCATGCCCATTTGCTCTATTACAAAACAAATGTTGTGTATGATTTTGGTGGATCTTGAACGCAACCCCACTCCAGAGATGGCGAAACGAGGAGATGTACGCCACCAGCTAGAAGACGCCCTGAGAGAAATTGTCCAGGAAGAACTACTTGAAAATACGGGTCTAAACATTGAAGATCTCTGCAACAATCAGTCTGGGATTCGCGACTACTGGGCTATGTCAATGTTTTGGGGTACTCAGCCGGACGAGGTCTTCACGCTGTCCGAAGATGCGAAGAAGTCGCTTAGTCTGACGAAGTCGCTGCATTTCCAGCCAGGCACACAATATGCATACTCAAACCTCAACTTTCACATTCTGGCCCGCGTTGTCGAGAGAGTTACGGGGTCCCCAATTGGAGACCTGTTGGCGCAGCGGCTATTCTCTGCTGCTCGCATGGAGACTGCGGCGTTTTGCGAAGATAATGCAAACCTTCCTGGACCTTGCGTCGGATATGAAGGCAACGAGTCATTCGGCTTTATACCGGCCGTCAATCGTATCCAGTGGTCCGGCGATGCAGGTGTGGTAGCCTCGCTAGAAGATATGATTGCCTATGAGCAGTACCTGGACAAGTCCTGGTCTGACGATTCAAGTCTCTATCGCACAATTGCAGAACAGCTTGTGTTTAAGGATGGAACACCTGCGAGATATGGACATGGCCTAGCCCATGTGAAAGTCGGAGGTGTCAATACGATTGGTCACGGTGGCTCTCTCCGAGGGTTCTGTCTGCATAGACTCCAAGCAGCATCTGAAAGAGTGGCTATTGTGGTTATGCTAAACCATGAAATTGACGCGGAGACTATAGCTGAGTTCATTCTGAAGAATATTCTCGATCTGAATCAACCAAAGTTCCCTACTTCTAATGACATCAAAGTCAGTCGAAGGTGGCTTGGAACATTTTTCGATCCTGACGCTCAACTAGCTCTCACTGTCCGCGATGTCGGCCCTAATATGCTGAGTATCCGTTACGCAGACCATGATGAAACGGTGGTTCTCTTTGAAGAGAGCAAAGGATGCTCAGAAACGATGATTGCATCTTTCAGCGATGATTCAATCCAGCTTCATCGTCAAGATGACAATCGAGTCGTTAACGCGAGACGCATTCTAGCACCCGAGGAGCCGATCAAGACAGATTATGTTGGTCAGTATCGGTGTACAGAGATTGATTCAGTCTTCACCTGTACTGGAACGGGAGGCATGTTGTATGGTTCGTTCGAAGGCTTCATGGGCCACGGGCCAGTGCACTTGATGCGATATCTTGGGGAGGATATCTGGTTTCTTACATGCCCACGGGGCCTGGATGCTCCGGCGCCCGGCGATTGGACTGTGGTGTTCAAGCGCGAGGAGACTGGGACAATTGTCAGTGTTGTGATGGGTTGCTGGCTGGCAAGGAATGTCCAATTCACTAGGCTATGAACGCTGTGTAATTTCTAATTGTACTCTAAAATTACGAGAAATCAGTTGCAAAAGTCTTGTGCCAAGCGAGTGAAGACTTTCTCCATCTCTTTCAAGCTTTCAACCTCGACCCACTCTTCTTTGCTGTGCAATCCTGCGCCCGAGGGACCAAAAACGATCGATGGGATCTCAGCCTGGCCCAAAAGGGCTGCATCACACCAGAAGGGCACACTTTGGACAACAGGCTTACTTCCAAAGATAGAAGCACCGCATTCAACCGCTTTCTCAACGAGAGGATGGTCTTTGGCAAGCTTCTGAGTCGGACGGGACATTGTGACTCGAGGGGCGGCGTATTGGAAATGAGGGTTTTCCAGGGTGATATCTTGGAGCATCGCGATGATATCGCTAAGAATAGACTCCTCTGTCTGAGCTGGAACAGTCCGGAACTCGACAGTAACTGTGCATTTTCCGGGATAGGAGGACGGCTCTTCGCCGCCTCGAATCAAACCGCAATGCATTGATGCCTGCCCGAGAAGATCATCAGCGGGTAATTTGGCTTGATACTGGTCAAGAGCCCGCAAGAACCATCCAGCATGGAGAATGGCATCTACGCCTGCCGATGGATCGGATCCATGAGCGGCGACTCCCAAGACGTCAACTTCGACCCACACAAAGCCTTTGTGTGCAGTCGCGATGGTTTTCATGGTTGGCTCTGCAACAACTGCCGCATCGGCTCTCCAGCCAGCAGCCAGGATGTCTTGAGTGCCCTGTGAAGCATCTTCCTCATCAGATACCGCAGCAATGATGATGTCTCCACGTGGAATCTGACCACTGGCTTTGATTGATGACAATGCAGCTAGTGCTGCTGCCACACCACCCTTCATATCCAAGCTACCTCTGCCGAAAACAACTTCTTGGCCGTCTTTGACACCCAAAGCTCCTGAAAGGGGATCAGCCTCATAACTGGAAAGGCTGACCGTGTCTATATGTCCATTAAACATGAGAGACTTGCCCCCACCAGTCCCGCGAAGGATGCCGACGATCGATGGCCGTCCAGCGACTGGCTCCACGCGATGGCATTCGATATCACGGTGAGAAAACCAAGCAGAAAGATAATCTGCAATTTCGCTCTCGCCAACTCCATCGCTGACAGATAGTGTGGGGTTAGAAGAGTTGATCTGGGTGAGTACTTGGGTCAAGCCCACCACATCTTCCACTGAAACATCCCGTGGCATTGAATATTTGCGAGCACCTTCGGTACTTAGAAGGACGACGACAGAATCTTTGTGTAGAAGGGGTGATGCACTCGGTTCTGCAGCTAGCCGGCGTAGTGCAGCCAGTGATGCACCGCCACAAGGGCCGGCTGGAACTGACTTGGAAGTCAAGAATTGGACAGCCTCGTGGCTCTCGTAAGATGATACCGTGACACACGCATCAACAAGTCGCTGTAAGTCCGGCCATGCAGTTGTCGAAACAGTGCCGCAGTTCATTCCGTCCATGATCGTGAACGATGTCTCCACAGTGATCGATTTCCCAGCATGCAAGCTCTTGGACAAACAAGGAGCAGAGTCCGGCTCAACAACAACAACCGACACGGGAGTCTTTCTGGACTTGCAATGTCGAACTACTGCATGTGCAAGACTGCCAACTCCCACAGGAGTGACCATCACACTAGTAGTAAGGCCGAGCTGGGCGACCTGTTGCTCCGCCTCATTCATCAAGGTCGTGTAACCTTCCACAATCCAGGCAGGAACACTCTCGTATCCCTCGAAAGCAGTGTCTTGGATCAAAAGAGCACCAGGAAGCTTGTTCGCCCGATTTGATGCCTCGAATACAGCTTGATCATAGCATCCTGGCGAAACCACCACGCAGGCGCCTTCCCCTGCGATGAAGCCGCGGGTACGCTCATCCATTGACCGAGGAACGAAGATTTGCGCATCAATTCCCAAAAGCCGGGCCATGAATGCCACAGCTCTACCATGATTCCCCTCTGTCGCCGCGACAAGAGTAATCACGCTTGCTTTTGCGCCCGTGGAAACCTCATCTAGAGATGCCGTCGGCGGCAATCCAAGCTGTTGTGCAACTGCCCGGAAACACCCCCACGATGCGCCCAGGACCTTGAAAGAAGGCAGACCGAAGCGATTGCTCTCATCCTTCACGAACACAGCCCGAACACCAAGTTCAGCCGCGAGTTCTGGAAAGGAAACCAGCGGAGTTGGAGAGTAGCTGGGCAATGACTGATGGAATTTCGTGACGGCAGCCGCCTGTGAGTCCTCACAGCGCTTAGTCACAGCGGCGGCGTTGATATAAATTGGTCGCCTCGAAGACATTATTATTGGTTGTTCGCAGCCGTCGTATCAAAATCCCGGCGGCATTTCTCTAGCTCGTGGCTGAAGCTCTGTTTTATCCTTTCTCGCTGTGGCATTTTCGATTCCAAGTGGCGGCAACATTGGCACAGAAGCCTTCCGCGAACATTCTACTTCTGCGCCTTCTGGCAACATCATCTGCCGAGAGAGTGGATCTTATACCCACAGCAGTGGCTTACAGTGGCTTCTCCACAACTGGCTAGGAAGGTCTTGCGGTCGAACTCCGGTGATACGGCTTCTATGATCGAAATGCAAATTAGGCGCCGTCGCTGACCATTATCCTTGGCCAACAGCCCCAGTGCTGAAAATCTACTTGGACCGAGCAACAGTGGGTTTTACACTTTGAGAATCTTCGGACAATGTCATTGTGCGTGAAAAAAAATTGAAAAGTTTCCATTTTTGCTACAATTAAACGACCATATACGCTAAATTTTCTAAAATTCTGACTCCTAGATCGAGCTCACGATATTTAGATGCCGTTCGCAGTCTTGGCACGGGTCTGATCATAGTGCACGACAGCCTCCAGCAGAGCTTGAGTTCCAAGAGCGCTAGTTTTATCATTTAGTAATTATATAAAGACCATCAACAGATCAAAGTCACTTACCAGTCCTCTGGAGTACAATACTCGGTCGGGTGATGGCTCACGCCGTCCCGACAAGGCACAAAAATCATGGCCGACGGGCAGTGCTTGCTGGTATACACAGTGTCGTGACCAGCACCACTGGTCATGTACATTGACTTTCCGGGTCCAACAATATGATCCGCTACTGCCTTGATCGACTCGACACATCCTTGATCGAACTTAACTGCAGGCGAGTCGGTATCTAGGGTCCAGTCGAAAGATACACCCCTGCCATCCTCCGAGGAGATAGTGGCAAAGGCTTTTAGGAATTCTTCCTGCACAGCATGCACAGCCCTGTCCTCAGGGTGTCGAATGTCCAAAGTGAAAGTCACATCAGATGGAAGGGTATTGGTAGAGGCATTCGATGGCACCCTGATGATACCCGTAGAAGCCAGCGCATCGTGCCGCTTAGCGATTGCATTCGAGGCAACGATCATCTTCGAAGCCGCAAGCATGGCGTCGTGACGAGCACTGAGGGGTGTCGTTCCGGTATGAGCATCTTTGCCCTTAACAGTGACTGTGAGCCATCTGTAGCCTTGAGCACCCTGCACAATGCCAATCGAACGGCCAGTCTCCTGGAGAATAGGTCCTTGCTCGATGTGTAGCTCGAAATGAGCCCCCAATGTGAAACCGGTAGCGGGATCACTTGAGCATGCAATGTCGCCAAGATAGCCATGTCGCTCCAGCTCAGAACGAAGGGTCACGTTCGGATCATGAATGTCACGTAGATCCCACGCTTTCTGAATTGGAATCGCGCCGGCCCAGACTCCAGAAGAGCACATGGATTTCGGGAATCGGGCTCCCTCCTCGCTGTTTGAATCCAAAATCAGTCACGGTCTCGTTGATGGACGAGAAAGAACCTACTTAGTCCAATTCACAATGCCAACATCATAATTCGTCTTGAAATTGTTTTCCTTCATAGTCCGCAATACTTCCAGCGCGGCGATCACACCCAAGATGCCATCATAGCGACCGCCCCGAGGCTGAGTATCGAGGTGGCTACCCATGGCGATCATAGGTGCAGACGACTTCTTCGACCCGGACTGTCGGGCAAACATGTTTCCCATCTGGTCAATAGAAAGAGCACATCCCAGTTTTTGTACCTCCTCCGCGAACCACTTTCGTACTTTGGCATCTGCATCGGTAAGACTCAGACGTGCCATTCCCGTCTCGGTTGGGGCACTGTCTACATGTAAGTTTCAATTTATCTCGAAAGAGAGCAGTGAGGTAAGACATACTCTCCATATTGATGAGCGGCACCCCATTCACATGTCTGGTGCAATGTCTTCCAAAGACGGTCTCCATTGATCTGAAGGCTTGCTGTGGAATGGAATCGAGGGGTTGTAGAAAATGCCCTGGGCGCATTAAAGCGCATGACGCGTGTTGTGGATTTTGCTCCAAGCATCTTGATATGAATATGAACCGTATGTCTTTGACTGGGTGATATCAAGTAGAGCGATATGATGGCGGACTATTCATTAAAGCTTCCCTATCCCTTGTGTTGATTGCCGATATGTAAACCTCGCAGAGCACCTTCCCTCGACAAGGGTGGGTCTGAGGCAACAGGAAAGAGTTAAAATACTCAAATTTTTATTTTGGCAATTGGCGAACAGCAATTGCCGCTCGTTGTGGAAGTGGCTGGGGGTGGAAGTGGTGGAGAGCGGACCCTTCGGCTTGTTACCGACAGCGCCTTCTCTCGACATCTTCAGTCTTGAGGTTCTTTAAGCTCCAACACCGAGCCAAAGGAATGTAATCCGAATTCTTTCTCCGAATAGTGTGGATTTAAGGCTGTTCCATGTCTTTTGGGTCATGCGAGAGGAGTAATACAATGAAGCATGAATAAAGAAAGTTATCATTTCGTGGAAAACAGCGACATAATCTAGGTAGCGACTGTCGGTACATACAAACCGAAAATTTCAAACTTGACCAGAATACCCAAAACCTCACAGTAGGGGAGATCCATGAACTGGAGTGAATTATCCCAAAAACTCATCAGATATCGAAAGTAACATCAAACCCTCGTCAAAGAGTTTACCGAGCATAACCCTTTCCCCGGCAGCAACTGCCAAAACACTGATCTCCTGGGAACGGTTAATACTCAAGAACAGTCTAATCAAGGTGCAAGAATACCGTTATAAGGAGTCGGCGCAGTCTCTTGAGTCCCCCTAGATGAAGAATAATACGTGCCCCTTGAGGATTGCTCACTGCTCATCGGTCAGAGGGGTGACGTCATGTTATTTGAGAACATCTTACTCCAGTGTTCTCATGGAATCACTATCAGATCTGGAATCACTCGTTGGCAGGATAGCCCGCACTTTGGCCTTGAGGCTCTTTGACCTCTCTCTGCTGAGCATCTTGGTCTGTTGTGTTGTATGTACTGCGACAAAATATGGCGACAAAGATCGATCAAACCGATCCAATTTGTGTATCGAGATTTCTTCTCAGAAGCTCATGAGATCAATTCTGCAATTTGGCTGTTTAAATCTGCGGGGATGCGTCTCCATTCAAATATACGCCCATGGAAGCCATCATGGTACACAAGATTTGGATCTGCGTGGCGGCAATGAGGCGGTGGAGAAAGACCTGGGGTAGGATATTTCGGCGAACGCCGACATCCACCAGGGACAATCTAATCTCAAATATTATCGCAGGCGCCCTGATTGATATCGTCGGTGACCTCCTTCTCGATCGACACCAGATCTGACAGATCGAGCTTATTCACTGTGCAAATGGAAAGGAGCGCAATGGTTATTGGCTCTAGACGCTCTCCATTTACGAGATCTCGTCTATCATAGTCTCAACCTTCCTCGTTGAGCTTTATCTTAAGTAATTGGTGATGTACGCCTAGAGTCTTTTTACCTAATTGCAAACTGTCGGGTGTGAGTTGGATCCGTCTCATGCAGATGCCACTGTGACATTCATTCAAGCTACTTATCATAGCTTATGTTCAGCCTGACATATCTATTTCCTTGTCCGATCCTAACGACCTAAGCTCTAAAATTTTGTTCTAATCGACCATCCTCGACATATCCCACGAGCTATAGCAAAAGCAACAGCAGCCGCCAAGTAAAGCACTCCACCGAAGATGATCAATCCTCCGTATTTCCCTTCATCCAGCCGCTGAATCGCCCCTGCGATCGGTATTCCAGTCAGAGTACCAATGCTAGAGATTGTGAACGTGGTTCCATTTCTCTTTCCATAATCCTTCGTGGTGCACACTTGAGAAATGCACACTGGTGTGAGACTGATGGCAGCTCCACTCCAGAAACCAAATAGCACGGCATAGCAGATGATCGCTGCTAAGTTGTCACTTGCACTATATCACAGTGCGAGCGTAAGAATCGAACAGACAACCGATGCCAGGACCATCATGTTGAACCGGCCGACTTTATCTTCGATCAAGCCTGGCAAGAACCGTCCTGGAATAGCTCCAAGATTCAGGAGAGCTATGACGAGGTAGGACATTGTGTCTTCCACACCGACATGTATAGCATAAGATGCGATGTATGTGATTGGAATGAAGACGGCGAATTCGACCAGGAAGACCGCAGCTGTGGTGGAGGCGTACTTGACATCTCTCAACGCCCTGAAGTCGATACTCATGCCTGCCTTTGAGTTGCCGGGCAATCTGGTCTTCAGAAGAAAGCAAGCAACAGCACACATCAGCGCAGAAAGCAAAGCAATGATGCGTATAGCCCAAGGAAATCCAATCTTGGGCGCTGCGAAGAGGATGATCAAGGGAAAAATCACGCCACCGATCCCGCCAGCTGTGCAGGCGATGCCGGTCGCGTAGCCTCGACGCACATTAAACCAGTGGCCAACCGCAGTGACAGCGGGATTGAAAAGTGTACAAGCAGAGAGCCCGCCTAAAATACCAAACGAAAGGAAGATTTGGTAATATTCTGGGATTGTTAGCCACTATGTGAGCCAGGAGGTTGCGGCTACGACATACCTTCACTGAACTTATAGCATATCAAAGATAGCACCATTCCCAATGATCCCGGAATCACCACATACTTTGGCCCGTATGTATCGAATATCGGTCCTGTTTATTCTGTCAACGACCTTGCAAACTCAAAACAACTGACCTGTTTGGGCCCCAGCAAAATAGAGGAAAAAGCCGTATGCGCCAAAGATCCACCCAATGCTCGACTCCGAATAACCCTTCAGTTGATGGGTGCTGGTCCAAGCATGAATAATACCGAGACTGTTCAATAAGCCCATGGAAGGTATCATTGCGCACCATGCTCCAAGCACAACTGACCAAGACCTCAATCCTCCCTCGGGAAAATTCATTTCTTCATCCTCTTCTTGAAGGGTTGAGAGTTCATGCGGATCTGAGCAATTCCCGATCACTCCCCCAAGATCGTTTCTCCCGTTACTTTGCATCATCATATTACGCTCGCTGTTCTCTTCAGTTGGATGTACATGGCGATGCTCTCATCTTATAAAATCCAAGTGAGTCCCTGAGCTAAGGTCTACGACGGACACGATATTTATTTAGTATAGGATTCAAATCTCTGATCTCCACTCATGTGGGGGTCGGCTATTCAAGTCCAGGGAGATATCCAGGCAGGATGATAAGCTCATTGGTCCGTTCATTGGTTCATCACTTGCTGACTGTCCACCAGCTTAGATATTGCCATTAAATCAAGTCTCTCATTGGCTTCATCAAAGGGCTATAATATTATAGAAAGGCCCACTTGAAGGAAAACTTCAAGATGATCGCTCACAAAATAGAGGACCTCAACGGTTCTAGCTCGAGTATGAGCCAATAAAATTCCTTGGATATCACCGGAGAAGACTATCTGAATCAGATCAGATTGAGTAGAAATGTCCCGTTTCCGCTTCACATACAAATTCTTGCAGCTCGCTCATATGCAGGAACTCATGGTGGATCCGATGTCTGGGTATCTGCACCGTGAGTAAAAAGGCTCCTTCTGAGAACATACTCGGGTAGGCCTTTCTGCAGGATCAGACCCTGAGCTCTCCGGGCAACATCCGAAAATTGATCTTGATTTCGAGTCTGGTCTAATCATGACTGAGGAAAATTTTCGTCCTGTGCAGTTAATCTATTTGGTCGTTCGGGTGATGCCTTTTTGTCTGTTCGACCTAAAGTTGACAATCCTAAGTCGAAGGAAGTGATCATCGGGAAGCACACTTGCTCTCAGGGATCTAAAAGAGCGCCTCCGTTCAAAAAAGATATTTGAGATTCGATCGTTCAGGGCGATGTGGTTTTTCGGATTCGGATTGGTAAGGCGTGGGTTGACCTTCTGCTATCTGGAGAAGACCATGCAGACGGAGAGTACGCGTAGGGAAAGCGCTGAATTTTGCAGCCATTGCCCTGGCCATGTTAGAACGCGTCCAAGTTTTCTTTCTTTCCCATTCATCCTGCCAAAATTCTTCATTCTTGGCCATCGCTTTGGCCCACGGTGGGATCTGTAGTTCCGCATCCTGTAACGAGGATGAGGCCCTGGTCAACTTCAGCATCATTTTTGATCATTGGTTCAGCCAGATCATTGATGATCTAAGCCAGGGCCGTCCCAATTATTGACAGTCGGAATAGCATAGCACTGCGGGCGTGACACTTAAGACCGTCAAGAAGTCCTCTTATGGATCTAGCCCTTCTAAGTCAATAAATCACACTTAACCGGACTGACGCGGAACTCCCCCTCCCCCAACATATCAAAGAAGTGTTGACGTATGCATTTAACCAATGAATGCTTCTAAAAAGCCATAACGGGGATGATTCGGTATATATAAAGCGTGGGTTCCATAGAATAGCAATTCAACAATTCTCTGTGGGCGGAGTCTGGAGATAACACGGCCTTTTCTCGGCCTGGGAGTGCCATGTTGGTCCACATTTTTGATGGAGGCGGCTGAGAACCAGCGGATCGTATGGGGTTTTCATATGCAGCGAGGACTTGCTCCAAGCTGTGTGTACATACGGAGTACATAGCAACAATAATGTTGATGCTTCAAGATGGAGGTGCGAAGGTACAGTACCTTTGTGAGAGGCTAGATTTCCGCGGTTTCATTGGATCATGTGATTGCATGTTACATAAATAACGTTAACCTTTTGCACTGACCAAGTGACAAGTGAAACGTTCCTTATTTAGCGTGGACAAGGACAGTAATAATTTATGCTTATCCCCGTCTCTGTACAGACGTATTACGATAATAATGATGCTTTTTCATGGACATGGACCCATTGAACCATTGCCCAGACACTCGACTTACTCTACTTAAGTCAGATAGATACACTTAGCGTGCCGTGTTAACAAGAAACAAATGTAACCTGCAATGGGCAAGTTGGTCCGAAGAGGCCGCATGGAGGAATTTTTTGTTGGGATCCAAAGTGGGATGAGTGGAGCGGATTAAGAAATCATGTACTGTACCTGATACAATATGGTACTGAGGATTAAAGACCAGCTGTGAGGTTGTATCTTGAGAGTCACCTTTATGTTGTAATTCAATTAGAGCATTGGATATGCAGTGGTTTCATGTTCATGGTGAATAGGCTATTTGATCAAACGAGATCAGCATTCTACAGAGGTGTTCTTTGTGTGTTTTCTGTTTATGGTACCCACTGATCTTCGGTACGGTTCGCATGCTACGGTCGCACAGAGAAGTGGCAGATCACGGCCTCCACTGTATACAACGGGAGGCAGACTCCAGCTGATCAATTCCTTCCTCCTTGGCAGGTGGGTTAAGCATTCACCACAAAAGCCGTGTGGTAAATGGGATTGTAATCATTCTAGACTCGGGAGGCTCGGCTTTATCCGCCATGCAACCAACGATCAGCAATCATCCCATGGAAGAACCAAGGAAGCATTCAACTATTTTCTGTTTTTAACTCAGCTTCGTCGTAATGTTACTCTCTTCTGGTCAGTAAGTGGCATGAAAGAGGGGCAGCAGGAGGAAACCCCTGCCAGCCTGCCAGGTACACCCACAGCCCCTTGGTCCCACACTAATTGACTACCCCCCACAATCCAACTGCCCCCATCCACCACCACGCATACACACGAAGCAAGCTAACGCAATTAGCATCGTAACGGGCACACCGGGTTTACCTTAAACACCGGGCCTTTAACCACTCTCGAAAAGGTCCAAGACACCAGGGGAACAAGTCTTTGGCGGCATGTCGCCAGCAGTGGCTGGAGCTGGTATAAAAAGCAGATGCATACCCATGTCCATGGACATCGTACTAGCACCAGCACTAATTTCGCAAGAGACCTGACTACGACGCAGGAAAGACTTCCAAACTGCCCGCGCTACAGACTAGCCGACTCTGATGCAGCTCGGGTGCCAATCAGCACCCTCGAGACGGCTGGACTGCTGAGTCAGGGCTGAGGTAGCCCTCCAGAGAAGCAGCATGGACATTCCGTGCACGGCGATCCAGCTGGACGGGTCTGGGTCTGGGTCTGGATGATGTCGGGGCCAGCTGATGTCCAGAGCCTGCGGATGATCAGTTCGCGGGTCGCGGGTAGTAAAGATTGTTTAGGTTTGTTCTTGGGAGCTTCCAACCGGTTATGTAGATGTTCGGGTCGATGACATCGAGGGTGGCGGAAACCGGGGAGAGCAAAGGAGCTGATAAATATGGACGAGAAAGAGAAGGATGATAACCTAGGTTAAAGGTCCTTTTGTTATCGTCGTTCTCCTCCTCCACCAGTCCGTCCGAAACGCCAAGGCGAAGATTACTAGGGGGCCGGGGTCGGCATCGGACGAATGGTTCCCACGGAAGATGCAGTAGTGGGATGGAAAGAAGATGGTCGAGTGGATGGAATTCAAGACGAGTAAATTTGTGGGAGCCGGTCAGCTTTCCCCGGAGGAACGGAAGAGGGACCGTCAACCCCCCGCATGGCCGAAATTGCCCCCTCCCCGCGTATTATTCTGTTGTATTGGACTGTATTAATTGTATTCTTTTTGTCTGGCCCTCTTTTGACTCGAATTGTATACAAGGTAAGGTGACACAGCATTGGATTCGACCAACTAATAAGAGATAAAAATACTAATAAATGCGCTGTCCCTGTCTGTAGGGTTCGACGCAGCTGGAAGAGGAAAACGGTAGTGCCGCAAATAGGCGACGATGATGCAGCAGTAAAGCACGGCCCATGCCCGCATTGGGCAGTGCTGGGGGGGGGGGGCCTGCATTTTACCCGTCTTAGTGCCAGCTCTCTTTCTGAGCCCCTCGTAAGATTCTGTTTAATCAGAAGACAGGAATTGATGGTATTCTCAGAATCAAGGATAGAATACCTCGCTATAGAATCGTTTATAACCTTACGATAGCTATAGTATACTGGAGCTACTTGGTAAGGTATACTCGTAACTCATTGGTATCAATAGTAGAAGAAGTCGTATAGAGGAGAGCAATAATCCCAATAAGATTCAAATATTCAATAATAATCGTTGGTCACTACACTTAGCACCTGCACTAGCACTACTGGCTACTGCTACTCTTTCTCCTTAGCCCGAGTAGCGTAGCCTAAATAACTGGGTCCGACTCCCCCAAGCCCAAAGTCCCTCAGGTCCGGGAACGAGTTCTCCTCCATGCCGAACGGCCTCCGGATCCATTCGATGGTTAGAAATTACCAAATAACAATTATTTAATTCCAGCTCGCCCTGCTCCGGTTCCCCTCGGACTGCTCTTGCCTTTCGACTCTTTCTCTCCTCTCTTCTCCTGTTCATCTTACTCTCTCCTCTCTTCCTGCTTCACCCTCTGGCATTCTCACGCGTAAGTGTGATCTTCATTCCTCCCCACTTTCATCCCACCTCTCCCCCTCCTCAAATAGTGGGAGCTTAATGATCCCGCCCCAAGCCCGCAATTCGACCACTAACTTGGCAACCTTGTCTCCCTTCTAGAGTGGTGTTTACCCTTGATTCGTTTTTTTATTATCTTTCCTCCTCTATTCAGTTCTGCGCGTCCAGGAACTTACAATCATGTCGGACGCTTCCAAGCCCTCGGTGGTAAGTGTGGATCTCACAATTTAGGAGACTTTGCGCCTGCGATCGCCTCGCGAGAGGGGTCGTTGCAATTCCTACGGGCTTTGCGGGCCCGAGGATCACTCCCAGCTAACCCTCATTCCCTCACAGGTGCTTGAGGCCCACGAGGTCGACACCTTCCACGTCCCCAAGGCGTTCCACGACAAGCACCCGACCGGAACCCATCTGAAGGACCTCGACGAGTACCAGAAGCTCTACGATGAGTCCATCAAAAGCCCCGACACTTTCTGGGCTCGTATGGCTCGCGAGCTCCTCACCTTCGACCGTGATTTCCAGACCACTCATTTCGGTTCCTTCGAGAACGGCGACAACGCCTGGTTCGTCGAGGGTCAGCTGAACGCTTCCTACAACTGTGTTGACCGTCACGCCCTGAAGAACCCCGACAAGGTCGCCATTATCTACGAGGCCGACGAGCCCAATGAGGGCCGCACCATCACGTACGGTGAGCTGCTGCGCGAGGTCTCCCGCGTGGCCTGGGTGCTCAAGCAGCGCGGTGTCAAGAAGGGTGACACCGTCGCCATCTACCTGCCTATGATTCCCGAGGCTGTGATTGCTTTCCTGGCCTGCTCCCGTATTGGCGCCGTGCACTCCGTTGTCTTTGCTGGTTTCTCCTCCGACTCCCTCCGGGATCGTGTGATCGACGCCCAGTCCAAGGTCGTCATCACCACCGATGAGGGCAAGCGTGGCGGTAAGGTTATTGGTACCAAGCGCATTGTCGACGAGGCTCTGAAGCAGTGCCCCGATGTCACTACCTGCTTGGTCTACAAGCGCACTGGCACCGAGGTCCCCTGGACCACCGGCCGCGATTTGTGGTGGCACGAGGAGGTCGAGAAGTACCCCAACTACCTCGCTCCCGAGCCCATGAACTCCGAGGACCCTCTGTTCCTTCTCTACACTTCCGGTTCTACCGGTAAGCCCAAGGGCGTTATGCACACGACCGCTGGTTACCTGCTCGGTGCGGCCATGACCGGTAAATACGTATTTGATATCCATGAGGATGACCGTTACTTCTGCGGTGGTGATGTCGGCTGGATTACCGGTCACACCTACGTTGTCTACGCGCCTCTGCTCCTTGGTTGTGCGACTGTTGTTTTCGAGAGTACTCCCGCTTACCCCAACTTCTCCCGTTACTGGGACGTTATTGACAAGTACGATGTTACCCAATTCTACGTTGCTCCTACTGCCCTGCGTCTGTTGAAGCGCGCTGGCGATGAGCACATTCACCACAAGATGAAGTCTCTGCGCATTCTGGGCTCTGTTGGTGAGCCCATTGCCGCTGAGGTCTGGAAGTGGTACTTTGAGTCTGTTGGCAAGGAGGAGGCCCACATTTGCGATGTATGTCTCGATTTCAAACTCCCACCTAACTTCGAAAAGAAATATTGGACTAATGTTGAATTTACTAGACTTACTGGCAAACCGAGACTGGTTCTAACGTGATCACTCCTCTGGGCGGTATTACCCCTACCAAGCCCGGCAGTGCCTCTCTTCCCTTCTTCGGCATTGAGCCTGCGATTATTGATCCCGTCTCCGGCGAGGAGATTACTGGTAACGACGTCGAGGGTGTCCTTGCCTTCAAGCAGCCCTGGCCCAGCATGGCCCGCACCGTTTGGGGTGCGCACAAGCGTTATATGGATACGTACCTGAATGTGTATAAGGGTTACTACGTAAGGCCCAATCTCTTGACCTTTGGGAAATTTATCAACTGACTGATAACCATCTAGTTCACCGGAGATGGCGCTGGTCGCGATCACGACGGTTATTACTGGATCCGTGGCCGTGTTGACGATGTTGTCAACGTTTCTGGTCACCGTCTATCTACTGCTGAGATCGAGGCTGCCCTTATCGAGCACCGTAAGTTCATTTATGAGCTATCATTGAATAAATTCCCAAAAGGACTCTCGATACTGACTCTCTCTCCTAGCCATGGTCGCTGAAGCCGCTGTCGTTGGTATCGCTGATGAGCTGACTGGCCAGGCTGTCAACGCCTTCGTAGCCCTCAAGGATGGAAATGAGACCACCGACCAGGTGCGCAAGGATCTGGTCATGCAGGTCCGCAAGTCCATTGGTCCCTTCGCTGCCCCCAAGGCTGTGTTTGTGATCGATGATCTCCCCAAGACCCGCAGTGGTAAGATCATGCGCCGTATTCTGCGCAAGATCCTCAGCGGTGAGGAGGACAGCCTGGGTGACACTTCCACCGTAAGAGTTCCTTCTCTCCCCTACCTTTGGTATATTTGACATATAAGCTAACGATTATTTGCAGCTGTCTGAGCCTGGTGTTGTGGACAAGATCATTGCCACTGTCCACGCCGCTCGTGCCAAGTAAAAATCTGGATCCATGAATTGATGATAATGATGCTTCAGAAGAGTCTGCCCTTTTTTGAAAATTCTTCTTGGGCTGCTGATTGATATTTCTTCCTTCCCTCATCGCGTCTCGGGCTGCTCGTGATCTGGGTATGCGAGATTGATATATTTCCCCTTTTTTCTGCTTGTATTTGAGATTCCCTGGTCTGTCCATCCAGCTGTGTTGTGAATATTATTATGCATCTGGATTATAATGACTATGTCCTGCATATTGGGTGTAGTATGTAGTAGATTGTCCGTATTGTTGGCCTCTTAGACACACATGACAACCGAGTGCATTGTAGATTTGATGTAGTATACGGCCTAAAATGTAAACAAACAGCAGTGGCTGTATAAAGACAGTGGTGGATAAAATCGAGCAAGTAAACGAACGGGCCCTCTCTTTGCTCTTAGACGGAATAGCGCGGCAACAATGTAGATGTGTCATCCATCACCAGGTGTGAACGAGCTGCACGATCTGGCAGATTCCTGCATGCGTCCGCTGGCATTGTTGTCCCTCATTTTTGTCCGTGCATCAGCTTGCTAGACCAAAACGGGTAAAGAACGAGACAGAGAAACAATTTCATTGGCTGACAGCCTCGATGCTTTTGTTCAGGCAGCAGTGACTCACGTGACGGACCACAGATAGCCGGTGCTGAGGTAAGCGTGCTTGCCCGAGCTGGCAAACTTGACCAACCTTGACTTTACTTTTCTGGCGCGTCCGCCTCCCTCTCTTCTTCTTCCTCATCGTCTTCCTTCACGCGCCACCACCCATTCGCCTTCGCTGCGACATCTATTTCATCCGTCAGTTCTCAACATCTGTTGTCGCCTCCTCTCTATGCAAGCATAAATCTTCGATCCCCACCGACACCATGTCTTTCGGCTTCGGAGGAGGAGGAGGAACTGGATTTGGCCAGACCAACCAGAGCTCTGGCTTCGGTACAGGCTCTGGGTTTGGAGCCACCAACACTAGCACAGGTAGGTCGCTCTTTCTTGCGCTCTGTTTTCCCTCGTCTGCTATTGCTTCATGGGATATGTGGGATGGGTACTGGGATACTCCGGGCTCAGCTCTTCCCCTCATCTCCCTGCTTTGTTTTTCTGGGCTCCGGGTTGGCAAAAGCCCTCAACTCTCCTGGGAGGGTGCTCCTGTCGTTGGACAACCCGCGACCGCGACGACACGCGCAAGGTCAACAATCTCTTCCATACTTGCCTACTTTGCTCGTGCCCACGGAATCTCCTGCGGACTCTTCCGGCGCTCAGCGACACCTCGACCAGAGAATGCGATGCAAGGGTGGACTTGAAATACAGTTGTCTGACACGCAATTCCACTCCGTCATTTAGGCTTTGGAAATACTGGTGGCGGGAGCGCCTTTGGCAACACGTCCAGTGGCTTCGGCACCGGCACTAACACAGGTACGTGCTCAAGAACGACTGAGCTTTGCGACTATTGCCTTTGCTTTTTTCGCTTTTCGCTCTCGCCTGGAAGTGGCCAGGGTTCCCGCATCGCCTGTGTTTGGTTGCAGTCACCAAAATAAAGCTCTTTGTGGAACCGGCTGCTTTGTTGTTGTGCGCGCAATCAATTCCAGCTTTCCCAGAGAATGTGGCCAACTGATGGCCCTCTCTGATGCTTGAGGAATTTGCATCTATGGATCCCAGTTATCCATTGAGCTGCTACTTGTTAATTGCTATTGCTTGGATTGACGTTTTGAATCTATTACTGACCTCTCTATTTTCTTCAACAGGATTCGGTACCAACACTCAGAATCAAAACACATCTCTTTTCGGTTCAGGAACTCAAAATCGCACTTCTGGATTCGGAACCGCCGCCAATACTGGCCAGGGTCTCTTTGGCGGCACCACCCCAAACACCAGCGCAACCTCTGGATTCGGCACTGGCACTGGGTTCGGAACTACCTCCACTGGCACCACTGGCTTCGGTGGCAGCGCCAACACTAATACTGGCTTGTTCGGCAACAAAACTGGTACTGGGTTCGGCACCTCGAACACGCCCACCACCGGCTTTGGCGCTTCTGGTACTACTGGATTTGGAGCAGGTGCGACCAACACTGGCTTCGGTGGAACAGGCACCGCCTTCCAAGGTGCGCAGACTTGCGAAGGCACCGGCGGTACTCCATTCAACCCATTCACTGAGAAGGACACCAACTCTTCCGTGACCAACCACTACCAGAGCATCAGTTTTATGCAACCTTACAGCAAGTTCTCTTTCGAAGAACTGAGATTTGCCGATTACCAACAAGGACGTCGTTTCGGTAACGCCAGCGGACAGCCTGGTGGCTTTGGTGCTCCTGCTTTCGGTTCTTCTACTGGGTTCGGAGGCCAACAGGCTACTACGGGCTTCGGTGCCAGCGCTACTCCGTTCGGTGGAGCTGCGGCTACTTCTGCACCGACCGGCTTCGGAACCACACAGACTACTAGTGCTTTCGGCACCAACAACGCCGCGACAAACCCTCTCTTCGGTGGCGCCAAGCCTGCAGCCTCGATGTTCGGTGGCGCAACTCAAACACCCCAGACGGGGTCCCTTTTCGGTGGTGGCGGCACCACAACTAACACCACCGGTGGATTTGGCGCTAGCACCACTACACCTAGCACTGGATTCGGCGCCAATACCGGCACCTCGCTCTTTGGTGGCAACCAGCAGCAGAATAAGCCGGCTTTCGGCGCCAGCACGACTGGCACTGGATTTGGGGGAGGAGGATTTGGTGCCACTCAGACTACAACTGCTACCAACCCATTCGGCAGCACCACTGCCACCGCATCGCCATTTGGTGCAGGTCAACAGCAGCAAGCCGCTGCTCCTGCCTTTGGTGGCTTCGGTAACACTCAGGCCCAGGCCCAAAAGCCTGCGACTGGCTTGTTTGGCGGCGGCGGTGGTGGTTTCGGAACTACCAACCAGCAGCAACAAACTGGCACTGGTGGCTTGTTCAATAACACTGCTGGCCAGACAACTACTGGCACTTCGCTCTTCGGCGGGGGCCAGGCTCAACAAACTCAAGCCCCAGGCTCGATGTTTGGTGGTGGCCAGGCTCAACAACCTGCGGCTGGGACTAGCCTCTTTGGCGGTGGCGCTCAAAACCAGCAGAAGCCCGGTACTTCGTTGTTCGGCGGTGGTGCGACTACTACTACTGGCGGCGGCGCATTCGGCAGTAGCTTTGGCAACACCCAAGCTCCGTCGACTACCGGTGGCCTGTTCGGTGGTGGTCAGGCTCAGCAGGCCAAGCCTTTCGGGGCGTCCACGACCTCCACTGGCGGCTTGTTCGGTCAAACTGCCGCTGGTCAAACTGGCGGGACCTCGCTCTTCGGTGGTAACCAAAGCCAGCAACAACAGCCTGCCGGAAACAGCATCTTTGGCGGCTCGCAGCCGGCGCAACAACAGCCGCAACAGCCTGTCCCCGGCAGCTTCCAGGCCTCGTTCCTTGATGCTAATCCCTATGGTAGTCAGTCCATCTTCTCCGGTCTTCCAAGCCCGATTGTGTCCTCCCCAGGCCCTCTGGCTACGCCGCTCTCCTCCAGCATCAAGCAAAAACAGCGAACCCCGCTCCCTGTCTATAAGATCACACCTAACGCGGCCAACCGGCTCATCACCCCGCCTAAGCGTCAGGGATACGGATTCTCGTACTCGTCCTACGGTTCCCCCTCGAGCACCACCAGCACTCCCGGCTCTGGCTTGAGCAGCAGTCTTTTGGGCGGCAGCGGTGGCGGTAGTCTCCGTGGTAGCATCAGCGGCAGCCTGGGTCGTAGCTTCAGCAAGAGTTACTCTACCAGCAACCTGCGCAAGTCTTTCATTCCGGATGAGGACAGTGTTCATTCTCCCGGTGCTCTTCTGCCCACCAGCGCTCGAGGCACCGGTGGTAGTCTCAAGCGCCTTACCATTGACCGCTCCCTGAGGAACGATCTGTTCTCACGCCCGACTAGCACCTCTCCTGCCCCCATCGCTAACGGCGATGAATTGCACTCGGCCGACAAGCTCAAGAAGAAGGTCAGCTTTGACTCCACTCCTTCCGGTAGTGAGGTAGTTCGTGTGGAATCCACCAGCCCTGAGCCCACTGCCGAGGAACTCGGTTTCCTCCGCTCTACCCGCAAGAGTGGCGCCATCGATGGCATTGATGGAGACCGTCCCGAGATGGAATCTGTCCGCCGGGATCTTGCCGTTGTCCCTGAAAACGCCGAGCCTACCCACGATGGCACCTCCATCAAGCGCCTTTCCTTCATTCCCGGTGGTGACCCCAAGCCTGGCGACTACTGGATGTCGCCCTCCCATGCCGAGCTTTCCAAGATGTCTCGTGACCAACTCAAGAAGGTTGTTGATTTCACTGTCGGCCGTCAGAACTGCGGTGAGGTTACTTTCAACGGGGCCGTCGATCTTACGGTTGTCGACCTTGACAACCTCTTTGGTGGTATTGTCGATATTGGCGTTCGCAAGATTACCGTCTACCCCGACGAGAGCGTGAAGCCTGCTATGGGCAAGGGTCTCAATGTTCCCTCTACTCTGCGCATCGAGAACTCCTGGCCCCGTGGCCGTGACCGCAAGAACCCGCTGCCTATTACCAGTGGCCCCCTCTTCGACAAGCACGTCGACCGTCTGCGCAAGGTGACCGATACCGAATTTGTCGACTACGAAACCGACACTGGCACCTGGGTTTTCAAGGTCCCCCACTTCACCACTTATGGCCTTGATTATGATGAGGACGAAGGTGAGAGCCTTGAGCAAAGCACTCTGGGTGCAGGCCCTGATGACAATCGCACTCCTAAGGCTCATGATGAACACCCCGCGAGCTTTGAGCAATCTGCGACTTTCTCCATCGACGAGTCGTTTGTTGGCTCAATGGCCGGTGTTGACGATGATACGTTCGATTTCAAGAAGCGCAAGATCGTCCCGGGCTCTTTCGGCAGCCAGGCTATGCAGGCTGAAGACGAAGATATGGGATCTGAAGTAGACACCGAGTCTTTTTTAGAGGAAGGCTCCGCGGGTTCAACTACTGAGCATGAAGATGACTTTGTCACCGAGAGCCAGCGATCTGGCGACTCGATAGTTGGATCTGATGAGGATCAGGCAATGGACATGGCGGGTTCCTTTCCCAATTCTCATCGCACCGTGGAGCAGGATGACGCCCAGAGCATTGACAGTGAACTGGACACAACCCACCCCATTCCCAGGCCCTTTGGCACCCCCGGCAAGCCACGCCTCGACCTGAGTGGCGACTGGGCTGAGCAGCTTCAGCGAACCATCAGCCCCCGCAAGCAAAACCGTGATGCGCTTCGTGAGATTCAGGCCAATGCCTTTACCGACCGGCCCCTACTAAGCAATGGATCACCGGCCGAGAAGACCACTGTTTCCCCGAAGAAAGGCTTCTCGACCAGCATCGACCTGATGAACTCTCTCTTCCAACAATCGCCGCGGAAGCCAAGTGCGCCCGCTACGCAAAAGGCGTCCAAGTCGCAGCCTAAGGGCTTTGAGGTTCGAGCTCCCTCCCTGCTTTACACTTGATTTTTTCTATTTTGTTTTTTACACCCTGATCTATCTCTTCGCTTGAAGGATTTGCATTTGTCATTATTCTCGCATTCCCTGCGCACATTAGCCTGTATCCCACTTCATCATGTATCTAGCACTGAACCCCCTCCCGCAGATAGTTAACCAAATTTGAGAAACTCTTTACTAAAATTCTATCTTCTCTTGTACAGTGGCCCTACAACAAGCAACCCAAGACCTTCGCCGGAGATTCGTCGCAAATGGACAAGACCGATGCTGCTTTCCACGAGTCCTTCAAGCCTCGCTGGGGTCCTATGGACTCGATCGTTTGCGCCAGAAATGACATTACCGGGCCTTTGTCTGAGAGCAACCAGCGCTGGAAGGAGCGTTTTTCTGTTTTCAGTGAAGGCCGAGACGTTGCTGTGTTGCAGTACGGCCAGTCCCGCACTGTGTGTATCAACATAATCCTCCCATGATGGAGTCAGAGCTGACCCTTAATTACGTAGTCCAATGATTTGCTAGAGGTGCAAAAGCAGCAGTCCACCATCCAGCGTGTTGACGGGACACCCCGGGTCCGCTTGGCCAAGGCTGACCTCCGTCAATTCGCCCTTGCCCCGGCTCAAGACGAGGAGCGTTTGGTGTGGCAGCTGGCCAACATCCTGTTTAATGACGACATAGAGGATGACATTTCTGCCGGTGTGCCACCGCAATTGCGGTCGAAATTTGCCCATCGAATTAAGAAGGACCGGCTGACTCGCCTTTGGGAATCCGTCATCCGTGGACGACACGCTCATGTGCTCGACTCAATTCGCTCGCCCGAGGAGCGAGCAGTTCACCTGCTTTGCTCTCACCGTGTTGATGAGGCATGCAAGACATTGGTTGATAGCCAGAACTTGCACTTGGCGACCGTGGTTGCACAGATTGGCCGCGATGCTACCTCGCGGTCCGACATTGCGAGTCAGATCGATGTCTGGCGCCAGAATAATGTTCTGTCGGAGATGACTGAACCTGTCCGTGCTCTTTACGAGCTTGTCGCTGGTAATGGTCTTCGGAGCGAAGGCAAGTCGGGAGGTGCGCTTGAGGACCGGGCTTCTTCCTTCTCCTTCACCGAGCGCTTCGAGCTAGATTGGTTCCAGGCATTTGGTCTTCGTCTTTGGTATGGAACCAATGAAGACGAGCCAGTCGAGGCTGCTGTTTCTAAGTTCCTTGATGACCTCGCTACTGGACTTGAACCTGCCTTCCCTTACCCTTCGCATCACGCTGGCACTCGGACAACCCTGCAACCTGGCTCGGATACTCTGGGTCGCGAGTCTCCTCTGTGGGTGCTTCTGAAGGCATACTCGGCGGCTAGTGGCCGTGCCAATGTTCCGCCTGTCCAGCTACCTGCGGCTCTGCTGCCGGAGTCTGTCTCGGGCGATCGCCTCACCAACCGCCTCTCCTTCCAGCTTCATCATGTTCTTGCTGCTGTTATCGGCCAGAACGAAGCTGTTAAGATTGATCAGACCCAGGTCGACCACTTGGTCTGGGACTACGCTTCTGAGATTGTCGCTGGCGGGGAGCTTGCTCCGGCGCTGTTTGTCCTTCTTCACCTCTCGCAGGCTGAAGATCGTAAGCGTGCCGTTCAGGATATCCTTGCCCGCTTCGGTGCCACTCTCCCCAATCCCACTGCCGAGGATGGATCGACTGCCGACCCTGCCTGGCTGAACCTCACCGCCGAGCTCCAACTTCCCGAATCATGGATCTGGGTTGCCAAGGCTCTGCACGCCCGCGATCGTGGTGACGCCACTAGCGAAGTCGACTACCTCATCCGCGGCAAGCACTGGAACGACGCCCACGCCACCTTCTGCAGTATCGTTGGCCCTACCGCCGTCATCTCTCGTGACTACCATACACTCGAGCGACTGGTTTCCGGCTTTGGTGATAGTCCCGAGCGCAAGATGCGCGGCTGGGCTTCTGGCGGTGGCATCTACGAAGATTTCCTGCGCTTGGCTACTGCGCCCCGTGGCCGGCGTGACCCCACCCGTCTGAGCCGTCTGGTGAATGCCCTTGTTGACATGGGCGAACGTACCCGGAATGCGAAGGGTTCCCTGGAAGAGAGTGTGGCTTTCAAGGAGATGAGCAGTGCTGTTGCTGGATGGATTACCCACGAGGATGTTCATGTTTGTGCTCCCAATTTTAATCACTTGTCTATCGATGCCGTTGCTAACTATCTCTTCCAGTCTGTCCAGTCCTCTGCCATCCTCGGTCTTCCCCTGAACGGCGACGCGCGTGTCCTGCAGACGGCAGAGATGAGCCGTCGCTATTACGGAATTATCATGGCGGGTGGTCAATAATGAAGGAGAAGATACCCTTGGTGATCGTAGTAGCCGTTCAGAAAAATTCTCTCAAAAATACATGGCCATCTACGCATTTGGTTATATGCTTGCATCGCTTCCCTTCGGTTTAGCGTTTAATTTCCCTTCTTCCCCCTGTTTGTCCTTCGATCTTCTCTTTTGTGTGATCTGAACCTGACATGACTGTATTGTACTTTACCAATCAATTAATCACTATTTAGTGGCATGGCTTTTCTACCGTAGATCTTTAGAGATACTAATGTAGATACAGCTTCGGCATAGAATCATCATCATCATCACATCATCCCATGTATCCCATGTATCCCATGTATAGACCACCCCGGTTCAGGTGCCGGAACCGGCATCGCTCTCATTGGCTGGAAGTATGAAAGTTGTATGAGGCAATCACCATGCAGCACTCTTTCCTCCAACTACCTTCGCTCCTTTCCTACTCATCCTCACAAGGGATCCCCAGTCTTTGCTTTGTTTTGATTCATGATCGCGGAAACCAAATATTCATCCCATCACGGCCTTGGTGCGTCTGGAAACAACGAGCCGTGGCTAGTCCTAACACAAAACACAGACCGCAGGGAAAGACTACACAAAGACCAACCAGCGGGTAAGTATGCTGCACTGATCGATATTTACCACCCGAGTGTTTCAAGATTCAAGAATCAAACGCGCCTATCCATCCCCAGATCTCAAGGAGATTCCACTGATCTCTTATACTTCAGCCATACTGTGTTACATTCACTCCTCGCATTGTCACGAGCGATTCATGCATGATTGGGTACACAGCCCTTTTTTCTACATCTGTACTAGCCTGCAGACCCCATTAAGCCGGTGCTAGGAAGGCGCAATCCACATCATTGATTCTTTTATCCTTCTTCAACAACTTCAGAGTTCGGCAGGAGGGGCGTATATCGCTTAGTCGGCGACGTCCTGCGGTCCCATCGCAAAATGAGGCAAGTCATTTCACCCCCAAGTTTTTTGCTTGTCATTCCCGTCCTCAAACGTTTCCCTGCACTGAAAGACCGGCATATCTCATTCTGCATCTCTTCTCATCGGCGCATTCTGCGCTTTGAATCCCTCAGGACTCGAGGACAACCGTGGTCGAGATGGACTCGATAGAGATGGACTCGACATCCCAGTTGCGCTGGAGTGTACCAGTCCATCCACGGTTTAAAGGACTCGATCCCAAACTCATACCTTCGCGTCCAAGTTACAGTGCTTATACATACCGCAGACCAGGTATCGAACTCGAAGGCATGCCCGGTCGTCCCAAGAACAGCAGCGACAACAACCGGGATGCTCGTGGCGCCGCCGCTGATGGAGACCAAACGGACATTGCAGCTCAGCGTACGATGGCCGAACCAGGACCAGACAATCGACCAGCTCATTCGGCCTTTGGCAGATACCAGAAGTTGTTCATTGTTGTGATGGTTACGCTGGCTTCGTTCTTCTCGCCTCTGTCCGGTCAAATCTACTACCCTGTTATGCCAACGCTTGTCAAGAACTACCACCTCACCACGGCACTGGTCAACCTGACTATCACCACCTACATGATCCTCCAAGGACTTGCGCCTAGTTTCATGGGGACTTTTGCAGACAATGGAGGTCGTCGTCCGGCATACATTATTGCTTTCGCCATCTATACAGCTGCGAACATCGGTCTCGCACTGCAGAATAGCTTCGCGGCACTATTAGTGCTCCGTTGTATTCAGAGCGCTGGGAGTAGCGGTACTGTCGCCTTTGGATATGGAGTCATCGCCGATATTGCGACTCCCGCTGAGCGTGGAAAGTACATCGGGCCAATGTCTGCAGGAGTGATGGTTGCACCGGCGCTGGGTCCTGTCATCGGTGGCTTGTTGGCCAGATTCCTCGGCTGGCGCAGTGTCTTCTGGTTCCTCGTGATCGTTAGCGGCGGATATCTCGTCGTCTATATGATCGCTATGCCAGAGACTGCACGGACAATCGTGGGAGATGGCAGGTTGCCACCAAAGGAGTGCTGGCGGATGTCGTTGGTCCAGTATTTGTCAACTCGACGACGTGAACGAAGTGAGACGAATCAAGAGCAATCTGAGCAACAGCAACGCTCGTCGAAGCTCAAATTTCCGAATCCACTCGCCGCCTTTGCCATATTGCTTGAAAAAGATGCGGTGATCATCATCTCATTTGTTGGACTAGTCATGTTCGGCAATATCGCCCTGCTAACGAGCACACCAAATCTGTTCCCGCGGCTTTACGGCTTCAATGAGCTTCAGGTTGGCCTGTGTTTCCTGTCAGTATATTCCCATAGGGCCCCATGACAAGCAATCCCCGAGCTAACTTGAAGAATATCTAGTCCCCTCGGCGTCAGCGCCTGCATCGGTGCCGTCACAAATGGCAAACTAATCGACTACAACTATAAACGCATTGCCCGCAAGCTCCACTTCCCCGTCGACCGCAAGAAAGGCGACGACCTCCGCAACTATCCCATCGAGCGAGCCCGTCTACAATGCGTCTTCCCCATCATGGCCCTCGGCTGCATAGCTTACATCCCATACGGATGGGCACTACAATCACACACAAGCCTCGCAGTCCCCCTCATCCTACAATTCATCATCGGGTTCTGCTTCATCGCCTCCCTGAATACACTCAACACCCTCCTGGTCGACCTCTTCCCGGACCGCGCTGCCACCGCCGCTGCAGCGTGCAATCTCGTGCGCTGTTGGTTGGGAGCTATCGGTGCGGCGGTGATTGATCAAATGCTGACAGGTATGGGATGGGGGTGGACATTCTTTTTCTTGGGCTTTTGTATGGCTGTTGCGATGGGCTTGCTTTGGACCGAGTTGGTGTATGGTATGGGCTGGAGACAGACTCGATTGGATGCGATTGAGCGGAAGAAGGCTGAGCGAGCGGCAGCACTGGCTGATGCTGAGGCTCAGGTTGGCATGAAGAATGATCCGGGTCAGGACGTGAATGTCGAGGTCAATGAGCGAGATAAGTGAGGGTATCTTTTATTAAGTGGCTTGTTCTTTTCTTTCCAGATTGCTCGGCACCACGGTGACTTGAAGCTCTGGATTTGCTGTTTGATTACCTGCGCTGTTCTTTCTGATGAGATGCTACTGCTACTGCAGTAGCTACTATGGGCTTAACCAAGTATTATTGCACCTGCATACCTTTACCATCCCATCTTATCATCCAATTCTTCACTTTTTCTACTCTGCAAGAAATAAAGAAGACATAAAATGCATCAATTTGCTACCGACTGTACATGGAAGGAAAAAGACCTAGACGCGACAGGAAGGGGATCGAACAGGAAAGAGATATAGGAAAAATAGTAGAGACAACCTCTCCAAGCAACCAACACCAGCCGGGTCCTCGAAGACGAGGAATTGATTACCAGCTAGCCAAGGAAGCGAGAGGTTCATAAAAAGGAGATCTAGATCTTAGAAAAGAATACCGGATCCGTTCCTGCATCGTTTTTTAGAGACAGGATGAGTTGAGGGGTGTTGTGAAAGAGGCAGAGGTGGAGAGAGAATAAAGTGCTTTTTTCATCGGTTTTACATGCCAGGGGAGATCAGCTTGCCCTCAGCACGGGCTTCAGGCTTCCAGCCACCAGCGAAGGGAGCACCGCCAATCTCCTTCTCGTACTGGCGGATGCGAGCCTCCAGTTCGGGACGGAAGTGGCGGATCAGACCCTGAATAGGCCAGGCAAAGGCCTCACCCAGAGCACAGATGGTGTGGCCCTCGACCTGCTTAGTGAGCTCCTGGAGCATGTCGATCTCACGCTCACGAGCGTTACCGGTCTCCATGCGCTGCATCATCTGCATGGTCCACTTGCTACCCTCACGACAGGGGGTGCACTGACCGCAGGACTCGTGCTTGTAGAAGGTGGACAGACGGGAGATGGCGCGGATGATGTCGGTGGACTTGTCCATGACAATGACGGCCGCGGTACCCAGACCGGACTGCGAGTCCTTCAGGGCGTCGAAGTCCATGAGCTGGTTATCGGCGACGGACTTGGGGATGACGGGGGTGGAAGAACCACCGGGGATGACAGCCAACAGGTTGTCCCAGCCACCACGTACACCACCACAGTGCTTCTCAATCAGGTCGCGCAGAGGGATGGACATTTCCTCCTCGACGGTGGCGGGGTTGTTGACGTGACCGGAGATACAGAACAGCTTGGTACCGGCGTTACGCTCACGGCCGAAGGACGAGAACCAGCTGGCACCGCGGCGGACGATGGTGGGGACAACGGCGACGGTCTCAACATTGGTGACGGTACTGGGGCAACCGAACAGACCGACAGCAGCGGGGAATGGAGGCTTCAGGCGGGGCTTGCCGGCCTTGCCCTCAATGGACTCGATGAGCGAGGTCTCCTCACCGCAAACGTAGGCACCCATTCCGCGGTGAATGTAGACGTCGAAATCGTAGCCGGTGCCGCAGGCGTTCTTGCCGATGTAGCCCGCAGCATAGGCCTCGTTGATGGCCTGCTGCAGAACGGTAGCCTCCTGATAGAACTCGCCACGGATGTAGATGTAGGCGGCATTGGCGTTCATGGCGCGGCCGACAACCAAGCAACCCTCGATCAGCTTGTGGGGGTCCTTGCGCATAATCTCGCGGTCCTTGCAGGTACCAGGCTCGCCCTCGTCGGCGTTGATGACCAGGTAGCGGGGGCGGGGGTCCTTGTCCCAGTCCTTGGTGTTCATGAACGACTAAATTGCAGCGAAGAGAGATATTCGGTTAGAAACTTGTCCACACAAGGGCCATCATATGCTTGATATCAACAGCGCCCCGATTGGGTCTGAGTCCACTCCATCCCACTTACGTATTTCAGTCCAGAGGGGAAACCAGCACCACCACGGCCACGCAGACCAGAGGCCTTGATCTCAGAAATGAGCTGTTTTAAAAAGACACAACGTTAGCACAACAGATACCACGTCGCCGAGCGCACCCGACCTCCGAAACAAGCAAGACACTTAACGCACCCAATCGTCACCCTTCAGCACGATATCCTTCGTCCGGTGCCAATCACCACCATACTTCATAGACGACTTCAAGTCGGGGCTGTGGTGACCGTAAAGGTTGGTGAAGATGCGGTCCTGGTCCCGGAGCCCGCCATAGTGCCTGACGGGAGGAGCCTCCTGCACGGTCGCGAACGAGCGGGCGGCCGCCCCCTGGGCGCGGAGGGAGCGGCTCGAGAGGGAGACGAGGGTGGAGGTGGAGGGAGCCGCCGCTCGAGATATCATGATGGCGGATTGGGACAATGGCGTGGAGAGGATCAATCGGTTCTCTGGAGAAGAGGGAAGGGGGAGCTCAACGGCAATTCCTGCGCTTGCTGAACGATCCGCCATTACGTGAGCGCTGATTGGGGGAGAGTCACGTGGTGTCCATCCAGATTTGCTGAGTCATTGGTCGGTTCCCGATTCGGTCATGACGCAACTTCCTTTTTAGGTTTATCTTATACTTCTTGATATCAATTGTGTTCTTTGGAATTCATGCTTTATTCCTGCTATTCTTCTACTCTTGCGGGACATACAAACATCCCAGCTTTGGCAAACCCGGATTCTCCGTCACTAACACCTGCAGCGGCTCGTGGGGAATCAACATCATCTCAGCCTCGGCCACATTAAACGACCAGGCTAGCCAATTCGAATCCAGCCATCCACTTTCTTCAGACAGCCACTGCACTCCATCTTGAGCTGCCCATGACTGTGCCTGATTGCCCTGGACAAACTGGCTCAATTGATCCATGGCTCCACCAGTGGCCGACGGGACAGCAGACATCGGATACTGCTCCACCAAGAAGTCCACCCATCGAGTGAGCCGCGAAGACAAGTGTGGTCGTGCTTGGGGCGATCGCCCAGTTGCAATCAACAAGCAAATCGCCAGAGCAAATATGGCCTGCGGGTCAGTCTGCAACGCTGAGACCTGCTGACCAGCTTGTGAAAGCACATGATTGAAGCACTCCCGACTCGCCGCCTGCATATCAGCCGGTAGTAGACTAAATAGCTCTCCCAGTCGGAACAGCTCTCCGTGCTTCTTGAGTAATGATTTCCGCTCCAAGATGCGCACACGAATTCTGGATAATGTCTCGGCTGGGAAGTGACCCTCTGGAATTTGTGACATGTGCTCATTCAAGAGAGTCTTGATATCCTCCCAGGTTTCGCCGCGGGTATGTTCTCGCGCCCGGGCAAGAGTCCATGTAACGATGACTAGCGCGGCCTTGTCGAGTGTAAGCAGACCGTTGCGGTAGATCTGGGCAAAGGTCTGTTTCAGGTTCGCAGGCTGCAGCTGACGGTCTTGTCCAGTAGCTTCAAGCATCATGATATGGGAGATAAGCTCGAAGCTGATCTGTGATAGAGCTGCCAGGGTGCTGTGGCCATTTCCGTAGGCTGCTGGGATTGATATGGCCGATTCGGTGATTTCGATCTGTTTGCGCTCGCGCTCGTTGGCGTGCATGATGGTCAAGGAGTTGAAAAGGGCTGGTGAGAAGATAGAGTGCTCCATAGCAGTATCAGGTCCGAGAAGGGGGTAGAAGACATTGAAGATGTAGTAATGATCCTCCTTGTTGTTGGCCACCTCGGGGAACATCTCCACCTGACGTTTCTTGGCTTTGCTGAGATGGCTGTCTGGCTTCACACCCAGCTTGACGATGCGGTAGTCTGTTGGGTTGTTCGGGAGACAGAAGCCGTAGTTCATGAGTACTGAGCTTTGTTAGCATGCCTGTTCATAAGTTTCAGTCTTCAAAGGGTAGAAGATCACCCACATTGTTCGTTGTTTCGAGGTCCATAGTTGTTGGAAATCTCATGACCTGGACCGACCTCCTCCAGAACGACCATCCCAATATCTGAAGTTCCTGCCCGCCACTCAACCTTGGCCAGCGGCCGGTGATTGGGAAGGTCAATAAGTGGCAGAAGTACTGACACACCACTATCTTCCGCAAGCTTGGAAGCCTCAACAACACTAGACAGAACCTTGGGCGAGAATGCTCGAGAGGAAATAATAGTCGAAGCCCACAAGTACAAATCCCTAATCAATCAAGCCCAATTAACACCTCCAATCTTCATCCAAATCGAGGCCAGGCGTCAACTTACCACGTATACTCCTCAAGCCCTTCAAACCCAACCTCCTCCAACTTAGACACACACTGCTCATACCTCTCATCCCAAACCTGATACCTCTGCACCGCCGCCTCGGGAATACCAGTACCCTGGATCCAATCCACATCCTCCTCCCCAAAGAACAGCGGCGTATTCAACTCTCCCGGCTGAGGCAAAGTCCGCAAATACGGATACCAGAAGCCCTGCGGACCACGCAGGAACTGGCCCATCAGGAAGAAAGTGAAGGTCTCCTCAACGGCCACGGCATCGATAAAAGCCTGCGGCAGCTCGACGCCATGTTTGGGGAAAGTTGCTTGCGGGGTCTGGAATCCAATGGCGTTGAAGTAAGTCATTGTTACGCCTATGGGTGTGCTGAGCACTTTGGTTTCCTTGCTGATGTGTTCGGGCCAATCGCCCTTGACTTGGACGTGGACCCCGCGCGAGGTATCCTGCGCGACACGGACACAGTCATTGAGGGAGCCACCTTGGCTGATTATCCAGTCTACAAGCTCCATATGGGCTTGTAGAGAGTGGCCGCTGTCTTGTCTGTTGTGTCTAGTTAGTCTGATGTTGCTGGACTAGAGTCTCTGGTATATAGCAATGTGGAGTGATAGGCTAGGGATGAGTGGAATTGAAAATGCTTACTCAGTGGACGATGCCATGCTGTTAACACCTGCTCCTTCCGATATTCAAATATGTCTATATGTGTTAACCACAAATGAGATGAGCCAGAGTTGCTGAACGAAGGGCAGTGATATCATTGCTCGTTGAAAAGATTCGGTGGGATGGGTGGGGCCCACTTTAATTTTCCCGATAGAGTGCAACACGCCGTTATGTCCTGCTGCCTACAGGCAAGTCAACATCCAGTTTATCTGAATTACAAGAGAATAAATTGTGATTCTCCGCTGTTCTTGTACAACTTAAGGAGTGCTTGATGCTCAAATGAATTACGTTGCTCATGTACTATATTGTGTTACCTAGACAGCACCTAGTGGAAGCGCAACTATGTGCTAGCATTTCAATCCGGCCGAAATCTCATGAATAAAACATCAATTGACTTCTCTAATTCAACTATCGTACAAGGGCATCATGATCCACCGCCATCAGGAAATCAAAAACAATCAAACTCACCCCCTCCCGCAATGCATGCGACGGCTCAAAAAAAAGCACGAAACAAGCTCACCCCATGCGGACCTGCAACCTCAGAAGACAAAAAAAGAAGCAAAACGAATCATCATAATGCAGCCCTCCCCAAGATTGACCAGAAGATGGAAACATATATACAAATGCCATGACACGACTAGCAGCATGGATGTAAGCATCCCCGACTGACGAGAAACAAGCAAGGGGAAAGAAGAAAGCGAGAGAAGGAAAAGCGCGGCAAAGAAAACAAGAAAGGGCAAAACAAAAACTTGACCACTAGAAAGACAGCGGTTTCTTTCGGAATGGAAGGGCATGTATCAAGCGGCATCGTTGCAGGTGTATCCGAGTAGGAAAAAACAAAATGATGATGGGTGCAAAATGCACAACAAAATGGACGCGAAGGGGGAATATCAGATCAGAAAATTGGAAGCCCGGTCTAGTTCGAGGTGGAAGATTTGCGGCCAGGGACAAGGATCTCTACCAGGCCGTCGTCTTCACCGTCACTGCTATCGTCTTGGTCATCATCGAAGTGGGAACTGACTGCCCGCGGCCGACGGAACCCGCTGTATCGCGTCTGGCCGGGGAGGTTAGAGTAGCCCAGGGATTCGTTGATGATGGCTTCATCTTCATCATCCGAGACGACCATTCCACTGCCACTGGGTCCAACCATCTCACCCATCTCATCGTCTTCATCTTCCTCGACTTCGAGAGGGACGCGAATGCGTCGTCGCACGCCTTCTGCGCGGTCACCTTCCTCGTCGGAGGAGTTGGTGGAAAGCGAGTCAGGCGGGCTGAACCCAGACTCGGGGAATGCGGAGGAGAAAGTCTGATCCGCATTAGACGCGAAGTCGGTGTTGGGGAACGCCGAGTTACCACCTTCGGCGTCATCATCAATTCCTGCAATGATAAAGGGGTTGGAGGACCACTCCCGACCTTCGCCCTCGGCATTTCCATCCTCCCCGACGCCTGCGTTTTCAGACGCTTGCTGTTTCTGGGCCGCCAGCCGTGCTGCTAGCTGACGCCGAGCCCTGGAGGGGCCCATACTCAGCGGGGCAGGAGGGGGCGGCAGAATAGGAATAGGTTGGCTGGTAGAGTTTTCAGAGACCTGCAAAGTTATAAGTTAGCAAGCGATAGACATTTTGGAGGGGATAGTGCAAGGCAGTAGATTGGGACATGGGTTCCATGACCGCGAATCAGCTCGACAAACAAGTCGGCTGTGTATAGAACAGTAGATATAAGGTACAAGGGGAGGAGAGACAACTGGGATTCCGTCCAGAATGGGAACCAAATGCCAGGGAGGGAATATCGCATCGAGCAGATTGCGCATCCACAGGACAATGAACATAATGAGCCAAGCAAAGGAGGTGGGAAGGGGTGCAGAAAGAGTATAATCTGGTAGCAAAACTGAGTGCAAACCCAATAACTGCAGGACAGCACAAACTGTTTGCTCCTAATCAAAACTCTCACCACCCTTCCCAGGCCAGCCTTATTCCTGGATTGTATCTAGCGATCAAAGAGAATAGAACATGGAAAGTGAGGGATAGGAATCGCGTCCGACGATTATACATCGTCTGCCGAAAGGTTGGTACCCACATTCTCGGATTCGCCATGGTCGGCACCGCCAGCATCTCGGTCCTCCTGATCTTCCATCTCTTCATCCTCGTCATCGCTCGAGCTAGCAAAGCCACTCAAAAGCGAAGTACCACCGAATGCTCCACCAGAAACACTACCCTGGTTGATTTCAAAGCCCTGGAAGGTTGAGCCGCCAATTCCGCCGTTCAATCCGGCATCAGCCAAGGCGGAGGAGTTGTTGTTGAACCCATGGTTAGAGGTGGAAGTGTTCATTGCGGTTTGACGAGGCCCGACAGCCATGTCTGGCCGTACCCCACCCAGGATGGCGTTATCACGTTCCCGAGTCTCCGAAAGGGTCTGCTCGACGTAGTCTATCCAGTCTGGATTCAGAACCGACTCCATGACGGCACGTGAGAGCAGCTCTGGCGGGTGACGCTCGCTGAACTTGACGACCTCCTCGGCGACAAGAGTCAGGTGGCCCATGTAGCCGAGGCGGATCTGCTTGGTGCGTTGGACCTCGTCGCTGCGCTTTTGGCCCTCAACAATGGCATTCGTGATTTGACCAATTTCGAAAACATTGATGGCCAAAGCTCGGTTGTATCCACGCTCCATGGGGCCGTTAAAGACCTGCTGGACCACATCATATACAACATTATGGAGGAAGTTATTCCAGGGGAATCGGAAGAAGAAGCCCTAGAAAACATATGTTAGAAAGGAGACTGCTAGGAGTAATTAACATCTGAGTGAACTCACCAAAATGGTTGGCACCACTTTGTTCTCGACAAACATGATCTTCAAGAAATCTCCAACCACAGGACGGCCATCCGTGTCATACTGGATGTACTGCTCAGCAAGGTCCTCAGCGCCACCATCATTGGCGGGCTGGGATTCTTGAGTTGGCTCAGTAGCGCCTTCTGCTTGAGCAGTAGAATCTGACCCCGGCTCCTTCGCCGCAAACAAAGGAGGAGGAACATCCTCAGGCTGTGGAGTTACAGACACATCCTCCTTGTGAGTTTCTGTAGATGCTTGCTGCTCCTGCGGGGATTCGTTTCCAATCTCCATTTCACCAACTTGGTCAGTCAGACCGGTCGTCGGGGTCTTGGGCGATGACGGGACGTTTGCGTCTGCATCTGTCTTTGGTGTTTCCACAGCCGACTCAGAGGTTGACTCAGAAGGCTGTTGCGACTCTGATTGCAAGTTGGATTCCTTCTCCTCGCCCTTCTTGCCAACCAGAACGCCAGAGGCACCGACGTCCTCGAAGCCCTCGTCCTCAACAACCCGAGCTTTGAGAGCCTCGGGCGATCCAGTGTCCATAACCGAACCATTGGTGAAATCAGCAGTGGTATCATTGTAGTCCATGCCGGACTGCTCATCCCGATGTGGGTTGAACACACCCTCACGGATCAACCTATCGCGCTCCTCATTGCGATGCCGCACATAGTCCTCGCTGCCAGGCTCGTTCAAAAGACCCATGTTACTGCAATGGAGTAGTTCCGCCATCAACTCGCACGCCTTGAACCGATCAAAGCCAAGCGGCTCAATACTGGCGCCCCACGCGGAATTCAAGCGACCCCGGTCAACAGACTTCAGGGAAGTACCGTCGTGTACCGCATGCTTGGAGCTCTGAATAAGGGTCATGAAATCGGGGATATGCTGCGCAAAGAGACGAAGTAGGTGTCCGAGATAAATTGGATCGTAAGGTGTCGGCATAGATTCGGGACCACCCATCTGCTCCGGGTCATAGTCGGAGTTATTCTTGCGAATGACTTCGATGACGATACCCACACCCACTGTCAATGGGTTGCCACCCTTCAGCATCGCATTGATCAGTTGTTGCACACGCTCAGGCGAGACAAGTTGGCGGGTCAGGCTGTTAGGACCAATGCAGGACTGGTCATTTGGGGTCGCATTTGCAGAGATGGTAATGATCGCCTTCAGGAAATCACCGGCCGATGTTTGCACAGACCCTGGGTGCTCTGGGGCCAGGAATGAAAGGAGGTTTGGAATCAAATCCTGCGACTGCAACCAGTCCACCGTGCCTTGGCCGCCTTCGGCCTTTTCCAAGCTAATAATTTTCAACAAGAGATCCATGACCATGGGATTATCGACGTGCTGCAGAAGTGCAGCCACAATTCCGTCCAGCGACTTCAGGAATTCCAGCATCTCTTCCGTCTTCTTATCAAGTAACGTCTCGTTCACTTTGGTAAAGTAGCTAGCCTGCAGGGAGTCCAACGGAGCGGGCCGTCGGAGGAAGCCCCAGAAGTCGCGCAGATAAGCAGGGTTGGTCATCATGGATTCCAAGATAGACCAGGTCTCTGAGGAGAGAATTTCGCATGCCACGTAGGCATGCTTCAGGCGGGCCTTCTCAACCTTTTCCAGATCTTCCGGGTCTAAAACATCCTTCAGTGCGTCAGACTCCTTCCCGGCCTTTTCTTCCTTGTCCTCGGCATCAGTCTGGTCTGTCGGCGCATCGCTTTCGCCGTGAGTCGGGGAGGCATGCTTTTCGTGGGAATCGTCGTCATCATTTTCGTCGTCGTCATTCACCAAGCTCGGTGCGGTGACATAGTCCATAAGCCGTTTCAAGACATGATCCTCGCGCAGATATTCTATGAGTTTTGTATTATGCTGTTTCAATTCCTGGATAATCTCTGGCTCATCCAGCAGGTCCTCGAGGGTGACATCAGGTTTGTCGAGCAGGGTATCGATGGTGGAGATACTTGCATATCCCCCAAAACGCCAGAACATGATGGAGTGTATATCCGGGAAGCACGATTCATGGGATGGTTCGTTTCGTCAGGCTCCGAGATATCGTAACGGAGTGTTTTTAAGGTACACGAAGGTAATAGGGTGGTTGGGGTGTAGAAGGAAGGAGACGGAGGAGGGGGTTCCCGCCAGCAGGGCGATACACCGAGTGTGTCCACACACAAGAGGTGGTCGCGGCAAGGTCCAGTGGGGTCGAGAGGAGGGAATCTCGATCGTCGCGCTCCCGGAGAGAGATCGAGGTCGGATCGCAATATGGGCCGAAGCGAACCCGGCGCTGTAGTTGGGAGGTCAGCGATCACGACTGGGCTGGTTGCATCAATCACGGAGCTGATGATTTGTGCACCGGAAGGCGGCTTGGTCTTGACCTTTTGCACGGGGATAGGTCCCCACGAGACGAGGCCTTGAGGGGGCAGCAGGATCAGGTGGGGAGTAGCAACAATCCAGACAGGCTTAATCGCCACGTACCTTCAATTAAACAGAGAGTGACGAAGAGGGAGAGGGCAGGATATCGGACCTCCCGTGGGTTGGATTGGGGTGTGGAAGGAGAAGAAACGGGAGTGAGCCAAAATGCGGGCGGGAATGCAGGACTCAGCGCCGGTCCATCAAGGAGAGACGAGAGGGTTAAGTACTACGATCGGAGGGAACTAATCGAGCAAGATGAAGCTAATAGATTATTGCTGAGTGGTTGAAGTAGTAGTAAAAGGAATAGTCGGGGATCACAGGGTGTAATCATCATCAGTCATCGACTCGGTTCCCGACTTGGTTGCCCTACTGGTTCCTTGACTAGTGATGTCTCTTCTACCCAAAGGCCTCAAGGCGGGGGTCACAGTCCCGACCAGCCGCGATAAGCACGCTATACATAAAGCCATTCTTCACAAATCTGCTTGGTTTTTCTTTTCTTTATAGACTTTTGAGTTTGTTTAAATGTGAAGGCTTGAGTCTCTTGCGCCCGTTTACGATCTACTATCCGGTTTGTGAGACAAGGTGCTTTGTTTCCTCTACATACCACCTCGAGAGGGGGAGAATTCGGCGACAATTATATCGCACTCAGTCACCCATATTAGTCTCCTAATTGGCAATGAGGCCAGAGAAAGGGCTTCATGGAAATCGCCGAAACCTATTGCCAACAGATCTGACTGGGCGGATTTGGTTACCAGCAGTCCAAGATCGCGTTTCAGCATCCGGTCATCTGGGTTGGGCACGATGGGGTACATAGTACCTCGCATACTATGCTGACTGCACCGTGTGCAAAGTTCCGAAATTTTGCACGGTCCAATAGACTGAATGTCTGTCCATCGGCTGACAATGTCGGATGTTCCCAGCAGACTGGTCGAAGTATAGTCAGTGGGAGCATCCTACTGTACATGTATATCAGAGGACTGTAGCTGGAAGTATATGCATTCGAATCCTTTCATTAAAGATAAACTTTGAACACAGGTGCTAAGGACCCCAAAATTTACCACATGATGACGAAGAGATATGTTTAGAATAGGAGCGTAGAGTCTATGCTAGTTAACTTAACCTAACTATACTGTATTTAGTTAAATAGTTAACTAGTGATCGTGTCATTATTAATCTTCAGCTGCACTAAATTCCGCCCTCTGCCTGGTAGCTATCACGTGGCTCTGTCTTCTAGTGATTCATGCCTTAGGCCCCAAGGCCCCACTGACGTCGGCCCTCCGCATTATCCATCGCATTATCGGTGCCTGTTGACCGAGAGATGCACGGGATTCCCTAGACAAGCAACTACAACTCTCTGTCTCTTTTTGCGCTATCGAGATAGCTCACCGCCACACTCCTCGGTGACCCTGGTCACTCTGACCACCTGCTAGGCAGCAGAACGGGGATTCCCCCACCATTCATCACCACCCTTTCCACCCTCCGCTCTTGCCCCTCTCTGAGGCCGACAATCAACCACCATGAATCGCCTTTTCGGCACCAAGAGTGCGGCTCCCAAGCCCACTCTAGACGGTGCAATCTCCAAGGTACATCTTCACTCCTCCCCTCATGAATCCCATAAACTAACCCCCCACCCACCAGGTCGATGACCGCATCTCCAGCATCGACGTCAAACTGACCGCCCTCAACTCCGAACTCTCCACCTACCAAGCCAAACTCTCCAAAATGCGCGACGGCCCCGGCAAAAACGCCCTCCGCCAAAAGGCCCTGAAAGTCCTCCAACGCCGAAAACAATACGAAGCCCAGCGGGACCAACTCTCCCAACAATCCTGGAACATGGAGCAAGCCGGCATGATGCAGGATAATCTCAAGAACGTGATGACGACCGTCGACGCCATGAAGACGACGACCAAGGAATTGAAGAAACAGTATGGCAAGGTCGACATCGATAAGATTGAGCAGATGCAGGATGAAATGGCCGATTTGATGGAGGTTGGTAATGAGATTCAGGAGAGTATCTCGCGGGCGTATGATTTGCCGGAGGAGGTGGATGAGGCCGATCTTGATGCGGAGTTGGAGGCGTTGGGGGAGGAGTCGTTGTTTGAGTCGGAGATGGGGGCGGATGCGGTGCCGAGTTTCTTGCAGGATGAGGTTGCGCCGCCGCAGTTTATTGATGAGCCGCCGGAGCAGGCTAAGGTTAAGGAGGCTGCTGGTGGGATTGGCTAATACGATTGGGATTGACACTCGTGGAATGCCCATATTGAAGGGCTAGGAGTTTGTTTTTTGCTGGAGTTATGTCATTAGTTTTGTTCTTTATACAAGGACTGCCGTCTTGGTCAAGGCGAGATCGGTGGTTTCTCATGTCACGCATTCAGAGATATCATATGCAGCGCTAAATTTATTGTCTATCTATGGGGACATGCAATGTAGAATACGCTATGCAATAGTGGGAAGGGGTCAGCAACCAAAACCCTCATGCAAACATGCTTTGGGACGTAAGCCAGACAAGGAATGGCCATGTCCTCGGCCTAGGCCTTGCCCATGCCGACAAGCACTAGCAAGGCCACATTCATTACGGCAATAAGAAGCCACACGAGCCCAGCAACCAGAGAGGTAAACCAAGAATTGCGCATGGACACTTGCTCAACCCGGACATCACCTTCGCCTTCAGCTGTCTGCTCAGTTGCGACGGTCATGTATTTACTGAAACATGTGAACCAGATGAGCGGAGCGGAGACGAATGGCAGGATAACGCTGAGGCAAACCTGGCTGGCGGTTAAGGTCTTGTCAAGGCCTTCCTTACCAACCGCTGCCGCAATGATGATACTGGGGATGATGCTGATGCACCGGGTAATAAGTCTTCGCAACCAGGGCTGGATGCTCCAGTTAAGCATGCCTTCACTGACCATCTGGCCGGCCATAGTACAGACAATGCCGGCTGAAATGCCGGAGAGGAGTAGAGCCAACGCAAAGACTAGCCCGGCAGCTGGAGATATGGAGGTGGAAAGGAGGTCGTGGATACCGAACAGGTCGGCATCACTTCCACCCGGGACATCGTAGAGGGAGGCGCCCGCAACGATGAGAATCGCACTGTTGACAAACAATGCAAAAGTGAATAGGGACAGGGCCAATTCGATGATGGAGTATTTCATGCAACCGCGAATGGCATGGAGGGTTGGTCGGTACTCAACTTGACCGCCAGTGCTGCCCAATGGCACGGTAGACTCAACATATCCTGCAGTGACATCAAAGTCCTTCAGTCGAGATTGAACCACTCCACTGCCCAAGAAAAGGGAATGCGGCATGACCGTGGCGCCAAGAATACCGCAACTTTGGTAAAGACTAAAAAGTAGATTAGTTTCATGCTACTGTCGATCTCTCCTAAAGAGCTCGTATCGAAATGATCTCACTTACCCTTCCGATTGCACAATAGCAGACGACGGGAGGTAACCCCTAAAAACTTCCCCCACGGATTGATTCTTGATGAGGGATAGCTGAATGCAAAAGCAAATCACCACACCAAGTACCAAAGCCATCACGAAGAACTCAAACAGGCGCAAGCCCAGCATGGACCCATTTGGTCGCCAGAACAGCAATAGGAAGAAGACATCCACGAGGGTGATTGCACACCCCGCGACGAGTGGAATGTGCAGAAGCAAGTTCAGCGCAATCGCAGAACCGACCACCTCTGCAATATCGGTGGCAATGATCGCCCCCTCGGCCATAATGTATAGTATAATGACCAGCCATCGGGGGAGGTGCTCGCGACAATTCTCCGCCAGATTGAGGCCCGTCACCGAACCCAGCTTAATACACAGAGATTGTAAAAGGACCGCAAAGAGGTTGGACAAGAGAACGACGAACAGTAGAGCGTATTTGAATTGTGCGCCGGCGCCGACATCTGTGGCATAGTTTCCCGGGTCGATATAGGCGACCGCAATGAGGAATCCGGGGCCGATGAAGCGGCCGAATTTGACCAGAGTGCGGACACAATGCCGCGCAGAGTCAGAGAATGAAAAATTAGAGAAAGGACGGCGAGGTGATCCGCAGGTCCTCGAGGGTGGTTCGCACCCCGAGGCCGCTACGGTCACTTCGCCGTCCGGCCGTTTCTCTATTGCAGGATCCTGATTTTCCAAACTCTGCGGTCGCGGATCGATGGCCATGGTATCGTCGCCGGCGGCGCTCCCCGTCCCAGCGGCATGTTTGCGATGGACTCGTGCGTTTGCAAGACCGTTGAAGTCGTTACGGGTCGTCGTGTCTGGGCTAAAGGGAGGTGGGTTTTGGTTCCAGCTTGGGTTGTCGAGGGTATCGTCGGTTCGCGAGGGGCAGTTCATGGTGGCGGGGACGGTCTGGCACCTGTTTTTTGCTGTCTCTGTCGCTAGAGGAAGATGCAAGTTAATAATGACCTTGCAGCGTCGGGTGTAAATCGCCGATCGAAGGTATCGGGACGACAATGAGAGCCGAGTACCCTGTGGAGGGTCCGGGTCCGCCCGACTTTCGCGATGGTTACAAGCGGCGTAGTGCCCAGGAGCCAATAACTCTATGACGGGCGGGTCTGATCTTGTCTGGAACTGTCGATTGCGCACACACCAGTACGTAAGGGAGCCCGAGATGAGCTAGGATAGACCATGTAGGTCTCGATTTGTTGATTTGAAGGTGCTGCAGGCTGGAACAGGTTGGAATGATCGCCCGCCTTATCAAGCTTAAGGAGGGGCGTCGCAAACGGCAGTCGGTGGATCGCGGGCCAGTTCCACCAGACCCGGAACACGGTTGTTGACACAGTCTGGGGAAGATTGAAGATTGTCCATGTTGATATATATAGATCAGTCAAATAGGGTGTCAAAGAAGGTCTCAGGAAGGGGAGGTGCAATTCAAATCTGTGGAGTGTACAGTGCAGGAAAGAAATGGTGAGGAAGTGGTCATCCCCGCATACACGAGATCTAAAGAGGCCCTGCCCCTCCTGGCATCTGGGATATCTTGGACACCGCGAGTTTGTTCACTATAGTATAAACAGGATATGCGCTTTTTGGATGCATGATCAATCAACATGGTGTAATGGATATTACCTGAACACTGTTTATTGATGTCATGCGACTAACAATAGAGAGTTGGTGGATCTATTTACAGATCCTTATCATGGAGTACGGCAATAAGTCGCAGGAGTTGTATACTTCAAGCAGCGGGTTGATGCAATCTGTAGCCAGTAGCATGTGTCTTGAGGCATCTTTCTTTTTATATCACCTTGACAATGCTCCATTTATTGCGAATAAGGAAACGTTTGTTTGGTTTCAATGGCAATCGCGGAAGTATATAATCTCCAAGCCCGGGGTATACAAACAATCTAGAACTAAACCCCCACCATAACAAACTGTTAGCAACGCAAGGATGCCCCAAAGAGACCAGTTTATGCATAAACCCCCAAAGAGAAAAGATCCTTCCAATGCAATATGCCATCCATCCAAGCCAAAGGAGGGGAATTGTCTGAATTGTCTCTCGTCATTGAGTCCACGTTCACCGCCAGCTCCGCTGCTCCGCTGCGTTGCCCCTCGCAACCTTCTCGTCCGCACGTTGTTTACTTCCCTCTACTGGATCCAGCCAACCCCAAAGGATCCCAAGAGATCGCCCCTCAACGCTAGCTGTTGTCCCGGTTGAAGAAGTGGAGTATTGATCCTCGAAGGTTGCCGTTGGCAGCAAGTCGCTTCTTCTCATATCATCCCCCCCGGTTGCCCGGATTTCCTCGCCTTCTCATCCAAGTTCTCTTCACCTTCGGATCTCGCATTGCATTTGTTTTCTGCTTCAATATTTGCTTTATTTGGTTTGCTTTCCTCTCTTTTTACTTGATCTTCTACGCCTTTGAGCTGTTGCTGGCTTGCTTGCTGGCTTGCTTGCTTCCTTGTTTCTTGTCGCGTTTGTTTGCATTCACAGATCCTGTACGTACACCATTCTGCCCCTACCCGCGCCAGAGAGCCGGTCGCTTTGCTAACAAGCTTGCAAGTTGCTGGCCAAAGAGGATAAGCAATGGCTCCTAGTACTGCCGGTCCGCAGATCTTCGACGACGCCCATCGTTCCCCCACTAGATCCTCGGTGTTCCGAGCCATCATGTCGAAGCCGCATAAGCGAAACCAATCTGCGGACGATGCCATGCCTCCGCAATTCAAAAACAACAAGCCAACGGGCACTGTTCCCTTTCCGTGGGCAGACAAACCTGCTCCGGAATCGGGACATCTTCCTTTGGGAGAGATAGTGCCGAATCGCGATGTTGGAGACAGCTACTTGCCGGCAGCCAATCCAGCCAGCAAAGAAAATAAAGCACCCTTGCATAAAAAGACGAAGAGTGCGGTATCTCTGAAGTCACTTCGGAGTTACATGGAACGGAAGGACACCAAGTCGGAAGAACCCCCAATCGACAATGCTGACGACCTGAAGCCCAAGAAGACCAAGTCGACTAACAGTTTGTCGGCCATCCTCAAACGATCCCAGCGCGGACGCAAATCCGACGGATCGAAGCAGAGCCGTGACAAAGAGAACCGAAGCCCTGTTGATCTGGTCGACAACATGCCATCCCCGGTTTGGCCTAAAGAAGGCTCCATCTATCAAGCGCCCAGCAGTCGGTCGCGACAAAACTCAACCGCGGATAGACGGCGAAGTGTTGCGGAAGAAGTATCTCTCTACACACCAAAGGCTTATAGCCCAGCTCACCAGCGGAACTTTTACGACTATCAGCAACCATCGCTCACCAGACGGGGCGAGGCAAAGCCTCGTCCCAAGTCGGACTGCCTTGCTGGCAACAGAAAGATGAAGGACATTCTGGGACTGCAGCGTGCCCCATCTGGAGGCAGTAATGCCAGCGACCAAGTGGATAGTGCGTCGTCCAAGGGATCGGGCCTCGACAGAGCGAGGAAATTGTCCGTCCCAGAGTCACCCGTTCCTGCGCTAAAGGAACAGCCGAATGCGAAGAGACTTTCTCGCGTGCAGGCCGCGATCTCGGTATTCAACGCAAAGGAGCGGGATGCTGATGTCCACAAACACCTCAGCTCCAAGGACCTAGAGAGTGAATTTGAGAAACTACTAGTTGGTTTACCCCGAGTCAGGTACTTCAGCAATTGGTGTCACTAACACGATGGCAGGATGCCCGGAATATTCCTCACAACATGCGTGACAAGATGCGCTCCCTTGATACCAACATCAAGGCCGACTTCATTCAGAAGGATCGCACCGAACAGGGCACACCGGCCAGTGCTGGTACTTCTGATAGCCGCCGTGGTCGTGGTAAGGAATCAAAGGACTCTCAGGATCGTAAGGGCTCACGCTCGCGGTCCAGGAGCCGTGGCTTTACATTTGGTCGGGGCTCTTCATCTCCCGGCAAGAAGGCCCGGCCAGAGAGTGGAACTTTCCATCGTCCCAGATCGGTGGACCTCTCCCAGCCAGTAGGCGTCTATACGACTCTCAATGCGGCTAACTCTACCGCATCGCTTTCCGAAGCAGCGGCTGTGGACACCGCTGCCGACCCGTCTGACTTCGTGCACTATCTCAGAGAGATCCAGAAGCCGGAGATGATCGAGGTGGGCAAATTGCACAAGCTGAGACTTCTCTTGCGGAACGAGACCGTGAGCTGGGTGAACGGTTTCATTGCCGAGGGAGGCATGGATGAGATTGTTCAGCTCATCTACCGCATTATGAAGATGGAGTGGCGGTATGTGGAACCAAACTCGTCTGGCTCTTTTGAGAATAATTTGCTAACAGATATCTTAGGGAGGATCACGAGGATACTCTTCTACACGAGGCGTTGCTATGCTTGAAGGCTCTTTGCACTACATCCATCGCATTGGCACATCTCACTAGCATTGAAGCTGAACTCTTCCCTGCTTTGCTGAAGATGCTCTTTGACGAGGAAAAGAAAGGCCCTAGCGAGTTCACGACTCGGGGGATCATCATCAACCTCTTGTTTACCCAACTCTCAACGAATTATCCCAACGAGCTGCCATCCACGCGTGCTGCACGAATGCTTTCTTACCTGCGAGACCCGTCTCCAGAAGATGAGAGCCAGCCAGTCTCCTTCATTGCCAATATTTACCAGTCCCGACCCTATCGAGTCTGGTGCAAGGAGGTTACCAATGTGACCAAGGAAGTCTTCTGGATCTTCCTCCACCATCTCAATGTGATTCCACTCCCCAAATCCGCCCCTCAGTCGGACGATCCGTTCACGGACAAGCGCCCGTTGGATAATCGTTCCTATCTCGAGCGAAACTTCCCTCCACCTCGCCCTCCAGTCCCCGCTGCTCCATACGTTGGCGGCGTCGAGTGGGATGCCACCAATTATCTTGCCGCACACTTGGATCTCTTGAATGGTCTGATTGCCTCACTGCCTACATCCGATGAACGTAACAAGCTTCGGTCCGAGTTGCGAGCTTCTGGATTCGAAAAGGTCATGGGTGGCACTATGCGCACCTGCAAGGAGAAGTTCTACTCCGCGGTTCATGAGTGTCTCCGCACCTGGGTTGCTGCTGCGGTTGAGGATGGCTGGCCCTATCTGATGGTGCGGGAAGGACCTCCTCGTACCGAGCCCGGATCACCGAACAAGTCCCCTAAGAAGGTCGCCCCCGGTAGTCCAAAGAAGGGTCTACTCGACGACAAGCCACCTCAGCTTAATCTGGCCTTGGACTTTTCGGACACTCGTGTTTCCACTCCTCTGGGTCCAACGACCCCATCCAGCGATATGCCTCGCTGGCTTTAATCGTCAAGCATCGGATACAACATCCGCTTGACACGTTTTTCTTCTTTTCTTGTCTTTTTTCTTACCATTTTCCTACCCTTCCACTCTGATTTTACGTTTCATGACTCGGCGTTTTACGGTTCATATCTTTTTTGCAGGGGTCGCACCAGCGAGACTTGTCGCTTACCCTTGGGGAAGCTTCCCCCTGCCCACTCTTTTGGGCTTTCAAGGCGTTGGCATTTCTGGAGTTGTTGGGAGTTGCATATTTGAATGTCCAGCGAATTTTCTGGCGGACATGATGTGATGAAGTCAAGCTATTGCGCAGGCGGCGGGGAGAGGATGGCATGGACAGGTAATCGTCTGTCTAGGGGATGCATGCACATGCGCATCTTTCTTTTTACTTCTATGCCATTCTCTCCGCGGATTAGAGACGCCTGCTGCTTGGACTAAATTTGCTCATGATAAATGTTACATGACAGATATGAGAATTGAATGATTTTCAGTGATGAACCCTTCTAAATGATTTCAGTATGATTTGAAGCGAGTGTAATGTCGCTGGTATAGAAAAGAGATGTATGGAGGAATGAATGAGGTGCGTCATCTCAAGCCAGTATCTATGCCAAATGAGTATTGTACAGCCCCACAGGATCTATCATATACAGGGGATATCGGATCATGTTCTCGTGAGAACTACTTTTGAGATCCACTCCCGCTGTTCTCGTCTGCTCTTTTCACTGGACCAGGAGGCGGCGGGCTGGAGAACACAGCCTTGACACCAGAGAAGACACTCTCTCGGATCTATGAGTAGAATTGTCAGCCCATGATAATACAAGAATCTCGAAACAAAAAAGAGAATAACTTACCCCATCAAATGGCGTATCCTTGGTATCCCAGTTCATGAAAAGAACCGCATAGATCACGACAACTATCCCAAACACCAATAATTAGCACTGCGACCCTCTCACAACCCTACCCTACAGGGCAGATTCAATCCGAAATCCATTTCCAGCATAACTCACATCCAATAATAACCCACTGCGCCAGCGTAACAGTCTTAATAAACTTAGGCCGGGCATATTTCAGCGCCGCGCGCCGCCGGTACTTCCGCTCTAGTCGGAACTGGTGCTTGGGGGAGAGTTTCGACATGTCCGGCGGCCATTGGCGCTTAGGCTTGTAGGGACTGTAGTATTCGTCATTTGGGTTCTGGTAGGACTCGGGTTTGTCGGAGGAGAGGCGGAAGGGAGAGGAGTATTTGAGCGCGGTGGATGTGAAGGGTGTTGAGAGGGTGCTGGAGAAGGGGCGCGTAGTGCGGAGGGAGAGTGGGGAGTTTTTCTATGTTAATTTTGTTAGATATTGAGTCTTGAGGGCGATGGAGGTCTGTAGATCTTGTCGTACGGTGAGGTGCCATGTTGGTTGTTTGGTGGTTTGGGTTTTGAGGGTTGCGGTTGAGATTGAACACGCGAGGCGCGCCGGGGAGGCGGCGGTAAATAATTGGCGGACCATGGGCATTGTAGTGTAGAGCGCTCTCTCTGATTATGTAGTATTTGAGCTGTTGATGTATATTCGTGGTCTTCCCTGAGGGCAAGTTGAGGTTGGACGGTCAAGTTGGCGCGGTCGAGAAATAATTTGATCTGCCGCTCTCCGCATGTCCTCCGCATTGACTTTTACCACCCATTATCCATCTAACCCCATCTTATTATTGTTCGTCCCAAAACTATTGGCAGGTCTCGAAATAAACTAATTACGGTGCCCAATATATCCTATCTGAAAACAAATCAGGATCTATTGAGGTACTCGATGTACACATTATCCACCATATCCGAAAATAGCCTAGTCTGTCGTGCGAGTAGCCCCAGCCTTGACTCATCGATCAACTGACACGATAGTTATTTGCCTTTTGGGGGCCAAGGGATCGTCTTTATAAGACAGCACTGCCCCTCTCAAGGTCTGACCTGGTCTCCCTGTCATTTCAGACATTTTCAACGCCTCCTATAACAGCCAAGCCATGTCTCTCGCAAGCCTACCCCCGGAACTACTGCAAATGGTCGCACGCGCTATTACAGATACCCGTCAAGGTAGATCGCAACCATCCCAAACACTGAAAACTATCTATGCACTATCACGCACTTGTCGCGCAACTTACCTTCATTTATGCTGGAATCTATATCGCTATGATGCCGACAGAGGTCATAGCACCGCGCTTGTCTGGGCTGCCGTGACGAATAACCCTCAGACAGTGAGATTATCTCTTGCCAGCGGTGGCAACACTCGAGCTACGAATCAGCATGGTCAGTCTTCACTATGGCTAGCAGCTCGTCGAGGGCATCGAGAGATAGTGGAGATTCTGCTCGACCACGGTGCTGATATCGAGATCAGGAACCCGGTTGGCCTTACGCCCCTTGCGATCGCTGCTCGAGAGGGCCAGTGCGAGGTTATGAAGGTATTGCTCGATCGAGGGGCAAATCACGCAGCTCAGGCCCGAGACCACTCCACACCCCTTCTCTGGGCAATCAGAAATGGCGCGGTAGATGCTGTGAAGATGCTTATCGAACACGGAGCGCAATTTCCAGAGCCAAAAACCACACACCGGCGACGATGGGCTCTGGCTGCATACCGCGCCGGGCCTGATAGGTGGGCTGATATTCCCGAGATTGAAACACTGATGGAATCAAGCTACGATGGAAATCAAAACAAGTTGCTGTCACAGAAACCCCTGCTGAACGCTCTCCGCTTCCAACATCTCGCCATGTCCACTTTCTTCCTTGACCAGTGCATCACCCCAGTTAGTGATCTTGCCTCATTCTTTGGTTACTCCCCTGCCGACGAACCGGTACATGACAAAACCAGACACGGGAGAGAGCAGGTGGATTTTACGCGCGAGAAGGCAAGGGAACAATGGCATTATTTTGGACGCCCAGATGATAACCCCATGTGGTGGGCTGTGCAACACGGTGAAGAGGAGATTGTGGAAAAATTACTGAGACGAGGAGCAGGGACTAATTCTCTCAGGCACTGGTCACCCTCCATAGGGCAAGAGCCAAGAAACCTGATCGCACTTGCTATAGTCCGAGGATATTATGGAATTGCTGAACGCCTTTTGGACTACGGGACAGATCCCAGCTACCAATTCCACGATGGTCCTTTGCTCAGAAGAGTTCTCGAAATTGGGAATGAACGGTTGGTGATGAAAGTTTTATTAAGCTTGAAGAGACATGGTGCCCATAATATCGCTAACTACGGAGGCTATGTGGCCATTGCGATTGGGAAGAAAAACGCGATGTTGGTGAAAATGCTGCTTGAGTTTGGCGCAGATCCAAATAGCAAGGTCTTCTATCACAGAGGAACCGAAAGTGGCAGCAGGCACAAGGCGCTGTTGTCCTTGGCTATAGAAATTGGAAACCAGGATGTGGTGGACACGTTACTTGAGTATGGAGCTGGATAAGGGTGTAGTAAAGGTAAACATATCGTGCTTGAACATTAAACTAACATGATTTGGGATCAAAAAGTCAAAATACAATGAACTCTAAGCAACTATGATCTTGTAGATCTCCTTCTCTCGAGCCTGCTCGTACGCACAATTCAAACAGCACTCACGGCAAAGGATTGCCGGTTCCCATCTTGTCAAAGCAAGGAGCTGCGCTGTAGGATGGCCAGCTGTTTGGACGATAGATAAATGGTCCCCATTTCTTCCATCGGGAGATAGAGCCGAGTTTGTTTGCACCACGCGCACATATTCTTGCTTCAGCACAGTCTTCCTTGAATGATTACATGGATAAGCATCGAGAAGCCCAAACAGTTGATCGATGCGTTCACGAAGATTGATGGACTGTCGTAAACCAGCAAATGTCGCTGTACATTCTAGGACTAGTCCGTGAACGTCCTCGGCTACAGCGAATGATATGTCCAAAGGAACCCCATCAGCCGTGGGATGGATGGGTTTGACTCTGGGTGCTGATGCAATGGGTCTTGGGCCATCAGTACCAATATCGGAGATGACCTTGTTATGGTACCGGTTCTCATGGAATATGAGCCCGTCTATCAACTCAAGCCCTCGGTAATGGCAAATCTCATGGCCGAAGTAGAGGATGCCAGCAGGAATAAGAGTTGCTGCTCCGTCTGATCTTGCGATGAGTCTTTCATCCTCCCACGAAAACAGCTCATTCAATAACTCCGAAGGAGACAGCACCACTTGTTTAGCGCCTTGTCTCAGAATCCTCTCGGATGGACGCCATGTCTTATTGGAGCACTCTTGCCAGACAGCCCCCTGCCCACGAGAGAACACGAGGAGGGCCGCAACACCGGCATCAATAATGCGAAGTAGAACATCAGATGGATTTGCATATAGACCAGACTGATCACAGAGACTTGCGAAGCTGTCTGCTTGATTTGATCGTGCCAACACATGCTTTAACCCAGACAGTGCTTCATTGAATGAAGGCCACTTAAGGGGGAGGTCAACCCCGAATGCATCTTCACAACGTTGATGAAGACTTGTGCGAGGATTTTCCCCGAAGATTTGGCTATACAAATTCACTATGACCCGTGTCTTTGTATCGGGGCGATCTCCAATGGAAACATAGATCAGATCTGAAAGAGACAGGACGCAAGTACCTATGGCTACCAGAGTATTAGGCACGCACATCAAACCCAAGTCGTTCAGACGAATTCGAGTATATTCAGCAAAGTGGCCTTTGTAGACGAATTTCAAAGACGGTGAAATTTGAGATTGTCTGGCGGTGATTTCAGATACCGAGCCAATTTTCCCCATTAATTGCACCTGCAGAGATTTGTCCCCAATAGACTCAGTAATCTCGATAGTGATCGAGGAAGAGCGGCATCCTTTGTGGACAATGAGATTCTCAACCGTGACGAGGCAATCATCCGAGAACAACGACACGGCAAGAGCGAAGATATAGCCCATACTCGCGCAGCCGCGAACCCTAACAAGAGACCTTTCTTCTCTCAGTGCCTGAGAGAATTTGCCAAGAATCTCATCCATGCTTTCCTGGCCCAGGGAAGCCAAAAGACTCATCGGCGCTTTGCGTTGTAGCTGCCAATACACATCATGGATTCGGCATACATGTTTAGCAAGCAAAGTCCCAAAGCCTATGGCACCACTCTTCCGCGCGAGGATATCCGTGGCTTGGGCCAATTGTTTCGGACTGCTGAGACGAGAAGAGTTTGGCAGAACAGACCTGGAAAGTCTGTAAAGAATGGTTGCCGTCGCATCGGCTCCGTATATGTTTTCAAGACAAGTTACCAGTAGCGCAATAGCTTGCCCACCAGCGGTCTGGGACATCAAAGATGCAGCATCTCCTTTTCTCCAGCCGATAGTCAAACCAAGACGTTCCAGACGTGTGTTGCTGCATCGTTGGAGATAATCAGGAATTTTGGCTCGAAGAGGCCCGCTGATTGGGAATGCTGCACCCAGCCTTTCCAGCTGTAGCATAGCGGTTGGTTGGACATCGTCTGCGGAAAGGACCGCGAGAACCGATGAGAAGGTATTCAGACCTGCCAGAGACAAGCCGCCAACGTCAATTTGTAGGCCAACGGAGTCAGCCATGATTCCTTTCAAAAAGCCAAGCTCGTAGAGCGAGCATCTAACATCACGACACGGGCGGATAGGATCCCAATTTTGTACCTGCTGTGGATGGTAATTTGAAATGAACAGAGGCCAAAATAGGCGCCGTAATACCCAGGGGTGCATCGATATTCACTGATCATGTTGGTGAATTAGTTTCAAGGGCGTACTTTACAACTAAATTTAGTAGATGCAGCGGTCTCCCAGAGCGCGCAAGACAACACTCGTCGTTTCATATAAGCGCCCTTATTATAGATCCTTAATCAGCTTGAGAAAGTCAGAATAGTATCTAAAAGTGGATAGACGATTAGTGTTGCCTTTGAACTGATAAAAGTATAATGCATAGAGTTATTCAAACACATATACAAAGTAATAATTCATAGCATGTGATAAAATCATAAATAATGAGACAACCATCGGCGGGAAGCTTCAAGGTGGTACCAACCCCGAAGGCGTCCCCACAATAATCAGGGGGCCCCGAGGATAGGATAGCCCGGGGGTCGGGGGAGTCAAATAATCACATTCAAAACTCTCCCAACTCGGGCCAGTATCCGATCGGCAGACGGAGCACGAGGACTGTATGACGTGTGGACCGCATCAGATCAATCCGAACAAGTCACTTTGCTCGGACGAAACTCATGTGGTTTTTCACATGTTCACATGTCGCAGACCAAACCGGAGATCCCGTGACTGGGGATATCCCCGGATTAACAATGTTGCGGGGACCTCGGCACTTTTCGTGTGGTCGACGCTGGCAACGGGGCAAAGCTGAGAATAAGGGAAATACCACCGGATCCACGAGGACGTGATTTATAAGAAAGAAATCTCGCCCGTCATTGTCTGAACTACTTCTCATCTTGTCTTCTGTTGCTTTTTCTCCTTCCTTCCCCATACCATCCCCCAGACTCCCCATCACACATTGACGTCATGTCTTCAGGTGAGCATATCTCCATCATTGCGGGCGTCAGCACATGCAACTTGCAGTCCACATTTTCAAAAAGCGTCCCTGGGAAAGGAACGGCTCGACTAACTCTCATTCTCAGCCCAGCAGCGTCTTTCCCAAGTTTCCTCCCACTTCGGCTCTGGCAGCCAGAAGGGAGCCGCCGCCCTCACCCAGAAGAACCCCGATGATATCGTCGTGACCTGTGCCCTGCGCACTGCCCTCACCAAGGGTGGCAAGGGTGCTTTCAAGGACACCGCTGCCGCTGACCTCCTGGCCGGTGTCTTCAAGGCTGTCATCCAGAAGAGCGGCATCGACCCCAAGTATGTCGAGGATATTGCTGTCGGCTCCGTCCTGCCTCCCGGTGGTGGTGCTACCGAGTTCCGTGCTGCTGCCCTCGTTGCTGGCTTCCCCGAGACCGCTGCCGTCAAGGCCCTGAACCGTCAGTGCTCTTCTGGTCTCCAGGCCGTTGTCGATGTTGCCAACGCTATCAAGTCCGGCATGATCGAGGTCGGTATCGGTGCTGGTGTTGAGAGCATGACCTCCCAGTACGGGTAAGTACCAACTATGAACTGATAAGAACCATCTCAAGCATAATTGCTAACTTTTTGCTTTCATTTAGTCCCGGTGCTGTTACCGAGTTCTCCGAGCTGCTCGAGAGCCACCCCGAGTCCGCCAACTGCAAGGTCCCCATGGGTGTTCTGTCCGAGAACATGGCCAAGGACCGTGGTATCTCCCGTGCCTCCCAGGATGCCTTCGCCGCTTCCTCCTACCAGAAGGCCGTCAAGGCCCAGAAGGCCGGCCTCTTCAACGAGGAGATTGCTCCCCTCGAGGTCAAGTGGACCGACCCCAAGACCGGTGAGGAGAAGACCATCACCGTCAAGGCCGATGACGGTATCCGCGAGGGCATGACCGCCGAGTCCCTCGCCAAGATCCGCCCTGCCTTCGCCAAGGACGGCTCCATCCACGCCGGTAACGCCTCCCAGATCTCCGACGGTGCCGCCGCCGTCCTGCTCATGAAGCGCTCCACTGCCGAGCGTCTGGGCCAGAAGATCATCGGCAAGTACGTCACTGCCAGCGTTGTCGGCGTCAAGCCCCTCCTCATGGGTGTCGGCCCCTGGGCTGCCATCCCCATTGCTCTCGAGAAGGCCGGCATCACCAAGGATGAGGTCGACATCTACGAGATCAACGAGGCCTTTGCCTCCCAGTGCGTGTGGTGTGTCAACGAGCTTGGCCTGCCCGCCGAGAAGATCAACCCCAAGGGTGGTGCTATCGCCTTCGGTCACCCTCTCGGCTGCACTGGCTCTCGCCAGGTCAGCACCCTCCTGACTGAGCTCAAGCGCACCAACAAGAAGATCGGTGTTACCAGCATGTGCGTTGGTACCGGTATGGGTATGGCCGCCGTCTGGGTTGCCGAGTAAACAGGTTCTCTTCTTCCATTGTACATTGCACAGCGCCTTTTTGATTCCCTTTACTATATTTTGGGTTACTTCCTATATCCACGGATTCTGGTGTATTGACCACCTATGAGGATACCACGAGAGATTGATATTTTTTTCATGTATATTTTGAGGTGAAAATTGCTCCACGAATTACAAGTAGATTCTGTTTTTCTATGAACCGCTCCAACTCCAAACTACATAAATACCTAGCAAATTAAGCCCGGAATGTCTTGAAGGCTTCCGCAACAGTCATGCCCTGTGCGACGGCGTTCTTAGCTTGATCATCCATGCTAATCAGCTTGGGCATCAGCTCCAACACTGGTTCAAGCAAGTCCCGTGGGATAGCAACCACACCCTCCATGGGATCGCAGAAAATAATATCACCAGGAGAAACAGTCACCCCTTCAATCGTAATAGGAACATCCCGCATCGCAGCTTTTGCCTCAGCACCAGTGCCCACCGTCGACGTCCCCCTCGCCCAAATCTATTCCCTCCAATATTAGCCTCCAACAGCTCCCCAAATATCCAAACAAAAACAAAAGAGTAGGCTTAGACATACCGGAAGTTCCGTCTCCACCAACTCCCTCAGATCCCTCACCCTCCCATTCACAACCGCCGCCCGAATCCCCAAAACCTTCATCCTCGTCGCCATAATCCCACCCGTCACCGCACAATACTGGTCTTTAGGTTGATCAATGACCACAATCGAGCCCGCATTTGCCGGATCCGCCGCGGCAAAGTCGCCCACAAAATCGACCCAGTGCTTTCCCGGCGGGAAGCCGTGTTTCTCGGGATTTTCGAGTGCGATTTGTGGTGGTTGGTCCTTCTTGGAGAGGAATTTGAAGGTTGTTGCTGGGGCGGCGATTCTTTTGGCGCGGTCGTTGCGGCCGATTATCGGGGAGAAGGGGGCTGTTGAGGAAGGATTGGGGTTAGTTTTTGCGGGGGGTTTGGGATAGTTTGTGTAGAGGGTTGGTTTTTTGAATTGAAGAGGTTTCCTTCTGTCTTGGATAGATAGGTTGATATTCACGTAGGGGCTCTTACTGAGATCTGCTAGGAAACCTGCGCGTGCGGTGCCGCCTTCCGGGACTTTTTGGAGCTTGAGGAGGGCATCTGATATCTGGATTGAGAGGGAATGTTAAACCTATGAAGGTGGGTGCTAGTAAACGGTTGCTATATGACAAAAAGTCATTGTACCGATCAATTAGTACGCGAGACAAGGATACGTACATCGCAAGCTGTATAGTTGTCCGCCAACGTAACTAGTTTCTCCTTGAGGGAAGCCATTGCGGGGTGCGGGGTCGTGTAGAGAGGCGTATAGAGCTCCTGGAGGGTTTAAGTAGACCAACGTGGCGAATATATGAAAGTCAAGAAAGGCCGTAGGTAAAGAGTAGAATTGTGGCTTTGACTAACTGATAGTTAGATCGTTGAATCCTACAAGCACATGTCCGCTTGTCCGGGTATCGGGAAACGACGCCATCGGCCCACCCGAGGATAACCACGTTTGGCTTCCGAGATGGAGGGGATGGGGGAATATTTCGGAACATACACATTTGCACCCTCATATCACAACAATGTCGTTTCAACATTGATTGAAATATGGTAGCTAATTGATCAAAGTTATTAGTGTGGCCTTGAGTATCAGACAGTCAGACTCAACAGATTTTGATATCTTCGATCTCTCCATACTACGCACATGTCAACTCTTGCAAAAGGTTGGAAATTACTTCGGGTAAATGATAAAGACTCGCTATATAATGAAATACTCTAGCTTTATTCAACAATGTCATTCCTCAATGGCACAATTCCTGTCGTTTCATCACGGTACCATAGCATCAAAGCCATCTGGCTAATATCGTCGCCATCCCAACCCTCATCCACAAGATGTACAAACTCTGGATTCGATTTATACTGCAAAACCTGAAAACTCGAATGACGTAGCTGGTGCAAAAGCCATCGATTCACAAACGTGAATTTATTCAGCGGCACGGGACGTCGCTCTTCGAAGAATGGCGACCGGTCCTCGAACTCGGTCATTTGCAATGGATCTCGTTGCGCCTGATTGTCTGGAGAGCTGGGTCGGAAGTTCTGCACAACTTGCTCCCATTCTTCGTCTAGTACGACTGCCTCGGGGTGGTGCTTGTGTTCGGGGTGGGCTATCAATCGACGGATTGCAAAGTCTAGCCCGGTCTGCGTTTTCGTTCTTGTAGTTTCGTAGTGGGCTAGGAATGTAAGTGCTTCGGGGGCAAGTGAGAGGCCGATACGCTGACGGATACTCTCTTGGTCTACCAGATTCTTGTACTCTGATTCGAGCTCGTAGAGTCGTTCACGGAGTAGGCGCACCTCCCCGACTAGAGTGAGGTATGCTGCAGCGTTGAACGGAAGCCGGTCGGCGTCAGAGGCACGGGCAGAGGATGGTTCTGAAGAGAAATTCGAGTCAGAACTGACAGTGTCAGTCTGTTTGGTTCCCGAGGCAGCTTGTTTGCGCAGTAACCCATTCAATTTTCCTAGGCGCTTGTCTAGAAACCTTTCCCGCTGATCGAGCTCGTCTTCCATTCTGCTATAGTCGTTCTCAAGAATGCGGTAAAGTTCTGTAGCGGCTTTCAAGTCATCAATAGCTTTATTGATTGCCGTAGTTTGTTGATAGAGAGCCTCCGGAGAGACCCAACTAAGTTTCTCCCGTAGTACAAGTCGCAGGTAATCCTCCTCCTCGCGTTTATTTCTCAGCGCACGGCGAAGGTCTCGCGCCCGAGAACGTTTACCACGGACTTCCTGCTGCAAGTGACGAAGTTCATCGAGTAGCTTTGCAAGCCGAGTGCTGGTATTGCCCGCCTGTGTAGGCACATGATCGAAAGATTGCGGAAGCGTAGATACTGGGACGGAGTCCTCTCCCTGGTGCACTGCGTTGATTGTCTTAGGCTTATCTTCCGATTCCCCGCTTGGGCCAACATCTTCCATTTCACCAGCTTCAATCACAGGAGTCGTTGATGTCGTGCATGGTGGCTCAGCTACTGGAAAACGCGGATATGGCGGCTGGAGCGTGCCCGACGACGTAGAGCTCAGAGCCTGTCCATCGTTGATCCATTGCGAGTTCCATTGGACCAGCTCTCCCTCCTCCCAGAAAGGAGTGGTGGGTGTATCCCCCTCACTTCTGGTATCTGACCAAGTCGCTCCCTTCAAAGAAGCCTGTATGTGAATGGCAGGGATGAGCATGGACGGCTACTCACGTTATCGTGCGATCGAACAGTGCCTACCGGCGATACATGAGCCCTCCAGGTTCCTGGCCAAGATGCCATGATTTTAGAAGTTTCCTCGATGGTTTCGGTCACATTTCTTGAAGCTGTAAACTGGAGCCTTGTAGCATCTCCAACAGTGAAGGAGTGAAGACGTTGATCCACCTGGCGAGGGCCTAAGAGGTTTGTCGAGGAGAAAGGACTAGAAATCACAAGGTAACAAGTTCTTCTTTTCTTTTTGCTTCGGACTCGTGACTTGAACTCAGTCGAAACTTTTTCAGAAACCTCGTTCGGCTTTGGAGAAGGGTGTGACGAAGCATTCATACCTGTCCAGTGTCCCTTTCATGCCTGGCGGGGGCGTTTCAGCCACATCACCGTTGCAGCGCCTCGCTAATGATTGGGCTTCTCATGCTGGTTACCCCGTCTATTCCCTGTAAACTTCGGGGTCATTTAGCGCATGATCTTCCATTTTTTTCCAATACAATATTGCGATCACAACTGCGCCAAGTCACTAAATTTCCACAATTACCAGTATTCGCTTGCTTTCCTGGTAAACCCCGAGTCCCGGCTTCTAATATCATACGGTCTCGACTCCGTTAATCTGACGAGGAAGCAACTACAAATATTATCCGACGGGCATCTTGTGATATTCGGATTTTAAAAATTCTCGGACTCCCATAGTTACTGCCCGACCTAAATTCCGGAGCAGATGGGATGCTACGTAGCATCGAGGAACAGTCCGAACCGTAGGGCCAAAGGACTATGAAACAAGATGTACTTACTACTGTTCAAATCCTCATAAAATTTTCGAAGATATCTGCACTTATATCACATCTGAATCCTTTCTGCCCAACTGAGTCTGATCTACGGTGCCACATGTCATTTTGTCATGTAATAGCGGCGGTCGTGGCACAGATTGAAAATTCATAGACAATCTTAGAACCGACAGCCTCATCAGTACACGCCTGGTCACAGAATATTTGGCGACGAGGGTCATGTTACATATGGTTAGGTGTATCTCCTGAACACCCCTACAGGTGAGTATGACTTTGCAGGGAGCTGCTTCGTAATAATGTAGTAGATCAGTTGTCTCTGTCTGCGTAAACTTTACAAGGGGGAGCTTCATCGGGGACGAATATTCACGATCGATCGTTTTTAGTGTTTCACTACAGTAAAGATCAGCTTCTGGGCCTGCATTCCAGAACCCGGGTGAAGATTCGTTTGCACATCGCTGGCTGCATTATTGGCTCTCGGAGCCGAATATGCAGCCAACCTGGGAATAATGAAATGTGAGGTTCAGGCGGTCACGAATATACTCGTGTAGAAATGTCAAATTTTGTCGTCCTATCATGTTTCGTCCCAGCCAGTGATCTAATTCAGTTTAAGTGATGCGTCCAAAAAATGATCTAGAATTCAAGATCCGATCGGAGGCTCATGGCCGATCATCCTAAGTTGCCGCCTAAATCTGAGGGCCAACAATTCCCCGCTGAATTGATGGTGGGGTGCCTCGGTGCCTAAGGTTCCAGTCGCTGTGGCTGAGTCGTGGCTGAGTGTAAAAGAAAGGATTTCTCAGTAGAACAACGACGACTTCGAGGAAACCAAGGCTGAAAATCTCTCATGACGAAGTACGAGTGGAGTCCTATATAAGACATTGATTTCGCGTCCATGGCGGCTGTGGACCCTGCATACCCAACTTTCATACCAGCAACTCCCCCCGCATCCAATATGAAACAACACCAAGCCTTGAGAGAGGCCTGCACTAATCCAGACAACTTGTTTACACTTTCTGAAAGAGACCTCGTGTCCTTGATTTACCAGGAATTCCCCAACGAGATCGATCGGCTCCGTCGGGCTTACTCCATTCGCGATCCTCAAGGAACCTCTCCTGAAACTCCATCTCCTTCGCGCATCATATATGAGGAAGACTATGATGAAGTCAATCGCACTTTAGTAGGCTTTCTTGCCTTGCGCTGGATCCATAATGCAAAATATGAAGTTTTTGTCGGGTCCCAACCGCCAGAACTTCGATTGACCAGAGAATCATTTGACTGGATTCGTGATTATTACAAACGAGTCATCACGGATGCAAATACTCTTTACGCCTTGATCACCTCAATTATTATCAATGACCTAGGGAAAGACCCTGAATTGTCATTGGATCACCAGAAGACGACCGGAGAAGATATTTCAGATCTGAATCATGATTACATTCTCCTCAAAGCCTGCGGGTCCGGGCTGGTCCCATGTCTGGAACGACATTCTGCGGAGGAAAAATATGATTTACTCCTAGGGATTGAGATTGGAGCTTTCTTCAATTTTGGACAGCTAGGTCAAGCCGAGAATGCACCCGCTGCTTTGACAAGCCTACTTCGGATGGAAGGCCGAGAACGCAGCTTTCAGCTCCGATTCATGGAGCAATTGCTCGACATCGCTGGCGCCGCTGGCCACATGGATTGGACTTGCGCGAAGAAATTGAACCAGCCTATTTTTGAGTCATATCGGAATGTCTTCCATGCATGTTACAGTGTCATTAGTGGCACGCTGAATGCCCGTCAAGGATATGACCATGTCCTTATCCGACGCGCAGAGTACATTCATAGAAAAGGCTTTCGATTACTGAAAGTGAAAAACGACCAATATGAACGTGCCTTGATGCGGCTATTATGCATGGGCAATGTGACGACAAAGAAGACCGCTGAAATGTACGAGTCTGCGTTGAACTCCCTTCAACAAGCTACCAAGGATGACCTTGTATATGCATTGAATGTGGATGGTTCAGTGGACGAGCCAGCAATCCAGCCGACATATGCCCCAGCTTTACTCAGTCTAATCAAGAAGCAAAGGGAACTGGTGGCAGTATTCGAGTACTTTTCTCGGGTCATGAGCGTCAAGGCTCAGGTGGATTCTTCGGCTATTCTGGTTGAGCGAAGCGTGCTTGGAGTCCTTAAGCGGCATATTGAGAGCGATAAGTTTCGCGAGAATCCGTCAATACTGGAAGATGTCGATGTGCCGGACGATGTGATTGCTCTTACTGTACAATAATTTACGAATTCACAATCAGGTTTATTGAGCTGGACAGAAGCCGCGTCAAGTTATTGGAGGTTTCATGAGATTGGTAACCAAAGAATTCAAATGATTCGTAATGGTTCGGAAAAATTATCGCCTACAATGCACGTTTCTAACATTGGATAGTCGAAAAACCATACATGTGCCAATAAGAAAGTATTACAATAGATGGTGATCGGTACAGGTCGAAATCAACAACACCCATGTATTCATTCGATCCGAGCTTCGGGGGTATCAGAGCAGTATTAATCATCCTCCACTAAGAAAATATTCAAAACAAATCACTAGGGAGTGGTCTTCCCATTAACGGGAGCTTGTGTCTGCGACGACTCCAGAGCTTGAGTGTAGATATGAGGTTCAAGAGTCGCCACAGACACCTTCGTAGGTTGGTCCTTGGGAGGAGGGGTAGGAGGAGCGGGGGTTGCCTGTCTTTCCAATTCCTGTCGAAGATGTTCCACTCTGGCACGGCTGACATCTCCTTGGCTGGCCAGGCTAACCTTCAGCCAGTCATTCGGGGTCGCCAGATACTCCACAGAGCTGCGCATTCGCATGACACACTCGCGGTAGAGGCAATTCTGCTCGAACCGCCAACTGCATAGGAGAGCGCGAACCATGCCACCCTCCCGACCGCAGATGAGCGCAACCACGGGTGGTCGCTCTGCAGCTATAACTGAGACAGTCATGTTTCCTGTATCCACGATCGTGAAAAGACGATGGCCCTCGGGAACGTTCAGATTCTTGGCTTCCTGCTGCCACCAGCCTGGATCTTGAGGTTCCATTCCCTCCCGAGTCTTTTTGTTGCGTAGATTCTTGGCGAAAATCGTCGACGAAGGTGCATAGGTCAGGCGGTGATTGAAGTTTCCATAGATGATCTTCTCAATATCTCTCAAAGACATGGTGCCTTCGAATCCTACCAGATGGCAGGATACACCCGTTGCACCGCTGTTGCAAAGCTGTCGTACTGCCCACGGACTGAACCAGGAAATGATCCAAGCGCACCCAACGAACAAGGCAACACCGAGCAGATACATGGATATGTCGATGGAAGTCTGGTTATTGAGGAGGGAGAACTCGAGCGATATGGCCGACGAAAATAGACCGAAGCCGGTAAGCAGGAACCAAGCACCAGCATAGACGGCCTTTTGCGAGATTGTCGCGCGGAACCCGTTCAGATCTTTGACATATTTGACCCTAGGGAAATCCTTCCACCGGATGGGAATACCACGGCATCGATCCAGAATAACCGTGGGCGTGTGCTGATCGTCGCCGATACCAACGACACTGCAGGTGGGTTCTATATCCCAGAGATGGACCGAGTATTGGTCGCGATCGGCAATGTTCCTCAGAATTGTCTCGCTTTCGGCCACACTGTTGTTGCTCTGAGCTAGCTGTTCAAGCTCGCTTTGAGGGAGATGAGATGGCCACAGACAGACAAGACGCTCAAGTAGGTTGTCACTATCATTCACAAGGGACAGTCGTGCAATAGCCTGGAAAGGGCTATCCGTAGGATTGGGGCTGATGCGGTAGGCCAGGAGTCCCATGGCGGCATAAGCCATATCTGCTGTCGTGTAGCCTTGTACGTCTTTACCCGTAGACAATTGAGCCATGGCTTGAACAGCACAAGTGAACAATTGCAATTCGCTGAGCTTGGTGGTGTTGGTGTAATGATTGACGAGATGGCCGATCACATCTTCACGCGATTCACCGTACTGTTCCTCATGGCTTGAGTGGAAACGAGACGTTGGCCCAGGCCAGAAGCTGTCGTACATATCCGTCAAGGTAACATCAAAGTGTGGGAGATCTTGGTCATTGTTTTCAACTGTATCAGGGTTCGAAAAGCAATATCGAATTTTGCCAGCTGCAAGAAGGACCTCTGGTAACGTCCAGATGCGCTGTCCCCATATCCTCTTCTGCTCAGGGTCGTCGCTAGGTAGGACGACATAGACTCGCTTTGCGCAACGAACTGCATCACAAATCGAATGAACATCCTTCGTACGTTTAGATTCTGCCTTTGCCTCTTCAGTCTTGTCGTTCACATCGTCGGGTGATACACAATCCAGGTCAACCCAGAACGCCTCCACGAGGGGTTCATCCGGGTGTTTATCTCTGTTCTCATGCTTCAGCATAGCTTCTGCGATGCGATAGAAAAACGGTCGTAGCTCGTGGTCTTTCTTGCCAAGGTAATTTGCTCGGGAGAAACTGAGAAATATGTAGGACTGTAGCATTCCCGTTTTCGGATCGCGGAGCTCGGTGGTCTCTTTGACGATCCACTGCTTGGTTACGGGGTCTCTCACCACCAAGCGTCGAGGAATGGTAAGCTTGGTGAGCTGCGATTGTGGTTTCGTATTTTCGGGTGACTGGTCGAGTACATTGACAGCGTGTTTGGGCCAATACCATTGCACGTTCTCATACTCATCGTAAGGCTCGGCGGTGCCATCATCACTCCAAGGAGCGGTGACAACTTGAATAGAGAGCAACAGCTGAATGATCCAAGCAAGTCCCAAGGTGCAGAGAGTTGCTGCTATCACATGAACGATGCGCTGAAGGATAGACAATGGATCCTCTTTGCGTTGTCTCCCGTGTCTGTCAGCGTCGTCCTCGTCATCATAGCCACTCTCATACTGTTCGAGTCCCAACGGGTTCAAGCAGAGTTCCGCAAGTGCGATGATAAGCGGCACATGTCCTTTGATCTTTCGGCGGCTCCAGTGACGAGGGCCTGTGTCGTCCAATGCATTCGAGGCCGCTTGTACAACCAGTCGACGGGGGTACTCTTTATTCGTGCTGTAATAAGCGTCCACATCGGGGAATTTCTCGTGTTCGTTGCCCCGCCAGGGATTTAGATAGCGTCGCTTTCGGTATACTTGCTTAGAGTCCTGCAGCTCTAGCATACGATCCTCTAATTTGCGTGCACTGATAGAGGGCCGATGGGCTCTGCCCTCAACGGACCAATGCCATTTACCATCGTATTGGTTCTTCAGGTGTTTTTCAGCCTTTTTGATCTGGCGTTGTTGTTCGTCACGGTGCGAAGACATAGACGCACCCATCTTGACGGTTGCGACAGCGTCGCTGGGAGAAATAGAAGCTCCCTCGACAAGAGACTCGCCAGGTTTTTTGCTGTGGAATGATAGAAATTTGTACAGTTCAAGCTAGGTAAGTTTGGAAGGGGAGTTTGGGCACTATTTGTTTGGCCCACCTTGACCTAAACAGCATAGTCCTTGGGAAATAAGAGGGGCGTGGCGTCAGCCGTAATCTCTCTGAGCTGAGTATGGGATCAACGATCTCTGCAGCCATCAAATTACTGTACTTGATCAGTAATCGGGAAATTCATAACTGGAGTCAGCAAATTCACTAAAACTAGCATCACGGTTTGCTCATTCGACTACTTTTCCCGTCTTATCATTTGTCTTCGTCCGCCAGGACACGCAGAACATCAAGCAGCATTGCTGAAGATTACGACAACTGGCTCTCAGAACTTCTGACAGCATGCATGAGAGCCGCAACACGTCGACCCTGAACAGTGAGCACCAGCAGTTTGTTATTCGGCATATGGAAGGGGCGTGGGGGCCAAACTCTAACAGCCAATTATGGGCCGCTTTCAGCCCCAATATATTAGCCAAATAAGCCTCTCGTATTCCTTTTAGGCGATGATAGGCTGAACTGATGATTCTGGCAAATGCTCTCAGTGGGCTCTCGGTCCCCTCGACGGTCGGGCCAGCGCCACGTAGACGTGATAACGGCTAGACCCGAGGGGACCAAACCTGGGCAGTACCCAAAAGCGAAAGGCTTCATGATGTGTAGGAGGGCCACTTGATACAAGGCTTGTCCGATGGTGCCCTCCAACCTTGTATCAACTGACCATGGGCCGATAAAAGCAACGTTTGGACCCTCGGACGGCCAGCTGCATCTACAACGAAAAATTTTAGCCCCAATTAAAATAGTGTGACCATCTTGCAGTTTGTCAGTTTGTCGGAAGACCCTAATCTTCCCAGGACAATGGATCATCCGTGGGGCTACAGTCCTTGACGGCCCGTGTTACCCACATAAGTGACAGTTTACAAATCCAAATTTCAATCGGGAGAGAGAAAGTGCCTAACCAGAAACGCTTTCAATTTCCTCGTTCTAAAGATGCCTTTACAATGCCTATCGTATATTAAGTGATTCACAGTGGATCAAATATCATCTCTTGATCTATCGTGACTCAAAAGGATGATTCGGGAATTGTGCCGGGGACTTATGGGACCCACTGCAGGTAGAACCAACTTCCTCCTTTGCTTTTCCCTTTTTAAGCTACAAAGCGCCAAGTCGTGCTGACTTTTGCGCCAGGGCCCGCCTCACCAGCCGTCTACCCAACGAGCGTCCATGCATTCTGCAGTCATCTCTTAGCACCGTTTGAGGCGCTATCCCACGAGGCGTGTGCGGTCTGGGGCTTCGAGTTGCCTGCTATTGACATTGAAATAATTGGGTGCTAGGATCTCAGGATGGAGATTCCTGTCTGGATGAATAAGATCACTTACTCTCAACCTCGATCCCAACCTACCTGACCATAAACCTCAAACGGCTACACATGTACCCTTGGCATGCAAAACTCGCTTCCTGGGCTGAGGGTACGGGTCTTCACATCGATGCCCTGGGCCTCGTTACGCTCCTCGGAGCGGAGGAGATGGATCGCAGCATAGGGAGACTCGTCCCGAGCCTCTACTTTGATTTTTTACCCTTGTTAGGAGCGTTTGTTGTGGCAGGGAATCGATTCACCGAAAAGAAGCCCGGCTTTACACTGTACAACATCTCCGAGGGGATAATGACCACCGAACTTGCTGGTTGGTTCTCCAGATGGCTTCAAGGACAAGAGCTATATCGAGCCCGCAGCGTGGTCAAATGGGAAGTTGGTAAACGACCTCCTAGATGGAGGTCGTTCCTCATCGGCCTACTTCTTATCAGCGTTCCCTCTTATGGAGTACTCATTGCGCTCACTGTATTAGCGGCTGATTGGTGGGGGTTTGCAAATGTCATGGCCATGATCGTTTCGGTGATTGTCAGATACTTCCAGGTTGCACAAAGTCAGGCTGGTATCGATGAGAATATCAAGCAAGCCCAAGACGAGGCTCAAAGATACAATTATGCGCAAAAACTCGAAATCTATGAGACAGCGCTGGCACGCCACCACGAACTGCGTCAGAAAGGGATAATCAGTGAGGACGCAAAATTGCCAGTGGAACCCAAGGATCCATTTGCGATTGCCAAAGTGATTGTCATTACCGAGGACTCAAAAGCTGTGACTATTGCTGCGCCCAGATATCTGGTCAAGCAAGCCTTTACAGCCAGCCCCCAAGTTCCAAATTCTGTTCTCTACACAGCATGTCAATGGACTGGCTGGGTTGCATTCGCGGTACATGTTATTAGCATTGGCATGGCAGGTCTCTACACTCAAATCTGCTCGGTCGTCATCATACTTGTTGCTACCGTCCTGACGGCTCATAAGGTGGGCTGTGAGGATTCAAGACTCTGGTCACTCCTCCGAAGCAAACTTGGACATGGCATAGACGAAGACCTGGGATATAGCTGTTGGGTTAGCTCAAGATTGAAGGCTACCTTATCTTCTTACCCAGCGTCTTACACTGACTGGAGTGACAGCCAAAACGAGCGCAAACTCCCCAGTGTGCAGGAAACAGACGAGCTGAGAGGAGTCTTGAGACGAGGCCGAAGAAACCCGACCGACATTGAATCATCCAGCTCGAAGCCGGAGGTTTCGATCAAGATTCCAGAGCGTCGTCAAGATCTGTATGCCTGGTTGGACCTGACAGCAGAGGAAGATAGTCATCTCAACTTTTGGGGACTCATACCCCATAACCAGGAGTGGAAGAATCTGTATCTAGAAAAGAAAGCCAAGCACCGCAGGCGGATGGGTGGTCATTTTTAGAGAAAGAAGATATCAGACTTAAAAACCAGGTAGGCCCCAGTGCCACGGAGTAATACAAGTCAAATTAAAGCACTTCTTTTTTGAAGTTATCTTGACTGTTGTTTTGAATTTTCCACATCGGGCAAAGACGTGATGATGTCAGCATCAGTGATCCACCTGCAATTCACTCACCGCCTGCAAAAATCTCACCGCCCGAGGAAATTTCCCAAATTGATCTTTTCGTCTTCAAGTTGGGGAATTATACAATAATACAGCACAGCAAAAATGAAGCGCAAGTTGGATGCAAATGATGTTCCCTCTCCCGAGCCTGCGGGCAAGGATGAGCAGGAGTTTGATTTCGAAGCCTTGAACCTCGATCCGCGTTTGCGCCAGGCTCTCATCAAAGAAAACTTCAGCAAGCCGACTCTCATCCAGGCTAAGGCGATTCCGCTGGCACTTGAAGGAAAGGATATTCTGGGTAAGCCACAGACCTGAACGTATCTCTTTTAAAGTCCATACTAACATAAATAGCCCGCGCCAAAACTGGCTCCGGAAAGACCGCTGCCTATATCCTCCCAGTCCTGCAAGCCATTCTCCAACGGAAATCTGTCAGTCTTATCGGATGTTACGCCAGTCAGGTAGAACGATTGCTAATATATCCCTCAAAAACAGGCCGATCCCTCCTTGAAAGCCACCACCGGTCTCATTCTCGTCCCCACTCGCGAGCTTGCGGAGCAGGTTCAAAAAGTTATCACCTCTTTCACTGCCTTTTGCGGAAAGGATGTCCGATCCGTCAACCTCACCCAGAAGTTCTCCGACGCCGTGCAGCAGACTATGCTTGCCGATTTCCCCGATCTGATTGTTTCCACGCCTACTCGAGTCCTGGCCAATGTCAACAACTCCGCTCTGTCGCTCGAGAAGCTTACTCACCTGGTGATCGACGAGGCCGACTTGGTCCTTTCATATGGATACGACGAGGATATCAACGCTCTGTCCAAGGCCATCCCCCGTGGTGTGCAGACATTCCTTATGAGTGCTACCCTGACCTCGGAGGTTGATACTCTCAAGAGCCTCTTCTGTCGCAGCCCAGTGATTCTGAAGTTGGAGGATCGGGAAGAGAAGGGTGCTGAAGTCAGCCAGTTTGTGGTCAGGTATGTAATTGGTGATTATCAAGTCTCTGGCTATGCACGCATTCTAACATATCATTTGCAGATGCGCGGAAGATGAGAAGTTCCTCCTTACATATGTCATCTTCAAGCTACAGCTGGTCAAGGGCAAGGTTATCATTTTCGTGGGTGACGTGGACCGTTGCTACCGTGTGAAGCTTTTCCTGGAACAGTTCGGCATCAAGAGCTGTGTTCTCAACTCAGAGTTGCCCATCAACTCCCGACTACACGTTGTCGAAGAATTCAACAAGGGGGTTTACGACATTATCATCGCGGCAGACGACCAAGAGATTATGGGCACACCCAAGCCTGCCAAGAAGTCGCAGGACGTCGAAGAGAATGCTGAAAAGAAGGAAGAAATTGGTAGCAGTGAGGACGAGGAAGAAATGGAGGAATCAAGCAGCAAGCAAAAGTCTAAGAAGCGCAAGATGTCCAACAAAGAAAAGGACTACGGTATCTCGCGCGGTATCGACTTCCAAAACGTTGCCTGCGTTCTCAACTTCGACCTCCCCACCACCTCAAAATCCTACACTCACCGCATCGGACGTACTGGACGCGCTGGCAAGGCCGGCATGGCACTCTCGTTCGTCATTCCCGCCGACCAATACGGCAAGCACAAGCCCACGTCAACCCCCACCGCTAGGAACGACGAAACCGTTGTTTCGAAAATCATCAAGCGTCAAGCCAAGGTTGGAAACGAGGTCAAGCCTTACCACTTCGAGATGGCGCAAGTCGACGCCTTCCGCTACCGTATGACCGACGCCCTGCGCGCTGTCACCCGTCTTGCCGTGCAAGAAGCTCGTGCCCGTGAGATCCGTCAAGAGCTGATCAAGAGTGAGAAGCTCAAGCGCCATTTCGAGGAGAACCCCGACGAGCTGCGCCAACTGCGCCACGACGGAGAGTTGCGTGCTGCCCGTGTGCAGCCGCATTTGAAGCACGTTCCTGATTATCTGATGCCTGCCAAGGGACGTAAGGGTATCTCGAAGATGGACGTGGGATATGTCGGTTTCACAAAGACGAGCGAGAATCGCATTCGGAAGGCTCGTGACCGTAATCGCGCTCGTGGGAAGGGCAAGAAGGTTGGGAAGGTGGATCCTTTGAAGACGTTTAATCGGGGCCGAAAGTGAAATAGATATGGAGGAGTGACTAGACATATGCTATGATACCATTGTACAGTTGGACTGGAAAAAATTACATTTTGCGATCATTCTTATCTTATTCCAAGATGTTTTGTTAGGAGTCTCCGCAGACTCGAGTTGTATCTCTACTAAACAAAGTATATGTACATCTATCAGTTGAACACCCAGAGCTTTCGAAACATGTATCATGAACGCCTTTGCTTGGAGTGGCTTTCCCAAGACTCTTTCTCTCCTCCGGTAAACGCCTCGATCCATTTTCCACGCCCGGTCTTCCTGATAGCCCGAATTTCAACGCACATCTCTCTCGCCTTACTAACCGCATCGTGCCAGGCCTGACGCTCTTTATCACGACGATACGCCCAGCGCTCCTCCTCCACATTCCATGGTAGCTCTGTGGGAGGAGGAGTTCGTGGAGGATCATTGAGATCCACCGGGTCCTGCATAGAGAGATTTTGGAAAGCATTGACCGGCGCATGAATAGAACCGGCCAGCGACGAAGGCGAGAAGTACGACTGAGCGGGCAGGCCTTGAATTGCTGAGATATGTCTTTCGATAGGTCGGAGAAAGTCCTTGTCTGCTGGGTACTCGAAGCCCGGACCTAGGCCAATCCATTCAACATTTCTCCAAGACCCGTTCCATTCTGGGCCTGATGTGCCCGGGCGGCAGGGTAGGCCATCTGGGTCAGTGCCCGTCCATGTCAGCGCGGGAATCCATTCAGAGCAGCCTTCGAGATCCAGCCATTTCAGGCAGTAGGTATAACGAGAGAGCTGTCGAAGGATTCCTGCTGCTTCTGCCCAGTTGTTTTCCATTCCGGAGTACGCATCTGTACCGCCGTGGACGAACGTGGGGCCATGGTGATTCGGTGGGCGCATACGCGGAGGAGCGGCATGAGGGGTTCGCGTGGGAGCGGGCCAATGGGCCAGAGACAAATGTGTGATGGTTGAAAGACGGGAAAGAAGGTGGAGAAGGGAGTTCCAGCTTGCAGCGCCGGGGACTGGGTGCGCGAGGGAGAGGTAGCGGAGATTGGTGAAGCGAACATTTTGGCTGATGGGTTTTGGAATGGAACCAATCGTAGCAGCAGATGGAGTGACCTCCTCCGCAGAATCGCCATCGATTTGTTCATCCCACGAGGCAGGGAGACCCTCCTCGGGCACAGTTTGGGAGACTGCAGGTGCTGACTTTGCGGGGATGAACAGCTCGCTCGAGAGTTGTTTGAATGTCATCCAGTAGCCCAATGCCCACGCCAGGTCCAACCGGCGGGTATTTGTATCAAGATTTGCAACCTTCTCCACGTCAGCTTCGTCTCCATCCCCAGCGTTTTCAGTGTTATCAGCCTCGGTGAGAAACAGTGGTTTCAGGCCTCTCATCCGTCCTTTGAGTGGCTGAGTTCTCGCACGAACCGCATAGACGGCGACATAGCTGAGCAGGATCTCTTTGATATGAGGAGGGAAATGAGCCAGGAATGGTCCATCGTAATCCAAATGCCAGGCCCATTTCAAGGCCATGGCCTTGAGAGCTGCATGAAGTAGACTAGACTTGGGTGGCAACTCTGCCCCCGGTAGTCTGTCTAGACGATATATAATAGTTTTGTCATGTCCGGTAGTCGCCAGCGCGACTTCTTCGGGGGATCCTTCTCTGTACCCCGACAGCCAGCTGTTTGGGGGCGGAGGCCCCGGGGTTAATCGGACTGGGCGCCCGCCGATGACGGTACGGCGAGCACCAAAGCGAGGCCGAGGTGGCGGGGTGTCTGGGAGCTCCAGGAGATTTCTGAGAGATGGATGAACGGATCCTTGGGAGTGAAGAGATCGTGAAGAGGTCGGAGTGTCGTGCTCGGAGGAAATTCGTGCTTGTGTGCGACGAAGATGGCTGATCAGATCGTTGACTGAAGGCGAGTCAGATGTTGTGGAACCTGCAGGTCGATCATTCTGACGGGGTCTGGAAGTGAGAGAATGATGCGGAGTATTTGTTGGTTTGAAAACAAAAGACTTCTTCTGTTTTTTGGGCATGAGCGATGAGTCGTTGACGCCGTGGGTGGAGGAAGCAAACGCGAGGCTGCAGCTCCCCGCGGAACTGATGTACGGATCTTATCGCTTATCGCCCCTGACCCATCGCAGACTATGACGTCTAACCATTGGGGGCCAGTCTATGACAAGGCAAGTATAGCAACATCTCATCGAATGTTATTTGCCGCCATATCCCAATGCAAGGCGACTTGGTTCCACAAGGTAGAATATTATGATATGGTTTCCTTATTGCAGCTGAGGGATGGGGCGAAAATGTACCAAAGTGTCAATGCACAACACAATGTTGTAGCTCTATCATGAAATCTATACACGCTATTTACACATAATAATTGTACAATCGGGCTCAGATATCCCGAACCCAAGAATCGTCCTTCATATGGCCCTCTCGCTGAGGGCCTTCCTCAAGCCACGTCTCGACGAGACCTTCCTTCGGGTCTTCCTCGGGAAGGCCTCGGGACCGTCGTACATCAAGAACAAGATTCCTGATCTTCATGGTGACTTCTTTGCGCAGCTCCACTGCCTCTTTGTTGTTCAGCAGTTCGTCACTCAAGACGCCAAAAGGCAGATCTCGGGATTCAGCATCCTTCTTCTCGACCTTGGCCCTCAGCTTCTGCCAGCGGTTTCGCATCTCCCCAAAGACCACCTCGGAGTCCACCTTGGATCCGAATGTGACGCTGACCTTCTTGCCAGGACGAGGGAGGAATCGAGGGAACTCTCGACTCTCGTGCATGATATCGTCAAAGCCCTCGATCCACATAGGGACCACGTCCGGGCACTCGTTCGCCTCGAGAATGAGTCGCGCAATGCCCCACTTGAAGTAGCGCATGGTCTTACGTGGTGCCTGGTGGATCTTGCCCTCGGGAAAGATGTGAACCCACGAGTGTGAGTTGCATGAGAACGCGGAAGGAGCCATATGCGCATCATCGCCATGAGTGGTATATGCGATAGAGAGGTCGGAGAATGGATCGATGCAAACGTTGTGACGGCTAAAATACTGGAGCTCGGCCGGGGCACGGTGATGGTCGACCGGGAAGGGGCCCTTGGACAATAGTCGAATCGCCTGTGTGATCGCAGGTTGGCCTAGACCGCCGAACTGGGAATGCGCCAGACGGTGTGTCGGGAGGACCTGTCCCAAGGCAAAGAAGAGAGAGAGCGGCCTGGACGCATAAACTGTATCAGTAAAGCGATCCCAATATTATACCAACACCAACTTCCCCCACAATAACCCACCTGCCCTGAAAGCAGATATCATGACTGCCGAATGACCATCGCTTGTTCCAAAATCGCGTGGGAAGTATTCCCCAGACTAACGGATCGTCCATCCTGGTTTCCGCGGCAAAACGTCAGTTCCGATGGTTGTTTGCAATGCGAGCTCGTTTCTCGAGATCCTTTCGGGGAACTTACACGCTGATGTGGTTCGAGACTATGTTGAGAGAAATCAATCAGCAACCAAGTCTCAATCCCAAGTACAGAATCCCTGGCCGACATACCTGTAATCAAACCCTTTGTCCTTTGCGACGGGTCCTGCCTGGAGTCCAGCAAAGCCGTGAAGGCCTCACCACCATGAACCTCCGCACTACTCAATGCCGACAAGAATCCGCGACACAGCCCGGCCACCCCCCACATAGTGATGTTGGACATGGCCCGCCATGGGAGAGACGGGCAATCTGCCGTTGTTGCGCCGGAGTCCATAGTGTTGGGAAAGAGTGGAATCTATGAAACCTCCATAGACGAGAGTTGACTCTCGGACACGCAGCGAGTGGCCTGGGAATATAAAGTCTCCCCTTTGGCTAAGAACAGGAATGATTGTGTAGGGAAAACACGGCGACTGCTCGGCGAACACATTTATTCTCTCGGGATCATGTGACTGAACCCGGGGTAAATACTGTTCCAACGATCGTCCAATTCCTTTACTTCTTATGATTTACCAACTTAACTCTACACTAGGCCCTCAAAACTCCTCTACAGAGAGATATATCGTTCAATTCCCCTGATATCTTCTTGTTCTGTTGCTGGTCTTCCATCCACTTTGCCCAACAAAAGTGTATACAACAAAAAGGGACCGGGCGCACGGACCAATTGCATTCCCGACTTCAAGCACGATTTTGCCCGCCACGCCGTCGTCTTCTCTCTGCAAGCCGCAGCCATGTTCAAGCCCACATCGCCCCTGCTCTCGGGTCTTCTCTGGTAAGGATGCTATTTGCACAAGTCAAGGAAATTGCACTATGAGTATACAGAGCTAACAATTTCCCTTTCCGGCTCACAGGAAGGTCCCTTGGCGTCTCTCCTCGCCCCAGAAGGCCCGGCAGCGCAAGCGTCTGCGCGCCGTGGATCAAGTCGTTGATACCCTCAGTGCAGCTCTTGCCCGACAAGGCCAGAGCACAAAGGCCGTTGAGCGGTGGTACGCCGAGATGCCCCGTGAGGAGGAGATGCTCCCCAAGGACAAGTACACCATCTTCGACAAGAAGGAGAAGACCTACCGGAAGGGTATTCACAGTATGTCAATGCCTTGGAAAAATTCTGCGCGTCACTTGGAAGATTATGCTAATGATTTTTTTTCTCCCTCTTTACAGAGCTCCCCAAGTGGACTCGTGTGAGCCAGCGTGTGAACCCGCCTGGTTTCTAAACTCTCCATCGTTGCACCACCCCTCTACGACTCGCCGATATATACCCTCGTCAGCTTGTCAATCGGCATTTGTATTATACTCTTGAGCTTCGACTTTACGCCACCCCTTCGATCCGGTGGCTAGTCTAGGCATACACAACAACATAGGAAGGATTCCCGGAGTTTTTGGCAATTGAGAAAACACCGCCGCAGGCGCTCGGAAGAGAATGCTTTTGGCTTACATTGTTCCATTACCCAGCGTTAGACACTGTGACACAATCAATTTGGTTTCAAGGACTTATATTCAATGCTTTAGGCTCAAGGGTATTTTAACAATAGGACAGCAAGGATAGACAAGACCGTGGTACGTAAGGATATAAAATCGGGAGTGATCGATATACCGGATATAATCCGATCATGAAGAGATAAATGAGCGTGGTGCGTTGGCAAGCCGCAAGGCGACACTAAGACGCAGCCTGGGGCTGTCCAGTCTCTTTGGGAAGCAGCTTGACCGACACTGTACGGCAGCATTTCTGAACCTTCGATGAGACCTCTTTGACCCGGTCTCGATTGGCACGGCCCTCATGGACAAACTTCTGCAGACGATATCCCCGGCGGACTTGCTGCCAGTCTTCGAGCTTTTCCTGCCACCCAGCGCCTCCTTCATACCACGCATTCTTCTGTGCTGTGGACATCTCAAACCCCTGGGGCGGCTTGGGGAAGATCCAGCACGCCGGGTCAATTTTCCCATCTGGGGGCTCCTCTGCAGAGTCTTCATATAATTCGACTGTCCGAATGGCGTTTCGAATCCCAGACACTCTCCTCTGCTGGTTGACTGCAGCCCGCCATGAATCGATTCGCGGTATCTGTGCTCGTTTCCGTGTAGTGGGTGGGTACTTGAGCCTCGGATAACGATCATTCTCGTTGTCAGAAGGACTGAATCGTGGATCTCCCCATTGCCGTCGATGATCAATTGACACTCTCGAGATGGGATCAATCACTAGCCAGGTCTCTCTGTTGAGCCAATGGTTGGCAAGTAATGCAAAGTGGTATGGCTTTTGCCCAGGTGTCATCTCGTTGTATACCCACCCCAGTTTGCGTTTCAATTGGTCCATCAGTCGCACCTCCCAGTCGCTCAGCTTCGCGATTGACATTTGTTCGTCTTTGACATACCCATCCACGCCACCATCCATGCAGTTCGGCAGTGTTGCATATCTATTTCGGGCTTCGACTCTAGCTCTGGCCATCCCAGATTGACCCCAAGTTGCTTGGAGTTTGGGTCTATGAAGATCCGGTGTATCCGCATCTTGCCACGAGTGCCTTAGCTTGTTTGGAGTGTGTGCAGCCAACATTGTCGGCTTCTTAGGTGGCCTAAATATGGCTGGCGCGGTGTTGAACCTGGCAAGCTCCGTATCCATATCGACAGACGTTGCAAGCTTGCGTCTTTTCCCTGGATTGGCATCATGGCTGGAGGTCAAGGAATTCTTCGCAAAAGGTGGGTTTGCAACCACAGGGTCCTCTTTCAACGCCTGTTGAGGTATATCGCACGCGCTTTGCTCCGATAAGTAACTGGCCAGAAGAACCGTGAGGGGCGTTCCTGGCGGTCCAGAGGAATCCCGAAGATGCGGCTGTGCTATTCCTGTCGCTTTCACCTGCATCTGTGCTGACCACGCTCGATACTTTCGCGGAATGCTTCCACTGCGAAAAGCAGGTCTCGGTGCTTCCAGGGATCTTTGGGGATTTTGGTGCACACTGGATTCGGAGCTGAGCTCTGCGACATGGGAGCTGTTTTGTACAAATGATAGATTTGAGAGACGTCGCATCCGCGGGGAATGTTCCTCTGCCCATGAAGCCCTTTTCTGAGGACCACGTCGGCTGTTGATGGAGAGCGGCAAAGGGTGAACATTGGTCGGCAGGGTCAACAAATGCCTGACCATCCTTCCATCCACTCGCAGGCTACCTTCAGCCCGGTCGTCGGAAGATCGGGTGTGTGCCCGTGAGGGTGGTGTAAACATTTCCAGCGAGATTGAAGAAGCCGTGCTGTTTTCAAAGCGGTGCTCGTTGAGGCTGATTCGCGACAATGGCTCGGCGATATCAATGATTTCGGGCGCATTTCCAATTGATTCAGAAGACTCGGATTGCTGACTGGTCACCAATGCGCCATGACACTCTATAGAGGATCGCGGATATGGAACGTGCACAGCGGGCATCTCCTCATAGCTCTTCAGGAATTCCGGTACCAGCTTCAGTCGATTTCGCTTGGCCCGGCGTTCTTCCATTGCTTCCAGGCCAGGATCCCACCACATCCACTGGTAATCACGTTTGGGTGACTCCCAGGCCAGCCACTCGCGAATGTACCTGAATTTCCTTCGAATGAATGCCTTGTTTCTCTCGTGTGTCTCCGTAGTGACCCAGCCATACCAGGTTCTGGCATACCGAGTCGTCGTCAACTTGCCGTCACACAACACTCTGTGCCTGGTCAATGACCCAAAAAACTTGCCAACCTTCCAGAACAGAACGGAAAGTATAAAGATTCCCACTGTTCCTACAAACAGCTCGATAAAGACTGTAGGGTCGATGAAGGTATTCACCGGGACTGGCCTGCCTGGTATTTCTTTACCATGGCCTGGCGTAGATGGCGAAAATGAGTGGTACTGTCGAGTGTTCAATGGAGCCATCTGCTCGGAAAGAGTGAACCCCTTCGGAAAGTGATAAAGATGCAAAATCTCGCCACTTTATTCAAGAGAATGTCGAATAAGTTGGTGTAGTTTGAAGCTTGAAGAAGCAAAGTTGTAGGTCGGCGCTCCAGTGAGGAAGTCGCCTTCCACCGCATCCAGCTCTAACAAATTCTCGTTTTCACACATTATGACCCTACTCCAGGGCAATAAACGGATACTGAACTCGAGTCTTAACACAAGTATCTGAATGTTATAAAGAGAATTCCAGTGATGATATGACACGTCGCGTTTTCAACATGTTGTTCATCATACGGCTCAATTGTGCACTAAAAACGAGGCAGACGCTGAAGAGCAAGTCATGACTTCCAAGATTCCTTCGAACTTTCGACAGCGTTTCCGAAATTAGCAATCCCGAGAAGCATGTCTATTACGAGACAGGCTGCCAGATTCTCGTGAAACTTTTTGCAGTCGCGGTTATTACCAGATTAGTGAAGGTGCTCGGACTCGGTGATCGGGGCCGATTTCTTGGGGATATGACAACGGCATGGCAGCCTGGCCTGATACGGTAATTTGCGGGCCTCAGTCTTATACAATTGGTTCCTAGACACTCACCGGGCTGTTCTCATTGGTCAGTAAGCAAATCATGGCAGGGCTCCGCCATGTTCCTACATCAAGCATTCCGAAAAGAGATCTAGTGGCGTGTCATCGGAGGGGTATGGAGTTCGCGCTGTCAAGCCAGAGAACCGCGCAGAGTATACTAATCGTAATCACTATCCATAGATTTACGGTCACTCTCCTTTCTATATTTGATTTCGCGCTCCATGTCTGATCAGACTTCCAGCCTTGCAACCAGACTGTGTAAAACCCAAACGTAATCTATGATCCTGAAGGCTTATAAAAAGCTGATCCTCCGAACGTCTTTCTGTATCTTATAATCATAATCCATTTCACTGTACAATTATGTACAATTATTCATGTCTCCAATCCGAGTCGCGATTATCGACGCAGCCCCGTAGGCCTCACACTCGCTCGGCTTCTTCTAAACAAACCTAACGTCGACTTCGTTGTCTTCGAATCTGAAAAATCTCGAGATGCACGTAGGCAAGGTGGCACTCTCGATCTACACCCAACGACAGGCCTCGCGGCCCTGGAAGAGGCCAATCTATACGATGAATTTCTGAAGCGAGCCCGGTTTGACAGAGAGGCGTTGATCATTTGCGACAAGGACCTCACCAAATATGTCGAATTGTCAGGGTCAGACGAGAACTCTTCTCATAGAACACCAGAGATTGATCACATCTCTCTCCGAGAAATGCTTCTGAATTCTGTTCCTCCCAGCAAGATCCGATAGGGCTATCATTTACGTACCATTGACGAAGATCACAATTTGATTTTTGATCAAGGTATCGAGACTGGATTCGACTTTATTGTGGGTGCAGAAGGTGCCTGGAGCAAGACCCGCAAGCTTGTATCGGATCAAACGCCAAATTATTCTAGAATTTTCAGTATCTCATTCGAGATCCCCAATGCGAAAGAGACAGCACCCGAGTGCTATAAGCTCACAAACTGTAGATCTCTGTTCTCCTACACCGCTAGCCGAGCTATCATGCCACAGTATCTAGGAGATGGTAGCATCGAAGTTGGTGTCTATATTACACAACCTCATGATTGGGCTGAGAATCTTTCATTGAATACCCAGAACATTGAGGCCATTAAAAAGGTCATCCTGGATGAGTTTGAGGGCTGGGCGCCTGAACTGCTGCAATTCATTCGACATAGTCAGAATGCAGAATTCCGTCCACTTTATATGCTCCCTGTCGGCTGGACGTGGGAGAATCGCCCCGGTGTAACTTTGATTGGCGATGCGGCACATGTCATGACACCTTTTGCTGGTCAGGGAGTGAACCTGGGAATGCAAGACGCCATGATGTTGTCTCGTGCAATTATCAAGGGAGCCAACTCGCCAGCTCCCAAAGATGCTTTATCAAACGAGATCAAATCATTCGAGAAAGACCTCTTTATCCGGGCTAAAGAGACCGCAACTTTGACGAATGATCTGAGGACCATGTTTTTTTTCAGCGGCCTGCTTCGATCCGTCATTGAACAGGTTGTTTTGCGTAAATGACCTTCTATAATAAGAGCCTTCTACAACGTGCCAAATACCCACTGAAGGCTGCTCTTATCTACTGTTACTACTCGGTGTTTAAACTGTGGCACTGACGATGCCATGTTTATGCATCGTTTCTGTTAATCTATAGATGAATGTCCGCTCTCTGTACTCTATCTGCTTATTAGCGTTGATCAAACTTATTTCAAATCTAGATCATTGTCTTCTCTCTCCTGGATTCATTGAGATTATTTCAGGCAAGAATGTGACACGATTGCCTCACTTACTTTCACAAGTTCCATTTCTGCTCCCCCATGCATTCCGTGATCACATTCTCGACGATGTCATCGACGAGATTCAGTTCAAGTGACATGTCAGATCAATTACAAGCATATTCCTAGTTTCTCAAACAGGTATTAAGAAGCCGGATTGTGTTTCAGCCGTTCCAGGGGTCTATCAATTGTCACATGGAAGGACCCAAAGGATGGGTTGCTGTATCCCGCCCTTTTGGTAAAGGGATGACTCGTGTTCACCCGGTAGAAAAGGACAGAACTATAAGCAGGATTTGAAATAGTATCAGATCGAGGGACGATCGGGGAATCGAGCTCTGCGAGGATTGGCTGGGTTGTTTGGGTCGTTATGAGGCCTTCCTAATTGGGTAACCTTATGGTCCACCGCCACACCGCTCCAGCCACTCCTTGCCTTTAGCCACGGTCTAGCCACTGCGGCTGAGGATGTGGCGGTGCGACTATTGGCTTGGTCCCAATTTGGGTCTTGAACCATTTTCCTACTTCGATCCACATTGCATGACCCACTAAGAAAACAAGGTTGGTTTAATTCGTTTCTTTGCTTTTTGTTGGGGTTTCTTGGGTCTTTTGGCTTCATGCTGGTGGACGGGAAACGTCCCTGATGTGTCCTGTGTTTGGCTGGGTTCCGCTCTTATTGGTAGCGGTTGTTTGGATCTTGAAGGTATCCGCAGGATTGCCCTTGCAAAGATTCCTCGTATGAGCATGATTCATCTCATCGCGGATTTAGATTCCGCTGCATACGTGACTGCACGATCCTTGGATGCGCTCTCTCTGATCCCCTCAGGCACCGCGCTCATATCTCACGGGCTGCAGTCTGCAAACAACTCCATCAACTCCAAATCGGGTAGCACGATGCATCCATTGTGTGACCAGGTTTTCTCCTATCTCTGCATTACCAGGAAATCCAGACAGAATGGCGTTTCACAAAGACACCTATCACCGCGTCCGGGAGTTACCGCTGCAGTGGGCGGGGAACCCAAATGATGCGAACTATTGACTGGTCCGTGCCAGATCGACGAAATGATCGTCGACCCTAGCACTGTTAGGGCGAAAAGTCTCAGGTGCAGGCCAGCGGCGTATGTTGGTGGAAGCTTCGTCCCTCGTGGAGCCGCTTCTCAGATTTCTCAAACCCCTGCTCACATCTAGCTCACACATGGTGCCGATGATCTTCTCCCTTGTGGTATTGTGGAGTCTTCCCTGGCGGAGGTACCGCAGAGGGCCTCGCAGTCTCGAACCAAGAGGGACTAGAGGTGAGGCTGATGACCCGTGGTAACTGGATAGCAAGGTTGTGGCTGGTGATCGATAGAACTATCGCCTCCTTTTTTTAGCCATTTCCCTAGGCAGCACCATTGCTCGAGTCTTTGCAGTACAACAATTATCTAGGACAATTGTGAAGAAAAAAAATGGAAGCGCACTCCAGAGCGCTACGCTTCAGATATGCTTCGGAGTGGCCGATGGGATTGACGACATACTTACCAAAGAAGCCTGGGCCACCAGCCGTCATGCGCCACAGGTCAACGTTGGGGTGTGGCTTTACCTCTGGGGGATCGGCTACCCCCTGTAACAAGATCTTGGCATCTTGCGGTCTAACCTCCCAGCTTGTCCTCCCTTGATCAATCGCATGGATTCCAATGGTCGTCACAGTCATGCGCTGTTTAGGGTTTCCCGGAACCAGCGGCTTTTGGGCACAGACCATTGCTGTCTTTGATCGTAAGGCATGACCCAGTTGAGGTGACTGCATGCTAGTGTCGACGCCACATCTTTTTGATGTGACCGAAAAAGTGACGGTGACAGCTGCGACGGCCCAGACAGTTGACACCCAAACCAGAACCGCCAAACAAATTCTGAATATCTTCAATTCGATTCAATTCGATATCAAAAACTGGACCAGAAACTCCTATCACACTCACAGCAGGCGGGGTCAAAATGTCGAGCGTATGGTGGAGATGGTCAAACTATCCGTGCACGAAACTATTGACAAGTCGAAAAAAATAATTCCAGGCCTCGAGGAGTCTCTCAATCCTGTACCTCCACCGGTTTGTCTCTGCACATGAACGTCGATCGCGCATGCCAAGGCGCCTGTCTGATTCGATTCTTCGTCAAGCTGGCCCCGGGAGAATCGGTAGATGGGCGTGCAAAAATCAAATCAAACGCACAGCTGCCAGGTGGAACTCCCTTTAGGCCCTAGGGCCTGAAATTGTCCAGTGCCTGTGGCTCCCTAGTCGATCCACACGCTAGCATCAGATCTTCCCTGCGTATCTGGATATCTCAGATCTAGTACCTGCTTTGACTACCCCCTTCCCTTGGTCCATTACGTACCCGTCGATCAAACCACGGCAAAGACCAGGAAATTCAATTTTCCTTTTCCTCAACCCTCCTTTCCTTGTCCTATTTACCTGGAACGTGTTGCTGCAAGGATCTCTCGTAGATACCGACACTCCACTCAACCGGCCCGATGATCTTTCCGTTTCTTTTTTTTTTTGACTTTCTATCGATGATTCCAGTTATGTTCTTTCATTGGATTCTGTTTTTTTGACTTTTGATTTTTTCCCCCTTCAGTTTGACTTTTTGTCAATCTACTAAGGGTTTCTGATCTCCAATTTGTGATGCGCACAGCATTACGGCTGCCTTGGCTAAATTGCGGAAAGACGGTCACCGATTTCCGTTGATGCGCTCATCACTCCGCGCCGTACTTTGGCCGGTGGCGACATCTACTAGCTCCATCGTTTACCAAGGCCTAATCAGGAACAATGAGGCCGTAATATGTTTGGCAGTGAATGGGTCTCGGTTGCTGCCGGGAAGGTATATGAAGACCCCATGAGGCACCTATATCAAGGAGCCTTTCCATCAAGTATCATTCTTCCAAACCTCATATCTTATAATTCTAAACTCTATCTCATACCTTTTGCCCCTTTGATCAACCTCGGTCTTTGTTATAAACGGTCCTACCACCCTCCCAAACTTTATCGTCGGATCCACTCCATTTATACTCTCCTGATCCTCCTCCTTCATTGTCCCCCGATTGGTGCAGAGCAGTTCCTTTGAACCTTGGAGATTATATACTTCATACTACCCAAGCAACATTTAAACCCGTCAAATCTCATCAACAATGGCTGCTCCTCGTGAGTTCAGCTTGACATTCGAAACTACCCCGCCAGCGGCAGTCTGCCCCGGTCTCCCATTCACTGTCCCCGTCATAGTCGCCGTACGACCCATTGGAACACCCTCTCACACGGTACAACTAGTCGCCAGCGCCAGTCTGCGCGATGAAGCCGGCACGAGCGCTGCCACTGGACTCGGCGGCAGTCTCACCGCAATGGTGCGGAGCCGCACCGAGCCCTCAATGAGCGGCTACGCCAAATTCGCCGGACTCACCATTTCGCGACCAGGCAAATACCGCATCCGCGTCATGCTCAGTACATCCTCCGTCAACGGCGTTATGACCAAAGAATGCGTTGATTCGGGAGTTATCCATGTGCACGCCGCTGCGCCGGCGGCCCAAAGGCCAAGTGGGTCTTTCTCTTTTTCCTTCCCTTTCACCCTATCCTATCAATTCGATATCACCTCCGGCTTTTGTCCAGAGCGCCCCCACTCCTCTTTACCGAAGCGCTGGATCACCGAGATGGCTACGGCATGGTATTGGGTCCCTTTCCAGGGACTTGGAATGGTTACCCCTCTGATTGCCGTTTCTGGACGCTTGCTGATGTTTTGAAATCTCTAGCTCCCACCACGGTGGCAAAGCTGCAACGGCTGACAGCTGAAAATTTGGATATCTCGGTGGCGGATATCGCGAAGTGGCAGAGTGCGTGAGCGGGTGGTGGAGTGGAGGTTATCTTATTGGGTGTCATTGTGGAGTTTTCCGGTGTTTTCTTGTTGTCTGATTCTGATTTAAGGTCTTTTGCTTTGAGACATTTCGTTTAGATCGGCCCTTTCATAGTTCTGGAGCTTCCTCTTTGGGGGTCGAAGTCCGAGGTGCAGTTCACTCTTTGTGACGCACCTATCAAGATAGCAATTAGTCGGAGCCTGGTAATGAAGTCATTTCTTATCTTTCTTTTCATGAAAGAATCTTTGTTACAGGGTCACCTCGAGAGTGGCATGGGTCAAATATTGGTAGAACTGTAGAATTGTTTGCTTGTGATGAAGTGATAGAGGAGAGGCTCTTTCTATTTTCGGTATACGAACCATGTCCCTGCATTAGGTGGAGAAAAAGAAATTATATGATCTACCGTGCATTCCGTCAAACCCTTTAGAGCATCTTTGCTTCTTGCATCTTGCTTCTATGGGATAGAACTGTTTCATGGCCAGGATAACATCGAGGATGGACAATCCATGATTCTCTGAGTAATGGGCTGTCATAGTTGCGCAACTCGCCTAATTTCGGCGCTGATGCTAGCACATACTTCAGAAATGTAGCATAGTCCCATCCCATGCTATCAGCGGCAAGACCCATCAGGCTTGTCTGGTCATCCCGTCCTGGGCGACCTGGTCCGGTGATATTCTACAAACACCAACATTAGTCTCACCGACAGCAGACCTTTCTTCGTCGTAAAGAGCCATACATACCGGTTTCATATTAATATCAAACAACGCGAATCGCGACTTTGGCCCGAATCGCCGAATGTCTATCCGCAGAGGGGCTCTCGTCTGTAGCAGGCCAGCTACAGTCTCGCATTCTCTCATAATAGCACCATATGCCGGATCTGCATCTACCTCCTCGGCTGCCACAGCGCGCGAATTCAAAGTCACTGCTACCTTTCCGCTATAAGGGGCGATTCCGTCCACATGGTTGAAGCGAGTCACTGGCGGCAGAGCCCAGTGTCGGGTGAACCGATCTGAAGGTTCCTGTTCTGGAACATCTCCTTGACATGGAGGCATTATAGTGATGGTGCCCTCTTCACCGTTCAAATATTCCTCCACTAGCACCCGAGGCGATTCATCAAAGAGATTGGCAATGTGCTCAGACAATTCGACTGAATTGCGACAGATCTTCACGCCATGGCTACCTCGACCGCGCACCGGCTTCGCAACAATCGGACAGTCGCTCTCTTTAACAGAAGCCAAGACAGTATCCAATGTCTTTTGCACAGCCTTTTTATCACCATTCAGAGTCCTGGGATCATCAATTGTCCACGATTTCGGTAGTGTCAATCCACCATGCCGACGCAGACAATCATTTACAAAAGACTTATCATCAAATTGATCCGCACACAGCGGCGGCTGCCCTATAACCCTAACCTCCGCCTCATACGGCGTCAAAAGTGCTGAATTTTGCAACGGATGCTCACCAAAAAGTACTGTGTTAGCCCAAAGGTGTGTAGCACCTTTGTTCAATGCAGTCAGGATGCCTTCCTGAGTATCAGGGAAGCACCAATGGTCCTGATTGGCAGGATCCGGCTCCTCCACTGGGGTAAGCACGTTGGTCCCCGAGCGGGATAATGTATATGCAACATCAGCCCCGGAATCGCGGTACCCTGAGTATAAATTATTAGTGCGCCTAGTACTATGCCTTTACATTCGTCTCGCGCTTGTCTTACCACCGGGCTTGGGTGGCTTGCTCACGCCACCATACATTGGCGGTGGGAGAGCCTGGTAAAGTACCGCCACAACGGTCTTCGTCGGGGCCATTTTCGAATAGAGCCTTCTAGCCTCAGCTTGGTGGTGACGCTGTATATTTTTCGATGTGGAGTGGAATGTAGATGCAGGTGTTGATAGCTGAATGTGGGGGCGAAATAGGCGGACGGGATGGCCGAAGGTGCAGACTTGGCTTGGAATCCGAGGACGAAAATTCATTCCAAATGAGATAGAACCACAAGATTTTATAGTATTTCAAGTGCGAGCAAATTGAGAAGGTAGCCTTGTCAATTTTTATCAAGTTCTATGTAAGTCGCGTGGGATAGCTCGGAGAAGTTCCGATCCGATCCTCGGAGGTGAAGTGCTCCGAGTGGAGATGGAGCGCTCCGGGTTCCAGTTGAAGTGTTGATCATGACAATGGAGGGCGATGACTATTTTACGAAAGCTACAGAAGAAGTTGCGAGATTCGGAGGAATTCAGGCTGAATTGTTATAATGAAAACTATCGGAGTATAATTGACTCGCAACTATAGTGACGCAACAATAAAGTGTCCAGCTCCTTCAAGGAGACAAAGACATGATAGAGAAACAGACATGGAGACATAATTCGTTTCGTCAAGAAATAGGATGTTTGATTGTCGAAAAAACCGACTAGATCCTTCGATCAGCACATGAAGTGATCAGGGCTCATGATATAGAATCAGAATAATGTCGTGGTCCTATAATAGGCCCACCACAGTACAGCAGTACAGTGGTCAAGACATCGTTCATTCCCCGGATGCAGTCAAACACCCTCTTCGGGGGCAGCACCCGGGGCAAGACTCAACGGTGAATGAGAAATGGGGCCTCTTTTCTGGTGAATTTGATTTGACTGTCGATTCGAACCTGCACTTGGGGCTTATCGTCCGCGTATAAGATGAAATACTTCATCACGCAGGACAACCCATCACAGAAGTGCGTCTGAGCGAAAAATTACCACAAGCGGTGGTTTTGATTAAATTTTTTTCTGGTAATTGGCACAGCGACATGATTCAGCTCTCCTTATCGTGGTTGCGGAGCTTCTCAATGCCATCGCGGACAGTTCCACGAACACTGAAGCCACCAAATAGCCAGTCGTTGGAGTGCCGACCGTAGTGGTTGACGGTACCACTGTAGCGACGATAGTCGTCACTGTTCTTGCGGGTTGGAGTGGATGCCCGCTTACTGGTGTACTCCTGCTTGGGAGACTGGGGGTAAGTGGCCTCGGGAGACATCTGGTCGGGACTATGAGAGCGGTGGTATTGATCAAAGTATGACGACCCGGGAGCGCTGCGGGGAATGTCTCGAGGGTTGAAGACACTGGCCGAGGACTGGCGCTTGTGTGATTTGGGAATGTCGATGGGAGTAGGAGACTTGCTTCCTGATCGGAACAGTTTGGCGGCCAGTGAGTTGGATAGTTCTCGGCCTCGTTTTTTCTCGTCGGAGCGTTGAGTGCTGCGAGAGGAACAGGTGGTAGCTGAGGTTTGAGACAGAGACCGCTTTGGATAGGTGTCACTGTTGTAGGATTGGGAGTGCATCACTTGGTGGGAAAGTATAGAGAGGTTGTGGTAGGAAAAGAATTGAAACTTCAAGCCACCGAGGCCCGGGGACACGGGGTTATTACTTATACCTCTCCAATTCCTCTATTTCACCCATCACCCTAGCCTTTCTTCTCTCTTTCACCCCAATTTCCCCCCCCTTCTTCGCTTCACGGGGATCGTCAACCCTCGTAGGGCAACCAACCAAATCGCAGTCCGCTTCGAACCTGGTGGAGAGAATGCCCCAAACACACACACAGCCAATCGGAGCCACGAGAGTCTCCAGCAACAGCGGACCGGGCCAGCAGCAGACCAACCGGAGTCCAGAATTAACGACCGCGTGGTTCCACCGGTAAGGTTTAGCGGGCGTCCGTGTCGGTGAGATTTCAAAGCACAGAGACCCAGAGAGTGTTTAGCCCTCGACTTGGGCCAATCCCATATTCTTTCTGCCTTGGAGCCTCCTCTGCCGGGGTCCATTCTATTCCGATACACCTGCTATTATCAGTAGGACCCCGCAGTTTCACCGCTCGTTGCATCATCATCATCATCGTCGCTACAGTATCATCTTCACCACCCGAGAGGGCCACGTCGACTCGCGTTGCAGAGTTGCAAATATCTATCATGTGGTTGCAGCTGTTCCACGTCGGGCCGCACCAATATACTTTCCTGGGTTTCTTTCAAAAACGACACCTCAGCAACTTTTGACTCTCGGAAGCTGCAACACTGTCCAGCTGAGCCGTGTGCAGTCCTGTCGTCCTTATCTGGCCCCTTCCATAGGGCTGGTGTTCCCCACTTCTCGGAGTTAGGCAGCCAGGTTTTCCAAGCATCCTTGGAGAATTGTGACCTCTCTTCGTCAGAAGTGGGGCACCCCGCAGACGGCTTGGCCAATGTTCCTTCACGAGGCTCTGCGAGGTCATGTTGTTTGCCCTGAATACGAATGCGGCATTCATTCATGCCTTCGCATTTGCACCACGAGTCCAACAAAAGTCTCTTGGCCAACTAACAAGACTTGGAGGATTTCTTATCGCATCCACTCAGCTATTTGCACCCACAATCATCTTCACCAATCACCACTGATTCACTGAGACAGCATCCCTTCTAGCGGCCTTCGAGAAAGCCATCGTAACCGAGGGATACGGCACGTGTTAATGAACTGTCCTGTTTAGGTCAATTAGCCCCCACGCAAGGGTACATCAGTCAAGAAATCACGGCTGAGATTAGGATTCATCGGCACGGTCACTCCGAGAACTGTGGCATGGGGTATTCACGAGCGCTGCATCATGACTTTTTAACATTAAGGTTAATTAACTTAGGTTTCCACGTTGCTTAGAATGATGCTGGCACCACTACTGGAGCGTCTTCCTTAATGACCTTCCCCGAAGTTGGCTCATGGGAGCAACCACACTGACCTATTGTGCGTATTGCGTATTGCGACCGAGGTACATACATGCTGCATGAAGCCGCCAAGAACACACAATCTTTATGCGGTCTTGTTAGTGTTGAACAGACCGGTGACTCACCACAAGTGACTCGTCTGCATACTTCTTGGTCGAGAGCCGAGTCTAATTTCAAGGTCTGGCCCAGATCATAATAATAATAATAATAATAATAATAATAATAATAATAATAATAATACGAAAATGTTATACTACTTGAATCCAAATTATGATGGTCGCATTTAGTTTACAGAAAAGCAAATACAGTAGACTTCATAAGTTTAAATCGCTGGCCAAACTTCGAAAACATCTCATCAATCATGCCTTTAAAGGACATGTCGGAAAAGAGTGCCTGAATTATCTAGGAGTACAATTTGAAAGACATTTCAAAAGACCCCTCCAAAGACTCGAAGTCGGGAGGTTACCTAGGCTGTATAGAGCCTGCCCCATATGACACTGATATCAAGCCCCATCAAACAGCAACAGCCAAAAAATCCTTAAATCCAAAAGAAAATAGTCCTCCAGATCCCGAATCAAACCCTGGTCCTCCCCGTCACCCAGGGGGCTTAAATTTTTGGGACTGGAAGATGGTGATAACCCCAAATCACATAGACTCGAATACTGGATGAAGTTTGCCTTCGATGAAATGCAGCATCTCGCAAATGATACTGCACTGGTCCTCCAACTTGATATCTACAGACTTTTGACTCCTACGACCCCCGGTATGATATTCAATTTAACCTAATACAGAACTGATGTTATTTACTAGCTCGTTTACCCTCGCGGTATGTTGCATTTCACTCTTGATATTTGTTTCACTACTCGCCTCTACCTTCCAACTGGTCTAATCTAGCCACTCCTCTACCTCGTTTGCGAAAGAGTCAACCCGTCTCAGATGCCCTAGGAAATTATTTGATTTCCTCAACAGGATCCAGAAACACAGCACTCTCTTTCCCTTTTAGTCCGATTTCCAGTCTCGACTAAACGTGACAAGCCTGAAGACCTGCCCTTCGAGTGGAGGGAGGATAATTCTTAACTTCGAGGGTTTCCCGACTCGCCATATCAGTTCCATGAACATCTATATGATGTCTCATCATCGACTTCACTCAGATCCACCACGATTCTTTCGACAGACTGGAATGCTGGGTTTTCTTTTGAGCAAATCATTCACTTCTCTGGTCTTGAGCGCTGCCAATGAATCTTGAATCTCAAGTGATGTCTCCGAGACCTCGCCAAATGGCGATTCCGAGTCTTTGAGGATAACCGTGTATGTTCTCACAGTTGCTATGGGCTTTGAATCAGCGGTTATATGGCCTATCAGATAGTGGAGTCAACACAAGCCTATGACCATGAGGATGCACACCAATCTTTTGGCTGATGAGCCCATTCGCGAACTTTGGTGAGCCACGTTAGATCATGTAGAATATTATTTTGCCAAAGACCAGCTAGATATCGATGACACAACTAAACATTTCGTTCAGTATCTTTTTTCCAGAGGCTCATCCCGAAGATGAGTATTTCGGCATGATTTCTCTTTAGGCTTGATGGTAGCGTCGCTATTATGGTTCAGGTTGATTTTTCTGTGCTACTTTGGCTGGCAAATGTGCACCAATATCAACAACCACGCTGATGGAATGATTATCGCGTGGTTTTCGACCTTGAAGGCTTTATTGTGCCTCATATATGAATCTCGATCTTCATTCAAGTTTTATGTCGAACAAGATACTTACCCCACTTTATCCAGCTGATTATCCCCTGAACGGCGATAATGCGGATATTTGGTACATCATCGTTTCTGCTCTTGATTTAACCAACATCATTCGCCACTTTCGAAGGTAGCGCTACCGGGGGAGATTGATCATTGTCTTCACGGGTTCGCCCAGGTGACAGAGCCTAGATCATACTAACTCTTGCCTCAGTCATCAGGGAGATGTGAATCATTCTGGTTTTAGAGTTTCATATTTTACGCGATAGCCAAACGCGCTTCGCGCGTCCCGAGTATCCAAGACACCTACGAAGGTCTGACCGTTCGGCCAGTCAGCCTATATAGGTCACAAGCCCCTGCATGTATTTTTGGGTGCCTCTTTCGTCTGAGTAAGCCAAGTCTGTGTGTCTGGCTGGAAGTGCTACCTTTCTATTATGTCCAAAGCCTTATTTTCAAGGGGAGATTATTTTTCTCGGAAATCTTCCCAGGATTTTTTGAACATCCTGGGACCATTTATTCCAGTCACACTCTAATTTTAAGATGCTTGCCAACCTCATTTTCAGTTTCGGAAGCCCCGTCTGGACTGGCATCATCATCTCTCTTCTCCTTTGTGGCATTACACGCGCTTTGAAGCTCCTCCTCGCTGCCAATAAGCTTAGATCAAAACCTCAGTCTACGAATAATGAAGCGCGGTCAAAGACTGAGTACGGCCCAGATCCTTTGGGTTTCGGCGCCATAGTCACTTTTCAGGGGCTTCCCTTGAGCCAAAAGCCAGACTGGCCGAGATATTGGAAGCCGGGGAAATTTCAAATGACTATGGCACTGCGCAAGCTAGACATCAACAATTGGTTCAACTACGATGAGCTTTTTGATGACGAACATACCAAAAAGCTTGCTATGGCTCGAAGTGAAGACTCCAAAGATTACGTGGACTACCTCGACGGAATCGATGATGCTGTGTTAGAGCTACTGGACACAGTTGTGGCATATGTCACTAAGCGCTTTCCCGGCATCTTCCGAGCAGACAAAAATTATGTTTATATTGATCATTTGCAAGAGAAATATCGAATTCGGGAGCCGTTTGATTTTCATCCACTCACCGTTGTGGGCTTGTTGGTAATGGATGATGTCTACGTGCTTAAAAAGTGTCAAAATGATTTTTACACGTTGTGAGTCTAATACTTCCTATCGAGATTAGTATCTAACCGCAATTCGAAGGCGTGGCGCTTTCCTGGCTTGCCCCTCTGGTTGGCGACTTCAACAGCGGATAGGGTGGCAGCTGCACCAAATCCACGATCCGGTTCCACTTTGGAAAGAGAAACTGCGCAAATCTATGGAGCGCTTTTTCCTCAATCTTCACCCGTCGAAAGCAATCCAACGAAACAATCTCGTTATTCAACCAGTTGGGGATATATTTCAAATTGTTCCATTCGAGAGTAACCCGAAATGCAGTTCGATCGATCAAGTCCATATCCGTACGGAGTTGCAATCTCTGACTCGACTCCCTCGGTCGCAAGCAATCATCTTCACGGTCAGGACATATTTAACTCCTGTGACAATACTCCGGGAGGAACCAGCTCAATTGGAAGCCTTGTGGGATCACATCAGACATTTTCCTCCGGACGTTGCGGACTACAAGTGCCGGCATCTCTGGGGGGATGTGTTTGAGGAGTTTTGTCGGGATGTGCTTAGAAAGAATGATCCGCACATTGGTAATGCCGAGGAAAAGGTTGAAATTGCTAAACGAGGAGGTTGTCCACTGGAATCTAAGTAGTTCATGGATTTAGTCCTTGGACGAAGAGCCTGAGGTCGACTTGATTGGCGATTTACCAACAGGAATTGTGAGCTACCTTACTATTTTCTAAGAACACCCTTTGAATATCAAGGGCCCCACTGTTTTCTATGATTTGATGATTTGTGAGAAGAATTTTTCAAAGTCGTAAACAAATGATGAAGTACATATATTTTAAAACTCGTGGGATTTATGGTTAATAATCTTTGAAGCCTAGGCAGAGCTTCAAACTAGAATGTCCTACCGATTTATTTTCTGCTTGAAATCGGTTTTGTGATTTGACCACTGGCGGTCGCCACATATGGATATCATTTCAAATAATAAGGAACAGAAACTGCAAGTTCAAAGAGCCCAACACAGAGTACCGAGTGTCAAAGCAATACACCCAGGGAGCCATACAAGTCCAGAAACTACCGATAGCAAAATTAAAACCACAGGTACACCCATGCGGGACTTCAATGTATCCTTCCGTCTCAGAGTATGAACAAGACCATAGCATAACATGATAAAGTCAAACAAATATCCCATTTTCCATCCCACAAGTCCCCAATGACGCTCTCTCGCTCAGTCATCGACGCATCAGGGCCTATCTTGCGATTTGGATGTAGTGCATTCTTGATTAATGAGTTTAAGCTTCGCTATCCTGTTTTCGAGGGATGTCAATTTTCCTCGTTATCGCGTTGACGTAGCGAATTACTCAAATCACCTCCACCAAGTATCAATACTATCAGTCCAAAGCGATCTCGCGCATCAGGCAGTTGCTTGAGAGCGTGAAAGACTCCACGAACTGGCATAGTGTAATAGGATCAGGAAAGATCGATTGGCTTCTGCGATTTCCAAAATTCAATATAGAATGTTTGAGAGGAATGGTGATGATCAGAAATGCTTTCAAAGCCGATGGTGTTTTGAGAAAAAGAAAAACGATCCGAAGTTTAAAAATCATACCAAACTAATTATGGATAGAAAATGAAATTAATAGCTGGCCAAAATTGGACAAGGCAGAGCTGAATATAGCGACATAACCACTTTACGGCCCGCCTCCATTTCTGGCCTGATGCGTAAGGTTTTCTTACAATGCCCAGAATTGGCTTAAGTCTGAGTGGATTAAGTCTACGCCCCGCCACTAGTCAGATAATTATTTCCTTCTCATGAAAACATTGAATTTGAGGGAATCCTCGGCTGATAGGACTGAGGTGCGTCTCGGGGTTAGGCTCAAGGGCCAGCGCACCTTACGGGTCCCAGATGTTAGTGTCTGGATACTGGTATACAGAAAGGGATCAGTCTTCATTCAAAAGTGAAATATGCTAAATCGCATCAATGATCGACCAATCCCATATGGAGTTCATGCACCTCCAACTCAGGAGAGAGAGCTTCGCCTGACAGTTTCCATTTTGGAGGAGCGGAATTTTCAGAACTTGGGATCTACGTAACGAAACATGTCGGGCATGACCTTTTCTCAGGTGGGGACTTTCCTGGCCAAAGCCGTTGTCTTCCTAAAGAATAAGCAAAAAGCTCAAACTTTGTATGAATTATTCCTCTAGCCTATAGCTATGAGTTCCTTGAGTCCATGTCTCCAAACAAGTCCCGTTACTTTATGGACAGACCTTGCAGGTGTAGAATTTGTTCACCTTCACATAGAATGGGCTTGGAGGCAAGATCCAATATGGAAACTCGTAGTGATCCACTATGGAGATTCCTCTCGTAGAGGCCACAGGCTAGCACTGGGCTCCCTCCATGACCGTGGCTGCTCTGAATGACATCGTCGATGTCGTCGCTCCGTGAACAATTTGGCAGTATCAACCCCGGCGAGAGCTGTCCGCTTTCTTTCAATAACTGTCACCGGTTGAGCCGATATACGAGCTGGCATCCATCCCGAGATGACCGTCCCATCTCCTGCCCTCCTCGTTGTCGGCATGACAAAAAGCGACCGTGTCCGATCCAGTAGTGGCCGATGGATCAGACGGCGAAGCACGCTGCGATGAACATGCTTCCGAGCATCGACCGTGGTAGCTGATAGATGAAATTCTTCGCGTTCGTCCCGTATCAAAGTGCGAGACCAGAGACGATGGACTCGTGGTCTTTGCGATCGAACGATACCTGCCATCTCGGCATCGTCATCCTCGAGATCCTCTGCTATGAGTGGAACTGTGGCTTGTTGAAAGGACCATGGGGTAAAGTTGGGGTTTCCATCTCCAGGCCTGAAAATACGCAGCTCCAGGCTGCGAGGCTCACGTATGCAAAGCTCCGACCCACAGTGTGGCCAAGAGTGATGTCTTCTGTGGTGTCGGATGTGCGGCATTGTGGCGGGGATGTTGGTAGGTAGAGAAGCAGCAGGTAAAGGTTGATAGGTGTATGGAATTCAGATAGAAGATGTCTCTCCAACCTCCATCATGAATAAAAATAGTGATATGCTTTTGATTCGATATCAGAGACAAGTTTGGATCATGAAAAGATAAAGAAAGATTCTGGTCTATATCTACCAGCTATCCACATTATAAATCCAGCGCTTGTGGCTGACGGTTCCAATGAGACTCAACACGTGCCGGGTTGAGGTGCCCTTAACAACGGCCCGGGTGACTGAATAATCATTCGGTGATTTAAAATGACCTGTAAGCATGGAGGAAATCGGGCTCTGGTGGATGTGGGGTGGCATGGAGGAGATCTGAGTATGTCCTGGGTACCAACCAGCTAGCGGCAAGAGAAGATATATTCTTGCTCTAAAAGCCTACAATTTACCCACAACTTCTACAATTCATGGCCTACCTAGGGAGTTACGCCTTATTTGTACTGTCCTTCTCATAAATAAACATATTTACCCCGAATATTGGCGCTCGCCACATAGAGACACTAAACCGGTTCTAGGAGATGACCTTCCAGAGTGATGTGGTCAAGCGATCCAAGCGGGCACCAAAGCAGAGAGCACGCCCTGATCCCATGACCCGGACGCTGTAAGGTCAAGCAACGGGCCTTGAAAAAATCTCTCGAAAGCTTGATATTCTGAGAATAACACCGAGTACCTGAAAGTTAAATGAGATTTAATGAAAGCAACAAATGCTAAACAGGAAACTCAGATTCATTTCAACATCAACAAGTCACGTGCGATATAACCTTGCCCGGCCATCTAGGAAACGTCTCGAAGATCTGGTTTACTTAATAAAACATATTTGAAAGTTCTATCCAGGACAAATCAAACATATGGAAGTTTTTAAACGAAAGCTTTACCCGATTAATAATTTGACTGTATCTACCTCATCTTGACTGCTCCTCAAGAATGATGTGTATGGGAAACACGTGATATCAAAATGCTGATCTTGATTATGGTGGCAAAAAAACCCCCTTCCTACATCAACCAGCCAAGTGGTCGAGCAGTAACTCGGCTAATATGTCTTCCTTGGTCTAGTGGTCATGATTTCCGCTTGTCATTAATACCGATAAGCGCGGGAGACCGGGGTTCGATTCCCCGAGGGAGAGTTTCTTTTTTTTTGATTTTTTTTTTTGATTTTTTTTTTTGTGTGCTGCTGCTGCTTGACTTCATTCGGTCGTTTTCCTTTTATCTTTGATTAGCATTATTGGTATTTCACTTAACTGAATTCTAAACTCTTTAAACTCCTCATCAATCAAAATATCGTCTAAAGTAATCTTCCTTGGAGAGCAGCGAGAAACTCCCCTAGATCGAACCGCCAATGATCTGTTAGACTTATCCTCACACACAATAACGAACGATGTCTTCAAACTGACCTTTAGGACTGAGAAGCCCTAATGGAATAGCACCGTCCCGGTTCTTAACATCGCCACCTTCACCATTCCTCGCCAAGATATTTATCATGTCCAAGCTTGAGCCACGAGTATACGGCAGCTTGCGAAAGCTGATGCTGGTACTATTCCGAGAAGACTTAATGAAAAACAGAGGGAGTGCCATTGTTAATCACCTTTCTGACATGGAATCACCCCAGCGTGCAGCGAGCTGGTATCGATCCCCTCGGCACCAAGCTGGAGGTCTGCAGCGCCTTTGCCTGATTTTCCGACCTGCCGAAGAGAAAGATGCTATTCGTAGACAATGATGGAATGCGTCGCACATATACCAGGTCATACTGAGGGGATAATGCACTGATGAATGATCGTGATGCTGAATCGTTGTTGAATTCTATGACTGTCGAGCCTAGTCTTTTTGTCGCAGTGCGAGAATCCGACCGGAGCATGGGCTCTGTAGAGTTGGTCCACGTGGGTGGAAATGTAGTCTGTGAAGGATATCTGGGGAAAATGAACGTCGAGAGAACGGTGATCGTAGGTAAAGTCGGCGTCGCGATAGAGATAGTAGATATCTGAGTATCGCCGAGATGATCGCTCATGACAGAGGACAATTGCCTTGTACTGTTTATGTTCCGTTCCGGTATCGACAACATCATACATTCGACCTGAATAGCTCGGCTCTGACCAAGCAAAATCCGACCGACAGTTCAACTCAATGACAGCCTTCTCAAATTCTGCCGCATTTTGTTGGGTGCGGAAATGCAGGCCAGCCTCAATATTCGGTGCGTTTCCATCATACATCATAGACATATGAATGGAGGGTATTGTAATTGCCATCCGTTTTGTCTGACCGTTCTTGACAGGTATCAGACCACTTAAGAAGTACTTGGCGGGATTCGCCTTCACGGTTGATCACCTTGCTGAGTGGCATGAAGAATTCGATACATCGCGGATTTCGTTCAGCCACCGAGGGGGTAATCACCGTCCTTCTGATAGAGCACCAAGCTTCATCAAAGGATCGCTCATGGACGCGCACTTCACACGATTTGAGAGATATCGGTGGGTTGGTGGGTTTCATATGTGGCGTCCTTAATTGTTCGAACATCTCCACTGAGCTTTTGAAGATGATGCTTTCAGTAAAGTCTTTCGAATCGATGGGATCCCTCTGCCTAACGGCATCAAAATATGCTTTTGGAATGCCGATGAAGTGTCCTAGATCGGCCTCAAACTGGAAAGAAATTGAAACACTGATGTTATCGAACTTAAAAGGTAGATATCTCGCCCTTCTAGCCTAGAATTAGGTTCCATGGAATTCATTTTGCGACCCGAAAGTGTGACCCCAAAGCTCAGAGAGCTCAAATGTCGCAAGCAACAACGGACAAAAGCTGAGAGCATCGGCTATGAAGGACGCCATGTATCTCCTCAGAGGAGGACTGGGTTGCACCCGCTGCGCGCAAGGCAAAATGGTCACGAAAACGAAGTCAGGCTGCAACAGCCAATCAGCGGTGTCAGGGGCTGGTTCGATAATTGTATACTTTGTCGTATCCCCACCATTTTAGCCAGTCAGTCAGATTAGATTGTATGCATTAAGCCGCTCGAAAGAGCTTTGCCAGTCTAGGATTGGGCGACTGCGAGGTCTGCGCCGCTAGGTTGTATCATCGCTGGCACAAGGCAAAGAATTGAGCCCCTTCGGACAGATGAGGGTAGTTTGTTTGACAGATAGGAATAATTGGGGTTCTGGGCCCTTCTTGTCTTAAACTTGTGTAATCATCGTTGAAGTTGCTCACTTGGAGTTGTTGGCGAGGTGAGAAGATGGGGACAAGACGGGCTCCTAAGTCCCACGAGGCTCTCCCCACACTTACACACGGGCATAGGGTGACAGCCGTTGGCTAGATCCTGGGATAGTATTGGAGCGTCGTAAAATTTGAGATAGTAACGACAAGGGTTATTGAGGATTTCAATGATAATCGGTGGTGCGTCTGTTGAACAACCTCAATACCACCTCACGTTGATCTTGTTTAGTTGTTACTGTATACTTTGTTTGGTTCGGGCGATCTTGATCCACTCTTCAACACCTGAGGCCACCAAGTGGACCCCAAACATTCAGCTCGAAACTCGAGATTCTTCTCCTGAGCTTACTTCCCTCTCCTTTCACCTCTCCACCACCGAGCTATTATAAGCAAAAAACCACCCTGCGCATCCGCTCTCTAGAGCGCGACCATTCATACTCAGTCCATACAAACCCCTCACCCATAAATCAACCCGCACCACCCCCGCCACAATGACCACCACCGACTCCTTCACCCTCGACCTCACCACGGCCCTCTGCATCGCCTTCTCCCTATCCTTCATGCCAATCGCCTACCTCCTCAGCAAAGCCCTCATCCCCTCCACCCACACCCGCAACCGCATCCTCTTCTTCTGGCACGCCTACGACGCCCTAACCCACCTCTTCATCGAAGGCTCCTTCCTCTACCAATGCTTCTTCAGCTACGCCTCCCTGCCCACGGGCATCCTCAACGCAGGTCCACACTTCCTCAACCGGTCCGACCGCGTCTACGGCCCCGCCTACGGATCCGGTCCCAGCGCGCGCCTGTGGCAGGAATACGCCAAGGCGGATCGTCGCTGGGCTGGCGCGGACTTGACCGTTATCTCTTTGGAGCTGTTGACCGTGTTTGTGGGCGGGCCGGCGGCGGTGTATGTCTGTTATTTGCTGTGTCGGTCGTCGAATGAGCAGCTCAGCGCTAAGGTGCGCGGTGGCGCGAAGGCGACGTTGTGGTTTGTTGCGACTGCGTTGGCGACGGCGGAGTTGTATGGTGGGTTTATGACTTTTGCGCCGGAGTGGTTGACTGGTAGTTCGCAGCTTGCTACTGAGGATCCCGTGTATTTGTGGTTGTATCTGTTCTTCTTTAATACTCTTTGGGTGTTTATTCCCTTGTGGGTGTTGTGGGAGGCTGGTAAGGAGCTTCAGGCTGCGTTTGTCACACAGGAGGTGGCAGTTTCCGAGCAGAAGGGGAAATAAGTGGTTGAGTTGGAGTTGCAAAAATAATGTTGGTCAAAGATTGATCATCCTTGGATTCCACTGGTTTGGGAGATTTCATGGAACACACCTAAATAATGCGGCACTGGTTGAGCCGGTTCGACCCTTGATATTAAACCCTGGAATACATACATAATGGGACAAATGGACAAATGGACAGAGATAATGCCATGATATACTGTACACAACGCTGGAAGCAGAATCAAATAGATCAATCTGGTATCAATCAACCCTTCATCCCCCGATCCTTATCCCAAAACCAGTGATAAAACGTCTTCCACTCCGCGGCCTCATCCTCAACATAATCCCCCACCAACTCAGCAGTCTCGTTAATCTCATCCGAAACATGGGGGACCTTAAAGCCAGAAGAAGCATCGACCCCGTGCGCTACACTTCCAACCTTTGCAGCAGCCGCAGTCGCAGCCGCAGCGGCATTGGAAGTCATATCCACAGCAACACCGCCAGAGTGGTTCTTCAGGGCCTCAGCGCCTTCGCGCGTCCGCTCAGCTAAATCGCGGGCTCCCTCGCGTGCAATCTCGCTATACTCTTCGGCTTGTTCGCGGGCGCGCGATAGTAGCTCCTCGGGGGAGGGATACCGGCGCGCAATGATGAGGAGAATGTAGTAGAATTTGACGATGGAGGCGTACACGGCATCCTTGGCTAGCATTGTGAATCCATGGGAGAAGAATCCCTTCAATACTTCTCCGGGTAGACCAGCGTACAGGGCAGATATACCCTCTGTCTGGTAGATTGTCACGACATTGGAGAAGATCTTTGGTGTCAGTGCGGCCAAAACTGCATTTGAGCCCGTGCTCTGCGATGTCGCTTTCTGGGCGTTGCTGAGTGCCTGTGCCCTGGTCTTGGCCAGCGAGAACGGGTATGTGATCGAGGAAGCGGTCGATTTACTCAAAGCTGCCAATAAGAACGTCACTGCAGCCGAAGGTCGCTCGCGCTTCGCACGCGGGAGAAGTGCGTATTTCAGCACTTCATTGAGGAAGAAGGTGATCGATGGATTGAGGGTGAGCACCAGAGATGCCGAGTACCCAGACCAGAAGCCACCGATACCCTTCTCAGCGCGAATCTGAGCTGCAATATCGGCTGTTGATGGTTCCTTTTCTCCCTTCCCGGTTTTTCGCGCTGCAATCTGTTTTCGAGTGACGATATTCGACAAAGGTGTGGTGAACAGCTTCGAGAACGCGCCTGCAACCATACCAACCGCGAGTTCATCCCAGATAGGTAGAACGATATTCTTACTCTTCGCCGCTTTAGCAGGCCCGACACGGGCAATGATCCTCCGTTGTCGGATGGTGTTGTATGCAAGGAAGAACAGGAACGAGTCTGCGACCGACTTCCAAGTATCCTGTGCCAGACCGGGATAGAACCCAGCCAGACCTTGCTGCTCGTAAATCTTACGGGCGGCGTCGAGAATATCTGTATACTCTGGTTCATCGTCGGAGCCTGCTTCTGACTTGTCCTTCTTCGCTTGAGTCTGGAGACGGGCAACGATCACGTTGAGTGGGTAAACGATGACGTTGGATATGGCTGAGCCGACCGCACCGGCAACTGCGTTTCCAAGAACTGGTAATCCTGGGCCCCGGAGAGCGGAGGTTTTCCAGTCTTCTCTTGGGTCGCGGCTTTCATAGCGGAAGGAGGGGTGGAAGGCATTCTGTATCGTGCGGGGATCGTGTTAGAGGAATGGGATGGAGAGGGTAGATTCAACCCACCAATTCTGACACGTAGGTTAATTTGTATTCATCCATTATGATGACGGAGAAGGGTTATCCCCTCCTTGGTCTTTTCCTTGTGATGAACAAGTCTTCTGTGGTGAGATGGTGAGATATCAAGTGTGTTTACGAGGCTTGCGCATTGATGGGCTAGAAAGAGGGATGAAGACTCGGTGTGAGGTCTCTCGCACCACCCACGATCTGAGAGAAAAATATTCAGAGAACTCCAGCTAGAAGCTGAGATGACCAGGAGATAAGACTTAAGTGAACGTGAAGGGCAACACTGAGTGATGGCCGAGGTCCATGCCTTGCGGAGGCCAATCGATTACATCATGCCGATTGTGTGGCCCGTGCAGGACAATAAAATGGTCCGATTATGGATAACGACATACACCTTCAGGCAGTCAGGCTGCAATCAATCTCTGAGGAGTGTCATGCATCACAAAAAGGTGAGTTTACGAAATCATATCTGATCTATCAACATTACTCAAAGAGTGCTTCTTGGATACCCGGAATGAAAGTGGTACCATGGCACTGCGATTCGACTTCCTATCTAAAGAGTCTACCACGTCTTAATTAACATGAAAAGACCATGAAAACAATGCCTACTTCGTCTGAACCAGGTATTCTTCACTCACCATTTCCAGCCCAACTCATTGAAAGGAGAATGGCTAGGACGAGAGGAAAAGTACACCGAGGAACCGCGGCGGAGCGAAACGTCTCCTTATAGTTTATAAGACAGCAACAGAGCCAGATTAGAATAATGGCAATTGTTCCATTCAGACCTGAAGGGCCATGGCAAAAGCCAAATCAACTAACTTAATAGAAAACCCAAAGTCGGACCGATTCCGATATTCATGAAGGAAAAAATGAGAATCCCAACCCAATACCGTCGCAACCCACCGTAGACTGGTAAAATATACCTCCAGTCTGATCATCATAAGCCTATTTCAGGCACAAGAACGCAAGAAAAAAAAACATCACACCGTAGCGCATTAAAGAAAAAAGAAGAGGAGCTAGCGACCGGGAGAAAAACACGGGACAAAAAAAGCCGCCATCGTGATCCCTCGACGGGCCATCAGCCCAGCACGTCACGTACACATATGGACGCACTTAACCACCGAAACCGTACAGAGTGCGGCCCTGGCGCTTCAGCGCATAGACAACGTCCAGCGAGGTGACGGTCTTACGCTTAGCGTGCTCGGTGTAAGTGACAGCGTCACGAATGACAGACTCGAGGAAGGACTTGAGAACACCGCGGGTCTCCTCATAGATCATAGCGGAGATACGCTTGACACCGCCACGACGAGCAAGACGGCGGATGGCGGGCTTGGTGATACCCTGGATGTTGTCGCGCAGAATCTTGCGGTGACGCTTGGCGCCGCCCTTGCCGAGACCCTTGCCGCCCTTGCCGCCTATGAAGAAATGTTAGTTGGTGTTATGTTCAAGTGCATTGAAGTGTAATTGAATCAAAGTAGGTTGATGGGGGTGGAGACTGTATAGCGACGGCGCGATGATGTATTGAGTGGTGATCCAGGCTTGTCCCAGTTGGGTAAGGTGATGAATGCATGAATGCCTTGGTGCCTGGGGCATCAAACGCCACCCAATCACGTGTTGCCCAGGGGCATTACCACCTCTGGAACCTCATCACAGCGACCGCGACACCAACAGGCACCAGATGTCCAAATAAATAAAAATAAGTAAATACTTACGTCCAGACATGATGAGTTGTATGGGAGGGTTGATGAATTAAATAAGATATTGATGAAAAAGTCGCCTGGTGGATGACAGCCTCAAGATATAGAAGCAGTCGGGACGCGTCGAGATAGATGAAGAAAGAGGAAAAAAAAGGAGGGGGGAAAGAAACCAGTCAGCGACGGGCGGGGGGGGATAAAGGGCTTAAATACGTGTAAAGCAGCTGACTACGCGTGATTTTTTCGGGGGAGCGGGTTGAGGAAGGGAAAGGTGTGGTTAGGTAAGCCCATGGTTTTACATTCTGCAACGCGGCGGTAATTGGCAGGCGGCGAGGGAGGAAAATGGGAGTTATGAAAGGCAGGATTTGAGCATGTCTTGTTGGCCTGGGGGCTGCCCGCATTTTCCACGCGGGAGTATTAAAGTGGGTGGGCAGTCACGTGGTGATAAGGGAGATAGCGGGTGGGGCCGTTCCCGTTAGTTGCAGGCGTGGGCCCTTCCAGGTCGGAACTAAGTTCTTAGTCATCCATTGATAAGACCGCCCGGGGCTGAGGAATACTATCGGTCGCATCTCTCACTTCTCATTCAAATTTCTCCCAAGTTACTTAGTCCGCTCGATTTAGCCTTGAATAAGTTGAGGTCTCTATACACGCCCATCTAAAACATACCCTACAAGTAAACTGCTAAATTCTCTACAACAGAAACAAGGTTTTATGTCAAGACTCGAAATCACATTCATTCGTGTCTTTCATTGTCAACGCTATGCTACCTTTGCAGCAGGCCTCAAACTGTGAAAAAAATCATATCTCGCATGCTAATCCATCGCAAGTTGCATCCAGTTCATTTAGTTCATTTGGTGCCCATTAAACAGAATTGAGGAAAAATAGGAGAGTAAAGAAAACAAGAACGGGCGAAAGGAAAAGAGCAAAAAGATCCCCGGAACACCATGCAAAACTTGAAACCCCCAAGAAACAATGAGGCCAACGATAAAAATGCAGAGACAAGAGCGGAGGCGGGCCCAGCAGACTAATAGTAAACTTTTTTTGCGAAAAATGAAGAATCCGCCAAATGGCAGGATAAAGAATCGAAGAGGCCTCTCGAGGTGATGTGGTGTGTGGTTGAAGGTGGATGTGGAGAAAAAGGTGGTTGAAATATCGTATCGTCATCATGCATAATAGAGACAACCAGCGCGAAGTGGTAAATGAGAACACCATGTAGTAGGTGGTGGAAGAAGACGTGAGTATGACCACATTGGACCAAACTCTCGCGTCGATAATTTCTCCCGGCGCGAGTCGTGGATTCCAGACAACAGCCGACAACCAGAAAATCAGCTCCGCGGTTTATTACACATCGCAAGAACCAATCTCCAATCAACAGCTGCAGTCGATAGAAGCCACTGTCGTCGGGCCATCGAATGTGGAGGAGAGGGAGATCAACTATGCAGGGGATAAAAATCACAGAGCGTCCACACAGGGCGCATATGCATAATCGGCAAAGGGAGGAAAGGAAAAAGAGTCGGGCATTTCCAGGAAAGAAACATCATATCCCCTTGAAACATGAGATCCGTCAACAATGCACGCTTGGGAAAGGGACCGGTCGAGGACCAAGATGATAGCAGGACTCCGGAGCGGTCGCCAAGCTTTGATGTCACTCACCCTCGAATGACTGGCGACGACTGAGGGTCTGTCATGAATCCGTTCTGCATCGTTGTGGGGTGGTAGGGATAGCGAAAAGCCATTGTGGGCGATGTGCGGGGGGAAACATGCGGGCTCCCCGCGACTGGTGCAGGACGGGATTCCGAGGCCAGCTCTCGTGGGGGCAGGGAGCGAGGGGAAAGAGGGAGGAGAGGGAGCAGCCGTGTTGAAAAACTTAGACGTCTCATCTGCCTTCAGGCTGAGGGTGAAGTTTGCAAAGTTTGGCGGCTTCTCGTTGGGGGTATTGGCGGAGGAACCATACTGTTGGGTTAGGTTAGTGGACTGTGCTCCAAAAGAGCCTGGCGGATAACTTACAAAACAGTATTTATCCACCAGCTCTTTGTACGACGAAGATTCGTGGCAAGGCTTGCTAGATACCAGTGAGGAAGGCTTCAGATCCTCTGGTCGAGCATCATTTCTCACTGGAGAAATCCGACCTGGTCTGATCGCCACGTCTTTCTCCACCGGCCTGGCCTTGGGTGCCTCCGGGGTCTGGCTCGAGCGAGCGCGTGCGGTCAGAGTGGTCCGATCGACGGGGGTCTTGGTCCGCATAGCCGCGGTCAGCGATGCACCAAAGTCGTACCGATTGCCGAAAGCCTGGGGGTGCGGCTTCTCGCGACGCTTGGGCGGGCCGACCGTGTCAATATCATTTGAAGTGCTTCGGCTCAAGGGAGGGCCTGCGTTCGCGGTGAACGGGTTGGCGAACGGAGCCTTCTTGCCAAAATCGGCGGAACCGTCGAACGAGGGAGGCATGGACTGCGGGCGACCGGAGTGGGAGCCGGTAAATGTTCGACTGCGAGGAAGAGCCGGGCGATTGCCACCAGAGGGCTTGCTCGTGGTAGGCTTGGAGACTTTGACGAACTCGACCTGGTAGTTTTTGCCGTTGTTGTTGTCCCAGTGCTCTTGACCCTCGACGTTGTACCGAATGCACACAAACATGGTCTTGCTTTCCAAGTTGGCCTGATCATCGAGTTTGATGTCGAAGGTAAAACGGTCATGTCCGTCATGAGCATGCTTGCGGCGAACATCGTGGCTGTACACGGCGACGACTTCGGAGACAGTCGTCCAATGATCGAGCGTGAAACGGGCAGCCACATGCTTGTGGAACGCGAGGTTAGCCACAGACACAGAGCCAATCAGACTCTTCTTATCAGCTGAGAGGAACAACCGTTCTAGGCGGACTGCATGAGTAGCATGGTGGGGCGCATCTTTAGGAAAGTTTGCGAGCCGCAACTCCCACTCCCACGATGGGGCAGCATCATGACCAAATGGAAACTCAGTCTCGCCGTCGTGGCTGTCCACCGGGGACGTTTCAGCGCTCACGGCCAAGGGACGATCGAGTTGCAAGAAATGCCGAATATGCTCCAATTGTGAGTCGAAATGAACCGCCTTGGCGTAGACCGGGGTACCCGGCATGCTAGAAGGTCGCCGACGAGCCGTGGCAGGGCGGAGTGCTGGACGAACCAGTTCACCCGACTTCTTTCTCACCATAGGGGGCTTGGAGGTAGCTTCGGCATCGCTGTCGTCCGGCGAGCTGGTCAATGCCTGCTCCCTCCTGAGATCCACTGCTGTTTCAGTAGATGACCGTGAGTGAGAGATCTTTCGGGACTCCTTGGATAGCCGCAAGTAGTTGGGTTTGGGTTTGTTTTGGAAGGTAGGTGATGCTAGACTCGATGAGCATTGAGCCTCAATTCCCGACTCTTCGGCTGGGCGCATCGTCTCTCTTTCGGGTGAGTTTTCCCTTCGCTGCTCAATCGACCGCACTGCAGCCTCGAGTTCCTCAAGCTTGATCTCGTCTTTCGGTTCGGACGATTCCTCATCACTTGAGTTCGTAGCAGACTCCGGGGGCGAGATCAACGCCCCTGGTGGAATGACTGCATTGTTCAATGGAGGCGGAGACTGGCGGAGACTGGCATGTGGATCGATGGTGGGGGAGAGACGGGATGACGGCTCCGAGGAGGAAAGCACGGTCGATTTCGAGATCGACGGGCTTCTCCGGTGCCGACGGACGTATGAGGTGGAAGCGTAGGATCGCGAGTTTTGCAATCGATTTGATGATGCAGAGCGAGCCACGGTGGGTCGTTCTGGTCGGGTGTCGGAGGAGGGGAGGGTGGTGTATTCGATGTGCTGCGCAGCGAGCAACGACTTTCCTGGCGCAGTGTATGGCATCCGGCCGACTTGTGTGTCTCAACACAAGAAGGGGTATGTGAGCAAAGAACAGGGCAACAAGGTGCTCAAAGGTTCAGTGCAGATGCAGAGAAGAATCTGGTGTGGGAGGTTCTTGTCAGTTCTGGTTTCCCTTTATTCCAAGGTACTGTGGCGAGAATGATGAGGAGTGTAGGCAGAGGCAGGGTTGAGAAACCGACAGGCAGGCGACGACGGCATCACCATGCATTAACCAGAAGCACGGAGACTGGGGGGAAAAAGGGAGTCGAGGTGAAACTTCTTCGGTCGTCGTAGGATAGATGCAGATGGTGGCACCCGAAGAATGGCGTGAAAGGAAGGTGCGGACCGGTGGGGAGGTGGGTAGCAATGAAAGGGTATCACAGCACGAGTAACACCGGAGGCAGTGAAGAGAGATGTCGGTCGAGAAGACAATGGGGTCGGGGGAGGTTGAATTGAAGAAGCAAGAGTGGAGAGAGCAGGGTGGAAGACAGGGTTGAGAAATTGAAGATGGAGAGAGGAAAAAGAGAGCTTATCAAGCCTACCAGTGGAAGCACATCCAGTAGTTGCGGGTGGGGGAGTGTGGCGATACTGGGCGATAATGGCGGCCGCGGATATGGCGATGCTATCAGAGGGTGGGCCGATCACCAGTCGGGTAAAATTCAAAATCGAATATGAATAATAAAATGCAAATGCAAATGCAAATGCAAAACCCCCAAATGTACAAAGAAAAGTCAAAATAAAAATGAGCTCCAGGACAACCGCAGGTGAATGTAGATATGTAGATGGGATGATTTCGATCGATGATCACCTCACTCTGTACCTCGAAAGTACCCGGGAAGTCGTGCTGTGGGGAGGCAAAATGGACGTTTTCTTAACAAGCCATTTCCCGCTTGGACCGTTACAATCAGTTGCTAGGCAATGATAAGATCAGTTCCAAGGTTCCCAAGCTGGTGAGGCAAAAAGGGATGCCCGGAAAAGGATGGAGGGATGGGAAGATAGGAAGAAGGGGAAATGGGAAAAGAAGAGCTGGGTAAATGGCGATAGGAAGCAGGGAATTATAGGAATTTGGATAGCTTCCCTTATAGCAGGGAAATCCAGAATGATGGGAACCGGGAACTATCATATTTTAATACTGATGACTTAATTAAGTTAATCGGGAGTAAAAAAAAAAAATGGGAAAAAGAAAAAGAAAAAATTAAAATAATATCATCATCCCCCAAAGTAACTACAGTAAGTAGGGGCAGAAAAAAAAGTGGAACAAGATAAATAAAGACGGCATCGCAAGCGCCCATTGGAAAAGAATCGACTAGAGACTCAGACCCAGGCCTTGCAGTGGACTCCGGATACTACCGTCAGTGCGTTGCAACTTGCCGTATAAAAAGTGGCTTTAAGGGGCCATGGCATCGCTTGCTTCGTTAGGGACACGCCGAGTGGGTCGTGGCCTGGCCACAGAAAGTCACTTTTGACTGGGGACACTGGGATACTGAGTAATACTGCGTACAAATCGTACAATACCTCTAGATTAGACTGATATCTTATGTAAATGATGATATCTTAATATCTTATAATAATCATCAAACTAGCTATTATTATTACGGCTACTGCGATGTAGGTGACTTGCATATCCAAAGCAGCCATTGATTTGTACATACTTAGTATGTAGTTGTAGTATTCTGCTCTCGGTAGACTCGGTACTCCATTCCTCATCCACCCGTTATCCGTTATCCGTTCTCTAGTCTCACTTGTAGACTTCCCTGGAGTACATCCCTCCGGTATGTGTACGCCCGTGTCCACACCCACACACCACTATGACTCTAAAAGGTACCGAGTCTACCGACTGGGGCGAAAAAAAAAGGGCTTCGAATTTTCCGCAACATGTGGCCCCTGTGCACGAGGGCGTTGGAGGATCTCCATTGGCGTTGAATCTCGATCTTTAGCCCTGGGACAAGAATATTGCATTAATCAACAAACCTTTCGATACACTCGGGACACATACACTTTCGTCTTGCTCGTCCGCGGAGTAATTACGAGTTCACTTTATCATACGGTCCTCCCATATGCACACCAGGTCTACAGGACACTAACATTCCTGCTACGACGACATCCCTCTCATCATTATGGATACAGCATGGACGCAGTTGTACTCCATACTGCTCCGCCCACCTGGGACGCTAATCACCCCAGTCCACTACATTTTACCCTTGTGTTCCCTGTTTTTTTTCAACAACTGACGTCTGGCAATTGTATCACCACATCCACTTCTTACACCCCCCCGGCCTCCAAGGTAATTCCATTCCTCCCTTCCTGCGTGATCACGGGAATTTGCGACCGGGATGATAGATCTACAGTAGCGGTGCAGTGTGAAACAATTGGACCGAACCATCCATCAAGATTGCGAATCTGAGGTGGTCGGTGAGCAGAGGGCCGCGACCGTGGTACTTGCTACAGTACATCTACAAGCTGTTTAGGATTCTCGTTTCTTATCAAGACTCTCTGTTAGCGGCGAGGTCCGAGTGCCCCCCGATTTCACCACTTTCTATTGGGTTGTCCCGAACTTGGCGACCAGAAAAAAACCGAAACCGAAACCCTCGCCGAAGTTGCGACTCCATCCATCTCTCTTCCCCGCCAGAACAGTAAACTATACTATGGATACAATGTGATATGCTCCATGCATGGATGGAGTATAGACTGCGCAAGTGCTGAAGCATAAACCTTCGTCTTCTCCTCATTTCCTCCCTCTCCTTTTCTTCCAATCCCAGGTCTAGCCCTTTTGGCATTAGCATTGACCACAGACACTGGAACTCCTCACCTTATGGAAAATGCGGGATCCAATGGTGTAAATCGTTTCTTCTAGCCTTTTGACTCTCGTTCATGAGGTGATCCTGCTTGGTTGGAAGGGAGGGGAAACCCGTCTTGTCATTTAGTCCTCGTTGCCGGTCCGACCATGGAACGGGACGACCTCGAACCCTCCGCATCCAAGGGCGAGCTTCGCAGTTTACTACTGTTCGCAAACCAATCCATTACTTTCCGCCAATTGCTAGAGAGCCTTCTATCTTTCCATCAAGGTATCTTGAAATTATAGTTTGGAGTACATCGCCTGTAGATGCAAGGAGGTGTCTTGCTGACCCGGATGGTGGTAGCTGCAGTGGGACACGACGGTAAGGATTAGAAGACAAGCGAAGAAGAGAGCAGGAAAGTAAACCTTCTCAATTGTCAGTTCTCCCATTGAGCAGCTTTCCCCCACGCTACACAAAGCGCTTGGATGGGCCAAAAAAAGTGGGCAAGTTGTGAATGAACACCGGGGGAAGGAAGGGGGCCGAGTGTATCAAACTCCCCCATAGGCCCCAGCATATCGATGCTCCGTGACATGCAGCGTGCAGTTAGATATCTAGTCCAACGCTCTCTCATCTTGTGGATCGACAAGCAGCTGCACTCCGTAGTCTGAGTCTCCAGTCTCCACAGGCTGTGGTGCCGCAGAACCCGGAGTTGGGTGGGTTGGGGCCGACCGGCCAACCGACCGAACCTCGTTCGGGAGGGAGTGGGTTTTTTTTCCCTTTCATTCCAGTTCTTTTTTACTTTTCCCGTTGCTGCCGCGAACAGCGGTGATTTAAGCTCTTATATTGCAAGGGGAACACGGGTCGCAATCTGCTATCTACCAAGGAGATCCAAGAGTCTTATCAGGAACCCAATCTCTGGATCAATTGACCTTGAAAAAGTCGTGATCATACAGGAAACAACTTGTCGCAGGTTTATACTCCGTCCTCTGCCGGGATGGTGAGTAGTGCCGTGGTGGTAATACCACGCGCACGACTACACATAATGAATGACGTCAGGATGCATTTGACAGGCCCGTGAGTCGCCAATTTCCTTGGTTTATTTTTCCTTGGCGAGGGTCTGGGCCCCCCAGTCGCTCGTGCAGACCAGCAACTATTTGCCCTGGTACTGTGTGCAACAATGCAAGAAGGAGATTCGCACTACTCTACTCCATACATGCTTCGGGGGAGTGTTCGCGGGAGGTTCGGAGAACTGTTTTCTACTCACGATCAACGACGCTATCAGCCGCAGCGGGAAGGGTTATCTGATCAGGATCCTGATGATGATATCGCAGGTTCCAGGGCACGCCATTGTTGGAAGATTCCAGATCCATAAGACCCGCCCTTGCCGAATAACTTGTTTATGGTCTGAAGGATCGCGGAGTATAGAACTATTACGTAGTGAGTGCCTACGAAGGTAGTATGCATTGAAGGGCAATGGGGCCCAGTAGCAAGTACTTTGATAGACAGAGTGGTGGTTACTATACTTGACATTGCTATCTCAAAATTGGTCAGTGGAGACCGGCGTCCATATCACGACAGGGGTACCTTGGTACCAGGGCCGAGTGCCACAACCGGAGGTTAAAGAGGAAATACTGTAGATAAGTTCACTTTTATAATAATTTGTATAGATAGCTAGAAGTGTACATATGTAAGTTACTGTATTCATTATTCAATATGTAATTACGTTCCTTGACTACTATATTAATGCTCGGATAACTCAATTCCGTGTTTGACGATACACTTCACAAAAAGCGCCCCAAAAAACGTTGAGACTACAGGGGAGGCGCATGTCTCACCGAGCCAGTCAGCAAAGAATTTTCCTACTCGTCGCATATCAAAATGGCCCAAGCGCCCGGGCCACAAACCAACTTTCCCTTTGGCCTGTTCCCCTTTGTTGATGCGCCTCGACACACTCTAATTGTCAATTTCAATCTTAGCGGCGCAGAGTTTTCCATTTTCTCGCCACCACACTCAACATAATACTATCAGAAGTACATATGATTAGGTACATTGTATAGTGCCTGTGGTAGTTATCGGCCTAGCTGTAACTTTATCACCTATGATCGAGCTTGGAATTCCCACTCTTTGAAGTTTTGGCGCGCTAGTCCGCGGGTTGGCAAAAGCCCGCCCTGAACCTGAGCTCAGCCCGGTCCCCATCGTGAAGGTCGAGACCACATACTAAACTCA